CCTGCTCAGAATTCCTCCCATTGAGAACAAAACAGGACTCGCTGCTTGTTGAATCGTACCCAAAGTTTGTCACTGCGAGACTATTTTACGGGGATCTTCAATCTCTGCTGGAAACAGGATTGAGGCTCCATTTTATCTTGAGTGGTTATTGCTTTTCACTTGGCTTTCTTGAGTTTTACTGCTGCTTTCTGCCCGGAGTACTTTTTTCAGCACAAAAAAGCAGATGGTATTATTATACGTGGCATTTTAAAAAATGTATGCACAACACAATTTATTGTGTCAAGTCAAACCACGTGCCATTGGTCTCTGTCTCGTCTCTCATTAAAAAGTAAAGTCAGAAGGAAATTGTTTTATGGTTTGGCCAATTCAAATATTTCCACACTCTTTTTTTCCTAGAAGTGGCAGCGCTCTATTCCTAAGTAGCCCCTGGCATACTGGCACAGCTTATTATGTAACAATTCCAGCCTTGTAATCCCCCTAAGCAAGACTACACAATTTCAAGTGAAATGAATAGGTCATCTAAATACTGACGCAAATAAAACAATTTAGTAGACATTTGATTCATTCACCGTTACATTTTAATTTGTGGGTTTAAAGAAAACAGTTTCAGCAAATAAAAGACGAAATAAATTCACGTGGATAAGACTATCTCTGCTCCTTTTCAGTCAAATAAGATGTACCGTGAAAGGGTGACTTTTGCAGTCACTCCAAGATGATCACTGGAATCTGAGTCACTCAACTCATATATAGGACAGCAGAGAAACCAAAACAGTACTGATATATATTCCTCTGGTAGCTCAAAACCTGATCCGGTGCTGCATTTTGTGCTGCAGACAGCTTCAAAGCAGCCAGAAATTACTCATAGATTAAAGCGTTAAAGAGCAGTAGTTTTTGCCTGATAGGCTTTTAACTCAAAAGCTTCTGCATTCTCACCAACAGCTGTTGGTCCAATAAAAGATGTCATCTTAACCTACTTTCATAACCCATAAGTCGTTTGTGATGCCTGCATTCCCTAGCATTTTTCAGACGGTTCGCTCCTAGATTATGAGAATCATAGAATCATAGAGTTGGAAGAGACCACAAGGGCCATCGAGTCCAACCCCCTGCCAAGCAGGAAACACCATCAGAGCACTCCTGACATATGGTTGTCAAGCCTCTGCTTAAAGACCTCCAAAGAAGGAGACTCCACCACACTCCTTGGCAGCAAATTCCACATGCCACTCCTTGGCAGCAAATTCCACATGAGAAGTTCTGCTAGATTTCATACAACAGAATTTCCAGTCCTTCAGCACTCGTAAGCATATATCCAGGCTACCATTCTCAACATGCTTCCTAGGATGTAAGTCACACTGAATTATTGGGAGTGGAACCTACTTTTGAGTCAGCATGCAGAGAAATGACTGAAAGTGTCACCTTCAGGCATAATTGCAGAGAAAAAGAGAATCCTTATACATTAGGATGCCAAGATCTCAAGTGGGCCCTTGCAACGGGCAGTATCAGTAGGGGTGGTTCTCATTTCAACCATTCACATAATGTACTTTCTTTCAGGGACATGTTTTGCTGCCTAGGTCACATTCACATATTTCTAAAGCACAGTGGCAACACTTTAAGCAGCCAGGGATCTACTCTTCTCTGGGCCAGCTCCCTGGGGCCACAGAAGCCACAATGGGTGGAACCATAGCTGTAAACTTACACATTTGAAAATAAGGGATCAGCAGCCAAAATAAGGGATTTTAGTCAACCAGCAGCCAAACGAAGCCTCAAGTGGTGGTTCCCATAGCGCAGCAACCCGGCAAAGGGGATGCAGCAAGGAAAACCACCGTCACCTCTCCGCTGGGAAGTGCTGAGCAAAGGCAAGTCCCCAGGCAACGTGGCCGATTTGATCGGCACAAGGCATGCAAGCTCCACCTCCCAGTCGTTCTTAGACTCCTTATTGGGTGAGCAACATAGCCAAGCAACACAGTTGGAGCCTCCCTCCTCCCTGGCCGGCAGGGAGGGAGGGAGAAGAGCTGCTTCCTTTGAAACCCGGAAAATTTAAGGGACATCATCAATAAGGGACAGCAGCGGGACACGGCTCTGGGATAAGGGACTGTCCCGCCAAACAGGGGACGCTTGACAGCTATGGGTGGAAAAAGGAATATAAACATTTACTTTGGTAGGTAGAATAGTGTCTGTTTTGGCCTCCAGGCATGAGGTTCTACCACTCCTCCAGAGAGGCTTCTGGGGTTGCATTTGACCCTGGGACTGAAGGTTTCTCAACTAATACATTTGATTTATGGCCCACCTTTCCTCTAAGGAGCTCAAAGGGGAATCCATGGTTTTACCCCCCTCCCCATTTTGTCCTCGCAACAACCGTATGAGACAGGTTAGGCTACGAAACAGTGACTGGCCCAAGCTCCCCCAACGACCTTCACAGCTGATGGGAGAAGAAAAGTGCTTGGTAGAGGACAACTTAAAATACCCAAACGCGCCACCTAGCAGCTGGGCTCAGTGCTACAAACAGCAAGTCTCCACCAACTTTTCCAGATATTATTTCCATAAAATTGTAACCCGTTTCGACCCAGCGACGCACATTACCGTCTCTCTCCTCTCACGTGTGCACAATACAATAAACATTATGCAGCGGTTGCGTTCCAGGGCTTTCACCTAATGCCAAAGTCCTGTATAGTCAAAACCCATTGGGTTCAATGGCGGGTGGGATTGCTGAAGTCATTTTTTCCGGACCCCTGTCCCCTTTTTATTTTTAAATGGCCATGCATGTAAAAGCTGAATGCACAAAAGGTAAATGTCCATAAGTTGAGGGCTTCCTGTAGTTAGCTTGGAGGAAGCGTTCAGAGGCAAAAGATATTAAGAGCATCTGGAAGGTTTAGGTGGTTTGTACTGTTAGGTAGACTGGGACGCGGGTGGTGCTGTGGGTTAAGCCACTGAGCCTAGGACTTGCCGATCAGAAGGTCGGTGGTTCGAATCCCCGTGACGGGGTGAGCTCCCGTTGCTCGGTCCCAGCTCCTGCCAACCTAGCAGTTCAAAAGCACGAAGTGCAAGTAGATAAATAGGTACCGCTCTGGCGGGAAGGTAAACGGCGTTTCTGTGTGCTGCTCTGGTTCGCCAGAAGCGGCTTAGTCATGCTGGCCACATGACCCGGAAGCTGTACGCCGGCTCCCTCGGCCAATAAAGCGAGATGAGCGCCACAACCCCAGAGTCGTTCGCGACTGGACCTAATGGTCAGGGGTCCCTTTACCCTTTACTGTTAGGTAGGAATGGTTAGAAAACACTGCTAACTTCATAAAAGTTTAGGTCCCACTTCAAAATGTTCCGTTGCACATTTGTGCTATTTTTCATTATGCCACCAAGTATCTGCTCACTTCAAAACAAAGCTCAATCAGCACGGTCATACTGAGCTTCTAAACAATAGGACGTTTGTGTTTCAAAAGCTCACCAGCTTAGGCAGCGGACTAAAGGCAAATTCCTTAACTCCAAATCTTATGGCTCAGAGGAACATTTCTGCATGTTCTTCTTTGCAACAAAACAATCAACACGCAAACAAAAATGCCAAGTGCTTTTGCGCAATGAAACTGCTGAAGAAAGCGCCACCCTAACGCAAGCAAAATTCAGATGAAAGGAACAAGAAATAATACCGGAGCCTAACGAGAATAATTATGATTATCCAGCAAATTGTTGTGGTGGTGTAAACATATCGTTTCTCTAGCCTGAGATTCACTGTAGACCTTCTTCAGCATCACCATCAAGTTTGCACAAGCCCAAGTTTGGCAAACTCCTTGCATAATGAGTATACACTCAAGTGGAAGGCTGCATCCAGTCTTGGTTCCGTGGAAAGAAGGCCAGGAAACAAATATTTAAAGTTTTAGATATAACAGATTAGGTTAGGTATGGGGAACCTTTGACCAGCCAGATGCTGTTGAACTACAACTCTCATCAGCCCCAGCTAACATGACCAACGGCCAGTGATGATGGGAGTTGTAGTTCAGCAACACCTGGAGATTCAAAAGTTTGTCATACCTGTGCTATAGGTAAAGGTAAAGGGACCCCTGACCATTAGGTCCAGTCGTGGCCGACTCTGAGGTTGTGGCGCTCATCTCGCTTTATTGGCCGAGGGAGCCAGCATACAGCTTCCGGGTCATGTGGCCAGCATGACTAAGCCACTTCTGGCGAACCAGAGCAGCGCACGAAAACGCCATTTGCTGTCCCGCCAGAGCAGTACCTATTTATCTACTTGCACTTCGTGCTTTTGAACTGCTAGGTTGGCAGGAGCAGGGACCGAGCAACGGGTGCTCACCCCGTCACAGGGATTCGAACCGCCGACCTTCTGATCGGCAAGCCCTAGGCTCTGTGGTTTAACCCACAGCGCCACCTGCGTCCCTTACCTGTCCTATAGGAGCACATAACTGTGGGCATTTTGGTCAACTGTACCAGCATATCAGGATTCCAATAAAAAAACAGTCTAAGGCTGCAATGCATTCAAGATGACTTACTTTTGAGCAGACGTGGTTAAGACTGCACTGTTAGCCATTTGGTTTCAACAAAACAGCTTCAACTAAAGCATCCCCCAAGTTTTATTTATTTTTAAAAAAGAAGTTACCTTATTGCAATAGAGCATCCAAAGTTCATACAGCCTCTCTCTGGACGCCATCGTTCACCTTCCTCAGTCGTGAAGTACCATATGCTCAAGATCCTATCATGCTCACTTTCAATTCAAAATGTTCGCTTTAATTCGTCAATCCAATCAAGGACGGGGAAAACAAGTTTCTCCAATACTCTTGCACGGTTAAATCGGCTAAGGGTGACAATCAGCCCTCTCCTTTTCATCGATGGCACTTTGGAATTAACCTCTGAAAGGAAAATTGTGCTGGCTGGAACGTGCAGGATGTGTGACGATGTAAGAAAGGAAATGTTATAATTCCATATTACGAGTGCTGAAGGAAATCCCAGGAACTGCTCTTGTTGTTTCTGAATGATGAAATCTCAGTAAGATGTTGTTGACCTCAAGTCTTCATCATCCCCCTCAGTGACAAACTGCATGGTAGAAAATATATTTTCAGTGTACCAAACAGCAAAGCAATGTTGACAGATCACCTGGCAAAATAAAGACTGATTTATTTATTTTTTTAAAAAGTACCCACTAGGTTGGGTATTTTCTACAATTCACAATAATTTATTTAAATTTAAAGTGCTCGGAAACTCATTTCCCTGCTTTTGCTTCCGTAAGAATGCGCCAGAAATTAGAATAAGGGCATCCCTGAGCAAAAAAAAAAACCTCTTCACAATAGAACCACCAATATCTCCAGGTTTTCCCCTCCTCTAACATACCCAGTGTCCAAATGTTCCCCCTAGCTTAGAAATTATAAAAACCCTAACCATTTTCAAAGGGTGATGAAAAACGGACAACTTCTGGGGAATCTGGGGAGTGGGGTGGGTAGACTGATAAAGCTGTCAGAGGCTAAAGTGCCGACTGCGCTCTACCACAGTACTACTTAAGATATATATTTTTAAAAAATAATAATCCAAAATTAAACACAGATCACCTCTCCTCAAACCTTGTTTCTGATGGTTCTTCCCCCCCACCTTCCTCTATTTCAAACACAGTTGTTTTCCTAACTTCATTTGTCTGCCCCTTTTACAAGGTGCCTCTCCTTCAGCCCAGCACAATACAATGATGCAACAACAACAATGAATAAATTCTTTTGGGAATTATAGGGGCAGAACTACCTAAACTATATAGAAACTTATTCATGTATGCTACTACAGCCACAAGAAGGTTACTTGCCCCAAAATGGAAAGAATAAGAAGTCCCAGCAAAGGAAGAATGGATACGAAAACGTACGGAATATGCAGAAATGGCGAAAACTTACTGGAAAAATAAGAAATCAAGATAGAAAACTTTTTATAAAAGAATGTGTCAGGGAACTGCCATCGGACGGAAGGGAGGTGAAAGGGCTCACACAGGTTGGGAGAGACGCAGCAGCTGAAGAGGGAACCAGCAGGGAGGTGAAAGGGCTCACACAGGTTGGGAGAGACGCAGCAGCTGAAGAGGGAACCAGCAGGGAGGTGAAAGGGCTCACACAGGTTGGGAGAGACGCAGCAGCTGAAGAGGGAACCAGCAGGGGGAGAGGAGCTGAGCTGGAGGGATGGCTCAGAGACACTTCCAGCGAAAACAGTGGGGAGGTTTCAGGACCTCCTGTAAGAACATCCACTCCTCGCCGGAAACTGTCACGCAGAGATTCCAGAAGACGTGTTTCCGTTAAGGAGCTTTTATGTTGGAAGCGATTACGAAAGCAACGACTGTCGGAATGCTGTGATGGGATGATGAGCTGCTTGTGCGTAAAATCGTATCCCCTCAGAGTTTGTTCAAGTCCACAAACCTCTGTCTGTGACGGAGCCCCTCAGACATGTCTCCTCTAGTCACTAGCAGATTCCGACAGTGGTGAGCCCTTTCACCTCCCTGCTGGTTCCCTCTTCAGCTGCTGCGTCTCTCCCAACCTGTGTGAGCCCTTTCACCTCCCTGCTGGTTCCCTCTTCAGCTGCTGCGTCTCTCCCAACCTGTGTGAGCCCTTTCACCTCCCTGCTGGTTCCCTCTTCAGCTGCTGCGTCTCTCCCAACCTGTGTGAGCCCTTTCACCTCCCTTCCGTCCGATGGCAGTTCCCTGACAGAATGGAAATGGGTTTATTGGAAAAATAAGAAATCAAGACAGCAAACTTTTTATAAAAGAATGGAAATGGGTTTACTGAATATTTACAGATAAATTGTAAACAGATAAAAACATTGGCAGGATTGTTGTAATAACCTGCAGTTTGACAAGAGTGTATATTTAAAGTAGATTAACAAGCGAGCAACTTAAGTTAATTTGGAATACGCAGAAGATATTACAAATAAATTGAAGGAACCGCAGAAAGAGGGGGATGGAAGTCGAGTTAAAGTAGATTAACAAGTGAGCAACTTAAGTTAATTTGGAATAATATGCAGAAGATATTACAAATAAATTGAAGGAACCGCAGAAAGAGGGGGAGAGAAGTCGAGTTAAAGTAGATTAACAAGTGAGCAACTTAAGTTAATTTGGAATAATATGCAGAAGATATTACAAATAAATTGAAGGAACCGCAGAAAGAGGGGGAGGGAAGTCGAGTTCCGAAATGTTAAAAAGGATTGCAAAACTAGTATAATGCATAAACCTGAAAAGCACAGATATTTTTTTTTAAAAAATGAATAAATAATAGTAATAATAATGAATAATTTAATGATGATGATAATGATAATAATAATAATTTCTCATCGCCCCCCCAACCCCACCCTTCTTCCAGGGCACACCACCCCTAATCCCCGTGCTGTAGTTTCAGGAGAGAGAAATTATAGTTTCAGGAGAGAGAAATTATCCTTATTTTCATTGCATTTGCCCTCTCCACTTCCCTGTTTCCTTCCCCCCCCCATACCTCGCCCTCCTCCAGCCCCACAACCAGGCGGCTCTCCCCTCCCCGCCGCCCCACAGGGGCTCCTCGCTCACCGGGGACGCGGGAGGCTCCTCGGACCCCGGAGACGAGGCGCCTTCGCTGGCCGCGGACTCAGCCCAGCTCGGGGGAAGAAGCTGAGGCGGCTCAGCAGGACGAGGAGGCGGAGGCGTTCGCTGCTGCTGCTGCCGCCGCTGCTGGCAAATGGGAAGCCACATCGGCCGCCCCGACGCCCCGCCCACATTCCAGCGCTGCCTCCTTCCGCCCCGCCCCGCGACGCAACCACGTCCGTCCGCCCTTCTGGCGAAGGCGCGCGGAGATGACATTGGCGGAGGGGTGGGGGTGGGGAGGGAAAGGAAGCCTCGGCGGCCATCTTGGCTCCTGGCAGAGTCTTTTTTTCCCTTCCCGCACACTTCTTGCCCCCGCTTCTTGCTCTCTGTTATTAGAACGGGAGCATACTTTCCAACATTTCTGAAAAGAGGGACGTCGTATTCAATAATAATAGTTGTTGTTGTTTCTGTTGTTGAGGTTTATTACTATTACTATTCTCATCATCATTATTATCATTATATTTTTCTACAATAATAATAATAATAATAATAATAATAATAATAATAAATTAATTATACCCCGCCCATCTGGCTGGGTTTCCCCAGCCACTCTGGACGGCTTCCAACAAAACACTAAAATACAATAACCTATTAAACATTAAAAGCTTATTCTTATTATTATTATTATTAAAAGCTTCCCTAAACAGGGCCGCTTGTTATTCCTATTATTCTATTTATATTAATCATTTTATACTTTTATTTTTTATTTTTTATTATTTATTATCATTATTTATTATATTATCATTTCTATTTATTATTTATTTATTATATTTAGTAGTAGTACTCTGTATTTCTATTATTCTATTTGTTGTTATGATGATGATTCTATTATTATTATTATCATTATCATTATTATCATTATTATTCTTTCTTCTTCGGCGAAAAAATCTGAGAGAGGAGATCCCAGCAGACTTTAGGGATGCCAAAATTATCGATCTCTTTATTAAAAAAAATGTGATAGAACGGATTGTGGAAACTACCAGCCGCAGCCAGCAAAATTCTCACAAGAATCTTAGGCAAACGGTCTCCTAACAATATCCGAGGCGAGCCTTCCTGAATCCCAAAATGGTTTTTTGACTTTCTGGAGGGACAGAGGATGTGATTTTCACCGCTCGACTGCTTCAAGAAAAATGCAGAGAGCCCAACCAACCCCTATATACGTGTTTATTGACTTGACTAAGGCCTTTGATACTGTGAATTGTAATGCCCTGTCGACTGTCCTTCTGAAAATTGGTTGTCCAGATCAATTTGTGAACGTCCTTCGGCTCCTCCATGATAATATGGCAGCAACAATTGCAGATAACAATGGCTCTCAAAGTGAACCATTCACAGTGAGTTCAGGTGTTAAGAAGGGTTGTGCTGTCGCCCCAACTCATTATTATTATTATTATTATTATTATTATTATTATTATTATGTTTGTACCCCGCCCATCAAACTGGGTTCCCCCAGCCGCTCTGGGCAGCTTCCAACATATTTAAAAAGATAATAAAGCATCAAACATTTTAAAAACTGCCCTATACAGAACTGCTTTCAGGTGCTTTCTGTTTGTTTGTTTTTTAAAATGATATTTATTAAGAATTTTAAAATTACAGGAAAATCCAAAGAAAAACCAACCACAATCGAACAATACAAATTGATAAAAATCAAAATAAAAAACAAAAAAAACAAAACACATAACACATCACAATCAAAAAGCAAAAATAAACCACAAAAATTTAGAAAAAAAAATCCAATATTCCCAAATCCTTGATTGTCATTATCTTATTTCATCAACCTCCTCACTCCTCCCTTTTTTGTATTCTAGTTGTTAATTATCACAGCAAATCCTTTCCATTTTTCATAATATTCTGTCATTAAATTGCCTTAATCTATTTTAACCTTATCTTATTATAAAAAACCCTAAAACTTAAAACTTAGATCTTATTTATACCAATTTCTCATAACCATAACATATTTTTACATAATTCTTTTAACATTTCTGCTAAAGCCAAATAATATTGCTCCAGCATCTTTCTAACACTCACCAATTTTATAAAACAATCCTGATAAAAAATTTTAAAGCTTTCTTCCAATCTTCATCCAACGTCTCTTCCTCCTGGTCCCGGGTTTTGTCAGTCCTTTCTATCCCATCAATCTAGCTCATTAACCTTGCTTTCAGGTGCTTTCTGAAGGTTGTACAATTACTTATCTCCTTGGCTCAGGCCCTCCAACATTTCTCCAATGAAAACTGGGATTCCCTACCACACCCTCCCAAATTTCCCCCCTGAAAACAGGGGCATCCTTACGAAAAGTGGGACATTCTGGGATCGAATCAGAAACTGGGACAGCTTCGGTAAATACGGGACTGTCCATTTTACTCCAGAAAGGGAGTAACAAAATGCCATCCCAATGAGAACTGAAAAAGGTCAATGCCTTCCAGGAAGCATAGAAAGTTCCCTGTCAAATGGAAACTGAAAGCTGAAACCTATGCATAGCTGTCAACCTTCCCTTATTTGGCGGGAAACTCCCTTATTCCAGCGCCATTTCCCGCTGCTACCCCGGATTGTTGATAAATTTCCCGGATTTCAAAGGAAGCAGCTCTTCTCCCTCCCTGCCGGCCAGGGAGGGTTGCGTTGCTCACCAATAAGGCGTCTGAGAATGACTAGGGGGTGGAGCTTGCATGCCTTGTGCCAATCAAATCAGCCGCGCTGCCTAGGGACTCACCTTTGCTTAGCGCTTCCCAGCGGAGAGGTGACGGTAGTTTTCCTTGCTGCATCCCCTTTGCTGGAAGGCTGCGCTGTGGGAACCACCGCTTGAGGCTTTGTTTGGCTGCTGGCTGGGCTTTCTGCCTTTGGACCTTTGGCTCGGAGGGGCTCTACTCTGTGTATGTGTGTGTGTGTGTGTGAGAGAGAGAGAGAGAGAGAATGAATGTGTCACTTAAGCTGATAGTAGGAATGTTGTAGCTTCACACACTTACCTTCACACAATGTGTAATTAAGTTGGGGCATTTTTTTACCGCAGGATGTGGTAAGGTCAGTACTTTAGATTTACAAGGGGATCTGAGAGATGAATGGGAGATACGGTTTTGTCAGCATTAATGGACAGCTAAATAGAAACTTGGGACGCGGGTGGCGCTGTGGGTTAAACCACAGAGCCCAGTAGTGATGTATGGAAGTGAGAGCTGGACCATAAAGAAGGCTGGTCGCTGAAGAATTGATGCTTTTGAATTATGGTGCTGGAGGAGACTCTTGAGAGTCCCATGGACTGCAAGAACAACAAACCTATTCATTCTGAAGGAAATCAGCCCTGAGTGCTTACTGGAAGGACAGATCCTGAAGCTGAGGCTCCAATACTTTGGCCACCTCATGAGAAGAGAAGACTCCCTGGAAAAGACCCTGATGTAGGGAAAGATGGAGGGCACAAGGAGAAGGGGACGACAGAGGACAAGATGGTGGGACAGTGTTCTCGAAGCTATCAACATGAGTTTGACGAAACTGTGGGAGGCAGTGGAAGACAGGAGTGCCTGGCGTGCTCTGGTCCATGGGGTCACAAAGAGTCGGCCACGACTAAATGACTAAACAACAACAACAATAAGTTAATTCTCCTTATTTGACTGCTTTCCCCTTTGGAATTAATTATTTCATTGGCTGTTCCTTCCTGCGCTACTATACATTTAACCATACATCTGACTGGAGTTGTTCTGAATTCTGTGTTTGCTTGACCTCTCTCAATGCCCCCTCTTTGGTACTTTATTATTAAATTGACTGTGTCCCTTCCCCAATTTCTATTGCACTTTGCTTACACAGGTCGTCGGGAACATCTTCAATTCTTCCTTTGAACTGAAAATCTTTCACAGTCAGTAGATTTCTTTTATAATTTTTTGTAATTATTTTTCAGTGTAGACCTATTTTGCTCCCTTTCAAAATCATCTCTTTCTAGGGGTGCAGCCTAGGTTCGGTAGTCTGTTCCATAATATTAAAAAACTTCCCATAGTCTGTTTTATTTTATTTATATTTATTCAAAAGCCACTTAACGTATTAAAAATCTATTAAACTCTGCATACTCCTTCCAGGCATAGGCAAACTCAGCCCTCCAGATGTTTTGGGACTACAACCCCCATCATCCCTAGCTAACAGGACCAGTGGTCAGAGATGATGGGAATTGTAGTCCCAAAACATCTGGAGGGCTGAGTTTGCCTATGCCTGCTTCTTTCCCTTTGTGCTGATGGCATCCTAATAGCACAGGGATTATGTTGGCACTTAACCTCTCAGCACATATACTTCAAACCCTGCAGAGAGATAGAATTGTGGTAAATCCCACATTTCTAACCTTTTTGCTTCTGAGAAAATTTGTCTTTTTGCTTGAAACTTTAAATCATGCAGAAGATTGTTAACCTGGGAAGAGAATTTACTACTAAGGAAGGAGGAGTTCCTCTTTTTTCAGTTATTGTCGGTTGCCCTTTTGCTAACTGGAGATAAGGGGAGCAGCACAAAGTCATTCTTTGTTTCAGGATCAATGTGGAGTTACGTTACAGCCAACTGCAGTTTTTATTACCTTGAAACGCATCCACAGTCTGTTTAAAACCTTTAATCAGGATCCCAAGGTAAGCAGAGCTGATATAATTTTTATCCTCCGTTTATACCTTGGAGTAAACAAGTCAGGGATACTGATGAGTCTGCTGTGGATTACTCATTTGCAAAACACATCAGCGGTTACCCGATTCCAGTTAACAATGCAAACTCAAACAGAGCAACCAAGCACTGTATTGAAAAACAGCCGGTGGTACAAGGTCTTTCTACAAACCATGGGTAGGCAAACTAAGGCCTGGGGGCTGGATCCGGCCCAATTGCCTTCTCAATCGGGCCCGCGGATGGTCCAGGAATCAGTGTGTTTTTACATGAGTAGAATGTGTCCTTTTATTTAAAATGCATCTCTGGGTTATTTGTGGGGCATCGGAATTTGTTCATATTTTTTTTCCAAAATATAGTCCGGCCCCCCAAAAGGTCTGAGGGACAGTGGACCGGCCCCCTGCTGAAAAGGTTTGCTGCCCCTGACGATAGGTTGCAGCGCCTTTTGTGGAAGGAGGGAGAAAAGATCAGCTGGACACCACTTCCTGCCTCTCCCCTTCCAGTTGCCAAGATTATCATACTGCAAATCTCATAGAAATCCCATGGAATCGTTGAGTTGGAAGGAAATCTGAGGATCACGTGCAATGCAGGAATATGCAACCTTGGCATTGTCACTACTATGCTCTAACCAACATTGGTAGAGGGACAGACATTTCATTTGACTCACGGTTGTACAGCTGTGGCAGGCAACCAGAGACCCCCTGGACCAAAGGGGACTCCCTGGGATTTCAGTTGACACTTCTATCTGGTCAAGCAAGAGAGGCAAGAGAGGAGGAGGGTACCTTTTATCATATGAGGTGGACCTGCCCCAAGGTGAAAGACTTCTGGGAGACGATTTATAATGAATTGAAGAAAATGTTGAAATACCGTATTTTTCGCTCTATAAGACGCACCAGACCACAAGACGCACCTAGTTTTTGGAGGAGGAAAACAAGAAAAAAAATATTCTGAATCTCAGAAGCCAGAACAACAAAAGGGATCACTACACAGTGAAAGCAGCAATCCCTCTTGCTGTTCTGGCTTCTGGGATAGCTGCGCAGCCTACATTCGCTCCATAAGACGCACACACATTTCCCCTTACTTTTTAGGAGGGAATAAGTGAGTCTTATAGAGCAAAAAATACGGTATACATTTATTAAGAAACCAGACGCCTTTCTTCTTGGAATAACAGGTTTGGAGCTGCCCAACAAAGATGTTAAATTATTTTTGTATGCCACAACTGCTGCTCGAATTTTATTAGCTAAGAATTGGAAAACACGAGAAGTACCAATAGTGGAAGATTAGCAGATGAAGATGATGGATTTTTTGGAGCTAGCCGATCTGACTGGAAGAGTCCGTGACCAGAAGGAGGAGGATTACCAGGAAGAATGGATGAAATTTAAAGACTATTTAGTTAAATATGTTAAGTTAAATTAATTGGAGAAGCTTGCAAATAACAGATAGGCTTAGGATTTAAATAGGTAATTGTCGGGGAACTGCCATCAGTTCCGGAGGGAGAGAGAGAGCTCCAGAGGGATCCCAGAGAGCGTCACGGGATTGGGAGAGGCAGCCCATCTTCTGGGGAAGGGAATCAGCTCAGCTCCAGTGGAGAAGGGGGGCAGATGGGGAATCTGAGAGGGAGTCACATGACTCCTTGCCTGGGACCAGTGGGGGGAGGAAGGGTCCTCCGCTGCCTACGCCTTCCTTGCGCAGAAGGCTTCCGCGCAGGGAAAGTAGGAGGCGACTGGGCGTGAAAGAACTTCTATGCTGGAAGAAGTTTAAGAAACGCCCAGGGACGGATTCTGCCAGCGATTGAGACAGCCACGGGTGAGTGGCTGTCCGGACAGAAAAGGTTCACTTAGGCAACCCAGCCAGGTGTGGGCACCGGCTTACACACGAGCAACCCCTTGAACCACAACAGTAATGTGATGAATTAATATGTTTAATACTGAACTGGAAAGGTGGAAAAAAGGTTAAGTGATTAAGTTAATTTTATAAGAATATTGGTTTTGGAAAACCGTTAAAACGATATACACTGAAATTCAACCAGGGAGATATGAGGAAGTCACTTAACAATGTTACTAAATTTGGTTTAAATACGGTTGAGATTTATGTTTGCCTTGTCTCTCGTACCAAGAAATGGGTTCATTGACGCAGCAAGGCTTGCCGTTGTCCCACATGCCATTTGCCTTCACAATCTTTTGACTTGGGAAGGTGGCCGTGTAAGCAATTAAAATGTCACAAAAACAAAGGATTGTTGTTTCCAGCTGGTAAATAGGCAATGCAAAAAGTTCCCAGAGAAACAACAAAAATCTGTGGACTTGCCTTTTCCCCCAAATGATAGCCTAACCGAGAGGGCATATAGTATAGCAAACTAAGGCCCGGGGGACGGATCCGGCCCAGTCGCTTTCTAAATCCAGCCCGCGGAGGGGCCAGGAGTCAGCTTGTTTTTACATGAGCAGAATGTGTGCTTTTATTTAAAATGCATCTCTGGGTTATTTGTGGGGCATAGGAATACGTTCATATTTTTTTTCAAAATATAGTCCAGCCCACCACATGGTCTGAGGGACTCTGGACCGGCCCATGGCTGAAAACGTTTGCTGACGCCTGGGAGAGCAGAAGGAAACTAATCCAAAATGAAATGCTTCCAGATATTTTGTGTAGCTCACCCGCATAGCTGTCACAGCAGAACCACATTAGCCAGATTTCAATCTTAGCAATTAGAAAAGGTGAAAGGGTGATGTTAATTTTTGCCACACACACTGCACTGAAATTAGGGTAACACTACATCAAACAGCACTTCTACCTTTAAGATAGATGTTCAGTGCTAGATTTTCTAAGGTTGCTTCCAGATGACCTGTTTACTGAACATTCATCCCAATTCATTTGTGTACAAAGTTTGGGAGAAGTGCATTTTCTTGTCAATTTTCGTTACTGTGTGTGTATACACTCACACACACACAGAGTCATACCTCGGGTTGCGAATGATGCGGGTTACATCTTTTTAGGTTGCGTCCCACGGCGACCTGGAAGTACCGAAAGGGTTACTTCCAGGTTTCACCGCTCGCACATGCGCAGACGCACAAAATGACATCACGCGCATGCGCAGAAGCAGTGAATCACAACCCACGCATGCGCAGACCAGGTTGCGTTCCTTTCAGGTTGCAAACGGGGCTCCAGAATGGATCCTGTTCACAACCAGAGGTACCAGTGTGTGTGTGTGTGTGTGTTTATATCACACACACACACACACACACATACATACATATATACATACATACAGTGGTACCTCTGGTTAAGTACTTAATTTGTTCCGGAGGTCTGTTCTTAACCTGAAACTGTTCTTAACCTGAAGCACCACTTTAGCTAATGGGGCCTCCCCCTCCCGCTGTGCCGTCGGAGCACGATTTCTGTTCTCATCCTGAAGCAAGGTTCTTAACCCGAGGTACTATTTCTGGGTTAGCGGAGTCTGTAACCTGAAGCGTATGTAACCTGAAGCATATGTAACCCAAGGTACCACTGTACTATCTACAGTAGTACTTGTATATATATGCAGGGGAGTGTGTTGAAGCAAGGTTCTCAAGGAGCTCAAAACCCACTTAATGACACAATCTGGATTTGCTGCTATGCCACTGGCTCCCACCCACATGACAGCAACAGCCTGGAAGTCTCCTTAGAGCAGATAGGAAAATGCTCCAGACCACTACTGAACAACATCCTGATCACGGAAAAGAGGAAGAACCCTATGTATGCCTATTCAGAAATAAATCCAAATGAATTCAATGGGATTTACTCCCAGTGTTCCATTAAACACACATAAAATGCTGAAGCGTTTCAGTACTAAACATTAAATATAATTTATTGATAAATATATGTATATATTGGGATACACAAACACAGAATCTTGAAGAGAAAAAAATATTCTCTGTATGGCAATACCGGAAGAAAATGAAATTAACTTCTGATTCAGAATTCACACCACAGATCTACTGTAAAAAAAAATTAATAAGGTGCTTTCTAACAGAGAAGAAAACTTACATAAAGCAAAGCCGTATATGTATATTTATGTATGAACACACACACACACACACACACACACACAGCCAGAATCACTCCTTGATCTTTTTAGAGTTGCCCTCCACCATGTCACTGACCGGTAAATAAAAAACCTTGAAACAGCTCACTAAAAGGCTCCATCCAAAGGAGAACGGAGGACTGTGATGCTATGGATCAGTCTTGGCTGAATATTTGGCAAACTCTGTTTTCCGTGTTCCGCCCCGACGGGAACAAACTTATACTTCTGCGAGGTAAGTTCTTTTTGGTGGCGCATCTTGCTTAGGTCCAAGACGCCCGCTTGGTTCACGCACCAAGGGTCGTAGATTTCTTCCGTCGGGCACGGATGAGGAGGATGCACCATCTTCATGAGTTTGGGACGCATCACAACGCCCAGAAGATCTTTCTTAAACGATTCCCAGGAGTTCTGTCTGAGGAAGACTTGACACAGCTCGTCATCACTGAAAAGGGAAATGAAAATTGAGAATAGGGTGGCATCCCCCTGCAGCCAAACAGTTCTTCTCTGCAGGGCCGGATTTAGGTTTGATGAGGCCCTCAGCTACTGAAGGTGTTAAGTTGTGGGTGAACATATCAGACGACACAGCGATTCTTCAAATAGCTCTTGTTTATTCACAGACCCAGAACAGAACTGGGCTGAAGGGTTCAGTCAGCCTGCTTATATAGAGCTCCAGTACAATGTTACTGTAACAACTTTCTAAAACTATCCAATCACTGAACGTCACTTTCGATCCTTCATTTGCATAACTATCTACAGTATCCCCCTGCTGGCCCAGGGTGAGAACTTCAGTACATAGCAGAAGGTAATGCGGCCCTTTATATGTCCAGCTGTCCCTTGTCAACAACAAATTTTCACTGTTTCTTGCGTTGAATATATGCTATATGGTAATTTCTGGACCTAATAGGTATCTAAAGCCATTTGCACATAACAAAATATGCATTTTATCAAAGTAATTGTTACAACCAGTCCGTGCAGAATGTAGGCACCCTGTATATAGAAATGAGCAAACCAGTGATATTTTAGGGAGCAGGCTAGCAGATGGGGCGCATTACAGTGGACCCTCTAGTTATGTACTGCTCTGGATACGTAACTTTCGGGTTTCGAATGCAGCAAACCCGGAAGTGTATACTTCTGGGTTTAGCACATGCACAGAAGTGTTCTGTGTGCCACGCGCATGCGCAGAAGCGCTCAATCGCCCCACATGCATGCACAGAAGCGGCACCTCTGCCAACAGACTTTTCAGGTTGTGGGCGGACCCCTGGAACAAATTTAATTCGTATCTGGAGGGTCCGCTGTATAGTCATACCTCAGGTTAAATATGCTTCAGGTTGAGCGCTTTCGGGTTGCACTACGAGGCGACCCAGAAGTAACGTAATGCGTTACTTCCAGGTTTCACCACTCGCGCATGTGCAAACTGTCAAAATGACGTCGCACGCATACGTGGAAGCGGCGAATTGCAACCCGCAGGCGGTTACATTCGCTTCAGGATGCGAACAGGGATCCCGAACGGATCCCGTTCGTATCCAGAGGTACCTCTGTACTAACATCGTAGGAGCCTACACAACACAAAACACTGTTGCTGTATGTAGGTTTTATTTTATTTGTTTTTTATCTTATATTTTGGAAATGTACATCCATTTTTTCTCCTTTAAATTTTTTGGGGGCCCCCAAGAGAGTCGGGCCCTAAGCTATAGCTTATTGAGCTTATACGTGAATCCAGCATTGCTTCTCTGGGGCAAATGCCAGAGCATCAGTTCTCATTTTCTCCTGGGGAAAAAGACCCATCTAGTCCAGCACTCTGTTCTCACAGTGGCCAACCACATGCTTCTGGAAAAGTCCACAAAGAGAAACTGAGAACAACAGGACATAGCTGACATATTGAGTATCCATTGATAACCTTTCCCTCCATGAATTGGTCTAATCCCTTTCAAGGCCATGGGGTGGTATTCAAGTAACTCTTACTCAGAGTAGATCTACTGAAATTAATGGACCTAACTTAGTCATGTTCATTAATTTTAGTGGGTCTGCTCAGAGTAAAACTTAATTGAATACAACCTCATTGGTCCGTTTTGAAAACTGAATGGTGTCATTTAGCTTTTTTTAATTTGTTATCTTGATTTCTAATTTTTCCGGTAAGTTTCGCCATTTCTTCATAGTCCACAAGTTTTTGTATCCATTCTTCTTTTGTCGGAACTTCTTATTCTTTCCATCTTTGTGCAAATAACATTCTTGCCGCTGTAGTCACATACATGAATAAATTTCTATACAGTGGACGCTCGGGTTGTGAACATGATCCGTGCGGGAGGCGCGTTCACAACCCGCAGCACTGCGTCTGTACATGCGCGGGACGCGATTCAGCGCTTCTGCACATGCGCAAAGTGCGATTTAGCACTTCTGCGCATGCACCAAAACCCGGAAGTAACTCGTTCCGGTACTTCCGGGTTCGGCGCAGTGCGCAACCCAAAAACACGCAACCTGAAGTGTCTGTAACCCGAGGTATGACTGTACTGTTTAGGTTCTGTTCTAAACCTGCTTCTCATAGGCTCCAGCAAACCACATAATATCTGAACACTCCGTACAGATACAGGGAAATAGATTTGTCAAAGGGGCTTCAAGCTTAGTCTACAACATAGCACCTGTGTTCCCTCATTATATAATGGGCTTGGACCCCATAAATCACAACCCCCCCAATATCTATCTCGCGCCAGCCCACCCCAATGCTTCAGTCGTTCTTACCTGGGATATTTCATCTTTATTTTGCCAAATTTTATCATGGTGGCAGCATCTGCCCATTCCTCAACCTTCTCTTTTTTCAGACGGATGATCTCTGCCCCCTGACTGACCAAAACTATGACACGACTATCTTGCAGATTCGCCTGAGAAGAAATGCAAACCGTGAGGAGATCCTTCCACCAATCTTTGTGGAACAACTTTTGAACGGACCGCCTTTAAAAGTACCGTATTTACAGAGTCTGATTTAATTCTGTTTGGGCTGCCGAATGCTTGCCACTCCATCTGTACATTTTCTGGATACAAGGGGCTGGAGTGAAGGAATACCCAAGGCCTCTTTCATGAACATAAACAGGGATGCAAGAGGCAAGGTACAGGCAATAATAATAATAATAATAATAATAATAATAATAATAATTTATTTATACCCTCCCCATCTGGCTGGGTCCCCTCCAGCCACTCTGGGCGGCTTCCAACAAAACACTAAAATACAATAATCTATTAAACATTAAAAGCTTCCCTAAACAGGGCTGCCTTTAGATGTCTTCTAAAAGTTTGGTAGTTATTTTTCTCTTTGACATCTGGTGGGAGGGCGTTCCAGTTCCTCAAGAAGTTCAGCCTCTTGTATTCTTCTGGCTAATTATTGCAAATGCATTGGATATCTGAAGGTCGTTTATTGCAATTTAAACAAAAATCATACAATAAGTGAAATAACTCATTGAACTATATTCAACTCCTTTTATTCAGGCTTTTGCTGTTCCGCCCACTATTTCATTTCATTTTTAATTTGTAGATCACCTTTCTATTTTATACACAAGGCGGCTTACAGCAACAAAATATATGACAAAGAGCACCCTAATAGGTGGAAGGAATTTATTTTGTATAGAAATGTTTTCTTTTATGTATGTTGTCTGTTTTGTTATACTGTTGACTGGTGATATTAAAATCAATAAAAATTAATTTTAAAAAACTGCAACAATACGCACCATAGAAGAATCTGACCAATACAAAAAAGTCATAATAAAACATAACTTTAAAATGGAATGACTTTTATCCAATAAAGTAATATTCGGTAATCTGTTAGAATATGATAGCACACCATGAAATGAACTCTCAAAAGGTCAGCAAATAATAAACAAACAGAAATTCACTCTTAACAATTACAGTAAGTACAATAAAACAATTAATCATAAAAGTACCTGCAACTCACAATGCATAAAATATCACAGAGGACTGTTTACTAAGTCCCTGGCCCTCCTAGAACGAAAGCTACAGGGAGGGGGGAGGAAAGGAGCAGGAACTCATTCATATATATATATATATATATATATATATATATATATATCTCCATTTAATATTATACATTCACATCATATTTATCCGCAATACCGCCTTGGCTCTTAGAGCCTGTAGACTTCCTTCCTTCCCGCCTCATGGCTTTCAAAATTAACATTTATATCATTGCAATTTATACGTTTTCCGATTCTAATTACACTCATTGCAGAATATCTCAAAAAAATTAAATAAATATAGAAAGAGCAGAAACTCTTCTAAGCAATTTCTGCGATATGAACCAGCTTGACTGATCCTGCCTGTCACTAAATGAGTGAAACCAATGAGTGGAGTCGGAAGTGTAATTCATAAGTGAGTTGTTTAGACACCGGCCCATAGGAATCCCCAGAGTCCTAAAAAACTACTGTTTCCTCCTCCCTTTTAATGCAGTTTTTCAGTACAGTGGTAGCTCGGGTTAAGAACTTACCGTATTTTTCGCCCTATAGGACGCACCGTCCCATAAGGCGCACCTAGTTTTTTGGGGGGGAAATAAAGGGGAAAAAATTATTTCCCCCCCAGGCGCGGGGCTGGGGCGGGGGAGGCCCGAGCTTCCCCCGACCCCAGCCCCCAAACAGGCAGCTCTCTGCAAGCCGTGGGAGCCCAGCACTGGCTCCCGCTGCTTGCGGAGAGTTGCCGGCATGCCGAAGCCTGCGCGCGCTGAGATCAGCGCGTGCAGGCTTTGGCATGCCGGCAACTCTCCGCAAGCATCGGGAGTGCTCCCGATGCTTGCGGAGAGGTCCGCGAAGCCTGGACACGCTGATCTCAGTGCGCGCAGGCTTTGGCATGCCGGCAACTCTCCGCAAGCAGCGGGAGCGCTTCCGCTGCTTGCGGAGAGGTCCGCGAAGCCTGGAGAGCGAGAGGGGTTGGTGCGCCCCGACCCCTCTCGCTCTCCAGGCTTCAGTGAAAGCCTTCATTCGCCCCATAGGACGCACACACATTTCCCCTTCATTTTTGGAGGGGGAAAAGTGCATCCTATAGGGTGAAAAATACGGTAATTCATTCTGGAGGTCCGTTCTTAACCTGAAACTGTTCTAAACCTGAGGTACCACTTTAGCTAATGGGGCCTCCTGCTGCCGCCATGCCGCCGGAGCACGATTTCTGTTCTCATCCTGAAGCAAAGTTCATGAGGTACACCAACTCTTGGGGTCGGAGGCGTCTTCAGTCCCCCAAATTTTTGTTTGAAGGGGGCCCAGCCGGCTGCCCCCCCCAAGGTTGAGGGGGCCTGGTACGATGTCATAGGAGGTTGCCCAGGTATGCACGGTGTCAGGGGGTCACCCACACCCACGCAGAAGGCTTGCACTAGCCTGCACAGCATCAAGAGGCACGTGTGACATCACGCAGTGCAAATATGATGTCACACGTGCGCCGAGACCTCCCGATCTGGGGGGCAACCCACCCCTCTGCCCCTGCATGGCCGCCATTTTGTGTCTGGTGCCCACAGCACTCTCTCAAAATTCATAACGCTCCCACGAGTTCAAAAAAAAGGTTGATGATCCCTGCTATATAGTCCCACCACGGCCACGAAATGTTGGAGATTCATTCCCCGTGTCTGCAGTCATGGGATTGTTGTCTATCACATGACAGTGTGTGTTCTCATTCCACAGTGTGGGAAGTGACGGAGACAGGATGTTTTGGTATTACTGTGTTCCGTGAGGTGGGACTATTGTCCTTTCTCTCTTTGCTGTCTGATGAGAAAGAGGAAGGAGCTAAGTCGGAATGCTCCGAGTGTATTATATGTAAATAAACGTAGATTAGCCAAAATGCTGTGCTATTGGTTCTGTTACGCAAACTGCAAATACTCTGCAGATCCCTAAGTGTGCTAATGTCTTTTGGCATCAGTCGCTGTGATGTTCAGGCAGAAGAAAGCTTTTGAAGCTCCCGAAGGATCGACCAGGAGGGAGAGAACATGCCAGTCAGGCATGTGTCTCTGCCAGGGTCCTACACAAGAGTAGGACGCTCCTAACACGAAAATGTCCTGCTCTATAAGGCTAGAATATACTTACTATCATTTCTCCTTTGCGCAATTCATCCATTCTGATATATACAGCTGCTGCAACAGAAGTTGGCATCTCTCCATAGGAAGTAGAGTACGTGGGTTCCTTTACAAACTCTCCCGATATAATCTTTTGAACAACCTCCCGATCGTCGTCCACATGATGCTTCTGAATGAATGAACTAGAAATTGAAAAGTGGGGGCACACTTGTTTGTTTGTTTCTTTATTTGATAAAATATATACACCAACTCAAAGCTGTTTACAAAACGATAAAACGATAAAATCATCACTAAAAACATTTACAACCATAATTTAAAACGTACAGAAATTAAAACCAGGATAAAAGAGACTAATGCAATTTAAAACTCATCGAAATTCTAAACATCTGGGTAAGGTAAAGGTAAAGGGGACCCCTGACCGTTAGGTCCAGTCGTGACCGACTCTGGGGTTGTGAGGCTCATCCTGCTTTATTGATTGAGGGAGCTGGCATACAGCTTCCGGGTCATGTGGCTAGCATGATTAAGCTGCTTCAGGCGAACCAGAGCAGCGCACGGAAACGCCATTTACCTTCCCGCCTATTTATCTACTTGCACTTTGACATGCTTTTGAACTGCTAGGTTGGCAGGAGCAGGGACCGAGCAACAGGAGCTCACCCCGTCGCGGGGATTCGAACCACCGACCTTCTGATCGGCAAGTCCTAGGCTCTGTGGTTTAACCCACAGCGCCACCCACGTCCCTAAAAAAAAAAAAGCATACGGCACCCAGTATTCCCAGGCGGTCTCCCATCCAAGTACTAACCAGGCCTGACCCTGCTTAGCTTCCGAGATCAGACAAGATCGGGCGTGTTCAGGGTAGTATGGCCGTAGACAAAAAACATCTGGGTGGGTTTATCTAAATATGAATGCGTTCAGCAGGCACAAAAAAAATACAGTGAAAGTGCCTGGCTGGATATCAACAGGCAAGGAGTTCCAAAGTGTAAAGGATTGGCTTATTACAAACACGGCGCAGGTATTATGAAGCACCCAGGAATCTGCAACCCGCGGCTCCGGAGCCGCATGTGGCTCTTTTACACCTTTGCCGCGGCTCCAGGGCGGATACTAGCGAGGGGAGGAGGCGCATTGTGCGCCCCGACACTCCCCACTGTGGCGGGCGCTGTACTGGTTGTGACGTCGCATGGGGGCGGTGCGTGCGTTAGTCACGCACCGTCCCGACGTCACCTTCCCGCCCGCTGTCAGATCGCGGCTCCGGAGATATATTTGTTTTAAATGTCGCAATGGTTTTGCGGCTCCCAGGTTTTTTTTCTTTGGAAACGGGTCCAAGTGGCTCTTTTTGTCTTAAAGGTTGCAGACCCCTGGAAGCACCTGTAAAAGTGTCAAATGCAGGCTGCTCTTTGACGGTTCACTCTGCCTTGTGAGATACAAGAACGCTTATCTCGAATTTTTGCACACTGATCAGAGTGAAGAGATCTCCCCATCTGACATTCATATGATCTCAGGTGAAGGACAGGTGGACATGGTTTGCCCAAAATAGTATCGCAGGCCAAATCCAGAGGCCTGGTGGCCCCAATTAGACCCATGGATTGGCAGTTCCACACTACAGGTTTAGCCCCTTGCTGTCAGGGTCTGGGCAGACGAGGAATGGGAGACACCGCCTCCCCAGCTTGACCCTTCTAGGGAGGAGGAAGAGGAAGACAGTTTAGCAGAAGGAAACTGTTAAGTTGTGGGTGAACATATCAGACGACACAGCGATTCTTCAAACAGCTCTTGTTTATTCACAGGCCAGAACAGAACTGAACTGACGGGTTCAGCCAGTCTGCTTATATAGAGCTCCACTAGAACACAACAGTAACCATTTTCCATAACTATCCAATCACTGAACATCACTTTCAATCCCTTATTTGCATATGTGGACCTGAGTGAAAACTATCTACAGTATCCCCCTGCTGGCCCAGGGTGAGAACTTCAGTACATAACAGAAACTAATCCAAAATGAAATGCTTCCAGATATTTTGTGTAGCTCACCTGCATAGCTGACATAAAACAGCAGAACCGCATTAGACGGATTTCAGTCTTAGCAATTAGAAAAGGTGACAGATTTACAACAGGGGTTTGAGGGAGGTCACAGCTCAGAGGCAGATGAGGGGAGAAGTTGGGAAATAATGGGGGAGAAGGAGGAAGAGGAAGCAGCGGGGGGGGCGACAGCTGACGGACACAGTGTCTTTAGAAAGCATTCCATTTATAATGATTTTTTTAAAATGGTGAAATATACATTTATGAAGAAACCAGAGGCCTTTCTCCTTGGAATAATAGGTTCTGAATTGCCCCCAAAAGATGTAAAAATATTTTTGTATGCCACAACTGCTGCACGGATTTTAATAGCCAAAAAAATGGAAAACACAAGAATTACCAATGGTAGAAGAATGGCAGATGAAGATGATGGACCTTATGGAGCTGGCTGATCTCACTGGGAGAATCCACGACCAGAAAGAAGAGGAATATCAAGAAGACTGGAATAAATTTAAAGGCTATTTGAATAAATATTGTAATATTAAAGATTTGTAATTACTTGAAAGAACTAATTAGGCCTAGGATTAAATCAGGATTAAATAAATAAATAAGAAATAGTAGGATAAGAAAAGTTAGGAAATTTGATTACAACTGGAATATTGTTATGTGTAATAACGATATTGGAAACTGCTACATTCAATGACAAGGAAATTCAGTTGGAAGAGATTAGAGGAAGTCAAGTAATATGTTTATGAAGTTGGAATTTAACCAAGTTTTATTTATGTATGTGGTGGTGGTATATGTGGGTTTGTAATATTTTATTTTCTTCATTCTTCTTTTTCTCCTTTTTTATTTTATTTTATTAATGTTTTTTTTCTTTTTTTATTATGTTAAAGTTATGTCTTTGTATGAAATTCAATAAATATCATGGGGGGGGGGGGGGAGAAAGCATTCCAGACCTTCCATCTCCCAGAACCTGGCAAGCCTTAAAAGTAGGAGAGCAAAGAGCTCAAAGACAGAGGGCACATAGCAGCACCCGTAGAGGACATGATGAGATTGACGAATGAGGAAGTAAGAGAGATGGGGAGATTCACTCGGGACAACGCCATTATCCAAGAAGCTGGGTTCTATTGCCTCTCTCTGTAAATACTGAATAAAAAGCGGATGGTAAGAAACATTTCCTTGTTTTTGTATGTTCCTGGCAACCAGCTGGGAGTCGCCGGCAGCAGCCTGACACTTGCACCCTACGCGACCAGCCATTTCCCTTGCCATAGCTGTCAACTGTCCCTTATTTGGCGGGAAAGTCCCTTATCCCAGCGCCGTGTGCCGCTGCTGTCCCTTATTGATGATGTCCCTTAAATTTCCCGGGTTTCAAAGGAAGCAGCTCCTCTCCCTCCCTCCCTGCCAGCCAGCCAGGGAGGAGGAAGGCTCCAACTGTGTTGCTTGGCTGCGTTGCTCACCCAATAAGGAGTCTAAGAACGACTGGGGGGTGGAGCTTGCATGCCTTGTGCCAATCAAATCGGCCGCGTTGCCTGGGGACTCGCCTTTGCTCAGCGCTTCCCAGCGGAGAGGTGACGGTGGTTTTCCTTGCTGCATCCCCTTTGCCGGGTTGCTGCGCTGTGGGAACCACCGCTTGAGGCTTCGTTTGGCTGCTGGCTGGACTTTCTGCCTTTGGCTCAGAGAGGCTCAGAAGTTGAACATAGCTGTGTTTGGAAAATCTCTTATTTTGGCTGCTGATCCCTTATTTTCGAGGCTGCTGGTCCCTTATTTTCAAATCTGTAACTTGACAGCTATGTCCCTTGCTCTCTCTGCCTCTAGGAAAACAACCCGGAAAACCCCCTCGCCTCTCACCTTTTGTCCACGTTTATCACGACACTTTTATGCTGCCTGTTGAAGAGACTATCCTGCTTCATGAATTGGTCATACTGTTCATTCCGCTGACCCATATAGTAGTCTTTGAGGTCCTTCAGTCTCTCCCGACTGAAGGAATTCCACATCGTGCTTTTGAATCTGTCAACGCACGCAATCTCTGCATAAGAAGAAAAGCATGTCTGAAGCTAGTTATGTAAAAAAGCCATTGCCCCCCTCTAAATTTAATTTAATTAAAGGAAAATTCAAAAAGTTATCGCACAATAAAATTGCATGTTTTAAAGGATAGGAGTAGCTCAGAAAGTTCCTACTTAAAAAAAAATATTTTACACTGTTTTCACATAACAGGTTTTTAATGCTAACCAAGCCTTTTCAGAAGTAAGTCGTATTGAATTTGTGTTCTTCCACCGACTCTTCTCCCTGGTCACGGATTCTGCCAGTCATTTCCGCCAATTCCATATAGTCCATCAATTTCATCTGCCATTCCTCCAGTGTGGGTAGCTCTTGTGTCTTCCAATACTTTGCGATGAGTATTCTTGCTGCTGTTGTAGCGTACATAAAGAAAATTCTATCCTTTTTTAACACCAATTGGCCGACTATGCCCAGGAGAAAGGCCTCTGGTTTCTTCAAGAAGGTATATTTAAATACCTTTTTTAATTCATTATATATCATCTCCCAGAAAGCCTTAATCTTTGGGCACGTCCACCAAAGGTGAAAAAATGTACCTTCAGTTTCTTTACATTTCCAACATTTATTATCGGGCAAATGGTAGATTTTTGCAAGCTTGACTGGAGTTATGTACCACCTGTATATCATTTTCATAATATTCTCTCTTAGGGCATTACATGCCGTAAATTTCATACCTGTGGTCCATAACTGTTCCCAGTCAGCGAACATAATGTTGTGTCCAACGTCTTGTGCCCATTTAATCATAGCAGATTTCACCATTTCATCCTGAGTGTTCCATTTCAGCAGCAAGTTATACATTCTTGACAAAGTCTTAGTTTTGGGTTCTAACAGTTCTGTTTCTAATTTTGATTTTTCCACCTGGAAGCCAATTTTCTTGTCTGAATTGTATGCCTCCATTATCTGATAATAATGAAGCCAGTCTCGCACTTTGTTTTTTAATTTTTCAAAACTCAGCAATTTCAGTCTATCTCCATCTTGTTCCAAAATTTCCCAATATTTCGGCCATTTGACCTCCATATTGAGCTTTTTCAAGGCTTTCGCTTCCATTGGTAACAACCACCTTGGAGTTTTGTTTTCCAATAAATCCTTGTATCTTATCCAAACATTAAACAATGCTTTCCTGACAATGTGATTTTTAAATGCTTTATGGGCTTTGACCTTATCATACCACAGATATGCATGCCATCCAAATACATTGTTAAAACCTTCTAGATCCAAAATGTCAGTGTTTTCAAGAAGCAGCCATTCTTTCAACCAGCAAAAGGCTGCTGATTCATAATAAAGTTTAAGGTCTGGCAGGGCAAATCCACCTCTTTCCTTTGCATCTGTTAGTATTTTAAATTTTATTCTGGGCTTCTTGCCCTGCCAGACAAATCTAGAAATATCTCTCTGCCACCTCTTGAAACAGTCCATTTTGTCCACAATTTGCAATGTTTGAAACAAAAACAACATTCTAGGCAATACATTCATTTTTACCGCAGCAATCCGGCCCAGCAGTGAAAGCTTCAAATTTGACCAAATTTCTAAATCTTTTTTCACTTCAGCCCAGCATTTTTCATAGTTTGAATAAATTCCCATTTTTTGCTGTCATATTAATCCCCAGGTATTTAACTTTCTTAGCCACTGTTAAACCTGTCACATTCTGAACGTTGGTGCTTATTTCCCAGGTGAGCAGGGTAAGTGTTAAGTTACAGTCTAAGTTGTCTTTTGTGCTTAGGTCCAATGCAGAACAGAAAGAGTAACAGAGGCATTTGTAAAGCAAATGGACATTGTAAGAATGCATGCTTTAGGTTTGCGTTGCCAAAAAAACTTAAACAAGGGCTACTTCAAACTTAATGTGTAAAAAAATGCATTAAGGTGTGGAGGCCAATTTATGCAAGTTTAGATTTCTGTAGTAGATGAGTTAAGGGTAGCACTTTTTTCTTTCTGCTTTTTTCGTTTCTGGTATTTTTCTGTAAAATTTGAAACTTCTACGAAGGTTGTGTTAAAAGTTCCCCCCACACACAAAAAAGCAAGGAACACCCGAGTCCCAGAAGCGGTTTAGTCCTGCTGGCCACATGACCCGGAAAACTGTCTGTAGACAAACGCCGGCTCCCTCAGCCTGAAAGCGAGATGTGTGCCACAACCCCATAGTTGCCTTTGACTGGACTTAACCGTCCAGGGGTCCTTTACCTTTATGTTACAATCTTTAGAAGATATCTGAAGGCTACCCTGTATACAGAAGTTTTTAAATGTTTTGTTATGTTTTTATATATGTTGGAAGCTGCCCAGAGCAGCTGGGGCAACACAGTCAGATGAGTGGTGCTTAATGAAATAATTAATAATAATAATAATAATAATAGAATAGGACATCCCTATTTTCATCAAAGAAATATTGGAGAGTATGGTGTACAGTGGTACCTCAGGTTACATACACTTCAGGTTACATCCACTTCAGGCTACAGACTCCGCTAACCCAGAAATAGTGCTTCAGGTTAAGAGCTTTGCTTCAGGATGAAAAAAAGAAATCGTGCTCTGGCAGCATGGCGGCAGCGGGAGGCCCCATTAGCTAAAGTGGTACCTCAGGTTAAGAACAGTTTCAGGTTAAGTGCTTAACCCGAGGTACAGTGGTGCCCTGCAAGACGAATGCCTCGCAAGACGGAAAACTTGCTAGACGAAAGGGTTTTCCGTTTTGGAGGTGCTTCGCAAAACGAATTTCCTATGTGCTTGCTTCGCAAGACGAAAATGTCTTGCGAGTTCCTGCGGGGCTTCCCCCCCCCCCTTTCCCCAAGCCGCTAAACCGCTTATCAGCTGATCGGCTAAGCCGCTTAACAGCTGATCGCTAAGCCGCTTATCAGCTGATCGTTAAGCCGCTTATCAGCTGATCCTTAAGCCGCTTAACAGCTGATCGCTAAGCCGCTTATCAGCTGATCCGCTAAGCCCGCTAAGCCGCTAATACTGTAGCGCTAATCCGCTAAACCGCTAATGGGCTTGCTTCGCAAGACGAAAAAACCCGCAAGACGAAGAGACTCGTGGAACGGATTCTTTTCGTCTTGCGAGGCACCACTGTACCACTGTACATACTCACTATGCCCTTAAAACAAATTATGGGGTGGGCTATAAATAATAAATTGTTATAAATTATTATTATTATTATTATTATTATTATTATTTCCCTCAGAGAATTCTGGGTATTGTAGTTTGTTCAAGAATGCTGGGAACTATAACCCTGTGAGGGGTAAACTAGGATCCAGAATTCATTGAGGGAAAGAATGGGCTTCACATATTCAGCACATGACGTCCCCCAACAAACCCTTGGAATTGTGAAGGGAAATGGGAATTGCAGGTCTCTTAGGGGTAAACTACAGTTCCAGGTCTTTGTGGGGGAAGCAGTGTGATTTAAATGTACACCATGCAGTGCTCCCCCCCGCTAAAAAAACATTTAGAGGTACTCTCATTTTCTTACTCATATTGAAATACTGCCCCTGTGATGGCCTGGGATTCGGACTCAGAGGCTGAACCTGAGAGATCCCAGCCTGCACAGGATTCCCCGCCTCCAGAACCAGCTGAGCCAGGGCTGGGGCATGAGCCTGAAGGGTCCTCACCTGTGCTGGATCCTCAGCTGCAGGCACCAGCTGAATCTGCTCTGGCCCCTCAGGTGATAGAGGACCCATTGCCTGCAGGTGCTCCACTCTCAGCCCCGTCAGGGGAAGCTGAGGTTGCCTCTGGGTCCGGTAATCCTCCAGCCTCTCCTGAGCTGCAGAGGCTCAGGGCAGAGAGGCGGAGGGAACTAAGTTCCCGCAGGAAGAGTGCTCGCCTCCAGGCCAGGAGAGGCGAGTCACCTGTGGACCGGGGCCGCCCTATGCCTCGGGGCAGATAAAAGCCAGCCAGCCCCAGTCCCAAGTTGTGGGAGCAACGTTGTTGCTAGCCTGTTCCTGCCTGCACCCTGTCCTGCTCTTCTGCCAGAGTTCCTGACCTCACCCAACTCCTTGCCTTGGATCCCGCTTCAGCCTTGATGGACAGCCTCCATTCCACACCCTCGACCTCGGACTGGACTCAGACCATGCCCCACTGTAACCCCCCGGGACCAGCACAGCCCCTCAATGAGGCCAACAGTTCACAAAATGTTTAGGGGTATGCGTACCCCTGAATACCCCCAGAAAAAAGCACTGGCGTGTTCCTCCCAGTCTGCTTCCTACATACAGTTTTTGCTATATCTGCTCCAGGGATAGAGGGATAGAAATAGAAGCCATGCAATTGCTGCCATCTACGAAAAGCCGTGAGCAAAGGTCGGCCTGTTTTTCTTTTCTGCTTGATTTAGGAGAGCTTCCAGCTACAGCCATTCTTTGTTTTGCTATTTTTATTCCATCTTATGTTTATTCTCTTCTCCATAGAGCACCGTTTCGTGGGAAAAGAGAGTTCTGGCACATCCTATACTGCTTGGGTTCCAAGCTTTCTTGGAATGGCCTTCCTGCCAAGATCAGCAAAAGGAGACCTAGAACATTGGCCAAGGCAAACAGAGAGGTCTCAGAATGTGAAAGCGACTCTTGCTTATGGCGTTTTGCTTGATTTTGGGGTGTCCGATGAGAACACTCTCCCAGGGCCCTGGAGTCTTTGAGGCCATTGTGATAGTTAAATTGGAATCAATATAACTTTGGAGTGTGGATTTAAAAACTGTTGAAGAAGATCTATAATGGAAGAAAGCTGGAATACAGTGGTACCTCAGGTTAAGTACTTAATTCGTTCCGGAAGTCCGTTCTTAACCTGAAACTGTTCTTAACCTGAAGCACCATTTTAGCTAATGGGGCCTCCTGCTTCTACCGCGCCGCCAGAGCCTGATTTCTGTTCTTAACCTGAAGCACTATTTCTGGGTTAGCGGAGTCTGTAACCTGAAGCGTATGTAACCTGAAGCATATGTAACCCGAGGTACGACTGTATAAGAAATAAATATTAAAACAAGCTGGAGTTATTCAAAATTGGTGAGTTGATTCTGCTTCTGCATATAAAAAAACCACGATTTGGCGTATGTATCAGTGCTTTTTCAAGCCAGAACTCGCTGGAACGCATTTCTGGCCCCTCTCAGGTGGCCCCATTGCCCTTCTAGGAGAATGAGGAAGGTGCTCAAGGTGAGTTTGAATCCTACTCGATATTGATACAGAGCCGATTCCAACGTATAGTTAGCAGAGTAAAAACTTAAACACGTTGCAGGATTCCCAAAAAATAGACCAGAGGCAACTGTATTTCATCCAACAGAGCTTTACTGCTACTGAAGGCAAATGAGCATAACGGTCACGAATGTAATACATTCAGGATTGGCGGAGTCCATAAAAATCCAGTTGCAGCAGACTTAACTTAAACTTACAATAACTTATAATAAGTCTAAAAACCTTAACACTAAGCATTCTATGTACAAAACACACCAGAAGGAAGAGAGATAGAAAGTGAAAGTGAAACCCTGGCTCCTTCTGGCCTTACTACAGTGGTACCTCGGGTTAAGTATTTAATTTGTTCCGGAGGTCCGTTCTTAACGTGAAACTGTTCTTAACCTGAAGCACCACTTTAGCTAATGGGGCCTCCTGCTGCTGCCGCGCCACCAGTGCATGATTTCTATTCTCAACCTGAAGCTAAGTTCTTAACCCGAGGTAATATTTCTGGGTTAGCAGAGTCTGTAACCTGAAGCGTATGTAACCTGAAGCGTATGTAACCCGAGGTACCACTGTATTATAGTCAGCATGACCTTGGCAGAAGAGATAACAGAACGAGTTTAAGCCAGCTGTACTCAGCTTCTCTGAAGGAATAACCCAAACATCAGGAACCTTCTGCTTGCTTCTTTCACACAGAGAAGCTTCCAGAACCCTCTGGAACTAATTAGAATAGGAAAGATCTCTACACATCAGATCAGTACTTTCTGCACTAAGAAATGCAAACTGACAAGTTCTGGCACCACTTCTTCGAGAAGAATAGCGCTGTGTACTTTATAAATTTCTTTCACTGAGACCAGCATAACCACCATATCTGGGAAGTAAGATTAACATTATTTTATGTGTTGTTTTTTGCATTATTTCTCACATTTACATTTTTCCATCATGGAACTCACGGCAATGTGTACCGTATTTTTCGCTCTATAAAACACACTTTTCCCCCTGCAAAAATTAAGGGGAAATGTGTGTGCGTCTTATGGAGCGAATGCAGGTTCCATGGCTTCAGCGATAGCAACGCGAAGCCTCCAAAGCGCAGTGGGAGCGCTCCCGTTGCGCTCCAGAGGCTTTGTGTTGCTTTTGCTGAAGCCTGGAGAGCAAGAGGGGTCAGTGCACACTGATCCCTCTTGCTCCCCTGGCTTTGCTTCGCTGGAGAGGCGCTACACAGCTTTCCCTCTCTGCGCAGCGCCCCTTCAGCGAAGCGGGAGGAGAAATGGAAGGGGCTCCATTTCTCCTGCCGCTTCGCTGAAGGGGCGCTACGCAGAGAGGGAGAGAATTTTTTTTTCTTGTTCTCCCCCTCTAAAACAAGGTGCGTCCTATGGTCGGGTGCATCCTATAGAGCGAAAAATACGGTATATGTGGTTCTCAGATGGTCTCCAATCTAACAGCTGACCAGACCTGAACCCATTTAGCTTGAGCAAGGCAGTAGCCTTGTGCACCTGCAAGACTATGCGCTGAGACCAGGTGCCATCCTGGCAGCTGAGAAGTCCTGGTGAATCACGTGCGTAAAAAGGCAAAGTCGTAACATACCAGCTGCTATGCGGCGCTTCTCCATCATTTGTAGCTTGCGTTTGGGGAAACACAGTTGTTTTGAGATCCACTTGTGGTAAGATGGACAGGTGCTGAGATCCACCAGTCGCAAAACCTCGCACACACCCTGATGAAACGACAGAAAAAACTACTGCTGAGTTGATCATAAGGGCCCATAGCTATGCACATCTTCCCAAGATTAGAACACAGAGGATGGCAGAGGAGGAAAACAAATTGACCTGATGTATAAACCTTGGCAGTTTATAGGAAGTTTCCCGAGGAATACAGTCAAACCTCGGTTGTCAAACGTACCATATTTTTTGCTCTATAAGACTCACTTTTCCCCTCCTAAAAAGTAAGGGGAAATGTGTGTGTGTGTTATGGAGCATATGCAGGCTGCGCAGCTATCCCAGAAGCCAGAACAGCAAGAGGGATTGCTGCTTTCACTGCGCAGCGATCCCTCTTCCTGTTCTGGCTTCTGGGATTCAGAATATTTTTTTTCTTGTTTTCCTCCTCCAAAAACTTGGTGCGTCTTATGGTCTGGTGCGTCTTGTAGAGCGAAAAATACGGTAGTCCATTCCAGAAGCTTGTTTGGCTTCCGAAACATTCGACAACCGAGGCGTGACTTCTGATTGGTTGCAGGAGCTTCCTGCACTCAAGAGGAAACTGTGTTGGATGTTCAGCTCCTGAAAAATGTTCGAAAAATGGACCATTTACTTCCGGGTTTTGGGGTTCGGGAGCTGAATCATTCAAAAACAGAGCCGTCCGATGAAGATGATGGACTTTTGGGAGCTAGCCGATCTGACCGGAAGAGTCCGCGACCAGAAGGAGGAGGAGTACCAGGAAAAATGGAGGAAATTTAAAGAATGTTTAGCTAAATATCCTAAGATAACTTAAATAGAAATACTTGCAAATACCAGATTGGCTCAGGATTTAAATATGTGATTTTATATAATAATATGTTTAAAGTTTATATGAAAAGTAAGAAAGAAGTTACGGTAACTGATTAAGTAAATTTTATGAGAAATTAGTTTTGGAAAATTGTTACAATGATATACATTGAAATTCAGCTAGGAGGATTTGAGGAAGTCACCTAACAATGTTAATAATAGTGGAATAACTACAGTTAGGATTTATGTTTGTTTGTCTGTTTATAAATTTGGAAAATCAATAAAAAAATTTGAAAAAACAAAAACAGAGCCGTCCAGGAGCTGAGGTTTGACTGTACTGCCATCTACAGTGTCTTCTTAAGAAGATAATTTACATTTTTTGGCAGGGGGGAGTTGCCTAATTAATCATGGGCGCTAGATTAAAAGGATATTGAATTGATTACTCCGATGAACTAAATTAGAAGCTGAAACCTTAGTTCTAACCCTACCAGGGCATCATGCTAACTCTTTCCCTTTGTCCAGCATCACATTCCACCAAGGTTGGCCCTAGTATGAGACAGAACGAAGTGGCCTATTCTTGGATATCATCAACGGACAGCAATTTGTTGTTCTTGCGACACAGAGAGGCACTTGTGAGATTTTCTGCCTCATGTGCCAAAATACCAGTGTTTGAAACTCCTATTGTTCTAGGCACATTTTGGAAGAGGGAATTTCATGAGCGCGAGCATTTTCTGAGCTCTGGGCACAGGACTGTGCCTAAGATTTCAGATTAAACTGCAGAGTGGAAGGAAAGGAGGACCATTTTCTGCCTCCCCACTTCCAGCTACTCTCTAAAGACTGGAGAAGAGACCCCCTTAAGAATATTAGACGGGTGGGCAGGGGAAGGACTAGACTATGTGAAAAATGAACATAATATTTTAGCTGCAGTTCATTCAGCTTCAGCTTTGTATTCTTGTTATATTCTTAATGTATTCTTGCCCTACTTGCCATATAATTACCGTATTTTTTGCTCTATAAGACTCACTTTTTGCCTCCTAAAAAGTAAGGGGAAATGTGTGTGCATCTTATGGAGCGAATGCAGTCTGTGCAGCTATCCCAGAAGCCAAAACAGCAAGAGGGATTGCTGCTTTCACTGCGCAGCGATCCCTCTTGCTGTTCTGGCTTCTGAGATTCAGAATATTTTTTTTCTTGTTTTCCTCCTCCAAAAACTAGGTGCGTCTTGTGGTCTGGTGCTTCTTATAGAGCGAAAAATACGGTACTTTAATAGTGGCTGAATTTTTGAGTGCTGTCCATGTAGAAAGACTGGGCCGTTATAAAGAGATTTAGTGGTTCTTAATTGATCGGTGATGTGGTAGTGTTATACTGTATTATTTATGCAAATTGATTTTCTCTGGAGTTAAAGATCTGACAGGGACAAACCTTGTTATGCCGAATTCATATTTTGCACAATTTGTGTACGGTGTTTGTTTGATAATGTGTGGTTTGCTATGACTAATAAAGGATTGACTTTTTTTATTTGAACTGAGGTTTGGTGGGAACCTCAAGGTTTGTGACTTGGGGAGGTGGTCCAGGAGTGTTCTGAGGGGTCACGGAGGATGAGGGGAGTTGCGCGCGGGCATGCAAAGGGCGCCCTCTTTTTGATGTGAAGAGTGGTCATTATGGGGGGCCGCTAGGGGCGCCTTGGAAGATGGCCGACAATACCATCTCTCCAGCTCGCACGAGGTAATTAAGGGGCTGATGATGGGAGTAAATCAGCCTCCCAAATTCTTCCCGGTAGAAGGGAAGATGCAGCCTCGTCCGCGGTTGCCCATAAATCACCCCCGAGTTCGAAAGAAGGAGGGGGTGAGGGCACTGGACGGAAAGCCCTCGAGTGAGTTCGGATCTCCCGGACATTGTTTCTGAGTGACTCTAGTTGCATTACTTAAGATAAAAAATTGGATATAAAAGTTATTGCACATGCTTCATGCGAAGAAAAGTGTATGTTAGCTGCTAATTAAGCCTGCCACTGAGAAGTTAAGAGTGATGGAATGGACTGGACAGAAGATAACATCAAAGAGTAACATCTATGCCAGTATGTTGAAATGGAACGGAAAGGGGGGGGGGACTTTTTCTTCTTTTTATTACAATATTACCTAACAACCCCCCCCCCGCCACCTGAAGAACTGTCATACAACTTATAAGAAGTGAGATTGGAAAATAAACTTTGTGGAAATAAAAATATCAACTAAAGCCTTTGTTTTTTGAAAGATCTGGAAAGAAAACAAAGGGCTCTCTTGTGACGCAGTTTTTAATCGGGATCCGCCATTATGAGACAGACTTCGTTGCGAGATTAATAGGCACAGGGGGAGGCGAGCCACTACTTTGTTATCATGTTTGTATTTTAAGTTCGACTTGGCAGATTCTTCCCTGGAAAGCTTAATTTATGATGCAACCTGTCTGGGAAAATTAATGAGCAAACGCCTAGATTTTATTTCATCGGAGCTGAGAATGATGGCATCTGGCGCTCGAGAAGGACTTTTGGATCAGCGTGTGAGAATTTATTGCAAACAAAAGACTTACCAGCTTCAAAAAAAAAGGGAGAGCCTTATAAAGTTCACACAGAAGCATAATATTGCTTACTTTAACTCGCCTGTGGAAACAACTCAGAGGCAATTAAGAAGAAAAAGGATAACATCAAGAAGACTGAAAGATAGGACTGGTGAACACTAAAAGCTGCAGAAATATGAGATGACTGGACCCTTACTGAACTCGAAGCATGGGAACCCCCAACAAAATATATAATTTGGCAAAATATTTGGACTTTATGATATGTATTGGTATAATTTGGAATAATTAATGTGATATGATTGGATTGTTAAATGGAAAACTTAATAAAAAATTATTTTTTAAAAAAAGAGTGGTCATTATGCTCTTCACAACAATATCCCCCCCCCCGAACTGACGTCCAATAGTCCAATATGCGCACCTCCAAAGGAAACAGACCCCCCCCCAAGGGCTACAGTGGCATCCCCACCTGTTGGGAAAGTAAGGCATATTATGAAAGATTAATCACACGCTGAGCTCACCTTTGTAATAAATATCATCGTGGACGTATCTGTGATGTCGCTAGTAATCACCTGGCCATAGTGGAACCTCTCGATTTTGCAGTAGTAGGCTATTTTCGCTACTGAAGAATCGGGCAGTGTTTCGAAAAGGTCGACGCTTCTGAAAACAGGAGGGATGCATGGAGAGCTTTCATCTGCAAGGGTTTCAAGCTGGCAACCGTGATTTCGGTGTCCAAGTAAGCATGGGCCTACACATTAACTCCTGAGAGGAGGGAGGTGTTAGAAAAATAATAATAGAAAAAGGACTGGGAAGTGTTGGGAATCTGCATACAGTGGTGCCTCGCAAGACGAAATTAATCCGTTCCGCGAGTGTCTTCGTCTAGCGGTTTTTTCGTCTTGCGAAGCAACCCTATTAGCGGCTTAACGGATTAGCGCTATTAGCGGTTTAGCGGCTATTAAAGGCTTATCGGCTTAGCGGATTAGCTGCTAAAAGGCTATTAAAGGCTTAGCGGCTTAGATAAAGGGGGGGGGAAAGCGAAAAAAAAATCTCAAGACTCGCAAGACATTTTCGTCTTGTGAAGCAAGCCCATAGGGAAATTCGTCCTGCGAAGCAACTCAAAAACGGAAAACCCTTTCGTCTAGCGGGTTTTCCGTCTTGCGAGGCATTCGTCTTGCGGGGCACCACTGTATTGGGTCAGAATGAGCAGCGCTTATTGGGAAAGAGGTTTTTAAATTTTATTTTAAAGCAGCTCTTTTTTGGAACTGTGCTTCTTGTGACAACGGAACAGCAGCTGAGTCAGACTTTTCATAGTAAAAGCACTCTTGTACAGTGGTATCTCAGGTTACAGATGCTTCAGGTTACAGACGCTTCAGGTTACAGACTCCACTAACCCAGAAGTAGTACAGTGGTACCTCTGGCTACGTACTTAATTCGTTCCAGAGATCCGTTCTTAACCTGAAACTGTTCTTAACCTGAGGTACCACTTTAGCTAATGGGGCCTCCTGCTGCCACCGGCGAGCGATTTCTGTTCTCATCCTGAGGTAAAGTTCTTAACCCAAGGTACTACTTCTGCGTTAGCGGTGTCTGTAACCCAAAGTGTTTGTAACCTGAGGTACCACTGTACCTCAGGTTAAGAACTTTGCTTCAGCATGAGAACAGAAATTGCACCGCCACAGTGCGGTGGCAGCAGGAGACCCCATTAGCTAAAGTGGTACCTCAGGTTAAGAACAGTTTCAGGTTAAGAACGGACCTCCAGGACAAATTAAGTTCTTCACCAGAGGTACCACTGTATCACATAAGGATGCACTCACTGTAAAGGTAAAGGACCTCTGACAGTTAAGTCCAGTTGCAGACGACTCTGGGGTTGCGGCACTCATCTCGCTTTACAGGCCAAGGGAGCCGGCGTACAGCTTCCGGGTCATGTGGCCAGCATGACTAAGCCGCTTCTGGCGCAATGGAACACCGAAACCAGAGCAGCGCACAGAAACGTTGTTTACCTTCCCGGCATCTATTAATCTACTTGCACTTTTTGGGGTGCTTTCGAACTGCTAGGTTGGCAGGAGCTAGGACTGAGCAATGGGAGCTCACCCCGTCGCAGGGATTCAAACCACCAACCTTTTGATTGGCAAGCCCAAGGCTCAGTGGTTTAGACCACAGCGCCACCCACGTTCCATGCACTCACGGTGAAAAAGCTTAAATACACATTGTCATTAGAGGTTGTGACGCAAAGCTCGGCTTTTTAAAGGAGCCGGGAAGAGGGCAAAGGGACACGAGAGGGAAAGGAATGATGCAGAGAAGCAGTGGTACAGAGTTACGCAGGGATACGTTACCTCAGGAATTCATATCGGTTTTTGAACTCTCGGTTAAGTTCCTTGTCTAGCTCGTAGGCAAAAAAGTCACTTTTGTCCACCACCAACAGTTCCGTTTCCTCCAGGCAGACAACAGTGGCGACCCTCCTTGTGTTTTGCAAAAGGGCAATTTCCTAATAATAAGCAGGAAGATAGGAATGAATCTGGGTAGCACAGCACAGTAGGTGCCTACAGCCAGTGATATTTCAAGTCAATCTAGGTTTCTTCACTTTGCGGTTCTTAGCAATGCATAGTTCTACTATCTCTTCCTAGCGCGATTAGGGGTGGTGTCCATTGCTGCCCTCTGACAGATTTCAGGTTCGTCCTCCAAGTTTAGACCAGATAATATTGTATTTTGTGGAGAAACAAGGCCGATCCGGGCATTGAAGTCACCTCCCAAGATAAACTGAGGGTTAGGTGACAGAGAGTCTATACTTTCGAGTAGTTGGTCAAGTTTATCCCAATATGATCTCAGTTCCCCACAAGACTTTACTGGAGGTATATACACACATATGCAATAAGTATTTCTCAGGAGACTATCAGAAAGGGACAACACTAAAAATTAGGGGTGGTCAACGAGGGACACTGTTGAATTGATACATTAAGAGAGGTTGACACCAGCACCGCCAGCCCCCCACTAGGCCTTCCATACTTTACAGTTTTAAGAGCTGGTTGAGTGTAACTTGTAAAACCCTGTAATTCAACCATAGTGCCAACGCTTCTCGGCCTTTTGGCTAAGATCAAGTGTAGTGTGTGTAATCTATCTCTTCCTAGTCTCTCACCATTTTTTCTTTCCTTATCCACCTCCCGCTTTTCCTCAGGACATCCCTACTTTCAACAGAGAAACGTTGGAGGGTATGTGTTATGTATTGAAGTTCTTACCCTGGCCACCAGGAGTATCGTGTAGATAGTTTTCACTCAGGTCCACGTCAGTGACCTTAGGCGGGAAACCCTGGCTTGTTGTTGCTACAATGTTGACAGCCGGCTGCCTATGAAAGCAGGCCGGCTGAGCTGTTTGCGGTTCAGTTCTGTTCCAGCTTACAAATAAAGAGATGTTTGAAGAATCGCTGTGTCGTCTGATATGTTCACCCACAACTTAACAGTATGGAGTTATGCGACCGCGGAGCCAAGGAGATAAGTAACTATACAATCTTTAGAAGACATCTGAAGGCAGCCCTGTACAGGGAAGTTGTTTAATGTTTTATGTCTTTATATATGTTGGAAGCCAACCAAAGTGGCTGAGGCAACCCAGTCATATGGGCAGGGTATAAATAATAAAAGTATTATTATTAGTATTGAATAGGAAAAGGTAAAGGGACCCCTGACCGTTAGGTCCAGTCGTGGCCGACTCTGGGGTTGCGGCGCTCATCTCGCTTTATCGGCCGAGGGAGCTTCCGGGTCATGCGACCAGCATGACTAAGCCGCTTCTGGCAAACCAGAGCAGTGCACGGAAATGCCATTTACCTTCCTGCTGGAGCGGTATCTATTTATCTACTTGCACTTTGACATGCTTTCGAACTGCTAGGTTGGCAGGAGCAGGGACCGAGCAACGGGAGCTCACCCCGTCGCAGGGATTCAAACCGCCAACCTTCTGATCCTAAGCTCTGTGGTTTAACCCACAGCACCACAGCGTCCCACTATTATTGAATATTATTGAATAGGACGCCCCTATTTTCATTGGAGAAATGTTAGGGGGTATGCTTTTCTCTTGCCCGCTGTGGCTTACACCTCTAAACCATTGTTTCCACAGCACCTCTGCTCTTTTCACAGCAGTTTTTCTCCTTCTCTGGTTACTGCTCTGCTTTCCTAGACTCTAATTTTTCTGTTTGCCCTACCCCTCTCTATCTGAGAATTTGTTCTGAGTACCAGAACAGAACTCAGATCCTGGGATTCCATGTTGATGTAAAGGTCCATGCATTAAAAAATATATATAAATTCTGAAATGGATGATTAATCCAGAATGCGGCAGCTGGGATGGGTGACTGGGAGCGGCTGCCGAGACCACATAACACCGGTCCTGAGAGATCTGCATTGGCTCCCAGTACGTTTCCGAGCACAATTCAAAGTGTTGGCGCTGATCTTTAAAGCCCTAAACAGCCTCGGCCCACTATAGCTGAAGGAGTGTCTCCACCCCCATCGTTCAGCCCAGACACGGAGGTCCTGTTCCGAGGGCCTTCTGGTGGTTCCCTCACTGCAAGAAGTGAGGTTACTGGGAACCAGGCAGAGGGCCTTCTCAGTAGTGGCACCCGCCCTATGGAGCACCCTCCCACCCGATGTCAAGGAAATAAACAAACATCTGACTTTTAGAAGACATCTAAAAGACATCACCTGTATCAGGAAATTTTAAATGTCTAATGTTTTATCATTTTTAATGTCCTGTAAGCTGCCCAGAGTGACTGGGGAAAGCCAGCCAGATGGGTGGGGTATAAATAATAATATTAGTATTATTAATAATCTTATTCTTACAGATTAGCACTTACACCAAAACAAGCACCTCTCCGAACTGTAGTCGGAGCAGCTTCTACAAACGCGCTGCTACCATCCTCATCATCAGTGATAGCAACGGAACCACAATAGATGAAGTAGAAACTGTCTGCCTGGTGTCCCTTTTTGATGATGACTCTCCTGCGACCAAACCTAGAAAGCAGACAACCGGACAAAGATCATTAGCTAGTGGAAATATACCTGAACCGAAAGACGTCTGCTTACAGAAGCAACATAGGTAAAAAAAAGGTAAAGGTAAAGGACCCCTGGACAGTTACGTCCAGTCTATGGGGTTGCGGTGCTCATCTCGCTTTCAGGCCGAGGGAGCCGGCGTTTGTCCACAGACAGCTTTCTGGATCATGTGGTCAGCATAACTAAACTGCTTCTGGCACAATGGGACACCGTAATGGAAACCAGAGCACACGGAAATGCTGTTTACCTTCCCGCCACTGTGATACCTATTTATCTACTTGCACTCTGACGTGCTTTCGAACTGCTAGGTTGGCAGGAGCTGGGACAGAGCAACGGGAGCTCACTCCATTGCGGGGATTTGAACCGCCAACCTTCTGATTGGCAAGCCCAAGAGGCTCAGTGGTTTAGACCACAGTGCCACCTGTGTAGGAATGGTATATTTAGACTGAGTTGTACACAAATCCCATTAGTAACTGTACAATCCACACTTTGTCATGCGGTCTGCCGCATACAGCAAACCACTCCTGGACTTTTTAAGCACGGAAGTTGACTCCAATTTAAAAAGCAACATCCCCGGTTTATGTTTGAACTGGGGGCTGAGTCCCTGATTCTGCTGCTTGCCAAACCCTGCTCCCTGCTCTCCTCCTCGGTAACCCATTAGATCTTATGCAGCTGCTATAGACATACCCTCCAACATTTCTCCAATAAAAATAAACAAGGTAAAGGTAAAGGACCCTTGACAGTTAAGTCCAGTCGCGAACGACTCTGGGATTGCGGCACTCATCTCACTTTACTGGCCAAGGGAGACGACATTTGTCCGCAGACAGTTTTTCCAGGTCATGTGGCCAGCATGACTAAGCCGCTTCTGGCGAAACCAGAGCAGCGCATGGAAACGCCGTTTACTTTCCCGCCAGAGCGGTACATATTTATCTACTTGCACTGGTGTGCTTTCGAACTGCTAGGTTGGCAGGAGCTGGGACAAAGCAACGGGAGCTCACAACGTCGCGGGGATTCGAACCGCCAACCTTCCAATCGGCAAGCCCAAGAGGATCAGTGGTTTAGACCACAGCGCCACTGGCATGGCCACAGCGCCAATAAAAATAGGGACGTCCTATTCCAGAATAATAATTTTACTATTGATACTCAGCCCATCTACCGGGTTGCCCCAGCCACTCTGGGCGGCTTCCAAGATATATAAAAACATAATAAACAATAAACATTTTTTTAAAAAAACTTCCCTATACAGGGCTGCCTTCAGACGGCTCGGGAGTCAAATAACTCCATACCCTCCAACATTTCTCAGAAGAAAATAGGGACACCCTAAGGAAAGGATACCAGGACGCAGGTGGCGCTGTGGGTTAAACCACAGAGCCTAGGGCTTGCTGATCAGAAGGTCGGCGGTTCGAATCCCCGTGACGGGGAAAGCACTCCTTGTTCGGTCCCAGCTCCTGCCAACCTAGCAGTTTGAAAGCACATCAAAGTGCAAGTAGATAAATCGGTATCACTCCGGCGGGAAGGTAAACGGTGTTTCCGTGCGCTGCTCTGGTTCGCCAGAAGCGGCTTAGTCATGCTGGCCACATAACCCAGAAGCTGTGCGCCGGCTTCCTCGGCCAGTAAAGCGAGATGAGCACCGCAACTCCAGAGTCGGTCACGACTGGACCTAACGGTCAGGGGTCCCTTTACCTTTAAGAAAAGGATGTTCTAGGATCAAATCAGAAACTGGGACGGCTTTTGTAAATTGGGGGCTGTCCCTGGGAAATAGGGGCACTTGGAGAGTCTGAATAGACCATGAGATCACCAGAGAGCCACTTCTGGGCGCCTTCCTCAATCCCACACTGTTCCTTCTGCCATTCTTCGTGCCAAGCAATAGTGGCAGAGGCCTGCCAGCCCCTACTTTCTTCTCCCTGCGGCTGGGCTGACTCTCCATGTTAACTGGCACTGCCAGAAGCAGCAGAAGCAGATTGCCAAGCTGGTGGGCAATAGTGGCACCAGCTAGCCTGGCCTTCTCGACTCAAGGCTGGCAGGCAGAGGAGCTGGTGGGCCTCTTTTTTAAACTGAGACTTCCAGATCTAGCTCTAGCTCTTTTTGGACCAGGATCGAACCAGCTTCAGCAACCCATCCCCTGGTAACCGCATGAGTGTGTATTCCAAGATGCCGTTTCTGAATAAATCAATCCCAGATATTTAAACGCGCATGAGTGTGGTTTATTGCGATGGGCATTGCAAGCGCCGCGCTTCAAAACAGCCGGGGAGCTGCAGCTGGCGCAGAATGTGCCCACCTGACTACTGCAAGGGGCACCGTATTTTTCGCTCTATAAGACGCACCAGACCACAAGACACACCTAGTTTTTGGAGGAGGAAAACAAGAAAAAAAATATTCTGAATCTCAGAAGCCAGAACAGCAAGAGGGATCGCTGCACAGTGAAAGCAGCAATCCCTCTTGCTGTTCTGGCTTCTGGGATAGCTGCGCAGCCTGCATTCGCTCCATAAGACATATACACATTTCCCCTTACTTTTTAGGTGGAAAAAAGTGAGTCTTATAGAGCAAAAAATACGGTAAGTACGGGACCGCATAATAGCAATCCTGCAAGCAGTGCCTGTGAGCTACCAGCACTGGCGTACAAAGGGGGGACTCGGGAGCGCCACCGTACTGTTATGCACTGAAGTTCTCACCTTGGGCCAGCAGGGGGATACTGTAGATAGTTTTCACTCAGGTCCACATATGCAAATAAGGAATTGAAAGTGACATTCAGTGATTGGATAGCTACAGAAAATGGTTACTGTTGCTTTGTAGTTGAGTTCTATATAAGCAGGCTGGCTGAACCCTTCAGCCCAGTTCTGTTCTGGGCCTGTGAATAAACAAGAGCTGTTTGAAGAATCGCTGTGTCGTCTGATATGTTCACCCACAACTTAACAGGTACCATTTGGGGAAAGGGTGTCAGCCATGCCCCTGCCTGTTCTCCGCTCCAGGGGTTGCAGCATGTTGCTCCGCCGCTAGCTACCAAGCCCGTTTCAGGGTATTGGTATTAGAATTTAGATCTCTGGACAATTCAGAAAGATGAAATCAAATTACAGAAATACATTGGATTGCTACAAAGCCCACCATCGCCACCCTTCCGGTTACCGTTCGAAGCGAATCACTTTGGCCAGAAGACTTTGCAGGGTTGGACTATACTGTCGAAAGCTTTCCACGAACTGCAAGCGGTTCTGCAAATGTTTTATTTCAGAATCAGTCCTCCACGCTGGTGGCTTCTTGGTGATTTGGATTGCTTTAAAAGGAAAATGCTCCTGTGAAGATACCAAACACCGTTTAGATTAATAGACAAGAACATTTATGTGGGTCAGCGAAGGCATTCCTATGCTCCCGACAGACTGGAGCATTATTTTTCTTCTCAGGATATAAAACCAAATGACCTTCTTCTTGCCTTTTAGGTGCACCTGCAGAACATTTTATACAGCTGTCCACGAGATTGTCTTACACTGAGAATCACAATTCAACTGAGAAAGCAATGGCTGCATTTTTTATTATGATTTTTTATTAAATTTTCTGTTTTACAATGTCAGATAAACATTTTACATACGTAAGATATCCATGGCTTCCCTTCCTCCCTTTCCATGGTTCATTTTGCGTATCTTATATCCCTGCATATTTTACAAAAACTGTATCAATCGGTTTTTCCATTGTTACATCCATCAAAACTTATTTACACTGTTGTCTTAACGCTGCCAGCGTTTTCAGCTGTACACAATTATTTTCCATATATTCAATAAACATTTTCCCATTTTCTTTAAATGTACATTCTTCTTGTTTTCTTATTCTATATGTCAAGTCTGCAAGTTGTGCATATTCTGTCAACTTACTGCATTTTTCCGTCTATAAGGCGAGGTTTTAACATCAGCAAAACATTGTGCCTTAATATAGTAAGAAGAGAAGCTTTTGGGGGGATGTTAAAGGCGCAGAGTGGGGATATTACGTCAATCGCCACGCTCCTCCTGTGTAACGTTGCGCTGCCTGCACACAAATGGAGCCGCGCGAAGACACCGCATGGCAAAAACGGACTGCCTACAGCCTCTCTCTCCGCTGTAGGGCAGGCAGAGTGGGAGGAGGCAAGCAGAATACTGTATGGAGGCTCCGCGGAAAGTGCTTAAAGTAATTGAAAAAAAGCTTCACCACTCTTTCCCACCCCCAAAAGCTCAACTCTGCCCCCCCTCAAAGCTCAGCAACTGCCAGCGAGGGAACGGCTGATAGGCGACCTGTTAGATGCCTGGGGCTGTTAGCCTCTGGGCAATCCTCCCTGTTAAGTTGTGGGTGAACATATCAGACCACACAGTGATTCTTCAAACAGCTCTTGTTTATTCACAGGCCAGAACAGAACTGAACTGAAGGGTTCAGCCAGCCTGCTCTATATACAGCTCCACTAGAACGTAACAGTAACCATTTTCCGTAACTATCCAATCACTGAACGTCACTTTCAAGCCCTTATTTGCATATGTGGACCTGAGTGAAAACTATATACAGTAACCCCCTACTGGCCCAGGGTGAGAACTTCAGTACATAACACTCCCCTCCCCCCACAAATTTCAACAAGTCAGGGCAATTTCCCCCCATTTTCTTAATTTGGGGTCGCCAAAAATAGGGGGCGTCCTATACATGGGGGTGTCCAATACACAGAAAAATACGGTAAGTTGCCAATTTTTTTATGTTTGAGACCTTGCTCATTTTCCATTTGGGGGCTAACAAAACACGGGGGGCAGTTGTTACATACATAAATCACCTTTTCTGACACCTGGGAATTTCAGTCTGGGTTATCCCCAACAGAAAGGACTCTGGTTTGGGTGGGGGAGGGGAGTAATTTTAAACATTTTGTTAAATTCATTATAAATCATTTTCCAACACTCTTTTACCCTTTTACATGTCCATCCAGAGATTCTTAAGTATGGAGCCGTTTGTCAACTTCTTTGTTATTTTTAGTTGAGTTGAAGCTAGTACATATGGGAGCCCTCCTGTTTCCTCTGCTAGGTGCATCCCTGGACTCCTGCCCCTCCCCCAGCAGTGCCGTATTTACGTATAAGCTAAACAAGCTATAGCTTAGGGCCCCACTCTCTTGGGGGGCCCAAAAAATTTAAAGAAAAAAAACCCCTGGATGTACATTTCCAAAATATAAGATAAAAAAACCATAAATAAAATAAAACCTGAATACAGCAACAGTGTTTTGTGTTGTGTAGGTTCCTATGATGTAAGTCATGGGCCCCCGCCTGCTAGCCTGCTCCCTTAAATATCACTGGTTTGCTCATTTCTATATATAGGGTCAGGACACAGGTGGCGCTGTGGGTTAAACCAGAGAGCCTAGGACTTGCCGATCAGAAGGTTGGTGGTTCGAATCCCTGCGACGGGGTGAGCTCCCATTGCTCGGGGTGAGCTCCTGCCCAGCTAGCAGTTCAAAAGCACGTCAAAGTGCAAGTAGATAAATAGGTACTGCTCCGGCGGGAAGGTAAACGGCGTTTCCGTGCACTGCTCTGGTTTGCCAGAAGCGGCTTAGTCATGCTGACCACATGACCCGGAAGCTGTACGCTGCCTCCCTCGGCCAATAAAGCGAGATGAGCGCCGCAACCCCAGAGTCGGTCACGACTGGACCTAACGGTCAGGGGTCCCTTTACCTTTATATATAGGGTGCCTACATTCTGCATGGACTGGTCGCATGGAAACATGTGCAAATGGCTTTAGATAGCTATTAGGTCCATAAATTACCATATAGCATATATTCAAGACAAAAAACAGCGACAATTTGTTGTTGACAAAGGACAGCTGGGCATATAAAGGCCCCCATTACCTTCAGTAGCTTAGGGCCTCATCAAACCTAAATCTGGCCCTGCCTCCAAGCCCTACCCCATGGCATTGCTGACTGACGCTCTCTCCTCCTACGTGTAGATCTTTGGGTGTGAATCACACCACGGAGGTCCCGCAATCTCTCAACTTTTCTTCTTCTTCTTCTTCTTCAGTGGTGATGCTTCAAAACGGCCTCTGCTTTGATCTCATGGTGGGGAGGTGTTATGTACTGAGTTGAATAGGATCCAAAATGCAGCAGTCTGATTGGTCCTAGAACAATAGGATTCAGAATGCAGCAGTCTGATTGGTCCTAGAACAATAGGATCCAGAATGCAGCAGTCTGATTAGTCTACAGGAGCCACTCAATCCAGCTCCAGGTGGAAGTGAATCCGCAACCTGATTGGCCTACAGGTGAATCCCGGAAATAGCCAATCACGTGGGGCCCATTGTGTAAATAATGTATATAAAGCAGACATTCTGGGGGAACTTCCATTCCTTCTCACCACTATGAGCTGAATAAAGAGCATGAAGTCCACTCTCGACTCCGAGCATATTTCAGGAGGTCACTTGGGAAGCAAAAGAGCATTTCAGGATTGTGCTAAGGTGAGCCACATCATGGATGAGGAAGCAGGCAGGGCGATGTATTCAAAGACCACTTCTCAAGGAAGAAGCAGTGTCACCCTTAGCTTATTAAGCCACTTTCCCCAGTAATAGCAAAACACACCAAACGGTTATATTCAAGCAACTGAACTAAACCTACAAACACAAATGCCTACTGTTACTGTAAGGGCAAGAAAAGACATAAGATGGTTTGTCCTGACCTTTGAAACACTGAACTCATGGCGATCAAACACAGCATTGGCAGTTTTCTTGTCCTGTAAGTTAGACAACAAGCTGCAGTTAATTTCATTATGCATCACACAAGAAGAAAAAGCTTAAGTACGTTAGCTCTTTTAAATAATTTTATTATAATTAAGAAGTCCTATGACCCTTTAGCATTGGTGGTATAGTGGTGAGCATAGCTGCTTTCTAAGCAGTTGACCCGGGTTTGTTTCCTGGGCAACGCAGAGAGTATTTCTAGGGACGCGGGTGGTGCTGTGGGTTAAACCACAGAGCCTAGGACTTGCCGATCAGAAGGTCGGCGGTTCGAATCCCCATGATGGGGTGAGCTCCTGTTGCTCGGTCCCTGCTCCTGCCAACCTAGCAGTTCGAAAGCACGTCAAAGTGCAAGTAGATAAATAGGTACCACTCTGGCGGGAAGGTAAACGGCGTTTCCGTGCACTGCTCTGGTTCGCCAGAAGCGGCTTAGTCATGCTGGCCACATGACCCGGAAGCTGTACGCCGGCTCCCTCAGCCAATAAAGTGAGATGAGCACCGCAACTCCAGAGTCGTTCGCAACTGGACCTAACAGTCAGGGGTACCTTTACCTTTACCCCTTTATGACCCTTTAAGGACTTATAAGCTACGCAAGGTCCGCTGCAGTTTCAAATTGGATGGGCGAATGGCACGTTGAGATTACTGCATCCCAGGGGGTTGGACTAGATGACCCTTGGGGTCCCTTCCAACTTACAGAGAATCTTACTGTGTTTCTATTCTATGATTTCAGCAGGTTCCTCAACCTCTGCTTCAAAGGCTCAGGCAATCATCATTATTTTATTAAATAGAAAAAGCACCAATGAGGAACGAGAGCAATCGTAAATACAAGACTTTTGGTTGAGGTATTTTTGTGTGTGTGTGTTTTGCGATATTCCTTACTTCCTCAATCACCCCACGAGTGTCTTTCTCTACCAGGTGAAAACATGAGAATCCTTTCAGTCCACGCCGGAAGCACCGACATACCTTGATCATCAGGATAACATTCTTAAAAAACCTGTGGAAGTTCTTTGGGGGTGGGGGAAGGAAAAATGCAATGAAAAAACCAATGGTGTCACTTCTGTTTTGAGGAGCAAGGATAGAGATAGATAGATAGATGATAGATAGATAGATAGATAGATAGATAGATAGATAGATGATAGGTATTAGATGGATTAGATTACACACACACACACACACACACACAGATGGCTACACTACCATGTTCCACTTCTTAGACTGACTAATATAATATCAGATTTTTCTCTTTTCCTTCCATTACAGTGTTACTCCTTTGTCCTACCCAGGGCCGGCCCACTCATGAGGCACAGCGAGGTGACCACCTCAGGCGGCACAATCCACAGGGGCGGCAGATCCCCATGTAGGTCTTCATTCCTCCTTTGTTTCTGATATGTTGATCTCTACTCAATCCCTTCTTCCCTGGAGGGGAGGGGGGGCACCGTTTTATGGTTCGCCTCAGGCGCCAAAATATATTGGGCTGGCGTGCTGCTTCATCTCACCTCTGAGGTATTTTTGTACCCTCATTGCTCCTTACCCATCAGTGCTCCCTCTTATCCCACACTGCATCCCGCCCCCATTAAAACTAATTTTATGGCTGAAAATAATGCTCTTTTTTCAGGTGACTTTGGCCACTGACACTTTGTAATTTTACTCTTTCAAACTGCAGAGATGGCAAGCCTAAAACATGCTTTATCGGGGAGCGAGCTCCATGAAATTTATTGGGACTTACTTGTGAGAAGACATGCGTAAAAGATCAGGGCTGTTAAAAATCTGTTCAGCTTGGTCTTCTCTGATAAATCAGTTTTGTACTCCTCCTCTTCCTCACATTTTTCTCTCTTACACTCCTTCCCTCTTTAGTGTGCATCTGTCTTTCATTTAGAGCCAGTTAAATTTATTTTATTTTCTTTGCCAGTCATTACCTACCTCCAAGGGGCTCAAACAGAAAATTAAGTGTCTCACGCAGGGAATAAGACATACCTGATATGCAATTCGCCGTCCCCTGGAAAATCGTCTAGAATCTATTAAGACAAAATTACACAGCCTGTTCTTAAAATCTTTGACCTGAACTTTGTCCACCTGTTAAGAGAATGAAAAGTCCATTTCCTCTCCCTCAACTTATAGACAGGTGGGAAGGTACCTTCTAGATCTCGGGATAATTTTGGTTTGGCTTTTTTGGGCTTCCTCTCCCAGCTGCGCTGTGGTGCCTCCCATATTCTTCCAGAGGACCCCACAATCTTGAGTAGAACTTCAGGGTATACTGATTTTCTACAAGACATCCTCATTAAACCATTGCTGTCCAGTTTTTGTTACCTGTGCTGTCCTCCTGTGGGGGTTTTTTTTACTGGGCCTAATTTATGTGGATTATTGGGGGGGGGGTAATAAAATTCAATTGTGACATCAGCCTAGCCCAGGGGTCAGCAAACTTTTACAGCAGGGGGCGCCGGTTCACTGTCCCTCAGACCTTGTGGGGGGCTGGACTATATTTGGGGGGGTGGAATGAACGAATTCCTATGCCCCGCAAATAACCCAGAGATGCATTTTAAATAAAAGGACACCTTCTACTCATGTAAAAACACGCTATTTCCTGGACCGTCCATGGACCGGATGGAGCAGGCGATTGGGCCGGATCTGGCCCCTGGGCCTTAGTTTGCCTACCCATGGCCTAGCCAATGTGGACATGCAAAGCGCTATAGCCTTATCAAGGCTCATATAATTTCACATTTAACACTTTCTCTTTGTGGGTTCAGCCCATTTTATTTCTCCCTGTAGACTCTAGCTGGGAGATTTGGGATGAATAGCCTCCCAGAAGCTCTTTGAATAGTTTATATGAATTGCTGAAATGGAGTGGCGGTCAATGGCCAGTGGACTTGACGTAGCAATGAGCATGGCAGCTAATGGTAGGTAATTTGTGGAGCTAAATGCATTTGCTATTGCCGCAAGAAAATTGCCTGAAGGCAAAGTTGTGAGTCCGAAGCTGCATATACACTAACCCATCTGTAGCACAAAAATGTATTGTTTTGAGCTTAGCAGGGGTTAGCCAGTATAATGCCTGTAAAGGTAAAGGGACCTCTGACCATTAGGTCCAGTCGTGGCCGACTCTAGGGTTGCGGCGCTCATCTCGCTTTATTGGCCGAGGGAGCCGGCGTACAGCTTCTGGGTCATGTGGTCAGCATGACTAAGCCGCTTCTGGTGAACCAGAGCAGCACATGGAAATGCCATTTACCTTCCCGCCGAAGCGGTACCTATTTATCTACTTGCACTTCGTGCTTTCGAACTGCTAGGTTGGCAGGAGCAGGGACCGAGCAATGGGAGCTCACCCTGTTGCGGGGATTTGAACCGCTGACCTTCTGATCGGCAAGCCCTAGGCTCTGTGGTTCACACCACAGCGCCACTCACGTCCCTATGTGCATTGCACCCAGCGCCCCCTGCCCCCCGCATTCCTTCAGGACAGGCGGCAGGTATCAGACGATATGAGGGTGGGCTGCTTCCCCCGCCCTGGGGTTTTTGGGGGAGGATAACTACTCCCATATTATCCTCGTTATCCACACGAAAGGGCTCCACTGTTATGGGACAGCCATTCGCCATGCCAGTCAAACAGGAAGTGCTCAGCATGCTGCTTTCAATCTAGATTGATTCTAGATCCTGCCACCCAAAAGAGTGACAGCTGCATGCATTTGAAACCCCTGCCCTTGCTTGGGTTACCCATGCCTTTACTTCTCCGCACATGCCCCTGGCAAATGAAAAATAAAGTGGCAATTCCAAGCTTGGAATATGCCCACCCTTGGCATCACTGGGCATCAATGCACACCATTGCTGCAATGATTTTTTAAACAAACACACACACACACACACACACACACACACACACACCTGACTTTATTTTTACAGAGTGTTCTGAGGCCGCGGGAAAGAGTGCGATATAAATATACCAGCTGCACCAATGCTAAGAGACAAGGCTCCAATGGGCCTATCCGTGGCTATTAGCTATGAAAAGCAAACTTCTGCAACAAAATGTTGCAGCATGAAGTGCTTCTGTTCAGGATGCACCACTCTATTCTCTCTCTAGACCGGTATTTTGTTTCTCAGAACAGTCGGTCAGCATTCTGTATCCAGCGAACATTCCAATGGGTTGCTTTGTTTTGGTTTTTGCTTTTGGCAAGTTCCCAAAATTGGGGGCGGGGGGGAGAGAATTTCCCCTAAATGTTTTTTGCAATTCTGCAAACTCTGGAGTTCCGTTGCAACTACTTTTCTCTCTTGCTTGTGTGGGGGTGCTGCTGTTTCGTTTATATAAGAATTAAGATCATTATGTGATAGTCAAAAGGAAAGCTCTATAAATAGAGAGGATGTATCTCTCGGGACGCAGGTGGCGCTGTGGGTTAAACCACAGAGCCTAGGACTTGCCGATCAGAAGGTCGGCGGTTCGAATCCCTGTGACAGGGTGAGCTCCTGTTGCTCGGTCCCTGCTCCTGCCAACCTAGCAGTTCAAAAGCATGTCAAAGTGCAAGTAGATAAATAGGTACCGCTCCGGCGGGAAGGTAAACGGCATTTCCGTGCGCTGCTCTGGTTTGCCAGAAGCGGCTTAGTCATGCTGGCCACATGACCCGGAAGCTGTACGCCAGCTCCCTCGGCCAGTAAAGCGAGATGAGCGCCGCAACACCAGAGTTGGTCACGACTGGACCTAATGGTCAGGGGTCCCTTTACCTTTACCTTATCTTTCGGAATACTAGCTGTTGGAAATAAACAACAGGGGATAGCCTGTTGTTTATCATCTCCAAGTGCTGCTTTGGACCTACCCAGACTCCAGAGGCATCTGCCTAATCATTGTTGGAAACACAAGGCTGTCCAATGTAACTCAGTTCGCAGTTATGCTACAAGGACCCCAAGAACTCTCCCTGACCGTCTTCAGAACAAGGGGGTATACATAAAAACTAAGTTGGTAGGAAATCACACTCTCAAAGCCACAACACTGGAGAGAACATCTCAGTGACATCAAAGTGAGAGCAGCTGTAGAAAAGGAATTTTGTTAGACATGCAACAAGAGGATGTAGGATGATCATAGATGTGACCTTCAGGAACAGGTCAAGGAAGATATATCCTCCCCCCGCCCCCCGCCTGCTGAATAAGGGAAGAGACTAGGTCATTCTGTCCTACTCCCCAGCACTCACTGAACCAAATATGCTGCAATCCGGCAGAATACAGTTCTCTTCTCCAGAGCTTTGCAGGCATGGCGAGAGGCTTCCCGGGAGTCACTTCGCTTGGAGGCCTTAGATTTCCCCCACCAAAAGACCTTCTGTGACAGAATCAGAACCAACGGCTATAGAATCGGGCAACTGCACTCTCAAGATAATCCACATTCCGTTCTATTTTCTAGAGGCAGAGAACACAAGAGCAGTCTTGCTAGCCTGGGCCTAACGTTTACACACCTAGTGTTCTATTTTCCATTCTTTTTTGGTGACAACTCACAGCTAAGTAAGATTAACTCACGGTCTTAACAGTGAGTCCGCAAGTGACTGTGGAGGCCAATTCTGGATCCACGCATCCTTCCACAGTGGGGACATAGGTTTCCAGGCGGCAGTTGATCATGGTGAGGATTTGCCAAGCGTGCCTTCCTCTTAGCACGTTTCTCCCTTTCGTCCTGAGTTTGAGCATCTTCAAAGTCCATGACACTTTTTGTAAAGGCTGGTCTTCAATTGTAGCGCTCGCAATCCAGTGTTTGCCAGTTTTCGGTGTTTATACTACATTTTTAAAAAATATTTGCCTTGAGAGAGTCTTTAAACCTCTTTTGTTGACCACCAGCATTACGCTTTCCATTTTTAAGTTCGGAATAGAGTAGTTGCTTTGGAAGACGATCATCAGGTATCCACACAACATGACCAGTCCAATGAAGCTGATGTTGAAGAATCATGTCTTTGACACTGGTGACCTTTGCTTCTTCCAGCTTTAGTTTGCCTGTCTTCCCCAGCAACGTGTACAAATTTTCAGAGACACCGTTGATGGAATCTTTCAAGGAGTTGGAGATGGCATTTATTAGTGGTTCATATAATAAATATGCAAGGGCAGCAGCAATTTTCTTTTGGTTATGCAAGCACCTAACACATTTAGTAGCTGTTATATTCAACCAGCCATAGCTCAGTGACAGAGCATCTACTTTACACTCAGGTCCTGGGTTCAGGTCCTGGCACCTGAGGAGAGGGGTGTTGAGAGGTTCCAACACACTGGATAGGTCAGTGTAGAGTTGGCAATAGGATGGGACAGTGGTCTGCCTCAGAATGTGGGAGCTTCCTATGTAATATTTTATTTAAAAAATGAAGTAGATAAAAGCAACTGAGAGATCGTTGCATGCAGTCCTGTCCTCACCCTCATTTTTCCCCCATTTAAAATAAAATTAAAAAATCAGTTATGTTTATTCACATATTCAGACTGTATTAAGCTGAAGGAAAATGACGCCAGGCACTTCTGACAGCTTTTTTTTTTTTATGGCATGCAACCATTAAAAACAAGAACCGTTAAAAAAGGTAGAAAACATGGATAGTCAGCAATGCAGTTTGGAGAACCTGTTCCGTTTTGTCTGTCTGTTATCTTTAAAAACGGCATTTAACAAAAAATGCATCTTAACCCGCTACCAGTTTTATACAACGATAACCATTTCAAAACTATATATGGGGATATATGGATTTGGCTGGAGGCGCACATAAATCATAGCCTTCAAGCAGACTACAAGCAGAATTTTTCAATAGTTAGAACCAGTTGTGCAGACATTACTGTTTTCTTTTGCATTTGGCAGGAAGTATTTCAGCGAAACCTGTAAAAACAGTAACTCTAAATATGCTTACCATATTTTTCTGTGTATAAGACAATACCCCCCCCCCAAATTTTTAAGTTTGAAATTGGGGGTTGTCTTATACAGTGGTACCTCAGATTACATACGCTTCAGGTTACATACGCTTCAGGTTACACACTCCGCTAACCCAGAAATAGTGCTTCAGGTTAAGAACTTTGCTTCAGGATGAGAACAGAAATTGGGCTCCGGCGGTGCAGTGGCAGCAGGAGGCCCCATTAGCTAAAGTGGTGCTTCAGGTTAAGAACAGTTTCAGGTTAAGTACGGACCTCCGGAACGAATTAAGTACTTAACCTGAGGTACCACTGTACACGGAATGTTGCAATTAAATATATGAATAAATACATGCTGCCATCCATATACTCCCCCCCCCCAGCCTCCCCTCACTATTGGACTTATGACAAACCCTGGTCTGGTACTCCCCCCCCAGGCAGCCCCCACTCCGGACATTGTCCCTTCTACCCGGTTCCCTCAGCCTCCCCCTGGCTACCCAGACCCCCCATTCCTCAAGCGCACTCACTCAGGCAACTCTGGCTGTCGCAGGTCCTTGATCAGCGTTCGCATTTGACGGCGCTCGTGGAGTAAATACGGTACATACCATAAACACTGAGACAAAAGTGCAGCACACAGGCGGCAGAGCTGGAGCTGGAGCTACAGTGGAGTTACACTGAGATGAAAGGAGCAGCCGCCATTACACAGCTTTCCTCACTGTTTGATGTTTAAATATACGGTTCTAAATATACCGGTGTTTTGAATTTTTAATAAAATATCAGAGTTGGTCTGTTTGGTCTTTAAAATATTTATTTCTCAATTTTGGGCTCAAAAAATGGGGGCCGTCTTATACATGGGGCGTCTTATACACTGAAAAATACGGTATGTCTTCTTCCAGACATTATAGAAATATAGAATGGACTCTTCTCCATCACACTGGCAGTTTTAGGAAAGGAAGGCTTTCCCCTTCCTGTGATATGTCCATCGATGTAGGCTTTTATTGCAGAGCCAAGAGGAAGGCCAACCCAGCTAGAACAAAACTGGCTGCAATATGCCCAGCTAAGACCCCTCTCCGCTGCCATCATCTGTTGCAACAGGGAAGCCGCTGCTTCACCCAGCTACAGGAAGGCCATAGGCATGCAGGCACTGCGGAAAAACACTCTCCAAGTCATCAGTCACCTGACACAGTGTTCCTCCTTTGGCTAAACAGGTGAAACTTAGAGACAAGGCTTGCCAAATTACTGGAGTACTACAATATATCCAAAACAATGGGAGAAATTGGAAGGATCTCAGAAGATAGCTAGGGACTGGAAGGTGTTTAAAGGATACTTACAAAACAATATTGAAAAATCAGAACTCCTATTAGACTAAACAAGTTCCGTTTTAAATACTGAAATACTAAATAAGATGGATAACAATGTGTAATAGAAAAATAAGCATGAAATTAGGTTAAAGGTGTGTGAAAGAAAGTAATAGAAGTGGAAAGAAATTGCAATTGAGTAGATTGTAAGTCTAACACAAAGGTGGGGTGAGGGGTGGTGGATGGTGATGGGAAAAGGAATTATCTGTGGGACTGAATGTAGGCATGTTTGTATATATTTAAGGATTGTATGAAATGTATGTTTGTATGCTTGTATATTCGCAATATGTGTGTATTTTATAATAAAAAATAATTTTTAAAAATAGAGGCAGGGCTGTAGACAGCAGGCACCAGGTGGCTCCCTCTTCACACACCACATACGGAGACAAAAAGTTACAGCAATGTTTGGCTTTTCTCTTCTTATAAGGAAGCCTTGAGGCTGTGGCACCACCATCTTCTAGGAGTGAATCGCAGAACGACAAGCGCCAGGAAAAAGCATTTTCAGACAGCTGAGTGGCAAGTTTGAAATCGCAGCTGTTTCAGACACCTCTTTTGCCTTTGGTAAGCCAGCTTTTGTCAGACTTGCGTTCGACCGAACGACTCTTCCGGTCGAGTCCTCTGACGTGATTAGCGACCTGAGACTTTGATGAGGCTCCAAGCACATTCCCCCATTACGCAGAGTATCCAGCACGCAGGGAAGGAGCCGAGATAGTATGAGCTACATTGCATGCAAAGAGTGTTTTATTTCTAACTATGCAAACAGTGGAGCAGAGATATACATGCTCTTTGAAAGCAGAGAGCAACTGAAACACAAAGGAACAGGAAACCAGTAACGTCACATCCGTCTCCTGTCTTCCGTGAGACTTCCAACAGCCTTGAATGCCTGGAATGCAAAACAGAGTCTTGTGACTCCAAGGACTGCACAGTGGCAACACACAGAAACCTAACAGCTTTGGGGATTATTCCATTAAAATGAAACATCTGTTTTGGCAAAACCAAGGGTCGCACCAAAAAATGTGTGCTGAGAAACATTCAGAAGTTTTTAATTCAGACCAGCTTCTTCCAATTTATACTCTCTATTCTCAGCTAGTTTTGTGTTTGGCAAATTCTTCCCTCTTCAAACCATCCACTATTTGAGTTTCCCCTCAAACTAGCCACAATCTAATGGAGATGAGACCTTAAATTTGCCCTTCTGTCTCTACCGAGGCAACAAACAGCACTGCTGCTGGTAACAAACATATTATGACAGGGGGCATGTCATCAAGGACACAGCTGTCTACTAAGAAAAGATTCACTGAAGCAAAACAGATCCTACACCGTGAGAAATTAAGGCTGCCGTGTAATCTTAAGAATTTGGAGAAGGAGATGCGTATTGTTGACTTGGAACAAGGCCCTTCTTACAGCACTGAAGGAACTGTCTGGTCTGGTTCTGGTCTGTAGAGGAGTCTGTGCATACACTGTGAAGGATATTTGATGCTTTAAGGAGGTCTCAGGTTATTATGAATCTCAAAATAAAGCTGAATATCACAGGTGTGCCCAATGTGGAGGGTGGCACGGTTGGCAAACGAAGAGAATACACTGGAGTACTACTATCAAAGGACATGCTCTATTAACATTATGCAGCCTTTCCACAAACAGAATCATGCTCAAAGCAGGCATGTTCAGAACCATTATCACAGACTTAGCTGGCCGTGCAGAAACTGAGAAGATAGTGGCCTTTTAACAAGGTCTGTAATCCGACAAAAATATGGCATAGCCATGTGCTAATACCACTGATGAATTTATGAAGAATATTGTTCATTCTTCCCTGTGAGTGGTCAACATTGATGCCGAAATCCAGCATCGCCTGAGCTCTGCGAAAGGGGCTTTCTCCCGATTGAAGTGGAGTGTGTTTGAGGACCGGGACAAAGCTATTGTACTACCAACCTTACTGCATGCTTGTGAAACATGGGCCACCTACAAACGCCATCTACAACTTCTCAAAAGATTTCATCAATGGTGTCTCCGAAAAATCTTACACATCACTTGGGAAGACAGGTGAACTAATATCAGTGTACCAGTTAAGCAAAGGTCACCAGTGTTGAAGCAATGATTCTTCAACATCAACTTTGTTGGACTGGTCATGTTGTACAGGTGCCTGATTATCATCTTCCAAAGCAACTACAGTCATATCTCGGGTTAAAGTTTGTAATGAGTATGGGTTGCTTGTGCGTAAGTTGCCGCCTCTCCTGGCTTTGTTGCCTTGTTAAACCTTTCAGTCTGGGCAGCCCTTCACTTCGTGGCTGCCTCAGTCGCTAGCAGAATCCGTCAGTGGGCGTTTCTTAAACCTTTTCCAACATAAAAGTTGTTTGACACCCAGTCTCCTCCTACTCTCTCTGCGCGGAAGTCTTCTGCGCAGGGAGGGCGTGGGTAGCGGAGGACCCGTGCTCTCCCCGCTGGTGTCTGGTGAAGAGTCCTGGAGCCCTCTCGCCGATTCCCCCATCTGCCCCCCTTTATCCCTGGTGTTGCGCTGATTTGCTTCCCCATCTGCGGAGCTGCCTCTCTCCCTGCTGGGCCCTTCTCCAGCATCATTTGAGAGCCTTCCCTCTGCCTCTAGCTCCGATGTCAGTTCCCTGACAAAGCTGATTCAGGTTGAGCGTTTTTGGGTTGCGCTCCGCAGCGACCCGGAAGTAACGGAACGCGTTACTTCCAGGTTTCGCTGCTCGCGTATGCACACAGAATGACGTCACATGCATGTGCGGAAGCGGTGAATCGTGACCCACGCAGAGGCGGGTTGCATTTGCTTCAGGATCCGGAACGGATCCCGTTCGCATCCAGAGGTACCACTGTACTCTATTCCGAACTTAAAAATGGAAAGCATAATGCTGATGTCAACAAAAGAGGTTTAAAGACTGTCTCAAGGCAAATCTAAAAATATGCAGTATAAACACCGACAACTGGGAAACACTGGCCTGTGAGCGCTCCAGTTGGAGAACAGCCTTTACCAAAGGTGTCATGGACTTTGAAGACACTCGAACTCAGAACGCAAGGGAGAAACGTGCTAAGAGGAAGGCACGCTTGGCAAATCCACACCGTGATCAACTCCCATCCGGGAACCAATGTCCCCACTGTGGAAGGACGTGTGGGTCCAGACTCATTGTTAAAACAGACTCATTGTTACAACCGTGTTTATGGAAGACAATCTTACTCGGCTACGAGTGATCACCAAAGAAGAAGAAGAAGATATTCTTCCCAGTAAATTTTATAATGGGTATCCACCGGATAGCAATGTCATCCTTCAGTTCCGCTTTGGATTTCAGGCAAATCAAGTTCTTCCTTTAATAAAATACAGTTGCAATGAGTTACACGGAAACATACATAGTAGCAAGCATGTCACAAAGTTTGTATATGTAGAATTGATTTTATAAGTGGGGGAAAAGCATAGTAGGAAATCAGTGCTCACAGATTTCTGTCACCTTCCTCAGACCAAAGTCCTCAGGAATATGTTTATGGCCGCACACTAATCACACACAGAACACAAACATCACCCTTTTTGTTTTAAAAAAATCCTCCAACTTTACATTTTAATATGAAACACTATCGAATGAGTATGTACAACACAAAACCTGTCTTCAAAATTGCACAAGTGAAAACATTTTCATATTCACATGATTAAATTGTTTACAGCTCAAAGACGTTATCAATCCTTCAAGTTTAAACTTCAGAAACTGTCAGCAGCGAATAGTTTAGGTATTTACAAAAGGCTTCATTTGTAACACACACATAATGTTGAGTTGGATCACAAGTAAATGGCTCTTAAGTCCCGTTAAAATCAATGGGAACCAAGTCATGACACAATCCGGAACACAATCCCAGTTGTGTGAATTGCTCACAGGAAATAATTTCAACTACTACTTGATATGTGCAAAGGAAAAAAATGGCATGAATTCACCGTTTCTGTGCTTTCATTTTTTAACCCTGCAGGTATGAATAATGCCATCAGAATTCTGCTTGCTACAAAGATAATTGAAATATCCCACGCTGAAATCCCCTTTCCTTTCATATGCTCCCCTTAGTGATGTGTGCATGCCTCTATCATTATTAACTTAATATTAACTTTCAGGAGGAATGTGAAAACATTCCCATTTACCCAGACACTTAGTAGCTGAAGAATACTGTTGCTGGAACCCCAAGATCACCAGATAAAATGTGGTTTTTTAAAACTATAACAGTCCCCCCCCCCCCAAGTGTGGAACAGTTTGCTACCCTAGTCACTTTCAGGAGAAAGGGCAGGATGTAACTTCAACAAATAATAAATAAGCTGACAGTCTTCACATTAGAACGATCGCTCAATTTTGCATTCTTAAAGCTTTCTTGAAGGGGGTTGGAGGGATCACAAAAGGCTCAACTTACCCGTTAACTCATGGATGGGACTGCTACGTATTTCTTGAACAGTCAAGACACATTACGGATTTTAGAAGTCTGTTCTACCACATGGTAAATGAATGAGCATGACTTAGCAGTAGGCTTTAAATCCCATTTGCTTCTCTGCGAAGGGTAAAGTGCACAGTGTAACAAGAGAGAGATCAGCTGAAGAGTAACTCTTCACCAAATGTAAGGGCTCTTTTTAGCCACCATGCTCCATATGTTGCCTGCCCGTTCAGTATATGGAGTGCAGAATGAGAACATGCAACACCATCAATAAATCTGAAGGTTAATTGTAGGTATCAGGTGAAACCTTCTTCCACAATGTCAGCTAATAATACAAGTTCAACAGTTGTTGTTTTTTTGCTGGCAACCCAATTCTTTTCCAAAGGACAATCGTTTTCTCCCCTTTTCAGCTGCTAATTGGCTGGGTCTCAATTAATAAATGTCTCTTGGAATTTCATTGCTGCTATTATCGAGGCAAATGTCCTTGTGTGTGCTGAGACAAGTCAAAGGGTCCCAAGGTGGAGAGGAATCAGTGAGAGCAGGCATTATTGGGCTCAAGATTATTAAAAAAAACCCAATAATAACCCCCTCAGCAATCTGATTTCAGAAGGTCTACTCAAATATGACCATAACAGGTCATTTGGGTGTTAAAACTTCATGCAAAGGAGGAAGATACTAGTAGCTTCACATGAGGAACGATCTGGAACTGGCAGTGAATCAGATCAGCTGTAAACCAAAGCAGTTGTCTATTACAGATTGTCATAAGGAGCCTGGATCAAATAATGTCCTCTCAAAAGCTGACCTATCTTCATTCCAAGTTCTCAACAGCCTTCATAGACTCAAGCACAGATGGCGCTTGCAAGTCTCTGTATTTCTCCATCTCTGGATATAGTGCTTGTTCTTTTGTTTCTTGACCTCTGCAAACAGTGTCCCCTTCTTCAGCTGCTGCCACTGCTGCTTCCTTCTCCTAAAAAAGGAAATAAAAGCATTAAAGTTAAAACTGATTTAAGACATCCCCGCGACGGGGTGAGCTCCCGTTGCTCAGTCCCTGCTCCTGCCAACCTAGCAGTTCAAAAGCACAAAGTGCAAGTAGATAAATAGGTACCGCTCTGGCGGGAAGGTAAACGGCGTTTCCATGCGCTGATCTGCTTCGCCAGAAGTGGCTTAGTCATGCTGGCCACATGACCCGGAAGCTGTATGCCAGCTCCCTTGGCCAATAAAGCAAGATGAGCGCCGCAACCCCAGAGCCCGCCACGACTGGACCTAATGGTCAGGGGTCCCTTTACCTTTAACTTTACCTTTGACAGCTGTACTGCTCTAACAACTGGTGGATGCAAGTTAAACTAGTTGCAGAAGCGGCAAATCGTAATATATGTGGGAAGGCAGGAAAATAGTAGGAACCCGCCCCCCTTCACACTAACTGCATACAGACAAGAATACATATGAACAATGCCATCCTTCAACACACCAAGACAAATCACGAATCAAGTTAAATTTTTAAAGTTCTCAGTAGAGTTTCTTCCTCATTATTTGTAATTTTGTAGAGTTTCTGCACAGAAACTATGGAGTCGAGTTCCTTTTGAGGATGGAGAAAGACACTGCAACCATGATCATGCTGACGCAATTCCTTTCAAACACACTTCAACAGAGCCAATAATTTCCATGGTGTGAAATATCGAGGCTGAAGACCCTGCAAAGCTAACACCTCGCCTTCAACCATAGATACATGGTTAGGAAAGCTAAGAAACAGAAGGCTCCATAGCCTCTTTCTGTTCTTCTTATGGGAGAAATGCACAAAGGGACAGATTTGTCCAACTGTCTAAACTATTGATATTTTCTAGACCCCATTGTGAAGTTCAGTGATTAAGCCCCTTGTGGGAAGAAACACTGGTTGTACCCAGAACAACTTCCGGGTGTTGATTAAAGAAAACGACCCCTTCTGTGATTTATTTCTGTGATTTATCTGTTTGCTTGTCCATACTCCTTACTCTGGAGTAGTCTCTTTGGTGATATATTTCTGTACGACTCTGCCTTAGGATTTAGCAACTATTCAGAGTTTCAAAGCCTACAACGGGCATGTTTACCTGCCATGAAAGTGTATACAGTGGTACCTCAGGTTACACACGCTTCAGGTTACATATGCTTAAGGTTACAGACTCCGCTAATCCAGAAATAGTACCTTGGGTTAAGAACTTTGCTTCAGGATGAGAACAGAAATTGTGCTCCGGTGGCACGGCAGCAGCGGGAGGCCCCATTAGCTAAAGTGGTGCTTCAGGTTAAGAACAGTTTCAGGTTAAGAATGGACCTCCAGAATGAATTAAGTACTTAACCCGAGGTACCACTGTATACACCAGATGAGCTCAAAATATAATGCTCCGAGAAGCCCGCACACCCCCTGAAGCGGCATTATTAAATGTTGTCAGATACCAGCTAGCAGTCACCTCAACCATCCTTGTGAAACAGATAGCTAAGAAGCAGAACTTTTTGCATGTTGACAACCTAGAGAGATTTGTACTTACTAAGAGCTGGACAGTTGTCTGCCGTCTGTGCGGGAACGGTCTGCTCATCTCCCAAAAGACTTTGATTCGTTCCAAGAGCTTCAGCATCCCCCATGCTGCCAACAGTTACAAACTGACCCAAAGCCACAACCCTTTGATTTGGTCCATGTTGTTCTCCAAGCGCTGATGTTGTAGCATTGTTCTGTGTTTAGCTGAAACTTGCTTGAAGGTTATTATCCTTATTGAATATAGGCCGGATGGTTAAGTGCCTCCTTGTGGAATGTGTAAGGCTTGCAGGCTGGAGAGATGTTTGTCTATCCACCTTCAGAAGGGCTGCTGCTTCATCAAATGATTGCAACTGTAAACCCTAGAAAAGCAAAAGTTTGTTTAAAAAAGTCTACACGTTCACCCACCAAAGTGCAAAATAGCAAATGAAGTTCCATGACTAACTTCAAGTTGGGTAGTTTCTGAATCCTAACTAGGATATATGGAGTGGCCAAGTGAGGATTCCCAGGTAAGATCCTCCCTCTATTGTGTGGGCAGGTAATCCCTCCCCTACCTGGCCTGGTCTCCTTGGCAATGCTTCCCCCAGGTGGGATTGGACAACTGACTGAGGTAGGCGGAGACCTCCAGGTATCCCACCTGAGGGAAGGCAAAGCCAAGCCTATGCTGATGGAGCCACTCCGATCTAGGGGCTGCGCGCGTCCACGCAAAGGGCGCCCCCCGTTTTAAGCGGGGAGCGGTCATTTCTGAATCCTAACTAGGATATATGGAGTGGTACTATCACACCCCCCAAAAAAAAACCCCACCCACCCAGAACACACACACACACTGTGTCAGACCAACAATGCCTAAATTGTAGGTATGAACTGCAATTCTCTCCCTGTAAACGGGAGGTTGCCAACAAGCGTGTGTCCAGCAGTTACTGAGTGCAGTTACTCATGCGTTGTAGGGATCTAAAATGTCTTTCTTCAAGGAAATGCATGCTGCAGGAATATCACAGTTTACCATCAGTCAAGTCACAATATTTTGTTCCTGGATACTGCCTCAACAGGAGTGACTGGTGCTATGGAGAACACAATTGTGCAAGTGTCACTTCTAGGACAAAGTCTGCATTGTGAAATCTATAAAGCAGACAGCTTGTGTCCCTTCAGACGTGCACTTGTCTTCTCCTGCAAAGAAGGGCACATTTCCCCTGATATTTAAAGAAAAAACCCAATACAATGGTACCTCGGGTTACATACGCTTCAGGTTACATACGCTTCAGGTTACAGACTCCGCTAAACCAGAAATAGTACCTCGGGTTAAGAACTTTGCTTCAGGATGAGAACAGAAATCACGTGGCGGTGGCGCAGAAGCAGCAGGAGGCCCCATTAGCTAAAGTGGTGCTTCAGGTTAAGAACAGTTTCAGGTTAAGAACAGACCTCCGGAACGAATTAAGTACTTAACCCGAGGTACCACTGTACACAAACTATAATACAATGGTCCTGTGCTGTACAGGTAACTCCCTGATCCCAGACTACTAATTTTTTGACAGCTTGTTATAGAAACCGTAGTTACCTTTTGCTGGGTAAATACTATGGGCTGGAGTAACTCTGAAGTTAAGAGCTCCTTTGCTCCATTTGATTCCACTTTGATTATGGTTTTCTCTGGTGAGCTCCCTACAAAAACAACCAGAGACAAAGTGACATGGGGCAGGGACCCGTCTTACCTTCGATAAAAGCTTATCCAATCAGCCATCCAAACTAAATCCCCAGATATATCTCATGCAGTATAAAGTACTTTGTTGAATGGTCGGTAGTCTATAGAGGAATATTGAAAGAAAACAAGGGAGTAGAAAGCAGGAAAGGAAGTTGCGTGACTATTACAGTGAGTAGTTGAACATTAAATCACAGGAAAATGAATCAGTTAGCAGTACAGGTTAGTTACAGGTAGGTAGCCATGTATCTGAAGATGTGTGCATGCTCACGAAAGCGCATACCAATAACAAACTTAGTTAGTGTCTAAGGTGGGGGACGCGGGTGGTGCTGTGGGTTAAACCACAGAGCCTAGGACTTGCCGATCAGAAGGTCAGCGGTTTGAATCCCCACAACGGGGTGAGTCCCGTTGCTAGGTCCCTGCTCCTGCCAACCTAGTAGTTCAAAAACACCTCAAAGTGCAAGTAAATAGGTACCGCTCCGGCAGGAAGGTAAACAGAGTTTCCGTGCGCTGCTCTGGTTCGCCAGAAGCGGCTTAGTCATGCAGGCCACATGACCTGGAAGCTGTACGCCGGCTCCCTCGGCCAATAAAGTGAGATGAGTGCTGCAATCCCAGAGTGGGTCACAACTGGACCTAATGGTCAGGGGTCCCTTTACCCTTTTACCTTTATAAATGTCTACTTAGAACATAAGCTCCACTCATATAAGTTTGTACAGGACTGCTGCCTTAAGTGTGCTAGGGATATAATTTGATTTGATATTTTTAGTTGTATTTAACTAATAATTTAATATATTTAAATGTTTGTTTTATTGTTTTGTATTCTGCTTTGTGGCAGTGGCCCACTTAGGGAATTTGTAAAATAATAAAAGCAGTAGCTGATGCTGATTTATCTCTAAATAAATACCATATACTGTACTGTATTGATGTGCATTCATTTGCCATGGTTTCTGCTAAAGCAATGGCTCAAGTAAATACAGCAATTACTGTACCTCAGGGGTGCCCAAACTTTTTTCAAAGAGGGCTAGATCTGATGAAGTGAACATGCGTGAGAACCACCCAAAGTTGCTGAGCTTTTTTTAGGATTTAACCCCAAAGTTGTTGGGATTACGCCCCCGAAATCGGCTTGGAACACAAAACACAAAACATCTACAGCAATCTTGTGGGTTCATTACACCAACACTTCAAATAGATATACAGTGGTAACTCGCAAGACGAATGCCTCGCAAGACGAAAAACGCGCAAGACGAAAGAGTTTTTCGTTTTTTGAGTTGCTTCGCAAGACGAATTTCCCTATGGGCTTGCTTCGCAAGACGAAAACGTCTTGCAAGTTTGTTTCCTTTTTCTTAAAACCGTTAATACCCAGGGAAACCGTGCTTCGCAAGACGAAAAAATCGCAAGACGAAAACACTCGCAGAACGAATTAATTTTGTCTTGCGAGGCACCACTGTATTAGCACAACACATTTAGGATCAAATTTACTAGCTGCAAATTTGTGGCTTCACTGAGATAAATACTATTGCCAGAATCTCTACATTACTTGCAGTCACAAATTATTTGAAGCAAGCTATAAATAAAAAAAACCAGCTACTATAAAAATATGCAAATAGGTATGTCTGCTCCCTGAAGGGTAAAAATTAATTGATGAATAGAATATATATGGACATATTTCAAATTAAGCGCCCTAGGGCCAAAAAACCGATCTCTTACGCTGCCAGCAATTAAATTCTTACCTTCCAGTTCCAAGAGTGGGATGTGTTTTTCAGTTCAGTTGGTCCGTTTCAAGAGTTGCTAAAATACAAGTTAAACACACACAGAAAAAGGCTCAGCTTAATGTGCAATTCGCCATACATACACTGGTATAAGCAATACATTGCATCAGTTAGGTCACCAACTAACATATGAGGAATTGCAAGCTCTCCTTTTGCTGCATGCCCCCTAAATCTGTTCTGGCTTCCTCCCACCACAAACCTTGTGGGGAGGAGAAGCCTTACATTAACGCAAGGATTTAGTTGCATACTGTCCTAAGCTCTGGGGCAGAACACACACCCAAGGAATTCATTCCAATATCGGAGAAAACTCTACACTCGTAATACGGCACTCTGCTTCATACATAAGTCAATAGGTGATCCCTGTGTATTTCTGACTCCTTGCATTCACAAGGAGCCACTACCTCGTGGCTTAGGGACATTCCTAAAGATCTTGCTGCAACTTCCTGTACCAGGCTATTTTTTTGCTCCCCACCCTCACAACTACAGTGGTACCTCGGGTTACATACGCTTCAGGGTTACATATGCTTCAGGTTACATACTCTGCTAACCCAGAAATAGTGCTTCAGGTTAAGAACTTTGCTTCAGGTTGAGAACAGAAATCGTGCTCCGGTGGCGCGGCAGCAGCAGCAGGAGGCCCCATTAGCTAAAGTGGTGCTTCAGGTTAAGAACAGTTTCAGGTTAAGTACGGACCTCCGGAACGAATTAAGTACTTAACGCGAGGTACCACTGTATCACTTCCAAAGGGCTCATCACACCATGGCAAAAGGAAATGCACAAAGAATGATTCATAGGGCAACGTTTAAACAATAAATTGTAAAAAAGGCATTTACAGTGGTGCCCCGCAAGACGAATGCCTTGCAAGACGAAAAACTCGCTAGACGAAAGGGTTTTCCGTTTTTGTGTTGCTTCGCTAGACGAATTCCCCTATGGGCTTGCTTCGCAAGACGAAAACGTCTTGCGCTTTTTTTTTAAAGCCACTTGAAGAGGCGCAGTTGCGACAGACCGTGCTTCGCAAGACGAAAAACATCGCAAGACGAAAAGACTCGCGGAACGAATTCTTTTCGTCTTGCGAGGCACCACTGTACTTTTAAGGCACATGAACTGTAAGATGAAAAACAAACCCAACCAATAATAATAATAATAATAATAATAATAATAATAATAATTGGTGAAGGAATGAGACTTTGAAACTGCCTCTGAAATTGGCACGGTTAAGCAATAAAATAAAGCAGGGGTTCCCAAACTGTGGTCTAGCAGATCATCAATGGCCTGCAATCTTCATTCAGGTGGACCATGGCATTTCTGCATTAAATATTTCTATTGATTTTTAATGGCATTTTAATTTTCTTTATTGTATTACGATTTGAATTCTATGCAATGCAAATTTGAAAACTACATAAGAAATAAAATAAGTAATAAAATTACAATTAAAAATCATACAACATCTAGCACAGTGTGTTACAATTGTGACCGCAAACAGGAAAATCTTTAAGTGGCCCACCAAGATATTGAAGAGGTCGAGGAGTTTGGGAACCACTTATATAAAGGCTACATAACGTTAGGATTAACAAAGCAACAAATAAATGTTTTCAGCTTGCTCCTACCCTCAGAAGGTGAAGATGCAAGTGTAACAGTCACTGTTTCAGTAAGAATATTACCACTGTCTGTTGTCCATTGAAGCTGAAAAGAGGAAGAAGAGCCATTTAAAGAAGCCAACACTCTTATCACATGTTGACACACATCCAAATCACCAGGAAAAGACAAAAACTGAATGCAGATTTACTTATTTGTTCTTATACTCTTATCTTTTAGATTCCTCCTTCTTAACCATTCTGTGGTTTTACGAAACAGTTAACTTGGTGTCAAACAAACCCTGGTCAAGTAATCACTTAAAGAAATAAAAGCCAAGCCTTCTGCCATGTGGAATATTAGTAAGACCTTCGCAGTCCTCTCTGATATTTGAGTTGTTCTAGCTAGGAGTTAGGGACGCGGGTGGCACTCTGGGTTAAACCACAGAGCCTAGGACTTGCCGATCAGAAAGTCGGCAGTTCGAATCCCCGCCACGGGGTGAGCGCCTGTTGCTCGGTCCCTGCTCCTGCCAACCTAGCAGTTCAAAAGCACGTCAAAGTGCAAGTAGATAAATAGGTACCGCTCCGGCGGGAAGGTAAACAGTGTTTCCGTGCGCTGCTCTGGTTCGCCAGAAGCGGCTTAGACATGCTGGCTGTACGCCGGCTCCCTCGGCCAATAAAGCAAGATGAGCACCGCAACCCCAGAGTCGGTCACGACTGGACCTAATGGTTAGGGGTTCCTTTACCTTTACTTAGATAGGAGTTTGCCATGAACTTGCTGAGTGACAACCCCAAATAATTTAAGCTTGTCACTTGTTCTATCAGATATCTATTAAGTGACCATTTGAGTAGGTAAATTTGCTCTACTAAAAACAATGTGTTTTTTTTGTTTTATCATAGTTTATACTCTGTTTCTCATTTTGACAATACTGTATCAATCACCTTAGTAGGCAATTTAATTGTAATTTACTGGGGGGGGGGGAATTATTTGTGCTAATGCCTTTGAAACAGTTATCCTGAGAGAGAGTCAAGAGCAAGCAATGAAGACTGTCCACAAAATGACCACAAAACTCGGCTGAAAGAGAAAGAGAGGAAGAAAGAAGAGTCCATGCTTACCATTGCTGGAATAGTTTCTGAGTTGTATAATATCTTCCCATTTCTTAGTGACTTCTGCACTTCATGAATGTGGTTCTTGAGATCATTTACAGTAGGAAAGAAAGACAAGTTGTGCTTCTCTGGCACTTCATCAGGTCTGAACAATTCTCGTTCCACAAATTTTCTGTTGAGTATTAGAAATGGGGGGAAAAGAGAGGATTAAACACGTGTTGATATGTGATTTATTGTACTTGTTGCTCTTCCGAACAACACACAATCAAGGCTTGGGAAGTTAACATTCCTTCCCCAAGCAGGGTAGAGTTCACACTCACAGATGGAGGTCTCCTGCCTCTCCTTTTCCTTACGCATCTGGAGTCTGGGGTATCCTTGAGAATGGTGCAGGGGCCTACAAATGAAGCAAGACTTGGTGGAAGTCCCCTTCAAGCCCAAGTGTTTTACTCTTGTTGTTTAGTCGTTTAGTCGTGTCCAACTCTTCGTGACCCCCTGGACCAGAGCATGCCAGGCACTCCTGTCTTCCACTGCCTCCCGCAGTTTGGTCAAACTCATGCTGGTAGCTTCAAGAACACTGTCCAACCATCTCGTCCTCTGTCGTCCCCTTCTCCTTGTGCCCTCCATCTTTCCCATCATCAGGGTCTTTTCCAGGGAGTCTTCTCTTCTCATGAGTTGGCCAAAGTATTGGAGCCTCAGCTTCAGGATCTGTCCTTCCAGTGAGCACTCAGGGCTGATTTTCTTAAGAATGGATAGGTTTGATCTTCTTGCTGTCCATGGGACTCTCAAGAGTCTCCTCCAGCACCATAATTCAAAAGCATCAATTATTCGGCGAACAGCCTTCTTTATGGTCCAGCTCTCACTTCCATACATCACTACTGGGAAAACTATAGCTTTAACTATACGGACCTTTGTTGGCAAGGTGATGTCTCTGCTTTTTACTCTACTAACACACATTTAGCCTGATTATCCAGAGTCAGATTTTTTTTATTTAAATCAGAGTTTTTAAAATTTAAATTGGATTTTAAAAATAAAATGCTTTGGGTGGGCAGAATCTTTCTAAAGACAGGTTTCTACATTATAGTCCAAAGGCTATTCATCAGCAAATAAGGATTTGTTTTAAGTTTTTCATGTGTGCTAAAACTCAGTTTAAAGTTTAAAAGAGAAAAAAATGTTTAACCACATCAGTTAACAAACATGGATACACATGCTATAATGTTATGGTTTCAGTTAAATAAATTGTTTAAATTGTTATTAAGGAAATGATTATTTTTATCCTTCCAATAAAGTACAGCAGAAAAGTTGTCCCAATATAAACAGTTAACTTATTAAACCTCACAATAATTTCCTAACTATCTGTCTATGTATTTCTAATAGTATAACCAAATTAGTAATCTTTGATATAGCTATAAAAACTAAAATTTATTATTCCAAAAATGAAACCTTCATCTGGTTGTAAATATTAAGATTATGCCAGCAAGAATATGTCTTTCTGTAAAAGAAATGATTTAAATCAAGTCTTACTGACTAGTGAATTAAATCAAATCCACCCTGCGATTATCCCATTCTTTTCCTACTGGAAATTTTGCTGGACTACTTAGGAAAAATCCAAAAACGTTGCAAAAACAAAACAACCAGGCAAACAGAAGATTGCTAAAGAAAATCTAGAATACCAATATGTAAAGCTTTCTCTTCTGTGCAGTGTAAGAAAAACTACAACTTAGCCTATACTTTGGACTCTTGAATAATCTCAGGTATGGATAATAAAGTAGTAAGTTTCTATGCTATAGGCTTAGCGACTAGAGGTTTACTACAGGTCTCTGGGGTGCTCTTTCCAATTGGTCTGAAAAGCACCTACCTTGATATATGGGAAGGCTCTGTGCAACCACATTCCACTCCCAAAAGAGCCAAAATGTAGAAATCAGGACAGGGGCGGGGGGAGCGGGTGCTGTGTCATAACCCACACAAAGTGGAAGAAGTGTGTTGTGTAGAGACTTACAAAGACTTACCGTAACTGTTTCCTCACTGCGTAGACTTGTTGTATTCCTTGAGACACTAGCTCTCGGATCTTATCTGCAACTTGCGGGTGAAGTCGCGAGGGCAGCGTGCAGCTTTCGTCTTTGCCTGCATCGTCCTCTCCCTCAGGAGACGGTATGGAGAATGGCAATCGTGGGAGGCACATCTCTAGCTCATGATACTGATGAGCCTGCTGAGTAGGTAACTGCACATACCACCTGGCGAGAAAAATTGGCAGATGCAACTCCCAAGAAAGTAATTCCTTTTTCCAGCAGGAGGGGGGAAACCAACTCTAGTGAATATTTCAGGTCTGTCTAACTCAGGCATAGGCAAACTCCGACCTTCCAGATGTTTGGGACTACAATTCCCATCATCCCTATCTAACAGGACCAGTGGTCAGGGATGATGGGCATTGTAGTCTCAAAACGTCTGGAGGGCCGAGTTTGCCTATGCCTGGTCTAACTCATGGGCATCACCACACTTCCACACAGATTGCTGTTATCTTTACCACTCCACGGCAGTAAAAGTAAAGAACCCCTGGATGGTTAAGTCCAGTCAAAAGCGACTATGGGGTGCGGCGCTCATCTCGCTTTCAGGCCGAGGGAGCCAGGGTTTGTCCACATACAACTTTTCTGGGTCATGTGGCCAGCATGACTAAACCGCTTCTGGTGCAACAGAACACCGTGACGGAAGCCAGAGCACACGGAAACACCGTTTACCTTCCCTCTGCATTGGTACCTATTTATCTATTTGCACTGGTGTGCTTTCGAACTGCTAGGTTGGCAGGAGCTGGGACAGAGCAACGGGAGCTCACCCCATTGTGGGGATTCGAACCGCCAACCTTTTGACCAGCAAGCCCAAGAGGCTCAGTGGTTTAGACCACAGCGCTATCTGCGTCCCTGGCAGTAGCCCTATCTTGGAGTAGGTGTGGTCTATGATGCTGTCAAGTAGCATGTGCCACTGATCCTGATAACACTGCACTGGCTGCCAGTGATCTACCAAGCCCAATTCTAACAGCTTAGAACTTAAGTTCCTAAAAGAGCGCCTTCCATTTCAGACCCTATGACTGGCAGGTGAGGCCTTGTTGGTGACCCCACCACTGGGGTCTGCTTTTCAGTAGTGGTTCCCCTTTGTGGAGTGCCCTCCCTAATGAGTTGTGCCTGTCTCCAACATTATTAACTTCCAGGAAAAATCCAAAAACATTCATTTATCCAGGCATTTGCTGCCTGAATAATGTTGCACGCCACCCTAATATCCGAGCAGTATGAGATTCCAGGGTTTCCAGGCTCTCAACCAGGGTTTGTGGTTCCTTTTGGGAATGATGTCTTTATGATATATAGTTTATTTACACATATATACAACCTGAGCCTACAATTAATATTAATAGGTAAAGGTAAAGGAACCCCTGACCATTAGGTCCAGTCGTGGCCGACTCTGGGGTTGCGGTGCTCATCTCGCTTTATTGGCCGAGGGAGCCGGCGTACAGCTTCCGGGTCATGTGGCCAGCATGACTAAACCACTTCTGGCGAACCAGAGCAGCGCACAGAAATGCCGTTTACCTTCCCGCCGGAACGGTACCTATTTATCTACTTGCACTTTGACATGCTTTCGAACTGCTAGGTTGGCAGGAGCAGGGAACGAGCAACGGGAGCTCACCCCGTCACGGGGATTCGAACCGCCAACCTTCTGATCAGCAAGTCCTAGGCTCTGTGGTTTAACCCACAGAGCCACCCGCGTCCCAATTTTAATAATAATTGATTATTTATACTCCGCCCATCTGGCTGAGTCTCCTCAGCCACTCTGGGCAGCTCCCAATCAAGTGTTAAAAACAGTACAGCATTAAATATTGAGGGGTTCACGGCATTAACGCCCCGAAAGGGTCTTGTTTCTCCCACAGCTGCAGCCTAAGGTTTCAAATAGAAACCAACCATTGTGCTCTGACTCTCTTTACCAGGCTGCAACCTTCTTTCCTCTAGGTCACATCACAGACCCAAAACTCTAAAGGTTCTGCTTCAAACTCTCATTTGGTCTTCTAACTAACTCAGAGCTGAAGGAGGGGCTCCAGCCCTTTTGCTGTCTGGCAGAGAGTCCTCTCTCTTTTGCTTTCTTAACGGTCCATCACCTTTCCCTTTGTTCTCTCTTAATGGCTCATCTCCCAGGTGATCACCTCATGACAAAACCAGCCTGCTTTATATTTTAACCCTGGCTGGATCTAGGAGTTCAGAAGGCTTAACAAATTTCTAACACTTACTGGGTCCAGGACTTTAGGGGCACCCAGCACCTCCAAACTCATAACAACATTACTGTTCCTGGCAACCCTGGAACAACAACAAATCAAGCTGAAAGACATACATTACCTGAGAACCCCACCAGCATCAATCAGGTTTTTCTTCAGCACGTTGAAAGCTTTCTCCTGTTCCACACGTAAAATTTTCTTATCAATTTTGGGGTCTGTCGGAACTCTATACTCGGGGAACTTCTGGACCTTCTTAATATAGATCCTGCCATAGGAAAGGAGGGGAAGGAATCACAACACAGAGACTACGACAAACAAACACATTCTCTTATTCTATAAAGACATTTTAGAATGAAAAACACCTAACTATTTAAAGAGGTGGAAGAGTGACACGACCCCTTAAAACATATTTGCCCCCCACAGCTGCTCTTACCTATTTTTGTAATATTGGTAGTAACATTTTCCTGCAAAAATTTTTTTGTACGCTCTTGTTCAGATAAACATTTGTCCTATTTACTAAAATGTCCAAAGCCTTCTAGAGTGGCTGGGGAAACCCAGCCAGATGGGCAGGGTATAAATAATATATTGGTTAACTATTAAATAATAATAATAATAATAATTTATTTATACCCCGCCCATCTGGCTGTTTCCTCAGCCGCTCTGGGCGGCTCCCAATCGAGTGTTAAAAACAATACAGCATTAAATATTAAAAGCTCCCCTAAACAGGGCTGCCTTCAGATGTCTTAGGATAGCTGCTTCTTTCCTTCACATCTGAAGGAAGGGTGTTCCACAGGGCGGGCGCCACCACCGAGCAGGCCCTCTGTCTGGTTCCCTGTAACCTCACTTCTCGCAATGAGGGAACCACCAGAAGGCCCTCGGAGCTGGATCTCAGTGTCCGGGCTGAACGATGGGGGTGGAGATGCTCCTTCAGGTATACAGGACCAAGGCTGTTTAGGGCTTTAAAGGTCAGGACCAACACTTTGAATTGTGCTCGGAAACATACTAGGAGCCAATGCAGATCTCTCAGAACCGGTGTTATGTGGTCCTGGCAGCCACTCCCAGTCACCAGTCTAGCTGCCGCATTCTGGATTACTTGCAGTTTCCGGGTCACCTTCAAAGGTAGCCCCACGTAGAGCGCATTGCAGTAGTCCAAGCGGGAGATAACTAGAGCATGCACCACTCTGGCAAGACAGTCTGCAGGCAGGTAGGGTCTCAGCCTGTGTACCAGGTGGAGCTGGTAGACAGCTGCCCTGGACACAGAATTAACCTGCGCCTCCATGGACAGCTGTGAGTCCAAAATGACTCTCAGGCTGCACACCTGGTCCTTCAGGGGCACAGTTACCCCATTCAGGACATTCATTATTCATTATTAATATTATTATTATTATTCTACTTTCCCGGCTATCCATTGCTTACCTTGCAGGGCAGGTGGCTTTGTAAACTTGGCAGGAAACGTCCTCCTGTTCACCAGTTTTCCTGGGCTGAAAACCCTTTCTTCGGGGCCCATATTGGCACTCCATCACTATGGCTCTGCTTCCTGTTTCGAGGGAAATGCTGTGTGTTCATTGCGACAGATATTTTGTTTCCTCGGCAGATCAGTTTGGGATAGGGATGGGGGGAAATACATTCGTCCAATAAGCCAAATCCAGAAGTGGCCAACCCTCCGTGGGCCATTCTGACGAACTGGGGGGGGGCACCCAACTATCAATAATCTGACACCATATAAAATCAGGGGATTCAAACTTCAAGCCACACAAAGGTAGAAAGATTCTACCTTTGCTGTTCCGGCTAGAATTCAGCACTTTTTGAATCTAAGCCACAGCTGAAGGACAGCGGCGGAGCAAGCCGATTGGGCGCCTGGGGCGGCGCACGTGCCCTGCACCAGGGGCGGGGCCAGCCACCCGCGGGGCGGGGCCAGACAGGGCAGGACGCTTCGTGGGTCCTTCGAGGAGTCTGCCTGCCTCCTCCCACTCAGCCGCCCTACAGCTGAGCGGGAGGTGGCAGGTGGACTGTTTCTGGCTGCATGGCGCCTGTGGGCGCCTAAGCCACTGTGTCACTCCCAGGAGAGACGCATGGCTCAGGCGCACTGCAGGCCCCACGGTGAGTGCCACCCGGCATTTTGTCAACCCCCCCCCAGTGGTGACGCCCGGGGTGGCCTGCCCCCACCGCACCCCCTTCCTCCGCCCCTGCTGAAGGAGGACCAGTAGCAAAGCCAGCCAGCCCATGAGGTGGGGTAAAGCAACTGCCTCGGGCAGCGGAAGTGCAAGGGGCAGCACCTCCGCAGATACCTTGCCCACCCGCACCGCTGGAGAACCAGTGCTGGCAGAAGCAACCGTTTCCGTTGAGATTTTATGAGATCTCACAGAAAGTTGCGAGATCTTGTAAACCACATGAGAGCTTGCAGGAAACCAGCGCCACTGACGGTGGTGGCGGCAGCTGACAGGAAGCACATTCCTGTTTCGACTCAGGCGGCAAAACAGGACACACTGCACCTGACCGGGAGCTCACTAAATGCACGTGCTATTCGTAAGACTTTGTTAAAAACAAATGATTTAATCATTTAACACTGCTAGAGAGCAAGAGACGTGTGTGTTCCATGACAATAAAGTTTTCATAGGTAAAAAAAGAATGTATGGCCCGGGCATACTATTTATTTGAAGATGGCATAACTGTTTATTTCATCACAATTGTATGTACCGTATTTTTTGCTCTAAAAAGTAAGGGGGAATGTGTGTGTGTCTTATGGAGCGAATGCAGGCTGTGCAGCTATCCCAGAAGCCAGAATGGCAAGAGGGATCGCTGCTTTCGCTGCGCAGCGATCCCTCTTGCTGTTCTGGCTTCTGGGATTCAGAACCTTTTTTTTCTTGTTTTCCTAGATGCATCTTATGGTCTGGTGTGTCTTATAGAGCGAAAAATACGGTATATAAAGGCAACTCCATAGCGGCTTCCAAACATGCAATTTCTATCTGTGTAGAAAAGGATTCTGTGAAGCATTCTAAATGACATTTTCCCTCAAAAGACTAGAACACAGGTACCAACGCACAAGCACACAGCAGAATATGAGTGAAAACCACTACAACGTAGGCACTGAGACTTTTCCCTTTGTGACCTTTCACAATACCTATAGATATTCTGCAAAGCAAAACGAAGCACAGTCTCTTTAATAAATCTGAAAACCATTAAGAAGAAAGAAAGTTACCAGCATTGACAAAAGGGATCCCATCAAATGGAACATATTGTGATTTCCACATCAGCCTCGTGGCAGGTTTAGCTGGGCTTGGAGACTGGCGTGTTCCCCACACGCTGTGCGTTTGCTGCTTGTGCACTGTTAGAATATTCTCTAATTCTGTTTCACTTGAACAATAGCCACGGTATGAATCCCCAATTTTCTGCGTGAAGAGGAGGTGAAATAATAGGATTTATTCACCAATTAAAATGCTATTTGGAGTTCAGGAAGTCAGTATCATCACATGAGATGCCTGTGGCAATCCGGTGTGTTGTATGCACATTATGTGCAGGAGACAGAATTTTTCCAAGAGTTTCTTCCCTTCCCAATTTTCCTGAGTTTAAGATGCAGTTTCTGGGTTTATTTGTTGCAAACAGTGTTAAACATTTTATGTTTTGCCAGAACTCCATGTACTCCCTTTAACTGTACAGTCATACCTCAGGGTGAATATTTTCAGGTTGAATATTTTCGGGTTGCGCTCCGTGGCGACCTGGAAGTAACAGTATGTTAAAAAGGTAAAGGTACCCCTGCCCGTACGGGCCAGTTGTGTCCGACTCTGGGGTTGCGCACCCATCTCGCTTAAGAGGCCGGGGGCCAGCGCTGTCCGAAGACACTTCCGGGTCACATGGCCAGCGTGACAAGCTGCATCTGACGAGCCAGCACAGCACACGGAAACGCTGTTTACCTTCCCGCTAGTAAGCGGTCCCTATTTATCTACTTGCACCCGAGGGTGCTTTCAAACTGCTAGGTTGGCAGGCGCTGGGACCGAGCAACGGGAGCGCACCCCGCCGCGGGGATTTGAACCACTGACCTGACAATCGGCAAGTCCTAGGCGCTGAGGTTTTACCCACAGCGCCACCCGCGTCCCACAGTAACAGTAACAGTATGTTACTTCCAGGTTTTGCCGCTCGCACATGCGCAACGCTCAAAATGACGTCACGCGCATGCGCAGACAGTGGCATAGCGTGGGTTGTCAGCACCCGGGGCAAGGCAAGTAATTTGTGCCCCCTAACCCGTGGATTTGCGCCCCCCAACCCGTGGATTTGCGCCCCCTAACCCTAACACCCAGATGCTGCGCCCGGTGCGGCCGGCCCCCCCTGCACCCCCCACGCTACACCACTGTGCGTGGAAGTGGCAAATCACGACCCACGCACGTGCAGACGGGGGTTGCGTTCACTTCAGGATGCGAACAGGGCTCTGGAACAGATCCCGTTCGCATCCAGAGGTACCACTGTATATGAATGAAAGCTCAGTGACAAGTGTGTATAAAATGCTATTTTGGAAAGCAACGCTTTTTCATTTCTGCCGACTTTTACTGCTGTACATGATTCTAAAGAGAAATGTCTGCTGAGCAGTGTGACCATCTCCAATGATTTTCCTTATATGCCTATTTAATGTCAAATACCCAAAACACTATTTTAAAAACACAGGCAAGTGAATAAAACCGTTTCAATATTATATGGGGTAACAGCCAAACAGAAAACTCCTAGGAAAATTGTGTGCTATTGTAACAAGTTATCAGATCAGTCTAAGTACAGTGGTACCTTGGGTTATGAACCTAATTCGTTCCGGAGGTCCGTTCTTAACCCGAAGCCGTTCTTAACCTGAGGTGCGCTTTCGCTAATGGGGCCTCCCGCTGCCGCAGGCGCGTGATTTCCGTTCTCATCCTGGGGCAAAGTTCTCAATCCGAGGTACTACTTCCTGGTTAGCGGAGTTTGTAACCCAAAGTGTTTGTAACCTGAGGTACCACTGTATTTTAAAAGTATGCAAGCTAAAGGTTATAGTCATCACCTAAGAAAGATATACCGTATTTTTCGCCCTATAGGGTGCACTTATTTTGGGGGGGGGAAATAAAGGGGGTGGGAATTATTTCCCCCCGAGCCCCAAAGAGCAAAGAAGCCATGACAGCGAGCGGGATGGATCCCGCTAGCCGTCCTGGCTTCGTTTTTAGCCTCGGGGCTGGGGGTCCAGGAGCGAAGGTGAGGTTGTGCAACCTCGCCATCGCTCCCGGAGCTTGCGGGGCTAGGGGCGGGGGAAGCCCGAGCTTCCCCCGACCCCAAACCGCAGAACAGGCTGCTATCCGCAAGCCTTGGGAGCCCGGTGGGAACTCCCGCCGGGCTCTCCAGGCTTGCAGATATCTGCCCGAAGCCCAGGGCGCGCCCCGCTGCGCTCCCCGGGTTTCCGGCTGCAGGCTGCAGCCTTGGGAGCCCGGTGGGAACTCCCACCGGGCTCCCAAGGCTTGTGGATAGCTTTCTGAAGCCTGGAGAGCGAGAGGGGTCGGTGCGCACCGACCCCTCTCGCTTTCCAGGCTTCAGTGAAAGCCTGCATTCACCCCATAGGACGCACACACATTTCCCCTTCATTTTTGGAGGGGAAAAAGTGCGTCCTAGACGGCGAAAAGTACGGTAAATATTATGTTGTCAGCTATTCTATGGCCTTTTGGCGAAGAGCAGTATACAGTGGTACCTCCGTTTGCGGACGAGATCCGTTCCGGAGCTCCAGTCGGATCCCGAGATTTTCACTACCAGAGGTGTCTGTTCTGCGCATGTGCATGATGCGGTAGAGCACTTCTGCGCATGTGGCAAAACCCAGAAAAATACTTCTGGGTTTGCCACATTTGCATCCTGAAGTTTACGTAACCAGACGGTTACGTAACGCGAGGTACTACTGTATGTCTATAATTTTCTTAATAAAACCAAAACAAATGAACTGTTCAGGAGTTTAAAGCAGTTTAGAAGATGACTCGTGGTAGCAAAGCCTTGCCATATACAGTGTATTCATCAGATGAAGGGCTTGACTGAAAGGCAATCCCTCTCTGCTTGTTGCATTTCATGAAAGATACTAGTGAAAAACTTACACAGCATACCTTTTCCAGAGACCAATTACAATTACTTTCCTACTTTCGACTAAGTTGCTAGGGCCATTTACATTCCATGACATCCACTTAAATCCCCCTCTGGCTACCACTAGACTGCCTTGGCTCCGAACAAACTACAAGACCGTTTAACTGACAAACGCCAAGTAACTAAGAAGTGTAACCACCTCCGATACTAGTTTGTGAGATTAATACTTTGCTCAGTTGTTGTTTTTAGCTCACCTCACAGTTCCTCAGACGGCGAGCCCAGGTAGGTGTGTTTGAGGACAATGGTTGAGGGGAAACTGGAAAAGTGTCTTCCAATAACCTGAACAATAAATGCAAAATGGGATATAGAGTCAAAACAAATCCATGCAGATAAACACGTAATCGCAGATTTAGACGATGTTGCTATATTAAGGACAGAAGCAGACTGCTTTTCACTTCTTGCGGTTAACATTTGTAAGGCAGTATTTGGAATACTTCAAAAAATATTTTAAAAGCTATCATTCAAAGCAACAACCTACTCTTTCACTTTATTGCTGCAAGCCTTCAGGGACCAGATGGTTTAGGAATCTCCTATGTCAATCATTAGAAAGCAACCTGTGACCATTTCATAGATGCAACAAGAGGAAGTTCAGCTAAAATACTGACAATGGGGAAAACTGCAGAACTTCACAGTTTGTCTGAGAAGAGTTTTCTCATCTTCTGACCTACCTGGTGGCTGTTGCTTTGGACACTGTAAGAGATGCTTGAGGATGAAGGATGTATCTGCTTGTACCGTCTGCAACAGCAGCCACTGCAACAGCTCGCAAACTCCCACCATTTCTCTCTTCTGAAGCATCTTAGGAAAAAGATGGGGGGGAACACGTCCCTCTTTAATAAGTGCATAGAGAACCAAGAAAGTGCAATTCAGAAAACTGGTGAGCAATTAGCAAGCAGCAGCCTGAGACTGAAATGTGAATCTGTCTCTGCCAGACCCTGGAACCTCCTAGAATGGAGAGGCCCTGTTCTGATAGAGCTAAGGGCACAGCTTTCAGAATGTGCTCTTCCATAACCACCACAAGCTTAGTTAAAAGTTGGTTTAGCAACGCCGCCGAGAAAAAAAGATGGGCTCCATCTTGCTTGTGTACGTTTGCGAAATTCTACATTTCCTGTTCTCAAGTCAAATAAATCTTGAGTCAAAGGAAGAAAAGGAAAGAACCTATCCCAGCGTGCTACAGGTACAAAATATAGTCCGTACTTTGCACCTAGCAGCTGTGACCTTTGCAAGCAGCAGCACACAGTCTGCTGTTAAGGAATGTCTCAAGAAAAAGAAGCTTGAACAGCCTGTGAGAAGCCCACCTCTTCAAATTCCAAGTTTACAATTAAAATTATTGATTCTGAGTGTGGAAATACTGTACAATTACATAATGAAGGTGTATGTCTTGGCACCAGAATTCACAAATTGAAGGTTAAGTGCTTTCGCTTAGTAGCATGTTGTACTGATTTCAGTGGAACTTGCTTCCACATAGTCTGTTGGGACACGATGTATCTTACCCTGAGAACTGGTGACATCCAGAAGTTGACCTTGGGGAATAATCACTTGTGCCATTCCCGGCTGAGAAGGAATAACGTGCAGCACTTGCCCATTTTCAGACTGGCTGGCAACTATCATCTTTGAAGGAAACAAAGAAATGGTATAATGAATATCATATACTATTTGAGAGATAGATTTATAACAATAAGTTTCAAGCCAATCTGAAATTATTCATCTCTGTTTTATAGAAAAATCAGAAACCACTGAGATCTATATTTGAATTTAAGCAAAGAGACTCAAGTTCTTGCTGATAAGATCCACATATTGATGGAATTCCCCCTGCCCCAGATATTTAATAATAATAATAATAATAATAATAATAATAATAATAATAATTTATACCCTGCCCTCTCCAGCCAAGACCAGGCTCAGGGCGGCTAACAACTAATAATAAAAACAAGTTGATTAAAATACAACTTAAAAAACAAGATTAAAATAGAACATTAACATTATTTCAAGGTTCCCTTAACACAGCGATTTGACAAAGCCACAACACACTTAATCCACATATCTGTTTATGAAGTACAGAAGACTAATGTGTTATTAAGGCTGGCAATTAAAAAAATATTCAGTTGATTCGTCATCTGCTATTTAGTCAACAAAACATAACGCAGATTAGGGCATTATTACATTTCAACACAGGGTTCCTTTTTCAAATACATTGGAGGGAAAACTAAACAAACAAAAACTGCCCTAAAGATGTATTTACTCACCATGTGAGTGCTGGACCCCTCTGAGGATTGTACTTCATAAAAGGGATGGCCACGCTGGTGTACAAGTTGAAACCCTTCTGCTGAAAAAGGGAGCGTCTGGGACAGCTGCATTTGTGCATTCAGTGACTGAGAAATATCTTCCGAAATGGGCGCTGTGATGGGCAGGACTGCCTGAGGAACATTTGGCCCAAAGGATGGGTCCCCGGTTTCCACGTATGCTAGATGCTGTCATACAGAATATATATTGGCATCTTTTCAATCATTTGTTTTTTTAAAATCTTCGGAATAGCAAATGGTACCTTAGTACCAAGATGACCAGTGAGGCAATTTTCTACTCAAACCTGAGTTTTCTGGCTGAAAACTATGGCTGGAAAAGCCACCTCGATTTGACTGCCATCATCCCTCTTGTATCATCTGGGCTATGATACTGTCCTTGAATCCCTGAGGCAAAGGCTTTGGGACATTTCACCTAGCAACCTGCGATCTCGATCTCATGTAATCTGTGGCCCAGTAGAAGCAGGAATCCAATACAGTGGTACCTTGGGTTAAGTACTTGATTTGTTCCGGGGGTCCGTTCTTAACCTGAAACGGTTCTTAACCTGAAGCACCACTTTAGCTAATGGGGCCTCCTGCTGCCGCTGTGCTGCGGCTGCACAATTTCTGTTCTCATCCTGAAGCAAAGTTCTTAACTCGAGGTAATATTTCTAGGTTAGCGGAGTCTGTGACCTGAAGCGTATGTAACCTGAAGCGTATGTAACCCAAGGTACCACTGTATGGGTACAACTTTCAGATACCCTCATATCTTAGGAACCTGTCTGTACCAACCTATCGGCATTTATTTACCAAAGCCAAACTAAATGTATTTCCTTCGGAAGTGCTAAATGGTAGACTGAAAGGCATCCCTTATCAGAATAGGCTTTGTTCATGTTCTCAGGACGTCGACTGCATGAAGCATATCTTACTGTATTGTGGGCAGTACGAGCAAGCAAGGGACCAACTGATCAAACTCCTACCGGCAAATCTGCTGAGAAAATCTGAAGCCTCCCATATTAAATATCTTTTGGATGATAGGTCCAATGATATTGCACTGGCCGTGGCAAAGTTTCTTCCGGAAGTCAAAAGAAGCAAAGATCATCAAGCTCGAGACAAAACAAAATGACCGCCTCGGTTTCTCTCTCTTTTGTGGTTGGCTGTCAGAACTGTATTTTGTCCTGAAATTGTTCCTATGGGTCTCTGGACCGCAATAAAGATTTATTATTATATACTCAAACCACACCCATCCACCAGCTGATTTCACTTTGTTTTAGCAACACCTTTGGGACCGCAAGGGACGCAGGTGGCGCTGTGGGTTAAACCCCAGAGCCTAGGGCTTGCCGATCAGAAGGTTGGCGGTTCAAATCCCTGCAATGGGGTGAGCTCCCGTTGCTTGGTCCCTGCTCCTGCCAACCTAGCAGTTCGAAAGCACGTCAAATTGCAAGTAGATAAATAGGTACCACTCCGGCGGGAACGTAAACAGCGTTTCCGTGTGCTGCTCTGGTTCGCCAGAAGCGGCTTAGTCATGCAGGCCACATGACCCAGAAGCTGTACGCCGGCTTCCTCGGCCAATAAAGCGAGATGAGCGCCGCAACCCCAGAGTCGGTCACGACTGGACCTAATGGTCAGGGGTCCCTTTACCTTTGGGACCACAAAGCACTCGACATTACCAACAAATTTGGCCTGCGAGGTCAATTCACACAGGGTTGCCAAATTTTGAGCAGTAAATAAGAGGACACATTTGCCAACTTCTACTTTTAACTATGGAATGCTGTAACGATTCTATGCATAAAAAAGACCTGGAAAAAGAGGGCATATGGCAACCCTATGAAAGTTAACAAATATATGACTGATCACTTACCTGGAATACTTGGTCCTCGGTTTCCATCTCTTCAGTATTATTAGAGTTGCCCAATAAGTCACTAGCTCTCTCCATACTGGCTTCAGGATCAACTCCATTTTCTTCCATTACAGAACAGACTAGAAAATAAATATTTAGAATCTGAACCCTGGTATTCTGCCATAGGTAAACCCACAGCGCCACCCGCGTCCCTCTTTCTGCCATAATACAGTCTAATTTCCTCTGACATTTCCTCCTTTCTAGGTAGATTTCACATTTCAGAGACCAATACGGTACAGTAGTGCCTCGCAAGACGAAATTAATCCGTTCCGCGAGTCTCTTCGTCTTGCGGTTTTTTCGTCTTGCGAAGCACGGCTATTAGTGGCTTAGCGGCTATTAGCGGCTTAGCGGCTATTAACGGCTTAGCGGCTATTAATGGCTTAGCGGCTTTAAGAAAAAGGAAACAAACTCGCAAGAACTCGCAAGACTTTTCGTCTTGCGAAGCAAGCCCATAGGGAAATTCGTCTTGCGGAACGACTCAAAAAACGGAAAACTCTTTCGTCTTGCGCGTTTTTCGTCTTGCGAGGCATTCGTCTTGCGAGGTACCACTGTACCTATTTTCATTTGAATTAGTGGTTAAAATTGCAATCCTACACCCAATTACCAGGTACTAAGACGCGTTGCACTCTGAGGGATTTGATTTTTTAGTAGATTTGTGTACGATTGTGTTGCAAACCCTCTTTGGCATTCCCAAGGCTAAAATACTTTTCATCCTTAATAAAACAGAACTTTCTGACATAATTAATCAGCTTCCATGTTATTAGAATCTCAAGGTAATGCTATGATGGATTAGCAAGAAAGCATACATTGGAACTGTAAGAATTTCTATTCTTTTTAAAAGTTTCTAGTCCTCAGGACTGCTGCAATTTGGCAGCAAGATGGCCAAAAAAACCCAATAATCAATCAGAAACAATTTTGGATGCAGTTTGCAAGTCTCTGAGATCCAATTACTTTACTACTTACTATTGGAAAATATAAATATTTGGGGAAGTTGCATTAATGTACAGTACAGATTTAGGATACCAACTACATAGATTTATTTTTAAAATCTGAGTTCCAGTCTCTAGAAAAAATATGTGTTTCGAAGCAAGCCAAACAATCCATCTGTGGCAGGACAACCTTTTACTGTCACATCCTATTTCTGACAATTATCGATATTTGAAGTTATGTGTGTGCATCCAATCGGCAGTATTGGGGTCTATTTAGAAACAATCCAAACCCGAGCAGCGGTGCAACGAACGGCTTTTCTTTCCCCCACCCCCCAAAAACCAAATTATTATAACTCTTCCAACAGGTTGAACATACCCTGTGAAACAAAAACAAAAAAGGGTGAGATTGGGCGAGGAGAGCAGCAACAGCCTTAAGATGGAAAACAACAAGCCAACCCCTTGCCAACCACTTTAAAAGAAGGGTGGGGTAGAAATAATAAATGATTTAAAAATTATTATTAAAAGTCTTGAGGCACCTTAAAGACTAATCAGATTTAAACACTAACCATGAATGGTAAAATGCACATTTACTAAAAGAATGTAAGAGGGAGGAAAGCAACCTCCACATTTAAGGGACACAGGTAGCGCTGTGGTCTAAACCACAGAGCCTAGGACTTGCCGATGAGAAGGTCGGCGGTTCGAATCCCCGTGACGGGGTGAGCTCCCGTTGCTCGGTCCCTGCTCCTGCCAACCTAGCAGTTCGAAAGAACGTCAAAGTGCAAGTAGATAAATAGGTACCGCTCCGGCGGGAAGGTAAACGGTGTTTCTGTGCGCTGCTCTGGTTCGCCAGAAGCGGCTTAGTCATGCTGGCCACATGACCCGGAAGCTGTACGCCGCCTCCCTAGGCCAATAAAGTGAGATGAGCGCCGCAACCCCAGAGTCAGGCACGACTGGACCTAATGGTCAGGGGTCCCTTTACCTTACTTTCAGCAAACTGTCCACAGCTGCACCACTGAAAGTTGCAACAGGCTTTTCAGAACTGGCTGCTTTCAATGAAAGGGCCTTTTTCAATTGCAATTATTTCATATGCTTGCAAGCAGATTTTACATACCTCCATACTTTTAACTCCCACGTTTAATTGTGTGTGGGGGGGAGGGTTGAATGGCTGTTTCCCCTTCTCCCCTGAAGTTTTAAGCAGTTCTTATATGTAAGCCGCCTTGAGCATCAGGGGAAAAGGCAGGGTACAAATGAATATTTTTGTATTGTGCTTTTAATTCTGTTGGGAGCTGCCCAGAGCGGCTGGGGAAACCCAGCCAGATGGGCAGGGTATACATAATTTAATTAATTAATTAATTAATTAATTAATAATATATCAGCATCATCTTAGATTGGCTCGCGCCATGTACAAATGTGATATCAGGTACCACAAACCACAGTTACGAAAAGCCTGTGAGCTGCACTCAGTTCGGCTCTTTAGGTAAAAGTACAGGACTAGGGCATCAAAAAAACATTGCTGCCTCCTTTCCCCCCCTTTTTTTTGGGGGGGGGAACGCATGGTCGAGGAGCATTTTATTCTCAAGAGTTGCGGCTTAAGTCTTGTAGTAAAGTTAAAGCGGAAAAATACAGTAAGTTAATTTAGGGTGTGCAGGAAATATTTTTTAAAAAAATAAATGTAAGGAGCCTAGGAAAGAGAGGGAAGGAAGCCGAGTTTGGAAATGTCGACACGGTTGTAAAGTTATTGAAATGGATAAAACTGAAAGTCACTAATAAATAATAATAATAATAATAATAATGGAGTCGTGGTTTTTGCCCACACAAGAAGCTGAGCTGAGGGCGGGGGGAATTTGTCGACAGGATTGTAAAGTTATTGAAATGGATAAAACTGAAAGTCACTAATTAATAATAATAATGGGGTCGTGGCTTTTGCCCACACAACAAGCTGAGCTGGGGGGGGGATTTGTCGAGACGATTGTAAAGTTATTGAAATGGATAAAGTCACTAATAATAATAATAATGATAATAATGATAATAAATGATGATGGAGTCATGGCTTTTGCCCACACAAGCTGAGCTGGGGGGGGGAATAAAACTGAAAGTCACTAATAAATAATAATAATAATAATAATAATAATAATAATGGAGTCATGGATTTTGCCCACACAACAAGCTGAGCTGGGGGGGGGGGGAATAAAACTGAAAGTCACTAATAAATAATAATAATGATAATAATGATAATAAATGATGATGGAGTCATGGCTTTTGCCCACACAACAAGCTGAGCTGAGGGCGGGGGGAATTAAACTGAAAGTCACTAATAAATAATAATAATAACTAATAATAATAATAATAATAATAATAATCGAGTCATGGCTTTTGCCCACACAACAAGCTGAGCTGGGGGGGGGGGATAAAACTGAAAGTCACTAATAAATAATAATAATAATAATAATAATAATAATGGGGTCGTGGCTTTTGCCCACACAACAAGCTGAGCTGAGAGGGGGGGATTTGTAGGGGGGAGGAATTTGTGTGGGGGAGGGGGCGCCCCTCCACCAGAATATTAAGCCCCAATTTGGGGTGGGGGAGGGAGGGGGGAGCTCGAGCCCCTCCCCCTGCCAGGCAGAAACAGCCCCCCCTCCCTCTTTCCCTCCCTCCTTCCCTGAGGAGGAGGAGGAGGTGGGCAGGGCGGGCCAGGGCGCGCGGCAGCGTGAGTGACGCGACCGGCGACTGCCGCGCGCCCGAGCCCAGCCAGGGGGTGGGGAGGGGGGAAAGGGGGAGGGAGGGGAGGGGGGAGGAGGGAAAATTCAGAACGAGTCTACTCAACCTCGTCTTGGGCACCGCCGTGGGAGACCGCCCGTACGGCGCAGGCGCAGCAGCACGCACACGCCGCGCCCACCAGGCCGCCGCAAGCGAAGGCAAAGGGTTTGGGGTTTTTTGCGACGGGCGCCAACGGGGCACCGTAGAAAACCCGGAAGTACTGGGGTATCCACGTGTTTGTGTGGTTTTTCTTTTTCAGAAAGGGGGAGAGGGTTCGCCGATGGGTGCTTTTTTATTTTATTTTTTTTTCAGAATAAATTTTTATTATTTCCTTTAAATAATCTTTTTCCATCCGTCCATACAATCACAGTATGTTCCCTTTGTCTCTGCCGAGTCTTGACTTCCCTCCCTCCCTTCAGTTGGTGTATTTATCACATTTTTATCGCGTACATTGTTTTTACATCTCTACTGCTTTACATTGAAGGTGCTATTTTTAAAAAGGGTTTCTGTAAGCTCAGGTGTGCCCGATTCTGCATAGGTTCGGAATGGCAATGAACGCTGGGTTTGCGAGCTGTTATTAAAATGGAAACGTTGCCAAATGCATGGCACGCTTGTGTACGCGCAGACACGCATCTTGGAAGGGGGAGGTGTTATGAGTTTGTTTCTTTTTTGTTCCTATTATGAACTTTGTGTTTTTATGCTGTGAACTGCCCTGAGATCATTAGATAAAGGGCAGTATTAAATAAACATTTCATACATATACACACACACACATATTTGGGTAATCTAAAAAATAAGACATATATATGTGTATATATATAGAGAGAGAGATAATATAAATATATATGAGTTTTATTTTATTTTTGTTCCTATTTTGAACTTTGTTTTTATGTTGTATTTTTATGCCGTGAACCGCCCTGAGATCATTAGATAAAGGGCAGTATTAAATAAACATTTCATACATATACACATAGGTATTTGGGTAGTATAAAAATAACTCAAATATATATTTAGAGAGAGAGAGAGAAATAATATATATATGAGTTTTATTTTTATATTACCCAACTTCCTTCAACTCAGATGGGTATAAATAGGAATAACAGGCTGCAAACACAGCTTAAGTTTACAGCACAAAGCACATTTCCCCCACCCTGAGAACTAATTTCCTGAGAATTGTAGCTCCGGGACTGCAGCTCCCAGGATTCAAGCGGGGGAACGGACGTGGAGAAGGAAATATAATTTTTTAAAATATAGTGTACGCCTTTTTTGGGGCACGGAGGAACCAATTGAAAAACAACAACCCCTCGACTAAGTGGCTTATGTAGGAAGTAGGGGGCGAGAAGAGAGGGAGAAAAAGAAAAGCTGGTTCTTTACCTTTAAGGGCAGACTAAACTAATCGCTCGCTGAGGCGACTCCATCGGCCCCACGGCAGAGGGCGGAAGGAACTCTGAAGCCACGTGGGACGAGGCGCTGCTGATTCTAGGGAGAGACAGAAATATCCCAGCCTTTGGAATGGCGCAGCTTCAGGCTCGCTTCTTCACTGAGGACACGAAGTAAGTACATCGCCGGGGTCTGGAAGGGCATAACTGGGTCATCGCAGCAATGGCAACTGTGGTTGAAGCGTTGCTCTTAAGCAAAGTCCATTTTGGCATTGCTGGGCTGCCTGCCTCTTGCACTTTATGGTCTTTTGGCCTCAGCCATTCATTCATATAGATGTATATGTACGTGTATGCAATATTATCATTCATTCTTATCAGGGGCAGGGTGATGGGGTCAACCAAATAACAGAACCTTTTGGAAACTTACCAGATTGTCTTCCAGTATCTATAACTGAAGTCAAGAACCTTATTTCACAGTTAAGAAGCAATAAAGCACCAGGCGTAGATTATTTGCCCCCAGAATCTAACATCGACTGATGGGCCTCCCTGGTGGCGGTAATATTCTCATTTATTGATTCATCTGGGTTATTTCCCAAAGTTTGGGCCACAGCGGTAGTCATCCCTATATTCAAAAAGGGCCTTATATCCAATCCAGCTAATTATAGACCAGTTAGCTTGCTACCTGTAATTAGCAAATTATATGCAAAGCATCTTAGTTGATTGGATATATGTATATGTGTGTAATCTGTATCCACGTGCTTGCATTTCATCGGTTTTTTTGCCTCAGCCATCTCTCTCAAACATGCTTCTATCTGTGGCACCTGAGGGTAGCTATCTGTGCATGCTGTAAAATGGGCAAAAGTGCAGGAAATATTGTGCCTGGTGCCTTTAAAGTGCCACAGATGGTTTGTTTGTTTGTTTTGATTCCAAAACAATTCTCTTGGGTTTGTTTGGTCATTCAGGTTGGGGGTAGATGTTACTGGGATTTGATATGGGCCCATAGTCGCCTTTGACTGGACTTAACCATCCAGGGGTCCTTTACCATACCTATACAATGGTATAGTACATGAGTCTGCTCTTAAAAGGTAAAATATTTCCCATGAAGACGATGGTGGAAGTTTGAGATTGATTTTACCCTTTTCTGAATACTGAGTGCAACTGTTTTCTCTCACAGATACGCAGTAGATGATGTTCCTTTCTCTGTCCCAGCTGCTTCTGAAGTTGCTGATCTCAGTAATGTTATCAACAAATTGCTGGAAGCAAAAAATGGTACGTTTATGTTTGAGGGAAGTGGTTTTAAAAGTTTGCCCCCTTGCTATTAGTCGAGAGTTAATTTTAGAAGTCTGTAGAGGTGGTTACCACACATACAACTAATCACAATTTACAGTTTTACAGACTTAATTAATTTTTGCTATTAAACACCTGATGCTATAGATATCACCTCAGCAAATTCCGTATAAACTCACATTAATTTTTTACATTTATTTTCAACCCTTCCTCCCAAAGCATATCTTATTTAGCAAAGCAAACTAGAGTGGAGATACACAATTTGGGGCACAAGACAATTTGTAGATTATGTATGTATTATTTATCACATTTGCAGTTCACGCTTCATCTCAAAGTGTCAGAACACTGTTATCCCTGAGCAGTTTTTTTGTCGTATGGGCTAGGTTGGGAGACAGTGACTTAGCCAAGGGTCTCCAGTGATCTTTACAAGGAGCAATCTGAACCTGGGTCCTTCACATCAAATTAGTACTGCCTACTTCATTATACTGACTCTCACTGTGGTACCCAGTTGTATTCCTGCTGTGGTCACAGGGCCATTTCACACAGTAAGTTTCTTGTCCAGAAAGTTGGCCCTTGCCTTCCTTGGGTACATGTTCAAATAGACAAAATCTCTGCACAATCTCTGATAATCTCTATGATTATTTTTTGTTTCCTCATGATCGCTTGCCCAGAGAAATGTGTTATGTCTAGGGGTTCAAAGAATATTACAGTTGGAACCAAGATGCTGTAACATCCAACTGGCTGAATATGTAATGTGTATCAGTGATATAACTTCTGGTTTGGGGAGCTAAATCTTATCTGCTAACAAAAAACTTGAGAACTTGGATAAAGTTTGGTTGCCTGTGATAACTTGGTAATATGAGTGTGTATTGTACAGGAATAACTGAAGGCTACATTTTAGAGACATAGTCACCAAGCCTTCTCAAATGTACAGTGCAAACTGCATCTTCTGAGTGTATCATGCAACCTGACACTTTGTGTTTTCTTTGTCTCTAGAAGGCCACAAATATGTGGAATTTGATTTCCTTATCAATGGACAGTTCTTGCGCATGTCCCTGGTGAGGCACATGGAAGTGGAAAATATCTCAACTGTAAGTCATTGGGGTGTGTGTGTGTGTGTGTGTGTGTAGAGTATAGGCTCTGGATTTTGAGAGTAAGAAATAGAGAATCATCCACTTAAATTTGTGCAAAACTCCCAATTATTGTATCGGGCTGTCTAGCTTGCAAATGTATGACAGAGCAATTCTAGCCTCCAGAGCTGCTAGTTAGAGGGGGTTTAAATGTAAAGGGACCCCTGACCATTAGGTCCAGTCGTGGCCGACTTCGGGGTTGCGGCACTCATCTCGCTTTATTGGCCGAGGGAGCCGGCGTACAGCTTCCGGGTCATGTGGCCAGCATGACTAAGCCGCTTCTGGCGAACCAGAGCAGCGCACGGGAACGCCATTTACCTTCCTGCCAGAGTGGTACCTATTTATCTACTTGCACTATGATGTGCTTTCAAACTGCTAGGTTGACAGGAGCAGGGACCGAGCAACGGGAGCTCACCCCGTTGCAGAGATTCGAACCGCCGACCTTCTGATCAGCAAGCCCTAGGCTCTGTGGTTTAACCCACAGCGCCACTCGCGTCCCCTAGAGGGGGCTTAGGATTGGTTAAAAATTCGTCTGCAGTTGGGAGCCCACGTCTGCTACAGAGGCCTCTGTTGTTCCCATAAGACACAAGTCTGATGCTGGCAGTAGCCAGTATAGGGCCCTGGAACGAGGCATTCTATCAGCAGAGATGGCCTTGAATGCTTTGGACCAAAAAACCCTTCCCTTCTCCTGAGATGACCCAGAATTGAGTCCCTTACTTGAATTAGCTTAGAGCTGGTGCAGGTAATTTGCCCTCTTGGTTTCAGGGGGGCAGAGGGAACTGGAAAAAAATAAGGACTGCTTATAAGAGAGCACCTTGTTTTGTTTTCAATATCTATACAGTGGTACCTCAGGTTAAGCACTTACCGTATTTTTCGCTCTATAAGACGCACCAGACCACAAGACGCACCTAGTTTTTGGAGGAGGAAAACAAGAGGAAAAAAATGTGAAAAGCAGCAATCCCTCTTGCTGTTCTGACTTCTGGGATAGCTGCGCAGCCTGCATTCGCTCCATAAGACGCACAAACATTTCCCCTTACTTTTTAGGAGGGAAAGGTGAGTCTTATAGAGCAAAAAATACGCTTCAGGTTACATACGCTTCAGGTTACACACTCTGCTAACTCAGAAATAGTGCTTCAGGTTAAGAACTTTTCTTCAGGATAAGAACAGAAATCGGGCTTTGGCGGCACGGCGGCAGCAGGAGGCCCCATTAGCTAAAGTGGTGCTTCAGGTTAAGAACAGTTTCAGGTTAAGAACAGACCTCCGGAACGAATTAAGTACTTACCCCGAGGTACCGCTGTATGCCGCCTTTCCATAGCTGAGCCTATGCTCAAAGCGGCTTACAACATGAAAAGACTTACATAATTACAAACATAACAGAAGTAATAAACAACAGATAAAACTCATCAAACACAACCTAATGGAAACAATTTCCGCATAAATCATAAGATCTAAAACTAAAGATACAACAATAATATCAGTAACAGCAACAAGCTCTCTCAGCCCCCCGTAAACAATACCCCAGCCCCAGAATCTGTTCAACAGCCTCAGCTTTTGTAGCTGGAGTCAGTCCGCACTCCACTCTCCCAGGCCAGATGGGAAAGGGCAGCCAGGCAGGGTGCAGGTCTTCCAGGGCTCAGAGCCAAGGTGGTCTCATTTAAAGCAACACAGATAAAAATTAAAAACAATTTAAAAGAGCAGCTCTTGGTGTTAAGCAGCAGCCGCAGTCCTCGTGAAGCCGCCTCTGCTGCAGAGGAAATTTTCCTCTGAAACCTCCGTGGCTGATCCTTTCCCTTGACGTGTGTTGTGTGCGCAGGAAGAAGTAGTAGCAATAGAGTATGTTGAAAAATACACGGCTCCTCAACCTGAAGAATGCATGCTCCATGATGATTGGATCAGTTCTATCGAAGCTACAGAAGAATGGTAAGGGAGACATGCTACTTCTTTCCTTATCTCTTTTGTCTGACTTTCTGCCTGTAAGATATCGCCTTTCATTATTTCTTTTTTTATGTATGATTTTTCAGTTTTGTACATTTCAACAATTTTACAATCATTTTAGCATTCCAAAACTCGGCTTCCTTCCCCCTCTTTCTGCAGTTCCTTAAATTTTATATATATATATTTTCTGCATATTCCAAATTAACTTAGTTTACTCATTTACTCATCTGCTTTAAATATATCCTCTTATAAAACTGCAGGTTATTACAACGATCCTGCCAACGTCCTTATCTGTTTACAGTTTGTTTGTAAATATTCAATAAACCATTTCCATTCTTTTATAAAAAGTTTGTTACCTTGGTTTCTTATTTTTCCGGTAAGTTTTGCCATTTCTGCCTATTCCGAAAGTTTTTGTATCCATTTTTCTTTCGTCTTGTTTTATTTCACTCACCGTGTTGAAGGCACAGCGTCAGCTTATCCATTCTTTTCCTCCTTTCCTCTCTGTCTTTTAAATAAACATATTTTTCCCATTCAAAATCTCCACTTGAACTTTCAAACCGCACAGAAGGTAAGTATATGTGAATATAGTAAGCATTTTAGCATGATGTCCCCGCAGAGAATGGATGGTGGCATTGTCTTATAGATTTGCAGCTTTAACTGTTCGCAGTATCTATAGCCCAAGTGCTTTGCTGGGAAAGGATTCTTCATTAACAAACATCATATTTCAGCATAATACTCCAAAAAATTTGAAATTGCACAGTGTGTCAAGTGCTCAATTAAAGCCCATAAAGTAGAAGATGTCTCCTGTGAAGAACCAAAGACAACCACCAAGCAGAGTTTTTTGCTTCTAAATTCCATAGGATATTGACAGGCTCCTATGACCAGACATCTCGGATTTGGTCAGTAGAAGGCAAACCCATAATGACGCTTGCTGGACATGTAGATGTGGTTAAAGATGTGGCCTGGGTCAAAAAAGGTAAGTGGATTTTACTCTGTTTGGGGTTTCAGCTTAAATAAATTTCACAGAAAGGTCACCACCCCGAATTGTTCAGTTATTTCCAAACTGAAATCCAACACAGAAAGTGACACCTTAAAGACTTAACAAATTTATCAAAATACTTTTTTTGCTTTCGCTGCATCAGAATAACCTAGCCACCTCTCAAATTCCACTCTTCTTTGCAATTCCTCCTGTGCAATTGTTGCCACATTACGTGGCAGTTTTGTGTTGAAACAAAGGCCTCAGGATCAAAGTCCCACTGGGTAATAATAATAATAATAATAATAATAATTTATTTCTACCCTGCCCATCTGACTGGGTTTCCCCAGCCACTCTGGGCAGCTTTCAACAGAACATTAAAAACAGAATAAAACTTCAAGCATTAAAAACATCCCTAAACAGTGCTGCCTGATGTTTTACGGATGCCTCTGACTGCATTCATGGCCATTAAACTGGGAATGCGTATGAGTGACCGTCATATTCTGTTTACATTCCCAGCAGCCTTGTGATATCCTTCTGCATTGCCTCAGCTCCAAATTGATCACATCCTTGGCCTGTTTATAATCGTTTTGTAAACGCTTCATCATATTTGAGCAGGTTGGGAGAATTAGGAGAGGGTTGGTTTGGGGAAAGACTGCTGTGTGAACCTGTCTGCTATGCCTGTATCCCTCAGATAGTTTGTCATGCCTGCTGCTTAGCGCATCGATGGACCAGACTATCCTGCTGTGGGAATGGAATGTAGAAAAGAACAAAGTGAAGGCCCTTCACTGCTGCAGAGGACATGCAGGAAGCGTAGAATCTGTCGCTGTGGATGGCTCAAGGACTAAAGTAAGTTATATTGACTGCCCTTTCCTCCCTCCCTCCCTCCCACACACCCAAGCAGCTGAGACAGTTGATGTTGTTTCACATAAAAGGCATAGAATCATAGAATCATAGAGTTGGAAGAGACCACAAGGGCCATCGAGTCCAACCCCCTGCCAAGCAGGAAACACCATCAGAGCACTCCTGACATATGGTTGTCAAGCCTCTGCTTAAAGACCTCCAAAGAAGGAGACTCCACCACACTCCTTGGCAGCAAATTCCACTGTCCAACAGCTCTTACTGTCAGGAAGCTCTTCCTAATGTTTAGGTGGAATCTTCTTTCTTGTAGTTTGGATCCATTGCTCCGTGTCTGCTTCTCTGGAGCAGCAGAAAACAACCTTTCTCCCTCCTCTATGTGACATCCTTTTATATATTTGAACATGGCTATCATATCACCCCTTAACCTCCTCTTCTCCAGGCTAAACATGCCCAGCTCCCTTAGCCGGTCCTCATAAGGCATCGTTTCCAGGCCTTTGACCATTTTGGTTGCCCTCCTCTGGACACGTTCCAGTTTGTCAGTGTCCTTCTTGAACTGTGGTGCCCAGAACTGGACACAGTACTCCAGGTGAGGTCTGACCAGAGCAGAATACAGTGGCACTATTACTTCCCTTGATCTAGATGCTATACTCTATATAGCATCTAGATCAACACTATAGCATCTGCTCTCCATCTTCTGATAACTGGAAGCCTTGCACTAAGAAGAAGAAGAAGAAGAAGAAGAAGAAGTAATAGTAATAATAATAATAATAATAATAATACCTTTAATGTCAATGTACAACCTGTGTACAATGAAATTAACCGAGCCTCCCCCCCCCGCCACGAACACTCAATCTCATTGCACTTTGTGTGCTTGTCGCACAACACACCAACCCCGAAACTCAGTTGCACTATTATTATTTTCTGATCAGTAGCCTAACAGCCCACGGGTAGAAACTGTTTTTTAGCCTGTTGGTACGACTGATTATACTTCTATATCTCCTGCCTGAGGGTGGAAGATTAAAGAGGTGCTGGCCAGGGTATGAATCGTCCCTGAGAATTTCTCGCTTTCCTAAGGCAACGATCCCTTGCTATGTCATCTAGCAGGCTTAGGGGACAGCCCATGATATCATGTGCTGTGTTCACCACCCTCTGTAAACACTCAGAGATGTGAAATTATGGCATGGGGCATCCATCTCTTTCCCTCCCTTCCTCCCCCACTTCCTGATTTTCTATTCTCCAGTAAAACCATGGGGAATTTTTGGGGTGAGGAATTGTTTAGCTGAAGGCTGAGGAAGGTGCTTTCAGCCTCAAGATATTTTAAATAAAATGTAAAAGCTCATTCAAAAGGGTATGGGAACTTCCCCTGGGTCCTGTTTGAATCTGGTTTGGAGTCAAATCAAGCCTATTTTACCGTATTTTTCCATCTATAAGACAATGTTTTTTGCTAAAAGATTTAAGTCAAAATTTGGGGGTTATCTTACACACGGATGTTGAATGCACAGGGGTTTGGGTTCCGGCTCTGGTATGGGTGGCCTGGGCTCGGGTTCAGGCTGCGGTGCTGGTGGCCCAGGTTGTGGTTAAAACTTGGGCTCTGGCACGGGTAACCCAGACTCGGGTTCGGGCTTGGCCTCTGGCCTGATTTCTTAATTTTGTGTTCAAAAAAATAGGGGTGTCTTATGTGGGCATGTTATACATGGAAAAACACAGTGAGTCACTTGAGTTAAGCCTGTTCTGAAATCAAGCTTTGGGTAACTTGCCCATCACAAATGATAGCTAACTAAAATGTGCCATTTATGTTGAAAACTGTTTTGTGGTGTGTTTAGTTTTGCAGTGGATCCTGGGATAAGATGCTAAAGATCTGGTCTGCAGGTAAGATCAGTGTTTAACTACAGTGGTACCTCGCAAGACGAATGCCTCGCAAGACGAAAAACTCGCAAGACAAAAGAGTTTTTCGTTTTTTGAGTTGCTTCGCAAGACGAATTTCCCTATGGGCTTGCTTCGCAAGACGAAAAACGAAAACGTCTTGCAAGTTTGTTTCCTTTTTCTTAAAACTGTTAATACCCAGGGTGAATTGCTTGAAGAGGTGCAGTTGCGACTTGACTTCGAGGAGCAACTCATAGCACGCGGTGTGGTAGCCTTTTTTGAGGTTTTTGAAGACTTTGGTGATTTGAAGACAGTGGTGCTTCGCAAGACGAAAAATTCACAAGACGAAAAAACTCGCAGAACGAATTAATTTCGTCTTGCGAGGCACCACTGTATGTGCTTCCTTTGACCTTTCATCTAATAACTCCCAGCACCTTTGTCTACAACTCTGCATGCTTACGATACATTAATTTATTTAACAGGGGTTGTATACTGCCTATTTGCAAATGAAACCTCTGAGTGGTTTACATGTGGGTGCACCCTTCTTTTCATGAACTTGAACCACCTTTTTTGGCAAACTGAAGCTGCCCCAGACATTGCAGTTTGAAGCTGCATGCAAATATTTTTGCTAACTGCACGAGAAGTTCAAAATGTAGTGCCGTGTTGCAGAATTGTAAATTCCCACGTGTGTATGTATATCAGTCCTGTGAGTTTGGAGAATACTTCGTTTTGCCATAGGGGTTAGGTTCAATTAATGTGTGAACTGCACAGGCCACCTGTCTCGTAGCTCCATGGAAACATACCTCAAAGTCCTTTTGATGTTCTTAACTCGCATGTAGGAACAGGGCCTGCTTCCATCTCAATCTCGCCAGATTATGAGGATATCCGATTCGCCTGGAGCCCATGTCCATAAGCCGCTGTTTACATGAAGGGCCTCCTTGTAATATGTTGCGTTCAACACAGGAAGGCAGAGAGAAGCATGGAAAATAGGATGCAACATTGGGATCAGGGCTAGCAGCATGGCCCCACTTCTACTACACATGAGGAAATAGTGGCTATTGAAGGACAGGCCACGGTGACCTGGTTTGCCAGACTGTAGCTATTGCAAACAAGTAAATGTGCAGGCTCAGAGTGACGATCACAACCACAGTGCTCCTTCGCTGGCCCTGCTGCCACCACGTTAACCAGTGCTAAGCCATGGTTTGGTTTAAGTCAGTGTTTCTCAAACTTGGGTCCCCAGCTGTTGTAGGATTATAACTCCATCATTGTTGACCACTACAACTAATCCAAAATGCAGCAGCTAGGGTGGTGACTGGGAGTGGCCACCAATACCATATAACACTGGTCCTGCCTCCCAGTACGTTTCTGAGCACAATTCAAAGTGTTGGTGCTGACCTTTAAAGCCCTAAACGACCTTGGCCCAGTATACCTGAAGGAGCGTCTCCACCCCCATCATTCAGCCCAGACACTGAGGTCCAGCTCTGAGGGCCTTCTGGCGGTTCTCTCACTGCGAGAAGTGAAGCTACAGGGAACCAGGCAGAGGGCCTTCTCGGTAGTGGCGCCCGCCCTGTGGAACGCCCTCCCATCCGATGTCAAGGAAACAAACAACTGTCTGGCTTTTAGAAGACATCTGAAGGCAGCCCTGTTTAGGGAAGTTTTTAATGTGTGATGTTTTATTGTGCTTTTAATTCTGTTGGGATCCGCCCAGAGTGGCTGGGGAAAGCCAGCCAGATGGGTGGGGTATAAATAATAAATTATTATTATTATTATTATTATTTTATTATATTATATTATGATCCTGCTAGCTAGGGATGATGGGAGCTGTAGACCAACAATAGCTGGAGACTCAGGTTTGAGAAACGCTGGGTTAAGTGCTGCATCGGAGTGAGTCCAGACTTGTGGTTCGTATCACTCGTAAACCTTAGTTACAACTCGTGGATTATTTGGAGGGAAACAAACCACAAATCTGGATGTACTAAACCGTATTTTAGCAGCAGCTGCAGGACTGGGAGAGGACTGCTGCGACTGTGATCTTCAATCTGAGAACTGATGTTATGCAAAAAAAAAAAAATCTGGCAAAACACTTCATGTTCCTGAGAGAAGCCCCCACAACCTCTGCCACAATAAAATTAAGATGTCACAGGAACCTAAATCAGGTGTGGGGAACCTTTGGCCCTCCAGATGTCGCTGAACTACAATGCCCATCCTGATAGCTCCCAACAAATAGGTTCAGTGGCCAGGGATGATAAAGTGGTGTAGTTCAGCAATGTCTAAAAAGCCAGGGTTGCCCACACCTGACCTTAAGCAACTAGTATGACTACAGCAAGCTGGCTCCACAATTCCAAAAGCTTTTATTTGGAAGTTAATTCCATTGGACAACATCTAGCTCATACTTGGATTGCTCCCAATGACTAAAACGCTTGCTTCCATGGAATTGAATTAATATGGCAGTTGATCAGTGTTCTTGGGGAAAATGTGTGCAAATCGCAGGCCAGCGTGTAAATTAGGACTAATCAGTGATTCTTCATATCACAGATTTGTTGATAATTAGATTTATTCTTTTTTACAAAGAACCAATTTATAGCAATAGGAGATTGACCAGCGAGTGGTCGTATGGTTAAAATGACCGTATTTTTTTATTTCAGTGCCTACGGATGAAGAGGATGAAATGGAAACGGAGGAGGCGGCAAACAGACCAAGGAAAAAGCAGAAAACTGAGCAGTTGGGACTAACAAGAGTAAGACAAACCTGAATTGTGTAGAAATTCCTTTGAGGGGATGTGGGGTTCGGGCCTAACATTACCAGCCAGCTATACCTCCAGGGACCTGCTGGCTGCAGTTGTGACATTTGCCTTAGTTTCCCCAAAATGCAGTGCTCTGTAAGTTCCACTTAGACGTAAGAAAAGCCCTGCTGAGTCAGATCAAAGGCCCGTGTAGTCCAGCATCCTGGCCAATCAGATGCACATGGGGAACTGAAAGCAGGACTTGAATGCTACAGCTTCCTTCCTGCTTGTGTTCCCCAGTATTTTGAGGCATATAGTCTTCAGTACTGAAGCTGGTACACAGCCATGACTGGTAATCATCGAATGCCATCCATGAATTTGTCTAAACCCCTTTTGAACGATCCAAGTTAGATGTGTCTGGCAATTGTCCTTTTATATATATGTGGGATTTGATAGCACCGTGGTCACTGTTTTGAGAGAGATCATCATCATCAACAACAACAACATAATACTTTATTATTGATACCCCACCCATCTTGCTGGGTTTCCCCAGCCACTCTCGGCTGCTCCCAACAGAATACAGCCGTACCTTGGAAGTCGAACGGAATCCTTTCTGGAAGTCCGTTCAGAAACCAAAGCACGGCTTCTGATTGGCTGCAGGAAGCTCCTCGGACATTCAGCTTCCAAAAGAACGTTAAAAAACCGGAACAGTCACTTCCAGATGTCCATCGTTCGGGAGTCAAAACGTTCAAGAACTAGGCTGTTTGACTTCCAAGGTACGACTGTATTAAAACACGATCAAACATCAAACATTGAAAACTTCCCTAAACAGGGCTGCCTTCAGAGGTCTTCTAAAAGTCAGATAGTTGTTTATTTCCTTGACATCAGATGGTAGGGCGTTCCACAGGGTGGGCACCGCCACCGAGAAGGCCCTCTGCCTGGTTCCCTGTAACCTCACTTCTCGCAGTGAGGGAACTGCCAGAAGGCGCTCGGCCCTGGACCTCAATGTAAACGAAGGTCCTCGCAACTTACCAGGTCCTGGTAACCACGTAATAAAAGTCCAGAGTCACTGATCCTCTGGTTGGTTCTGTGGCCGGCTGTCCTAGGGCACCGTCATTGAGGCTATCTAGAAATGTTGCCTCTTTTGTGACTGGAACACACATTTATCCAGTATAAAGGTAAAGGGACTCCTGACCATTAGGTCCAATTGTGACCAACTCTGGGGTTGCGGCGCTCATCTTGCTTTACTGGCCGAGGGAGCCGGCGTACAGCTTCCGGGTCATGTGAGCAGCATGACTAAGCCGCTTCTGGCAAACCAGAGCAGTGCTAGGAAACGCCGTTTACCTTCCCACCAGAGCAGTACCTATTTATCTACTTGCACTTTGACGTGCTTTCGAACTGCTAGGTTGGCAGGAGTAGGGACTGAGCAACGGGAGCTCACCCCATCGCGGGGATTCGAACCGCCGAGCTTCTGATCGGCAAGCCCTGGGCTCTGTGGTTTAACCCACAGCTCCACCCACGTCCCTTTTAGTGGTACCTCGGGTTACAAACGCTTCAGGTTACATACGCTTCAGGTTACAGACTCCGCTAACCCAGAAATAGTACCTCAGGAGGAGAACAGATATTGTGCTCTGGCGGCACAGCGACAGCTGGAGGCCCCATTAGCTAAAGTGGTACCTCAGGTTAAGAACAGTTTCAGGTTAAGAACGGACCTCCAGAACGAATTAAGTACTTAACCTGAGGTACCACTGTACTGTTATTTTTTTTATGGTCAGAGTGTCGCCTCCTCCAGCAAGCCATTCCCTGTGCAGAGGTATCTGTGTCCCACAGCTAAGAACACAAAAATGTGCTGATTGCCAAAGTTGTGTGCCTTGTTTTTGCCTAGAGTGCAACAACAGAGGCATTGCTTTGGGGGGTGGGGGACTAAGATGGCAGCTGCCATCGCCAAGGGAGAGAGGACGCATTGGATAGCTGTCTACTAAGCCCTGGAACCAACTCCCGTGGGTTGAAATGGAGGGAAATAGCAAAATCCCATGCACATTTACTTGGGAGCAATTCCTATAGTACAGTGGTACCTCGGGTTACATATGCTTCGGGTTAAATACGCTTCAGGTTACATACGTTTCAGGTTACATGCTCCGCTAACCCAGAAATATTACCTCATGTTAAGAACTTTGCTTCAGGATGAGAACAGAAATTGTGCAGCGGCAGTGGGAGGCCCCATTAGCTAAAGTGGTGCTTCAGGTTAAGGACAGTTTCAGGTTAACAACAGACCTCCAGAACAAATTAAGTTCTTAACCTGAGGTATAATAATAATAATAATAATAATTAATAATATATTATTATTTATACCCTGCCCAACTGGCTGGGTTTCCCCAGCCACTCTGGGCAGCTTCCAACAAAAGATTAAAAATACATTAAAACATCAGTCATTAAAAACTTCCCTAAACAGGGCTGCCTTCAGATGTCTTCTAAACATCAGATAGTTGTTTATCTCTTTGACATCTGGTGGGAGGGCGTTCCACAGGGCGGGTGCCACTACCGAGAAGGCCCTCTGTTCTTAACTCGAGGTACCACTGTATATGTATAGACTTAACAGTGTTAGTGAACGAGCTCGTTTCACAAAATGAAATATTTCAATAACCATATCCTCCCAATATTTATTTTTCCCGTCTAGACTCCTGTTACAACCCTCTCTGGCCATACAGAATCAGTCTCTTCTGTACTTTGGTCAGATACAGATGAAATATGCAGTGCTTCATGGGACCACACAATTAAGGTGTGGGATGTTGAAACGGGGGGCCTCAAATCCACTTTGGTGAGTTCTCTTGCAAACCAAGTTTGCCATTTCTCAGATTGCTTAACTGCCTTCAACAAAGAGTTTTGTACAAAGTCTAAAGAGCAATTCATTAATTACGTCTACTCAGGGTGGATAAAAATCAATGATTTTTTTTAAAAAAAATCTGATTTTTAAAATTTAAATCTGATTTTTTTATTTAAATTGGATTTTTAAAATAAAATGGAGGAAAAATATTTCTAAAGATAGCTTTCTATTTAAGTTACATAGTCCAAAGATAGCTTTCTATTTAAGTTATAGTCCAAATAAGGATTTGTTTTAAGTTTTTCATGTGTGCTAAAACTCAGTTTAAGTTTTTTTTTTAAAAAAAAAAAGTTTAACCACATCAATTAACAAACAGGGATACATATGCGATAATGTTATTGTTTTAGTTAAATAAATTGTTTAAATTGTTATTAAGGAAATGATTGTTTTTCTCCTTCTGATAAAGTACAGCAGAAAAGTTGTCCAAATATAAACAGTTAACTCATTAAACCTCACAATTTCATAACTATTTGTCTATGTATTTCTAATAGTATAAGCAAATCAGAAATTTTTGATATAGCTGTAAAAACTACTCTGAAAATTTATTATTCCAAAAATGAAACTTTCATCTGGTTGTAAATGTACCAGCAAGAATGAGTCTTTCTGTAAAAAAAAAATTGATTTGAATCAAGTCTTACTGGCTAGCGATTTAAATCCACTCTGCTTCTTTCTACTCTTATTTTTACGTAGACTGGAAACAAAGTGTTCAACTCTATATCCTACTCAGCATTGTGTCGGCGTTTAGCCTCTGGAAGCACTGACAGACACATTAGGTTATGGGACCCTCGTACCAAAGGTGGGTAGAACAGAATGTATACAGTGGTACCTCGGGTTGCAAATACAAATACAGTAGCTAATATCAATGTATTTTTCTGCTAACGCTGATAATAACTTGTAATTGACATAATTGATGTACAGTGGTACCTTTGGTTACAGACGCTTCAGGTTACAGACTCCACTAACCCAGAAATAGTACCTCAGGTTAAGAACTTTGCTTCAGGATGGGAACAGAAATCTTGCAGCGGCGGCAGCAGGAGGCCCCATTAGCTAAAGTGGTGCTTCAGGTTAAGAACAGTTTCAGGTTAAGTATGGACCTCCGGAACGAATTAAGTATGTAACCAGAGGTACCACTGTAATGCGGATAAAAACAATATCATGATCTCACACATTTTACAGCAAAGGTGGGTAGAACAGAAGATATATTCACGAGATAATTTTTGCATACGTACACACACACATGAGTTACGTTTTAAAAATTATTATTATTTCATGCATTTATTGAGCTATACATACCTGCTTTCGAATAAACTTTCTGGTGAGGCTTCCCAACCCTGATTGGCTGGTGCCATACTTTCGTAACCCGAAGTCGGGGAGAGCTGCTATAATCTCCCACTTCTATGCAGTGGTTATGGCAGTGTTTATAAAGCTCTCTCTATGCAGGGATCATAACTCAGTGGTAGAGGACATGTTTTACCATACACAGTGTCTCTGGTCCGGTCCCTGGCACCTCTAGTTAGGAAGGAACAGGTCGTAAGTTATATGAAAGGCATCAAGCTTGTTTACACATTTTTGTCTACTTGAAGAAACCATGGTCCGATCTGAAAAATACAAATATTTAGCTTACAAAACTGTAAAAATAAAGAAAAATTAAGTTTGCAAAACAATAATTACCATGTGGTTAGGGTAGATCAATGTGTCAGTGTCCACTTATCCCCAGTGTTAATATGACATATCGGGAAAAGTCGGAAATTGAAAGATAACTATAGCATGTACACGAAAATTGATTTCAGAACAGTTGAAAAATCCTATAAGAACAGTTAAAAAATCCTATGCAAAAGAAAATGGGGGAGAAAATTGTTCCCCAGTATACTGTGTATCCCAAGGGAATACATTTTTTTTGCATACCTCCCAACTGTACATAGATATACATGTCATTTTCAATGCTATACATGTCATGTTCAATGCTATATAAGTCACTTACATTTATACTCAATATTCAATGCTATATAAGTCACTTACATTTATACATTTACATTTATATTTACATGTACTACTTTGGCTATGTGTTTAATAAAATATTGAATTCATGCATTGTGAAAAACAGAGATTATGGTGAAAAGTGAAAAACATGAACTGCAAAAAAACTAGAGCTTACAGAACAAAACCAACTTCTGATATGAAATCAGCACGTCGAACTTAGGTTAGAACAACTGCAGGTGTCAATGCAACAAAAATTTTGTTCCCCAGTGTTATTATTCTCTTGCCTGAGACATTGGAGAGCAGCTGCCAGTCTGGGTACACAAATTTGGGCTAGACGGATAAAAAAATCTGACCTGGTATATGGCAACTTCCTAATTCCTTCATCTGGCTTGCAGATGTCCTGTTTTTACTGATTATATCACTAATGTGCTACTTTTAATAAACATTAGTTTTGGTCTTTGTAAAGAAACATTTCATCTCAGTAGTGGCCTAGGGAGTGGTCATTGTCTCCTACTTTCTGTTTGATTTCAGCACATTTACTAAAAATGCTGGCTATTACTATTTTTGTATCCATTGCGTACTCATTCACCCTGCTGTATGTGTGTAAAAATTTTAAGTGTCTTGTGTGACTCATCAGTTGTGGCTAGTGAGACTTGTCTGCCTCTTTTCAGATGGTTCTTTGGTACTGCTTTCTCTTACCTCACATACTGGATGGGTGACATCAGTGAAGTGGTCACCAACACATGAGCAGCAGCTCATCTCTGGTTCTTTAGACAACGTTGTCAAACTCTGGGACACAAGAAGGTAAACTTTAAACCCTGGGTTTTTGTTGGACTTTTGCCATATGGATTTGTGTTACTGGATGACACACAAACTGAAGAAATGTCACTATAGAATATTTAGGGCAATTGATATTGAATATTTTGAATATTTGAATATTTTAGGGCAATTGAATATTTGAATATTTAGGGCAATTGATATTGATTTGAAGGGTTCTGACTAGATCTTAAGTCTGATTTTAGCAATATTCTCGTCTAGACTAGATCTTAAGTCTGATTTTAGCAATATTCTCGTCAATATTAGTTCTGCACCTGCAAATGTCTCCCTAAGCATTGTGTTTGATGCAATTCTGTTTTACTAAGGATTATGACACAGCAGGACAGTGGGTTTTTTAATTTATTGCATTGACCAGTTGCTTTATACAACATGAAGTCTCAAAGTGACTCGGCAAGGTAGAATGCAATACATAAAAGCAGTTCAGAACAATAAAAAGAATTAAAACAGTGAACAATGCAAAATACATTAAAATGCTCATCCAGAAACACATTATTAATAAGGACAAGTCTTACCCACCCCACTGAAAGATGAGGATCACTGTTGAGGAACAAGATCAAGTAGCCAAAGGCCTGCGTAAACAAAAAGGTCTTAGCCTGGCACCTAGAGACTGACAAGGATAGTGCCAGGCACATCTCCCTCCGAAAACATTCATTGGATGGGAGGCCACCAATGAAAAGGCCTGTTCGTATGCGGTCACCCTCATCTTCCTTGAGTGGGGCACACAGAGAAGGGCCTTTGATGAAGACCATAGTGTCTGGTCTAGTTCATATTGGGAAGAGATGGTCCTTGAGGTATTGGAGTCCTAAGCAATATAGTGCTCTATAGGTCAAAATCAGCACTTGCGTATGGTTAAAGACTAGTATGTAGGCAGTGTGCAGAATTCCAAAAGTGAAATTGTAGTTTGGACCCAGACGTTGCAGAAGCATCCCAGGAGTGGAATTTTTCTCCCACTGATAGAAGTGAGGAGGATATTTTTGTTGATTCATCCTGCAGTGTTCATCACCATCTCCAGTGTTCTTCCCCAAATTTTCTGGTCCCAATTTCTAGGGGGCTGCAGGAGGAATGGGAAATCTGCAAAAATTGCCACACCTCCCTCTACCCCCAACCTTGTGCCAGCAGAAGTTCTTGATTGAATGACAATAAGAGTCTTCTGCAATTGGATCTTACCGAAAGGTTGACAGAAGAATGAGAGTAGGAGGAGAAGTTTATGTAGAAGGAATTTGCTGGCTGAATTCAGCAATTAGCCACCAGAATACTTTTATTTCCATGTAATATAGCTAGTATGGCTGTCTAATGTCTGTTTCCTATAGTTGCAAGGCACCTCTCTATGACTTGGCTGCTCATGAAGACAAGGTTTTGTGTGTGGAATGGACAGAAGCAGGGGTAAGAACTTCGTCAGGAACAGGAATGGGGTGGAAACCGAAGTATCTTTGCAGCAGATGTTGTTTATGTAGTTGGATATGTGTAGTGATTTATAAATATTCATTACTTATGCAGTGCAGAACAGCAAAGGTTCAACTTGTGAAAGTGATTTATCTTAAAACTACTTGAAAGAATGTATGTGATTTTGCAGAAACTTTGGGTTACGCCCAACAAAGTCTTGTTACTGCAAAGACCTGCCTGTGCAATGGGACTTCCTCTCCCCCTGTGCCCCAAAACCTGTTCTGGGTTTTCCCCCAAGCCTGCAGAATGGATCAGGACAGTGATATTAGATATCATGCAACATGACCACTTGTTTTTTGTTTATAGCATTTTGTGCTGCTGCTCTTTATATTGTGGATTTAAGACATTGTGAAGTTTCTGTTCCTAACATTAAGGCAGGCAAAAGTTCCAAGGCACAATTGGCTGTATTAATCATATGTCTGCTTAATAAGCCAGAATATAAATTAGCTTTTCCCTATATACTCCTTCCTTTGCATTAAGCATTTGGAAATCTGTGATACCATGCCTTGTGTTTCTTATGCAAGTTTTGATGAAAAATTGTTTTTCCTGGTACAGTGGTACTTTGGTTCTCAAACCTAATCTGTTCGACTCCCGAAACCGTTCGAAAACCAAGGCGCAGCTTCTGATTGGCTGCAGGAGCTTCCTGCACTTAATCGGAAGGCGCGTCGGACGTTTGGCTTCCAAGAAACATTCGCAAACCGGAACACTTACTTCCGGGTTTGCGGTGTTTGGGAGCCAGTTCGACAACTAAGCCATTCGGGAATCAAGGGACCACTGTATATACGTTTTTACTTGGTCTAGATGGGGGGAAACAACAACAACAACAATAATTTATTATTTATACCCCGCCCATCTGGCTGGGTTTCCCCAGCCACTCTGGGCGGCTTCCAACAAAACACTAAAATACAATAACCTGTTAAACATTGAAAGCTTCCCTAAACAGGACTGCCTTCAGATGTCTTCTAAAAGTTTGGTAGTTATTTTTCTCCTTGACATCTGGTGGGAGGGCGTTCCACAGGGCGGGTGCCACTACCGAGAAGGCCCTCTGCCTGGTTCCCTGTAACTTGGCTTCTCGCAGCGAGGGAACCGCCAGAAGGCCCTCGGTGCTAAACCTCAGTGTCCGGGCAGAACGATGGAGGTGGAGACGCTCCTTCAGGTATACTGGACCGAGGCTGTTTAGGGCTTTAAAGGTCAACACCAACACTTTGAATTGTGCTCTGAAACGAAATGAATGTTTCTGAATACTGTGTCATTATAACTAGATTTTTCTTCCTTGCTCTATAGTTGCTGTTGAGTGGTGGTGCAGACAACAAGCTCTATTGCTACAGATACCGAGCAGCCACCTCTGATGATGGAGCATGAAAACCAATGAAAAGATCATGAGAATGAACTCGTCTGCTCGATGTTCTTGCAACCTATCATACACAGCTGTATAAAATGTGTGATTTATGGTATTATAAATCTTGCATATTATACCTTGGGGCAACATTAGTTTCCTGTTCTTTGTTTTGAAGCGAGGTGGCTGGTTAAGGCATTTTTATTTTTATTTAAAACCTTTCCCCCACTACACAAGCCATACGAACTCAAGTTGGTCAGTTTTAACAGTTTAAGCCTTATCAACATAATATGTGTTTATTAAAACCTTTTCATTTTGTGCAAGTATATTTAAGTTTTTTAGTTAATCATGATGCTGAGCTTTCCACCTTCCATTAGTTTCAGTGGGAACTTCAGGTGTCCCCCATGAAAAATCAATTGAAGCTGTTCCCCGATGGAGAATGCTCAAGATTTCAATGAAATAAAATTGCAGTGTTCCTTAACGTGGTTGTAATGCCATCTGACATACTTTTTTAAAAATTCAGGATTTCTTTTTAGGACTTAAAAGACTGTCCAACTAGTTCCTCAGATACAAGGGCTCATTAGATTGCCTCCATGGCTGGAGGCAGTATGCTTGAATTGCAAGTATGGAAAGTGCTTCTGTCGTGCTTGTTATGTTTGGGTTCTGCTTGTGGACTTGCCATGGACATTTGGCGATGATTGATTGATTGATTGATTGATTGATTGAATTTATATACCACCCTATGCCCAGAGGTCTCAGGGCGGTTCACAGAAAAGATAAATGTGATAAAGGAGTGTTGGGTCCAGCAGGGCCCTTAAGTTCTTATCTGCATTTCTTTAAGCAGCAGTTTGTTATGCTGCATATTTTTTAACCTCAAGAGGGACATATTTATGGTGTGAAGCTCCGTGGTTTAAAAATGCCTGGTGGGTTTCAAATTCTACAAGGTATATATTTAAAAAAACAACCCTGGTGTGGTGAGCCATTTAGGACTGCACTCTGGTGATTGGAATGGCCTGTTATTTTCCCTCTTGTTGGTATCTTACCTGTCTTTGGAGACAATGGAGTGTGCCTCTGGGGGTGAAGTCAAACTGCTGGAGAATCACAGCACCTGCTGTGGCTGCAGAGACTGGTAACTTGTAACTGGTGACTCCCATGTCGTTTTTGCTGTGTTAGCAGCACTGAAGTGACCTGTGTAGGGTTCAAGCCTGGGCAGTGTGTTCTTCTTTCTTCTTTGGTGATCACTTGTGGCCGGGTAAGATTGCCTTCCATGAACACGGTCTGAGCGGTGTGTCCGTAAGTGACTGTGGAGACCAGTTCTGGATCCACACATCCTTCCACGGCGGGGACATAGGTTTCCAGGCAGGAGTTGATCGTGGTGAGGATTTGCCAAACACGCCTTCCTCTTAGCTCGTTTCTCCTTTTCGCCTTGAGTTCGTGCTCCTTCGAAGTCCATGACACCTTTGGTAAAGGCTGTTCTCCAACAGGAGCGCTCGCAGGCCAGTGTTTCCCAATTGTCCCAATTTCCCTGATGCCATCAAGACACTTAGAGTGAGCAGCTGGAGGAGGGTGCCAACATTGGGAGCCTCCAGAAGGAGACTCTGGAAGTGCCTCTTCAATTCCTGTGGGAAAAGAGAGGTTGAGTGCTGGGTTAAATCTTGCAAGGGTGCGAGGAGAAGAAGAAAGAGCTTTGCAAAGGGAAGTCAAAGCAGAGGACACACCTCTTTGTCGTCGTCCTTTTCTGCGCTCCCCAGAACAGCCTCCATTGTCCTATGCAGGATAGCACTGACCATATTGCTGCTGAAATGGGGTCTCATGAAGCTGGAGAGAGAAAGGGAAAGGGTTAGATGCTGCCTCCTCCAAGTCTCCCTTGCCCCCTCCTGCCTGCTTTTGCCCACCCAGAGCTCCCCGTGGAGTTCTGCCCCACCAACCCTGCCCACCCCAAAGACCCCACTCACCTCAGCTGGAGGAGGGCCTCCAAGGCCAGGGCCAGGCTCAGGGTGCGATCCCTGAAGCGCTCCAAGTGGCCAAAGATGTGCTGGAAGACAGCAGAGGAGGACAGTCCAGCTCCTTCCGGGGGTCTCCGGAGGACGGCTCTGACCCCAAACGTCAGGCTTGTCTCTCCAGGGGATTGGCAACCCCATGCCGTAAGCCAGAAGGGTCCTCCTCTCCAGCAGATGCACAAGCTCTTCCCCAAAGCCCCTCTCTGCCCCTCCCTCCCCATGGGGGTCCCTCACACCACCCATCACTCCCCATAATAGCTTTGGCTGTATCCTTCTTGGAGCACTTCAGGTTTCAGAGCCTCCTGAGCCGAGCTGCCTGGCAGTTCTGGATGACCTCCAGGAGGTATAGTTGATCTTCCTCCAGCAGCTGAAATGCAAAAGTCAGGCTGTCAGTTCCTCATCTGATAGTGCAGAGTGGGAGGCAAAGAGCCTGAGCAGTGGGGGGCAGGGCTGAGGGATCCACTCCCTGCTCTCGTTTTATCCAATACTCACCCCTAGGGAAAGGGATGTGGAACCCCAGCACATTTGCAAAGACATGGGGACAGGGGAGTTTGTCCCTGAGCCCTTGGCAAGGCTATTCCTGGATTCCAAGTCCTACAACGGGAGGGATACCCCAGGCCTTGGGGGCCAATCCCGGCCTCCTGCCCCCAGAACATGGCTCCCCAGGGAAGGTGCCCCTCCCACTGACAACTGCCCCCCCGCCTTGCTCTGCAGCCCAGCCCCCTGCTTCCTCTATCGGACCCTACAAAACGGGGTGGTCGCTAGGGGAGCGTGTTGGGTTTCCAGATGCTGGCCCAGATGGACCTTGGGTCGGATCCAGCTGACTGGCTCTGTGCTTCTTTTGACTACCTGCCCCCCAGCCCATTCCTGCCCTCCTCTGTTCCAAAAAGGAGGGTCACTTGCTCCCCCTGACACCACGGGCTGCTCCGGGCCTTGCAGGGGGGCCACCCTGTTGCTGCGGCCAATCAGGCGTCTTAAGCACCTGAACCTAGAAGAGACGAGCAGAGAGAGCAACTTAGAAGCCGGCAGCCCCAATTCTTTGGGGGTGTTTGTGTGTGAGGAGGGACATCTGGCCCAATTCCTTCCATCTCTCTGCAGTTCATTGACCTGAAAGGGCATCACCAGAGCTGGAAAGAGGCAGCCCAGAGCACAAAGGGCTGCCAGAGAGAGAGAAAGGAGGCCTCAAGTGCTATGGGTTCAAGAGCTCCAGCCCAAAGGAAAGACAAGCATTGCCAGCTGTTAAAGGGCTGCTCTGCTTCGTTGTCTTAGGATAGCCTTGCCCTTCCTGGAGAGGGTGGAGACCCCTAGGAGGGTCCTCCAAGCATCAAGGTGTCCCAGAAGAGGAGCAGAACATGAGAAAGGTGGTGGAGTCTTCCATGGAGCCAGAGAGACCCCCAGGAAGGGGGAGAAGGCCGATGTTGTAGGGCAGCTGGAGAGATGGAAAATGGAGCCAGGCAGAGGTGTAATGGTTGGAGGGATGGACTAGGAGGACCTGGGAGAGCAGGGTTTGAATCCCCACTCAGCCATGAAGCTCCCTGGTGGACCTTGGGCCAGCCTAGCCTACTTTGCAGGGCTGCTGTGAAGATAACAATTGGTGGCAGGGAGAACCATGAAGGCCACCTTGAGCTCCTGGGAGGAAAGTGCGCTAGGAATGTCCTAGTAAATGATGAAAAGGGGAAGGCAGGGGACGAGTGTGGAGGAGCTGAGCTCTCTGGAGAAGACTGGCTGGGTTGATTTCCAGCGAGTTAAGGCTGTGCAGAGTACCCCAGGACTTGCACCCCACCCCCAGGAGAACAAGAGAAAGGGAAGGAATCATACTTAGTCTGCACATTTTGTTCGCACAAAAAATCCCACCCTCCTCTCTAAACTAGCTAACTAGCTAGAATGCCCACCCAAGACTAACTCTGACCCCAGCCCTAAGCCTAACCCTAACCCTACGCTTACCCCTAACTACTCCTCTATGCACAAAATAAATATATACAAAATTTGCACAAAATAAAAATGTAAAATAAAAAATATGAAAACAAAATACAAAGTAAAATTAAATGTTAAAATTCAAAAGTAAAATAAATAAAATAAAAATAGAATCAAATGAATCAAATAAGAGTAATAAATCAAATAACAATCAAATGAATACCTCTCCTTTTCTTCTCCAACCACCACCAACTCCTCTCTCTACTACTCAACTTGCCTCAATGGCTGCCTGCAAGTGGTGGCTTTTAAGGGAGAAGCAAGAGATGTCACAAAGGAGGGCAGGTCCTTGTCACAGTGGCAACCTCCCCACCTGGACCTGGCCCCTCCTGAGAGGTGATGCTCCACTGTCAGAACTTGGAGGCACCTGCTGTTCCGCCTACAGCCCCATTTCCAAAGGGAGACCATCCCCGCATCCTTCAAGTCAGGCTGGGGGTCTCCATAGCGCAGGATTAGACCATCTGCCTTGCATGCAGGTCTTCTGTCCTGGCCGGCATCTCGGGGGGTGTGTGTGCTGGGAATGTCCCTTCCCCCCCCCATCTGAAACCTAATTGAAGAAGGATATTGAGCAGCTGGAAGGTGAGCAGAGGAGGGCGAATAGGATGATGAAGGGTTTGGAAACCAAGCCTGATGAGGAATGGTTGAGGCAGCTGGGTATGTTTAGCCTGGAGAGGCGGAGACAGAAAGGAGAGCCATCTTCCAATATCTGAAGACTGCAAGAGGGAGCAAGCTTGTTTTCTGCTGCTCCAGAGGGGAGGGCAGGAGAGGAGATTCGGACTAAACATTAGGAAGAACTTTCTGATGGTAAGACTCTCTGGGACGGTGGTGGACTCTCCTTCCTTGGCTTTTAAGCAGAGGTTGGATGCCAATCTGAGGGATTCAGCTGCAATTTGGGGAGCACATAGCACTGGCCTACTTTACAGCGTTGTTGTAACCACACAGGGCTGCTGAGCATCCAAAAGTGCCTGACAAATGTTGAGCCTTCCATTTCAGTGTGGGGAACAGCTGCAGCGCATCAGGATGCGTCCATCAACTTCCATTTCTACTCTCTCCTGCAGCCAAAGGGGCTGGGCTGGATTACCAAATAGGCAGAGTAGGCACTGGCCTATGGGCCCCACACTTTTTAGGGGTCCTGCAACAATGGATCAAAATAATATTGATTTGATCTTGAAAGAAAACGACAACCAAGCTTTCTTAGTTCAAGGTTATTCCAGCGTGCGCACGAGGCCTGCCCCCACCCCCCGATTTTGACTGTCAAGGGACCTCCACAGAGTTTAATCCAGCACTGCCCCATGAACAGCCCAGTATACTTGAAGGAGCGTTCTCACCCCCATTGTTTTGCCCAGACACTGAAGTCCAGCTCCGAGGGCCTTTTGGCGGTTCCCTCACTGCAAGAAGTGAGATTACAGGGAACCAGGCAGAGGGCCTTCTCAGTGGTGGCACCCACCCTATGGAATGCCCTCCCATCAGATGTCAAGGAAATAAACAACTATCTGACTTTTAGAAGACATCTGAAGGTTGCATTGTTGGGGTGCATAAATGATGTTTGTTATATTATTATTGTTGTTGTTGTTGTTGTTTCTTATATTGTTGTTTGTTTTTTTCTATTGCTTGTATGCTTGTTTGTATGTTTTTTTCTTTTTTCTTTCTATAATGTATTTATTTTAAAACAATAAAGGCATAATCTCTAAACAGCTATCTGACTTTTAGAAGACATCTGAAAGCAGCACTGTTTAGGGAAGTTTTTAATGTTTGATGTTTTATCACATTATTATTATTATTATTATTAGTCTGTTGGGAGCCACCCAGAGTGGCTGGGGAAACCCAGCCAGATCAGCGGGGTATAAATGATCAATTATTATTATTACTACTACTACTACTACTACTACTACTACTACAACATTTCAGGGTTTTTTGCTGCCTACTTGGGACTTAAAAACATAAGAGGCCTATTTACTGCATATGACAGGTGGGCTATATTCAATATGAATGATCACAGATTGTGCAAGCCTATCTTTCAGCGCACCCACTGGACTTAATTGATTGTGTGTGTGTGTGTGTGTGTGTGTGTGTCCAGTAGCACCTTAGAGACCAACTAAGTTTGTTCTGGGTATAAGCTTTCGACCAACACGGCTACCTACCACTGGACTTAAGTAACACCTTCACACTCATGGATTTTCCCAGTTACAAAGTACCGGTAACTGGGTCTAGCAATGTGCCTTCCCTCTTCAATGTTATGTTAACAGGCTTAGAATAGTTGTGGATTAGCTAGTCAACACACCTACACATGCATGCACACACACATGCGCGCGCACACACACACATTTGGCTTTAGATTGAAAATGATGGTCTGCACTCTGCACCTTTGAAAGTCGTCATAAATGCTTATAACTTGTCCAAACTTTGCCTGGGAGACCAGAGTACTGTTTATGAATTCAATAATATTTCCTATCAGGTTTATTTTAATTGCTTTTTGACATCTTTCCCAACAGAGAAATGTTGTCCTTGGGCCAAACTTATGATGGGTATAATTAATTTTATGAAAATAAAATAAAATATAATTATTATGAAATGAAATTTTATGAAATATAGCCACAGCACTATTTGAATATCCTTTCCCTGGTGGAGGGTAGGAGGGAGAGAGGGGAAAATAAACTGGGCTAAGCCCAATCAAGATGTCCAATTAATGGTATCACTTTTGGAGCACATTTTATCTTCCAGTCATTTCAACACCTCTCCCCCCAATTTAGACTTAATTTCTCATTCTCATAAATGCATTTATCACCCATCCTTATAGGCACATCGAGACTGAGAAAAACTGCAGAGAACTTTTTTCAAAATCAGAGTGTTGACTTTAGCAGATACCAGAAACATTTGGCTTCAAGAGAAAAAGAGAGACTTCCAAGTTCGTTTATTATATTTCATATGATATGATTTGAACTGACCAATTAAAATGGGGGGGAGGGGGCTAAACCATTGGGATAATTTGACGTGATCTACAGAAGCAGCTCTTCGTTTTTCCCTGCAAGTATAGAAATGTGGGCGATCTTCTAAGGAAACAAGGTAATGCAGAGCAATGCGCAAAAAATGACAATATTCCTAGCCAAATGCTCAGGGGAGAAGCCGGGCCCAGCAATGCTTTTAACGGCAAGCATTTTGGCGGGAAAGAGTGAGTGAGGGGAAGGAGGGAGAAGCGCCTCATGTCGCCGTTAAATCACCTCAGGCCTTTGTTGCGGCGGTTGGCCACGCCCCCTCCTCACCCCGACCGTTGGCTTCTTCGTGGGGGAGGCTCTCCGAAGCAGTGCCCCGCCCCCCCCCATTTTTGAACTCCTGTCGTCAGCATGATTTTCCTGTCAGAGACCTTAACGTGTGGGGTGCAACGGGCCCACCTAGAAATAAAAATACAGTACCCGTTGTCTGCACCAGCCCGACACCCATAATTCCCACCGCTCCAGTTCGTCGGGGTGGGGGAGGGCGGCCATGGGAGGGGCGGAGGGAGGGTTTTCCGCTGGCACAACTGACTGTGGCACACCTGCACCACATTGCCTGTAACACACCTGTGGTACACTGCCCGTAGCACATCTGTGGCACACCGCCTGCGGCAAACTTGCGGCACACCGCCTGTAGCACACCTGTGGCACCTGCAGCACACCGCCTGTGGCACACCGCCTGTGGCACACTTGTGGCACACCGCCTGTGGCACACCTGCAGCACACTGCCTGCAGCACACCTGTGGCACACCGCCTGCAGGACACCTGCAGCACACCGCCTGTGGTACACTGCCCGTAGCACATCTGTGGCACACCTGCAGCACACTGCCTGTAGCACACCTGTGGCACACCGCCTGCGGCACACTTGCAGCACACCGCCTGTGACACAGCTGCAGCACACTGCCTGTAGCACGCCTGTGGCACACCGCCTGCGGCACACTGCCTGTGGCACACCGCCTGCAGCACACTTGCGGCACACTGCCTGTGGCACACCTGCAGCACACTACCTGCGGCACACCTGTGGTACACTGCCCGTAGCACATCTGTGGCACACCGCCTGCGGCAAACTTGCAGCACACCGCCTGTAGCACACCTGTGGCACACTACCTGCGGCACACCTGTGGTACACTGCCCGTAGCACATCTGTGGCACACCTGCAGCACACTGCCTGTAGCACACCTGTGGCACACTACCTGCAGCACACCTGTGGTACACTGCCCGTAGCACATCTGTGGCACACCTGCAGCACACTGCCTGTAGCACACCTGTGGCACACAACCTGCGGCACACCGCCCGTAGCACATCTGTGGCACACCTGCAGCACACTGCCTGTGGCACACCGCCTGCGGCACGCCTGCGGCACACTGCCTGTGGCACACCGCCTGCAGCACACTTGCGGCACACTGCCTGTGGCACACCTGCAGCACACTGCCTGTGGCACACCTGTGGCCACTGGTGAAGGAAGAGTTCGGTGGGAGCACACCCCCCTGGCAGCGGGATCCCCAGGTTGCCATCACGGCTGTCCCCCCACCCGTGCTAGGTGCCCTGCCCCCAGGATGTGTACCACGCCCCTGCCGACAGCGCACCCCGCCCTTGGGATGCGCACCAGCCCCACCCGCGCCTGCTCTCCGTCCCCAGTGCTGGAGCATGAAGCTCCACCACTGCCTGTGGCACTTTTGCAGCACACCGCATGTGGCACACCACCGGTGGCACACCTGCAGTACACCGCCTGTAGCAACCCTGTGGCACACAACCTGTGGCACACCGCCTGTGGCACCTGCTTATTGCTGCCCTTGACTCAAGTGCCTCCCTCAAACCAATCAAAGAAATGCGATGAGGCAGACATGGGAAGATGCGTAGAAAAGTGCTCGTGGTCACCGAAACAGCATTTCAGGTTATAAATGAAAATTGCAGCTGTTTCTCCCATGTGAGAAGTTGCCTCAGGCTCATCCAGGGGCGAATTTTGGTTATGTGGCAACCTGAGAGAGGACAAATTTTGGCGCCCCTCCGCCCCTAAGTATTTCTTATTTTCACAATAATTCCTTTTGGTTCAGTGGCTTTTTATGGATCTTCTCAGACACTACCCCTAGCAATACTGTATAGGTTTTATTATTATTATCATTATTATTTTGCGTCTTCTCAGCTCAGTGCCCTGTGGCGGGGAACTGCCCACAGCACCCTAAATCCGGCGTTGCCTCAGCACAGGGATATAAAGAGCTTTCTAGCATGTGCATCACTATAAAATTGGTGCTTTTCAGAAGAGTAGCCACCCTGAATTGCTTTGGGAAGGAGGGGTGGGAAGGGAAATTTAATAAACAAATAAATAAATGGACGTGTCAGGCTTTGGTAGCAAGGGTCTGGTGGCAACTTCAGACCTAACACGTTTATTATGGTATACTTTTTTGTGGGTTAGTGATTCACCTGTGTGGCATTGGGCAAAGTAAGCTTTACAGAGTGCAACAATAAAGAGGTTTAAAAACAAACAACCCCTTTTTGAGATCAGTTTTGGGAACTGAAGTTGCCACCTTGGTTTCCTGCAACCACAGCCCTCGACGCTCCAACAGTACTTTGATTCCTTTCGTAGAGCTCCATGGAAAAACTCAAGTTTTTATTTATTTTCTGATTTGTTAGATCCTCAATAAATATCACTCTCTGGTGCACACTCTGTTCATGGTGCACACTGGTGTTTTTTGTTTCAGCTGTGATAAAAATCGCAGCTGAAACAAAAACATCAGTGTGCACAATGAACAATTATAGAAAGAGCTAAAACCTAAAGTTGAGTTAGTCCTAATAAAAGCATTTGGCACTTCTGCCGTTTGGATTTCTCTGCCTCCTGAACAGCTTTGTAAATAAGCCCACAGAAGTTACTAGCCTACAATTAAGAGAGAGTGAGAGTAGCTGGTGTTTCCATACTGGTCCTGGAGATTGGAAGCCCTTCTCTGCAGCCAGCATGGGGAAAAAACCAGGCTACTAATGGCTCCTTTAGCAGGCCATTTTAAAAGTTGCCTTTTATCATATGCACCCGTCCACCATGTCTCCTGCATCACCTTGCTGGCCAAGGAGGAAGGGGCAAGTGATCCTTCGCTCCTCAGCCAGGCTCCTCACTTGCCTATATAGAACTCCTAGTTGCCTATAGCAACCGGGAGAGTTCTTAAATACAAAGTTTTACCAGCCTCGCACAGCTGCTTGCATATAGACTTTTTAACCTTGTGTTGAAGGATGTAAGTAAGTCTCCTTTCAAGCCCTGAAAGCTGACCAAGGGCAGTCTTCAGGTGACTTAAAGGTAAAGGGACCCCTGACCATTAGGTCTAGTTGTGACCGACTCTGGGGTTGCAGCGCTCATCTCGCTTTATTGGCCGAGGGAGCCGGCGTACAGCTTCCGGGTCATGTGGCCAGCATGGCTAAGCCGCTTCTGGCGAACCAGAGCAGCGCACGGAAACACCGTTTACCTTCCCACCGCAGCGGTACCTATTTATCTACTCGCACTTTGACGTGCTTTCGACCTGCTAGGTTGGCAGGAGCAGGGAACGAGCAACGGGAGTTCACCCCGTCGCGGGGATTCAAACCGCCGACCTTCTGGTCGGCAAGTCCTAGACTCTGTGGTTTAACCCACAGCGCCACCCATGTCCCACTTGCTGAAGCTTAAAAGGAAATGTCTAGGGCCTGAAGGTATCCGTGAATGGCCTTAAGCTACTTGTGAAAGCGGTCACTGTGGTGGTAGCAACTATTGGGGCATGATCCTTTGGAGACCAGATGTGCCTCCTTTTTGGCAGCCTCCTCCCTCCCCGCCAATACCACTGCTTCAACAGCCTCTTGGCAAATAGGAAGCGCTGCTGGTCTTCTCCCAATGGCAGAGGGTTGGACTACAGGGGTCAGCAAGGTTTACCTCGCCTGGGCTGGTTCACTCCAGCAGAGATCCCTTCGTGGGCCGGATTGTGCCTGCGATTTCCAGTGCCTGCGTATGCGCAGATGCGATATCCGTGCTGCGGAAGCGAGTCCCCGTGTTGTGCCGGTTCAGCGCAGCGCGCGGGGACTCACCGGGCAGGCCGCTCAGTTTGGGGGTGGCTTATGGTCCGGTTAAATGACCCCCGTGGGTCGCTTGTGGCCCATGGGCCTTAGGTTGCCTACCCCTGACATAGGCTTTCAGTTCTACAACTGGGCATGCATCATTTGAGATGGCGGAACATAGGAAAAGGGACTGTTGCTATTTAAACCCCACCGGTCTCCTACCCTTAGTATTGCAAGATTGTCCTGAGAGCGCTTGGACTAAAACTGTTAACCAAAAAGCTTTATTTTTCTGGTTTGTCACCGCAACAGTTATTAACACTGGGCTTCAGTCAAGCAAATAATTTAATTACGATTACGTAATTTATGATATCAAGTGACAGAATAAATTGGCCACGATAAGGAAATTTTGTCCATGGTATGATTATTTTACACCTAGTCATTTTGACACTCTGGCACCCTGTCTGCAAAATTTGACAATTCCAAAATACAGACGCGCTTTTGCTTTCGCAAGATTGAATATACTGCCTTCGGCTGTATTAAATAATAATAATAATAATAATAATAATAATAATAATAATAATTTATTATTTGTACCCTGCCCATCTGGCTGGGTTTCCCCAGCTACTTTGGGCGGCTTCCAACAAAGATTAAAAATACATTAAAATGTCACACATTAAAAACTTCCCTGAACAGGGCTGCCTTCAGATGTCTTCTAAATGTCAGGTAGTTGTTTATCTCTTTGACATCTGATGGGAGGGCGTTCCACAGGGCGGGCGCCACTACCGAGAAGGCCCTCTGCCTGGTTCCCTGTAGCTTTGCTTCTTGCAATGAGGGAACCGCCAGAAGGCCCTTGGTGCTTTGAGGGACCTTTGAGGGTTGATTTCAAAAAAATTCGCTGGAAAAACAGTTGTGTCCCTGTGGAGATGGCAGTATTGAGTCAGTGGCTCATGTGCCTCTGGCTTGCACTCTTTATGAGGATTTGAGGAGTGAGGTTATTACCCCTCTGTTATTCTCCATGTTGGGTCGCTCAACCATTGCTACTGTGGCCTTCCTTTTAGCAGATCAAGATGATCAGGTTACAGCAAAAACTGTAAGGTTTTTAGCGGGGGCAATTAGAATAAGATCTATTATTTGATTATTGATGTAAACCTCTAAAATGTATTTTGTATAGTTACGTTTTTACCTCTATCTTCAGTACATTATTATTTTATTTTATTGCTATGGCCAGTGGCTGATGCAAATAAAGATTCTTCTAATTCCGAAAAGGACTGTTGCTGTCACTTTTCTGAAAAGAAAAAAACAGTCTTAAAAATTTATAGGGATCTCAATCTGAAATAGCTCTTCAATAATTTAAATTTCAGGGAGTACTGTAGTAAACAATGGCATTTAATCTGATACGGAAAACTGATCTAGTTAAACCAAGCATAAATATCAAGTTGCTAAGCATCGCATCCCAATGCAAACTTAGACTGTAGCTTGCAAACTGTGTACAGTATTTCCTTTCAACCGGTCCAAGAAAGAAAGTTTACACTTCCTATATTTTAAGCTTGAGAAATGCACTGAAGTGGTACAGCGTATCCCCAATTTTATCTTCTTAGATACTTCTTTATTGGACTTGTGGACATCTATTTACTTTTGGGTTTAGTCACTCGATGGACACCTTCAAGCAAGGTCACCTGGAAGACCAGTCAGTAGTCAGCAGGATGCAGAAAAAATACTGGAAAACAAAACAAGTTTTAATAAAGGTTACAGGAAAGAAAGAAGATGAACATGTGGTAGCATCTGACGCAGAATTAGATGCCAAAATAGAGGTAATTATATACATACATATATCGGAGAGAGATTCATTTATAAGTACAGTTCTTTAATAATACCATGGGTGGCATACAACTTTTACTCAGAGTAGAACCATACAATTAAATCAGGGCTATTACTTCCAATAGGTTTACGCTGAGTAAAAGTTAGCTGAATTTATCAAATGGTTATTGATTCAGCTTGTATTTGGGAGGTTTGCTAGTTAAATCAACGATTATTTCAGTGTTCACATTTGTTTTTCTGGCCAAATTAATTTGCTGACACACCTTTTATTTTTAAGGTTTTTCACAGCATTCAGGTGACCTGTACAGATCTTCTGAAGACAATTGAAAAATACCAGCAGAGACTTAATGGTAAAATGGACAAAAATCTACCTGTTTGTTGCTTTATAATAATGCTTTGCTTGATGTCAGATTCCTTAATCCATGTTACAGTGAAATAAGATATATATTCTGTACTGAGTGAGATGAATGTTTTCAGGCTTTCAGTTTTTGCCATATATTATTCATAGCACTTTACAACAAGAGGTGTACCATAAGTTAGTTAATAATTCCTGCACTTTCAGGTTGTGAGATTGATATTAAACAGCTGTGAAGATGGTGGCAGGCAGCAGAGTGAATCAGGCCCTTTGAATGTACTTTTGAATGCTTGAAACATCCCCTCATGGAATGGAATGTCAAAGGACCCAGCTCCTTTTCGATGTGACCACAGGGCTGCTTGCCCATCTCTACTTTCAATAGTTAATTTATTATATCCTTGTTGTCAGAACAGTGCAGCTATGAAAAACTACAGTAAGCCTATGCCTAAAGCCAAAATTGCATAGTCAAGACACATTGGGTTCAGTGGTGGGTGGGATGAGCATGCATTTCCTGCAATAGAGAGCACCTCACGTAGTTTACGATCTAACAACATCACTAAGAAGAATGCTTTTCCTTTCCTGACTTTGCTTTTAATTTGTGTGAATATGTGTGAACTGATTTATTATGTATCTCCCTTTTGTAGATCTATCTGAGCAGGAAAACGAACTAGGGCTTTTTTTAAAGTTGCAAGCAGATCGGGGTGAAGCTCAAATTGACAAGATGACTGATGCCACTGGCCAGGCCCTCTGTTCTTCTTCCCAACAAAGGTTTGTGTGTTGTATAAAAATAATATGTTGACTAAGGGACGCGGGTGGCGCTGTGGTCTAAACCACTGAGCCTCTTGGGCTTGCTGATCAGAAGGTTGGCGGTTTGAATCCCTGCGACGGGGTGAGCTCCCGTTGCTCCAACCCAGCTCCTGCCAACCTAGCAGTTCGAAAGCACACCAGTGCAAGTAGAGAAATAGGTACCGCTGTGGCGGGAAGGTAAACGGCATTTCCATGCGCTCTGATTTCCATCACAGTGTTCCGTTGCACCAGAAGCGGTTTAGTCATGCTGGCCATCTGACCCGGAAAGCTGTCTGTGGACAAACTCCGGCTCCCTCGGCCTGAAAGCGAGATGAGTGTCACACCCCATAGTCGCCTTTGGCTGGACTTAACTGTCCAGGGGTCCTTTACCTTTACCTTTTACTTAATACGCTGAATGAGTGTCAGATCCTTTTTTGATGTTCCATAGTGCAAATAACTTGAATTGAGACAAGAGTAAGAACACTTCTTCAAAAACCAATGAATCCACAAGTATTAATTTCTCTCTGCTAGCTCCTTTTAGGTGTTCTTTGCTCCTATGTTGAACTACATGAGAACAAGGAGCACATTGCACCGAGTAGCCTCATGCCTGATGTTGCACATTCTTCCCTTGATATCTGCAAATATAGCACAAATGTCTGTAGTGAGAGGGCCTTTGCATGTATCACTGTATGTGTGAAGCCCTCTCTGGAATCTGCAGGCAAGATAGAAATTCACTAGGAGAAGGGGGGGTATGATCTTGGCTGTATCTGACTGGGCATGATAGGTAAGACCAGTTTTTGAAAATGTCTGCATAAGAAGCTTCTGCAAAGACCATTTTGACTAAAAGTGCCCATGCAGAATTCAAATTGCATTCATATATGCTCAGGTTATTATTTGCAAAAATAAACTTTGCTGCAAAATTACGTGACTTGACTCACTATGAAGATATCCACGAAATAGTGTTTAGGATTAATGGATAAAATTCCAATTTTTTAATGGTATTTTTGAAGTAAATGCGATGTACATCTCAGTTGGATAGCGTTTAAGATATTAATAGTCTGGTGCTCTTTATTGCTATGCAAGCTCAACTTCACATGAACCTCCCATTGAAATCAGGCTGCAGTTTTAAAAAACCTTTTTTCAGTATAAAAACACATTTCTTTCTTACAAGGTAAGGGCAGACACAACTATTTACAACATGACTAGTATTATTTTACTTAGAAGTAGGGTTTTAGTATCACTCATGGTTGTTGTACATACATCATACATTAACATACATTAACAAGGACGTTAAAATAGTTACATGAATTAAGCCTTTCTCCAATACAAATATTGATGATTGGAACTGCTCATTATCCTCTATATCCTCTGCCATGTACCACTGGTGTTTTGGTGTGATAACTAATCCAGTTCACTTTCCCCCTCACTTCAGGCTAGCTCTTTGCACGGCTTTGTCTCGCCTCGGACAAGAACTTGCAACCTTTAGTCGGAGGGCCGTGTCAGATACTTTGCTTACAATCAATCGAATGGAGCAGGCGCGCACAGAGTATAGAGGGGCTTTGCTGTGGATGAAGGATGCTTCGCAAGAACTGGACCCAGACACTTGCAAACAAATGGAAACATTCAGAAAAGTAGATATTCCCAAAGCTAAGATCTCCTAGGCCAACTTTTCCCAGCCTGTTGCCCTTCACATGTTTTGGACTACAACTCCCATTATCCCTGACCATTGGCCATGCATCCTGATGTCATGTGTGCAACATTGCTGTTAAGTTGTGGGTGAACATATCAGACGACACAGCGATTCTTCAAACAGCTCTTGCTTATTCACAGGCCAGAACAGAACTGAACTGAAGGGTTCAGTCAGCCTGCTTATATAGAGCTCCAGTACAACGTTACTGTAACAATTTTCTAAAACTATCCAATCACTGAACGTCACTTTCGATCCCTTATTTGCATAACTATCTACAGTATCCCCCTGCTGGTCCAGGGTGAGAACTTCAGTACATAACAATTGCCCCTCCCCCATCATCCTTGCAAGCCGGTGCCTCTGCTAATGGGAACTGTGATCCAAAAGGTTGGGGTTGACTGTTGTAGGCCCTGTTTCTTCCAGGGATTGCATCTGCGGAAGGATTGGTGATGAGTTTCAAGCACATGCACTCTCTTCTGAAATCTTTCCACGCTCCGTCACACCAAGAAGTGGGAATCCCATAGTTATTTGTACGTTAAATCCCCCTGGTTCTGCAGGATAAAATGGACTTTTGGAGATTTCAAGAAAGGAGTTAAAGAAACAAAGACTTGTCCTTAATTAAGAGTAATAACTCCTGGGGTTTGTGTAAATATTGGAGGAATAGGAAGACACATCCTCCTAAATAATCACTGCAGAAGTAATTTATTCTTTTGCTTATGTTTGTTTGAATTGGCAAGGAGATGTCCAGTCAGTGCTTCAGCGTGAGAGGAATATGTAGAGTATACACAGATCAGTATACAACATACAAAGAAGCTAATGGGAGTTGTCATAGCACTAATACAAGGTTAACTGTTCCCCCATACAGCATGTGACAAGCCTGATCTTATAGGCTGCTGTGTTTGTGCAGCAGCTCATATGATTAGGCTGCTAAGTATAAATAGTGAATTTTAGAGCATGCACCTAAACGAGTGTTGTGCTTATTTGTTTGCTTTCAAACATCATTTCAGTTTCCTCTTTTCTTATTCTAGGTGCAGATGCAGGTAAGAAATACCAAAGCACAGTTTGATAAGCTGAAGATGGATGTTTGTCAGAAGGTAGATCTTCTTGGAGCCAGCCGCTGTAATATGCTGTCACACTGTCTTGCTGTCTACCAGGTATCAGCTCCTGTTTTAGATGGCCTGAGGATTTCTGTGCCATTGATGAATGACCTTTGAAGCTTAATGTAGCCTCTTCCTGTGTTCATAATGATCTAGTAGGCGTAGGATGCTTAAGAACAGCTGACTGATGGAAGTATAAACGATATATTAGGGTACTTCCACATGACCTAGGTCCCATCTGTGGATGGGATGTGGGTGGCGCTGTGGTCTAGACCACCGAGCCTCTTGGGCTTGCCGATCAGAAGGTCGGTGGTTCGAATCCCCGCTCTGTCCCAGCTCCTGACAACCTAGCAGTTCAAAAGCATGCCAGTGCAAGTAGATAAATAGGTACCACTGTGGTAGGAAGGTAAACAGCATTTCTGTGTGCTCTGGTTTCTGTCACGGTGTACAGTTACTCCAGAAGCGGTTTAGTCATGCTGGCCACATGATCCAGAAAGCTGTCTGTGGACAAACGCTGGCTCCCTTGGCCTGAAAGCGAGATGAGCGCTGCAACCTCAAACCAGCCTTTGACTGGACTTAACTGTCCAGGGGTCCTTTACCCTACACATTTAAAAGCAGCATCATGCCACTTAAATCAGTCACAGCTTCCCGCAAAGAATACTGGGAGCTGTAGTGATGTTCAGGGTGCTGAGATTGGTTTGCCTCTTTCGAAGCAAGTCAGAGGATAGCAGCTGTATGAGGGGAATAGGAATCTCCTCACCACTTTTCGCAGCCTTAACATAGCTACAGTTCCCAGAGTTCTTTGAGGGAAGCCATGAATGTTTAAAGTGGTAGGATAGTGTCTTACATGTACAGTGCAGATGGGGCCCTTGAGTAGTTAAAGGCAAGCTTTCCCTGTTCACCTTAGAATTAGATCAGTTTTTTTAAAGCTCCTGTAGAACACTCAGAAAAAAATGTCTGTTTGTTTTTTCCTCCAGAAAAAGACAACTCCACCCTTGCTCTCTGTGCTACTTCACCTTTTTTCCAAGCTAGCTGCGCAACCACAATTGACTAAAATGTGTCCCTAAATAACAGCCCTGGAGGGCAAGTGTTTCCTGATGATATTTTAAGTGTAGCCTGTCCATTTCAATGCAATCATATAGAAAAATAATGACATCTATTCATTATTTACTGTATATCCTTTGCTATTTCAATTTTGTGCGCAAAATGGTTTTTTAAAAAGATAATATCGTGCGCGCGCACACACACACGTACATACATATACTGTGAATGTATTTTACTTTGCTTTCTTTAGATGACCTTTTTGCATTTCTGTGAAAAGTCTGTTCAAAAGATGAATGAAATTAACGAAGGCTTTGCACATCCCCACTCGTATCATCAGAATGCATGTGAGGTAAAGATATTTTTCACTTAGTTGGTCAATTAAAAAAACCACGCCAGGTCTAGAGAAGTAAGCACACTGCATATTGTTAGCTAGTTTGGGATTGTGTTTCCTTGCTTGTATCCGTTTTATAGCAGAACCTCGGTTGTCAAACGTAATCTGTTTCAGTAGACCATTCAACTTCCGAAATGTTCAACAACATATGCACAAAGGGCTGTCAGCAATTTCCACTGAGAAAATTGAAAAACAATCCACGGAAGCCGTTCGACTTCTGAGGCACGTTCGAAAACGGAAGCAATTACTTCCGGGTTTTCGCCGTTTGGCTTCCAAAACTTTTGGCTTCCGAGATGCTCGAAAACCGAGGTTCCACTGTATTTCAAAATATACTGTTTAGCATTTAGGTCAGTCAGTACAGCATATTCTGCGCTCCAAGTGTATTTTCAAGTGTATACTTAGGCCCAAATTACTCATTTTGGAAAGATAGGCCACTGCCAAGCTGTGTCTTCCTAGCAAAGTGTAGTTGAAAAAACGTGTGATGTGATAGCATCATATTAATATCTCCCTGTCTCATGCTGCTTGTGGGGCAGAGGTGTGAAAAAACTTAAGACATGTAATGACATGTAATTCATTTCCCCATCCACAAGTTATGACTTTTCTTTATCTGAAATATGTGGTTTGAGCCTTAGGTGTAATTCCAAAAAAACTTGCATATGAGATAGGATTGGGCTTACAATCACCTGGGAGAAAGTAGTGGTTTGTCTTGCATGGGGACGTCATGACTGCCATGATATTCTCCTCCATTATTTTAATGTCCTTTTAGTTGTTACATTTAGGAAGGGCTATTCCAGTTTGGAGAGGGATATTTGTATGTACTGATTAGGTCCCTGCTGGTACAACAGCACCTCCATGGCAAGAGATGTCCCAAAAAGCCTTTTAAGATGCATGACTGTCTTGAAAGGCAAAGGAAAAATGAAGCCTTAACTGTGACCATAGTAATAATGTGAAAAAGAAACAAGGCTTGGTAATTCTATCAATATGTGGCTCGTAGAGTCTGCTTGCCTTTCCATGATTGTTAATGCGTGCTTAAGGTTACAGCCCTTTATTTTACACCAGCTGTGGGGCCTTAGCACCTGGTATACCTTAGCACTCGGTCCAGTATACCTGGAGGAGCGTCTCCACCTCCACCGTTCTGCCCGGACACTGAGGTCCAGCGCCGAGGGCCTTCTGGCGGTTCCCTCACTGCGAGAAGCCAAGTTAGAGGGAACCAGGCAGAGGGCCTTCTCGGTAGTGGTGCCCGCCCTGTGGAATGCCCTCCCACCAGATGTCAAAGAGAAAAATAACTACCAAACTTTTAGAAGACATCTGAAGGCAGCCCTGTTTAGGGAAGCTTTTAATGTTTAATAGGTTATTGTATTTTAGTGTTTTGTTGGAAGCCACCCAGAGTGGCTGAGGAGACCCAGCCACATGGGCAGGGTATAAATAATAAATTATTATTATTATTATTATTATTATTATTATTATTATTATGGTAGGAGCCAGTGGGGTACATAAAAGCCGCTGTCAAGACAGGTGCACAAGGGTGGTGGTGTTAAGTTGTGGGTGAACATATCAGATGACACAGCGATTCTTCAAACAGCTCTTGTTTATTCACAGGCCAGGACAGAACTGAACTGAAGGGTTCAGTCAGCCTGCTTATATAGAGCTCCAGTACAATGTAACTGTAACAATTTTCTAAAACTATCCAATCACTGAATGTCACTTTTGATCCCTTATTTGCATAACTATCTACAGTATCCCCCTGCTGGCCCAGGGTGAGAACTTCAGTACATAACAGGTGGGAATATGAACAGGGTTGTGTTTTAGGGGTAGGCCTGCTAAGATGCTGCTTAGCAGTACCAGCTTAGCAGATGGATGGTTGTGGCATGGTCCCATGTCTTCTCAGGAGGATTCCAGTTAGGTCCTGAAGCTGGGGTGCTAGCCTGCAGGGGTGCCTGGGGCATCTAGAGATCTGTATCCTTGACTCGTGTGACAGTGGGTGTTGTGGTATTGCGTGCTTGTGTGTTGTGCACATTGAGGTGGCATCACATCGCCCTGCCATCCCCTCACATTAGCCAGTGTGGATTTACTGCTCCATTTGTGGCCATCATAAGAGCAGTGCCTCTCTCATGTCCTGTGACTGGGGGGCAATGATACTGTTGTCAAGGACGTTGGTGTTATGTACTGAAGTTCTCACCCTGGGCCAGCAGGGGGATACTGTAGATAGTTATGCAAATGAAGGATCGAAAGTGATCTTCAGTGATTGGATAGTTTGTATGCAAATGAAGGATCGAAAGTGACGTTCAGTGATTGGATAGATTTAGAAAATGGCAACAGTTACATTGTTCTGGAGCTCTATATAAGCAGGCTGACTGAGCTCCTCAGTCAGTTCTGTTCCAGCTTACAAATAAAGAGCTGCTTTGGAAGAATCGCTGTGTCGTCTGATATGTTCGCCCACAACTTAACAGTTGGAGGCACGGCTCGTTTTTGCTGTGGTTTTACATGCTCCTCCCTCTTCGTCCTGTGCAGAGCACATATTGATACAGTGATGTTTCACTGGCATACTGGTGGCATCGTCCAGCCCCAGTGTAATTGTGATAAGGAAGGGGTCCAATATAAATCAATAGGTAAATAAATCTAATTACAAAGCATAGTATTTATTCTTTCTCCCTAGAAGATAACCCATCAGATGGGTTACTAGCTTAGCAATGTTCTAATATCAACAGCAAGCTTTCAGCACGTGCAGTACTTGTTTAAAACAAATCACATTAAGGTTTTCTGTTTTTAACTATGGTGGCCTGACAGTTATATGTATAAGAAAGCTAATACTCTTACACAACTAGTCTTAGCCCAATACAAGTCTTGTTGGAGGGGATCAAACTATAGACAATTTTATTTTAAATAACAATTTTATGAGCAATTGCAGAAGCTTGTTAACCAATCTACTGAGGAAGAGGAGGAGAATGCGGAAGGAGACACTACCCCTGAAATGCTTGATAAGTAAGTTTTAATGGTTTAACATTTCAGAGAACTAAATAGCCAAAACTGAGCACATAGTCCAGCTTTTTGCATGCCAGGTAAGGCTAAGAAGGGAGCAAGGCTTACTTCATTTCCTGGAGGCCACATGGTGGTGGGGAGAAAGAGGCAGACCAGGTCAAAGGGGTCAGAGCAACTTGTAATTCTTGACATCGTAATTGTTACCATCCTGGTTGCTGAGGGTCTCTGGAGGAGGCTGGCCTACCCATTCCCTTCCTTCATTCTCCAGGCTCTTGCAAGTGAATAAAGATTTCCTTAGCTGGTTCTCAGTGTCATTCATCTCGAGTGGGGACCTGCCAGTGTCTCTCCTATATTCCATTTAGGGTTTGTTGTTGTTGTTGTTTAGTCGTTCAGTCGTGTCCGACTCTTCGTGACCCCATGGACCAGAGCACACCAGGCACTCCTGTCTCCCACTGCCTCCCACAGTTTGGTCACACTCATGCTGGTAGCTTCGAGAACACTATCCAACCATCTCATCCCTTCTCCTTGTGCCCTCCATCTTTCCCAACATCAGGGTCTTTTCCAGGGAGTCTTCTCTTCTCATGAGGTGGCCAAAGTATTGGAGCCTCAGCTTCACGATCTGTCCTTCTAGTGAGCAATCAGGGCTGATTTCCTTAAGAATGGATAGGTTTGATCTTCTTGCAGTCCATGGGACTCTCAAGAGTCTCCTCCGGCACCATAATTCAAAAGTATCCATTCTTCGGCGATCAGCCTTCTTTATGATCCAGCTCTCACTTCCATACATCACTAATGGGAAAAACCATAGCTTTTACTATACGGACCTTTCCATTTAGGGTACACTTTAACAACTGATTCCAGGACATTGGTCTGAGGACCATTTTGCAGAAGCTAAGCAGCTCTGGGCGTGGTCAGTACCTGGATGTGAAAGATGGGCTATAAAGCTGCTAAATAAATAAACTGAAATTAACAGAAGAGTCTGCTCATGAGCACCTGGACTGCTTGATGCTCTGTGTAGGATGGGAATTCATGTGCTGCCAGGCCAGTTGGATACACTAGTGCATTGGGGGGGGGGGGAGCTGCTGTTACTCTCTAAATCAGGGGTCAGCAAGGTTTATCTTGCTTGGCCCGGATTGCGCGTGTGCCCGCAAATTTTGGCGTGTGCAGATGTGATTTTGGGGGTCTGTATCTGCGCAGATACAATTTCCAGCACTGTGGAAGCGAGTCCCCACGCTGCGCTAAACTGGCGAGCAGGCAACTCAGTTCGGGGGCCGGTCAAAAGACCTCAGCGGGCCGTTTCCGGCCCATGGGCCTTAGGTTGCTGATCCCTGCTCTAAATATTTGGTGCACATGTGGAGCGTCTGCGCTGTATCTTTTACAAGGGCTGTCAGATGTGATCAACTAGGTGAATCCAGAGAGCATGAATACCTTGTTGTGGCAATGGGAAGCTACCTGTTAAGTTGTGGGTGAACATATCAGACAACACAGCGATTCTTCAAACAGCGCTTGTTTATTCAGAGGCCAGAACAGAACTGAGCTGAAGGGCCCAGTCAGCCTGCTTATATAGAGCTCCAGTACACATAATTGTAACAACTTTCTAAAACTATCCAATCACTGAACGTCACTTTCGATCCCTTATTTGCATAACTATCTATCCCTGCTGGCCCAGGGTGAGAACTTCAGTACATAACACTACCAACCTACACCCTCCCCACCCCCCATAACCCATTTAGAAACAAACAACACCCACTGGTTTTACAACCCGGGCTGTGGGTTTTCAGCTTTTAAAATAAATTCTTTCTAAAACTAACATAATACTTAAGGGCAGGGCATTTTTCAGCCAGAACTCGCAGGCACCACTGCCATTACAAGAGAACAAGGGTGGCTTTTGTGGTGAGTTCCGGCACTTCTTTTTCTAGGGGGGAAAAAAAGCACTGCTTAAGGGAAATAGAATAGTTCTGTGCAGATATTATGGTATTCCTTGGATCTTGACCATATGAATTCAGAAATAAAAATTGGAATCCTGAGAAAACTTAGCTGGTGATATGCTCTTTTGAACTCATTGGGATTTACTTTAGAGAAGGTATACATATTTAGGCTTGCACTGTTATGAGGCATTCCTATTTTTACTAATATTACCACAAAGAAATGCTTCCAGTGCCATAAAGCTTGATATGACTGACTTCTATTTATTTTTACTCAAGGCTGATTTTACTGGATGAAGATGCCTCTGAAATTCTGTCAGACTCAGGTAAGATGCCAAATATTTGGTTAGATATCTCTGGAACCAGTAACAAAGGCTTTGTGGTGTTTCAGGCCCCCGAGATGATGATGAATATTAGGGGGGGGGAGCATTTCTGATTCGCCACTCCATTATTCTCCCCCTTGCATGCGAAAGGTTCCAGATTTAATTCCGGGCATCTCCAGGAAGGGCTGAGAAAGAGTCTTAAACCTGGAGTCTCACTGCTAGTCAGTGCAGACATTAAGTAAGCTTGATGGACCAATGATCTAAATCAGAATAAGTCAACCTCCTGTAATATTCATTTATTTCCAAATTCATCTATAGAATATTCAAGAGGTGTACAAAAGTAGAGCATAATACAGTGGTACCTTGCGTTAAGTACTTAATTCGTTCCGGAGGTCCGTTCTTAACCTGAAACTGTTCTTAACCTGAAGCACCACTATAGCCGCCGGAGCACGATTTCTGTTCTCATCCTGAAGCAAAGTTCTTAACCTGAAGCACTATTTCTGGGTTAGCGGAATCTGTAACCTGAAGCGTATGTAACCCGAGGTACCACTGTACTAATAATAAAGCAAAATTAAAAATATGAAGCCAACAATAATAAAAAAGCTTCAGAAATGTTATGTACTGAGTTGAATAGGATCCAAAATGCAGCAGTCTGATTGGTCCTAGAACAATTGGATCCAGAATGCAGCGGTCTGATTGGTCCTAGAACAATGCAGCAGTATGATTGGTCCGCAGGATCCACCCATTCCAGCTCCAGGTGGAAGTGAATCCACAACCTGATTGGCCTACAGGAGAATCCCGGAATTAGCCAATCACGTGCAGCCCATTGTGTAAATAATGTATATAAAGCAGATATTTGGGGGGAACTTCCATTTCCTCCTCACCACTATGAGCTGAATAAAGAGCATGAAATCCACTCTCGACCGAGTATATTTCAAGAAATAAGCTAGTCTAAGAAGTCAAAAAGAACTAGGCTGTCATAGATAAAAGCATGTACTTGAGTCACAGTACGGTTTACTGCAGGATCATGCTGCACCATCACCAAATCGTCATCCACAAATCTAAGTGAGAAGGATGTGCGTAGGGGGAGAGGCAGCTTCTCAGATACCCTGGTCCAGGGTTACATTTAGCAGTGGTAGGGAGCCTTTTCTGGCCAGTGGGCCAGATCTTAATGGCCCTTATGGGCAAAAGTTTGCAGGTGAGTGAAACTACACACCTGTCCGTCACCTGACACAATAGCCCTTTGTAAGTTCCCTGTGCTGCTGGCTTAAACCTCCAAAAATCAGAGGTTTATAGAGGAGAGCAGGGATGTTTAACAAAGGGCTTTGAAACAGCCTCACCCTGCTGTTTGAGCCTTTGGTTTTTGGAGGTTCAAAGAGCAGTGCTGGTAGGGAGAAGCGATTTCCATTGAATAGAAACTACTGTCCACTCCTTGAGCAAGGTACACTTACACCACCTGTCAGCTAAAAGAGGTTTAAAGACTGTCTCAAGGCAAATCTAAAAATATGTAGTATAAACACCAACAATTGGGAAACACTTGCCTGCGAGCGCTCCAACTGGAGAACAGCCTTTACCAAAGGTGTCATGGGCTTTGAAGACACTCAAACTCAGGACACAAGGGAGAAACGTGCTAAGAGGAAGGCACACTTGGCAAACCCTCACCGTCATCAACTCCCACCTGGAAACCAATGTCCCCACTGTGGAAGGATGTGTGGATCCAGAATTGGCCTCCACAGTCACTTACGGACTCATTGTTAAAACCGTGTTTATGGAAGACAATCTTACTTGGCACACAAGCCAAAGCTGGCAAAATGCACTCCTATTATATTATTATTAAATTTACATTTATATCCCACCTTTTCCCCAGTCTGGTACTCAAGGCAGTTTACAGATTAAAATACAAAAACATATATGAAATCTGTTGTTGTTGTTGTTTAGTCGTTTAGTCGTGTCCGACTCTTCGTGACCCCATGGACCAGAGCACGCCAGGCACTTCTGTCTTCCACTGCCTCCCGTAGTTTGGTCAAACGCATGCTGGTAGCTTCGAGAACGCTGTCCAACCATCTCGTCCTCTGAAGTCCCCTTCTCCTTGTGCCCTCCATCTTTCCCAACATCAGGGTCTTTTCCAGGGAGTCTTCTCTTCTCATGAGGTGACCAAAGTATTGGAGCCTCAGCTTCAGGATCTGTCCTTCCAGTGAGCACTCAGGGCTGATTTCCTTATGAATGGAGAGGTTTGATCTTCTTGCAGTCCATGGGACTCTCAAGAGTCTCCTCCAGCACCATAATTCAAAAGCATCAATTCTTCGGTGATCAGCCTTCTTTATGGTCCAGATTTCACTTCCATACATCACTACTGGGAAAACCATAGCTTTTACTATACGGACCTTTGTTGGCAAGGTGATGTCTCTACTTTTTAAGATGCTGTCTAGGTTTGTCTAGGGACGCGGGTGGCGCTGTGGGTAAAACCTCAGCGCCTAGGGCTTGCCGATCGCATGGTTGGCGGTTCGAATCCCCGCGGCGGGGTGAGCTCCCGTCTTTCAGTCCCAGCTCCTGCCCACCTAGCAGTTCGAAAGCACCCCTAAGTGCAAGTAGATAAATAGGTACTGCTTTATAGAGGGAAGGTAAATGGCATTTCCGTGTGCTGCGCTGGTGCTGGCTCGCCAGAGCAGCTTCGTCACACTGGCCACGTGACCCGGAAGTGTCTCCGGACAGCGCTGGCCCCCAGCCTCTTAAGTGAGATGGGCGTACAACCCTAGAGTCGGACACGACTGGCCCGTACGGGCAGGGGTACCTTTACCTTTACCTTTAGGTTTGTCATTGCTTTTCTCCCAAGAAGCAGGCGTCTTTTAATTTCATGGCTGCTGTCACCATCTGCAGTGATCATGGAGCCCAAGAAAGTAAAATCTCTCACTGCCTCCATTTCTTCCCCTTCTATTTGCCAGGTGGTGATGGGACCAGTGGCATATATGAAATAGAAAACGCTAAAAACGGAAAAGCTTATTGCTACATTGAATACAACCCTATGCCTTTGGACAAAATAGAATGTTCTTTTTGGCTTATCTAAGACTGCAATCCTATACCTACTTACCTGGACATAAGTACTATAAAATTCAATAGATTTACTTCTAGACAGACATGGATTGGAGTGCAGTATAAGTTACACGTGATAAAACTGAAAAATGGGATAGGGATAAGGTGGGTATAATATGTAGATATAAGGATGGAGTGTGGCATGTTCTGAGCGATAAAGTGAATGTAAAGATTTGTTTCCCAAGGTTGCAAGGACAAAACTATTAAATACTAAGAGCTATATCCAATTAAGTCATGCTCATTAGACATATTAAAATCAAGGACTTGACTAACTTAGGCCCATTGATTTCAGTGGGTCTACTCCGAGTATGACTTAGTTAATTACATCCCACAATATGAAGCTTTTACTGGTATTTTTGTGTCTGATTTTATTTGTTGCACTATAGTAGTACATTCACTGAGATGATGTAACACCATAAGCAGTATTATAATGGACAGTGTGTCCGATAGATTATTTAGAAATTTCTGCTTGGGATTTATACTTTTGTATTTGATACAAGTATTTCCAACAGTATTTTCTTCTGGTATTCCAGGGTCAGATGAAACAAAAGAGAACCTGTGTCAGATGAGCAAATCTGGTGATCCATGCATCCCTGAAAAAGGTAATAATTCTCAATCTGCAAAGAAATTAATGCTTCATTTTATTCATTTATTTAACAAAATAATATATGCTGCTTGATTGCAATAAAACGTCAAGATGGTTTGTATGAAACATTATAATAGCTATATAAAATAATAGAAAATTAATATATTAACACTTTCCTTTCACAATGGCATTCTCTGTGTACAGAAAATAGCTGTATTGTGATGCGTTAAGGACAGTGTGATTGCATTTTTCATTTGATACTGGGTGCCTGGGCTATACAGCTTGCTTCATATAGTAAATATGATGATGGGTGGGTGTGTATATACAAAGGGGGGACAGAGGTAGACACCATGTTCTCTAATGCCCCATTGTTTTAACAACAATTTGCTGAATTCATTAATACCTTTTGCGATCTTTTTAGTTGCATTCTCTACAATTCTGCCTCAATTCCTTTTCCTTTTCTTTTTTTGCATATTCTTTAAAGGAGTGAATTAGTGGACTGTCTTCTCTTCTGTGGTTTTAAGCCTCTCTTTCTTTTTACTATCTCTTAATGAATTAGTGTGGCCTTTTGGTCTCCACTATCAACTCCACATTTATAACATCCACCACCTCTCTTGCTCCTCTTGACCTGAGGAGTCCCATCACACCAGCAGCTGTCTTGCAACTTACCAGCTGGCTTCAGGCTCGCTGAGTTTAAGTTGGAAAAGGGACTAGGAAATACGGGTAATTTTCATGCGGTTGCTAGACAACCAAGCAGTCATTCCCTGTTGTTTCTCAGTTAACAGGAACTATTTGTAGATGCCTCTATGGCTGCTGAGTAACCACTTGCAATCCTCTCCATTTCCCCCTCCTCTGTCACTTAAGGTTTAGTGGCCCAGCTGCCCTGAACTCAGCAGAAAAGTACTACAGCTGCTGCTATTACACTATAATTTATAGCGGCAGTAGGAATGCTGGCTAGAACACTACTGAGCTGTTTTTTGTTTGGCCCAGCCATAGCTACCTTAATTATTATTTTTTCAAAAAAAATTATTGGTTTTCACAATATTATAAACAAACAAACAAACACACAAACAAACAAACACACAAGACAAACAAACATAAATCATAGCCTTATTGAAAATTACACTTATTAACTTTTTTAAGTGACTTCCTCGCTTCCCCTTGGTTGAATTTCATTGCATGTCCTTTTAATGGTTTTCTAAATCCCAATTCTTATGAAATTTAACTTAAACATTAACATCCTTAAATCTTCACCTTATGGAATTAAACATATTAATTCGTCACTTAACATAAATAAAATCCTAAGCCAATTAAGTATCTGCAAGCTTGCAGCCATAGCTACCTTTAAGCACAATGTTTTACAAAAGTAGTAGAAGCTATCAGCTGTGTTGACGTGGGACAGCATCCGGTTCTGGAGGATTGAAAATAAAGCAGTCATGAATAGGAGAGTACCTGAATAGGGGCAGAGGAGTGGTAGATCATTCTTGATTAGGGGGAAAAACACCTCTAATATTCATTTACACTGGACAGCAGCTGGTTCACAAAACATCCTCCCTCTGTCTCACCACACCCAGCCTTCTTTGCCAAGAACTCAGGCACAGTCATTGTATCTTACTTGGGTTCTGAACCCTCTCCTTTTCATGAATGTAGGATTGTCCAGGCATTATCCAGCCCATTTCCCTTTCCTTGCTACCAGTTCGTTTTCGTCTTCCTGAAGCACAGGAGGCAAAGTGGCTTTGCCAAAGGCCATTCCATAGCGTTTGCTGCATCCTCAGCTGTTGAGGCCGCAAGCCAAATAGCACACACAAAGACAGGCTTATACCCTAAAAGCAGATCTCTTCCAGCTACGGCATCTGCCAGTGACTGAGGCTGGCAAACACAGCTCTGAACCTGAGAAACTTGCATGCCACAAGCTAGCTCCATGCAGACTAGACCCAAGTTGCCTACAGGCCGAGGCACGTTTGAAGGCTGTACTTTTCTTCCTAGGTGTGCTAAATAGCTTTCATCTTTTAAGCAACTGATCTAGAGGAACTGATCTTGCTGTTGAAAGTTCTCTCGGGGTTTGAAATAAGGAAGTCACTTTAGTAAAGGGACTCCTGACCATTAGGTCCAGTCGTGACCGACCCTGGGGTTGCGGCGCTCATCTCGCTTTATTGGCTGAGGGAGCCGGCGTACAGCTTCCGGGTCATGTGGCCAGCATGACTAAGCCGCTTCTGGCGAACCAGAGCAGCGCACGGAAACACCGTTTACCTTCCCGCTGGAGTGCTACTTATTTATCTACTTGCACTCTGACATGCTTTCGAACTGCTAGGTTGGCAGGAGCAGGGACCGAACAATGGGAGCTCACCCCATCGCGACCTTCTGATCGGCAAGTCCTAGGCTCTGTGGTTTAAGCCACAGCACCACCCGGAGTCACTTTACAACCTATTCAATTAGCCTGTCAGTTTGTTTTCATGGCACTAATATTGGAGAAATGTATTTGGGAAACATGTAGATGACAACCAAGCCATCAAGTATTTCGAATTCTTACGTACCAGGACTTTTCCATCCCTATATCACTCTGCAAGACTTCATTAACTACAATGCCTTGGCAGTAACAACCTTTGGTGGTAAGTTGTGTAAGAAGTAGAAAGTTCAATTTATCTCAGCCACCACACTTCTCACTCCAGTCAACATGTAGCAACTAATTCTGTGCCCAGATTCTTTTACAAAACTAACAAAACACTCTGTCAACTAGTTGTACAAGCAGGTGTGTGTATCTATCTCCCACTTCTTTCTGAAACAGCCAAGTTTCAGGATTTTCATTTTTAAAATGACCTTGTGCAGTCTTTGCTACTGGCTAGGAAGGAAGACTTTACTTATGGGGCAAGTTTCTCAGGTCCAGCTCTAGAATCACATTGTGCAATCACTGGAGAGCTATGCAAATTAGAGATCATTTGTGGTATGTTATTGTATATTGATATACTTGAGAACAAAGAATGACTGTATTGCTAAATAACTTTTTGAGGCATAAGTAGCCCCAAGGGGAAGAAATAGGCTGCTATTCCTTTACCATCATCTTTTTATTTTACATTTATTTCAGAATTTCCAACAGATTCTTTGGAAGAAGATTTTGCGAGAGATTTTTCTTTCCTGGAGAATTTATCAAGCCCCAGTTCTTCAAGCAGAGGAAATATTATACAGGAATGCCAAACTGCAGATGATAGTCCCTTCATGGCTCTCCCTGTTCAGGAACCTGCAACAGAGGCAAAATCCCTAACTCACGCATCTGGATTTCTGCCTTCACAGCTCCTCGATTTTGGCCTTCATAGTAAGTATTAGGAAAGGCAGCTTTTTAGTAACATAAATGGAGGAGAAACATGATTTAGCAATGGATTGAATGAGGGGAATGAACAAGACAGTGAAGCTAATGATAAATACTAAGGCCATGTGACTGTCAACTGGTGATGTCAATGGATAAAGAGTGTCAATGAACAGAGAAGGGCGTGGGAGAAAAGATTAAAAGTATGATCTTGGACATATTGAGCATGATAATGCACCCGAACAGAAACATCAGGGAGGCACTTAGATGTGGGATTACATGGAGAAAGTTATGGGGAAGAGAGGTGGCGATAGATATGTACATATATATATTTTAAAAGTTTACTGACTCAGATTGCCTACCTAATTGACACCTGCATACCATCCAACTTCTTCAGATAAAAAAACCAGGACATGCATCTTCTGGGATGTGCTCCCAGGAGAGTCACATGACCCACCAAACCCCTTTGTCAGAATGTGAGTGCATCACCCAAAATGGCTGCTGCGATCTCATGCAAAATATTAGCATGTCCCGCTTCCCGCCCCTACCGTGACACTTGGCAGGCATGCACCTGCTGTTCCTAGAATATTTGCTAGACCCCAAAATCTAAACTTTTGCCATAGTTATTATTGAGGGTGTAGAGGTGGGCTTACCTGAACAGCTGTAAGCATTAAGAAATTAATCGTTATTTGGGTTTAGTCGTGAATGGAGCAGCGTGTGTTAAATGGTACTGTGTCAAATAAAGACGATCTTCCTGTTTTTCCCTCCCGGAGGTTGGATCACACAGTCAGAATTTCTAGACCCTTTCTCCAAACCAGAGCCTGAGAAGCAGCAAGGACCTGCACAAACCTTACCAAAGATGCCACAAAAGTGTAAGTGATATATTTCACACAAATCCTTTTGTGGGGTGTGCATGTTCATTTTGTGCAATGTAGAGGGATGCGGGTGGCACTGTGGGTTAAACCACAGAGCCTAGGACTTGCCGATCAGAAGGTCGGCGGTTCGAATCCCCGCGACGGGGTGAGCTCCCGTTGCTCGGTCCCTGCTCCTGCCCACCTAGCAGTTCAAAAGCACGTCAAAGTGCAAGTAGATAAATAGGTACCGCTCTGGTGGGAAGGTAAACGGCGTTTCCGTGCGCTGCTCTGGTTTGCCAGGAGCGGCTTAGTCATGCTGGCCACATGACCCGGAAGCTGTACGCTGGCTCCCTCGGCCAGTAAAGCGAGATGAGCGCCACAACCCCAGAGTCGGCCACGACTGGACCTAATGGTCAGGGGTCCCTTTACCTTTACCTTAGCTTCTGAAAAGGAAGGTAATCCTGACAACTGTAATGTACTCTGAATCCCCTGGGTGAGAAATCAGCTCTTTAAACAGAAACTGTAAAGGCAAGTTTGAGGGAGTGATACAAATGCGGATTCCCTCCACCACACACACACACACATTGAGTATGAGGTGAAACCATCGTTGGGACAGGGCAGTGTCCAGTAGAAAAAGAAAGCCCCTCTAACCCCATTCTGGTCTTCCACTTTAAATGGCAGCCACAGTAGCTTCATTAAGTAAATAAAATTCCCAACAAAAAGTAACTGAATTATATGTAATGCTTGCAGTACTAAACAGACAACTTGTTTTACTGTCCATTGACCTTGATTGTTAGGAATACAGTGGTACCTCTGGTTATGTACTTAATTCGTTCCGGAGGTCCGTTCTTCACCTGAAACTGTTCTTAACCTGAAGCACCACTTTAGCTAATGGGGCCTCTGGCTGCTGCCGCAGCACTGGAGTACGATTTCTGTTCTCATCCTGAAGCAAAGTTCTTAACCCGAGGTACTATTTCTGGGTTAGCGGAGACTGTAACCTGAAGCGTATGTAACCCGAGGTACCACTGTACTTGTCTGTTTATTAAATAGTTTTTAAAATTAACAACTATTATTTCTAAGTGGCTTAAAAGGATACAGTACAAAGAAGTAAAAATCACCAATCCACTCATTAATTAAGATGAAGGAAGAGAATGTCTGAGCAGTAAAAAATATTTCTTAAAATCTCTGTCTAGGTCAGGGGTGCCCAAACTTTCTTCAAAGAGGGCCTGATTTGATGAAGTGAACATGCGTGAGGGCCGACCTTTTTCTACGATAATTTTTACCCCATAGTTGTTGATTTTTTTAAAGGATTTGATCCCAATAGATAAACTGCCACAAGGGCCAGATGAAACCCTCAAAACAGACTTTGTTTTTTTAAAAAAAGATATTTATTAAACTTTTCAACATGTTACAAAAATGAGCGAAAAAAGAAAAGCAGATAAAAAAAGAAAAAAGGTGTAAAAATGGAAAAATACAAAAATACAAAGTTAAAAAAACAAATTAGTCTTTCTATGTCTTATCCTTCATTTACTTGTTTCCTCGACCTCCTCACACCTCCCTTTTTTTGTATTCCAGTTCACATATTCTGTTCAGCAGTTCCCTCCCCTCTTTTAAATATCCTAATCAATAATCATAAAGATATGTACTTTTGGATTTTTACATATTACATAGTAAACCCTTTTTTCATCTTCCCTTGTAACATTTCAGCTAAGAACCACTTAGTTTTTATCGAACATCATTCTAACATTCATTAATTTTACAATATTTCTGTAGATAATCTTTGAATTTCTTCCAATCTTCTTCCACCGACTCTTCTCCCTGGTCTCCGATTCTGCCAGTCATTTCCGCCCCTCAAAACAGACTTTGGACATGCCTGGTCTAGGTCAAACAATGAAATTGGTTTCTTTTACCTGTCTTTCAGCTGTGGAGAAGACTAGTAGCCAAGACATGTCAGCCTGGTTTAGTGCCTTTGCAGACTTGGACCCTCTTTCAAATCCAGATGCTGTTGGACGCTCGGATGATGATCTCCTTACTGCATGATTAAGTGTAACCCAGAACATAAAACTACTTTGGTATGAAACTACCATGTCCTTCCAAGAGAGACCTTAAGACACGGTTGCAGACATCATCGCAGATAAAGAACATCCATGTTGTCACATAAAGAATATCAGGAGTGTAAAGACCACCTATGTTTCTTGATTTCATGATCATTTCCAATGCTATAAAACTTTACTAATTACTACTGCAGAAATGTCTTACAACACAATTAATTAGGATTTCACCCATAAATTCAATAAATGAAAGTTATAGGAAGCTGGGCAAACTATATTATCTTTACTATTACAGCTAGATAACTAGTGTTCTTTACGTTAAGTCCTTGGTGCATATTTTTGCTTAATCACTTCTTGGACTTTTGCCCTCTTATATTTCATCTGTTCTTGAAGGACAAGCAGTATAGACAAGCAGTTATATGCATATATCATCATAGTTTTCCAAACCTTTTTCAAAATGCCCAGTACATTGTAAAATTCCCTATATTGCACATATAAGCTATTTTTAAAGTACCTGTGAAGCAGGATAGATAAATGAAAAGTCAAGTATCCTGCAGCTACTGAAGATCAGTTATGCTAAGAGGTCCAACTAGAGTGCCGCAAGCCCTTTATAACCTGGAAAAGGTGCATCTGAAGGGTAATTAGGATCAGAAAAGTGAAGTTAAATGCTTCCCAGCCAATGTTTCCTTGTTGCTTTTCTCTCTGAAGAGTTCCAAATTCATCTTGCGCCCATCTAGAAACACCACAGAGAGAAAACTTGCAGGCCACTTCTCGGGTCTCTGTTGTCCCTCCTGAAGATGCTTTTAATGTTTAAAAAGGGCTGTCTGCTGATGTACCGCCTATCTTGGAAATAGAATTTTAAGGCACCAGAACCCTACATTGGTTGCCTGTATTGGCAATCTGTTTTCCACAGTACTGATCAATTATTTGCATCGCTTAAGAAAGCAAACATACCTAGTACCGAGTCTGCTTTCATCTTTCATCTGTTATACAAGTTCATTATTTGGAAACTGATTTCTAAATAATCAATGAACGGTATAGCTCCCCTCTCTATATAGGAAAATGTTAACAGATACATAATGCTTCATATTTAAAGATATATTCTATTTAGAGACATGCGCCTTTTGAATTTAAATTGGTAGCTCATTCTTCTACTTGTGACTGCTTGCAGTTTAATAAAAAATGTTACAGAACCATCTCATAAATTGTCATAATTTGGTGAGTAATTTTAGAAAGCATGAAGTGTCCTTTAATTAGAAAAAAATATATTTCGCTAGTTATTCTGGTAATCAATTAGTGTAATAAATATTGTCTGAAAGTAAAAACAACATCAATAGTATTGTTCTGCATCAGACTTGTTGATTATTGTTGTCAAATATGGTTACATTTCCATTCAAGTTTTGCATTTAGACCTAGTTTAGTGTCACATCTTATCTATGTAAACTTCCTGGCTGCTTTTGTGGAATTCTGGTCCCATTCTTCTTCATTATATAGTATGCTACATTAAAGGATTTTTGGGAAGATAAGAGACTAATGCAGCTTGCAAAGCTAGATGTGATATGAAAAATTACACTTCTATGAATAAAAACTTTTCCCCAGCTACGTTTTAACATCCCTTATATGAGTGAGTAGAAAGACTCCTCCACTTGGAGTGTGCCTGTAAGGGAACCGTTTTATATCACTTTCTTTGGGCTTCTGAAGTACAGCACATCCTTTTCTGGGGCTCTCTGCAGTCTTTTTGCGAGATTTAGACCTCATCCTGGGAATTGCTGCTTGTTAAGGTGCTGAGAGTTGTTCAGAGACCCCCTATTTCCTGGGAAGAGGGAGTGACTATGAAATGGCTCTGTGACTCTGTTAGGACTTCATCCTTAGTGATCTAGTTCAGCGCTACTCAAATTGGTGGCCTTACCAGCCCAGGTTGGTAAGGGGCTTTGGGGACCAAATATTATACCAGTCCTTGGCGCATGGGGCGGTGTGGGGAGCAGGGAGATTGTCAGTCTGCCACATCAGATCAGTTGAGAAGAACACACACACAATAGATATACACGAATACAATCCATAGCTCTGGGAGCTTTTAAAGCATGTATGCTGAGTATTGCAGTATACGGAGGTTCGAAAAAAGTTTTGCTGTCTGTGTATATGAGGGAAAGAGAGAATGTTCATGGGATTAATTGAACATACATTACATCAATTTCCCTTGCAGTGCAGATGCTCACCCTAAGCACATGTGAAGTACAATCCTATGCAAATTTACTGAGAAATACCACTGATTTCAGTGCTGCTTACTCCAGGTACATATGCAAAGGATTGCATTGTTATTTGTATATTATTTTCAGTACAATTCCGATCTAGGGGGTTTAGCTCTTGCCTGTCGTTTTGCATTTAGGAAGAAGGCAAAATACTAAAACTCAGAGGCTTTTAAGAATAACAAAAACAAACTGTTTCCAATTAAATGCAAACATTCTTTTTAAAAGCACAGGACACAGCACTTTAAAAAATATATGGGAGCTGGGCTTGAATGTAGATTCTTATCACTCTCCATTTTGGGCCATCACTTCCATCCTTTCCAAACCAACGTTAAGGACAAAGATAGTTTAAGTGGCTGGCAGAATTCAGAGATGTCTTCCGAAACGCAGATGCCAGTTTCTCATACAGAACAAGCCACTTTATATCTAAATGGGGTGCAATCATTTGTTCGTTGGATTTCTTCCGCAGATAGGCAAAAAAAGGTTTAGAGGGGATTTGCAGAATTATGGAATAGGCATGCTGTTAAGAGTTGACTACTCAGAGTGTTGGGTTAAGCCTTTGCTCCTCTTAATCTATGCCAGCATTATAGCAAATCTCTTACATGCAGACAGTAAACAAGGTAGCAATATGGCATGTCTCATTTCTGTTGTTTTGATGTCTGGTTTCTTTTATTTGGTTCTCGGGCAGAGCAATCCTATACTCTAATTACCCAGGGTGGTGGGTGGGGAGGGACAGAAAAGCCACTGCATTCTATATGCCGTCAGCCGCGAAGACCAGGGAAACTCGCCAGAAAGCAAAGAAAACGAAGTGAAAATGTCAGACACGCTTCCACTGGCCCTGGAAACACCACCAGTGGCAACAACCAATCAGGGACTGCATCAGCGGTGACACGCCTACATGGAAGGAGCGAATGAATTCACAATGACAAGGGCATGTCCTCAGCACACACACAACTGCATCAGCACCCCACCCACTACGATGCCATAGCACACCCACGCCAGGAGCTCCAGCACCAGAACCAATACCACTCCTGCCAATCCCTAGACAGTCAGTCCTCCAGGAAGGGATTTGAAGCCCCCCATCCCCTTCGCAACCACTGTTTCGAAACATAAGACGCAATGAGAACAGAGCACACACACCACACAGCATCCACCCAACTCGCTGGGCAGTGTGATAGGAATTTTGAGGTCTTAGATATACGGTAATGTTCATAAGTGTACCAACCAAGCACGTACATAGATCAGCACAGGAAGACCAACCTGCAACCATTTTGATTCCTAAACTGAGCCAATGTTTTCTCTGCAAGGTCAAAGTGGGAAACCTCCCATTGTCTCTTTCCTCACAAATCCTGTCTTAAGGGCACATTTAAGATATGAATAGGGTGTGCGCCTGTGACATGCCCCAGGAACTAAATATTTATCACTACAAAAGAATGGCCAGGCTCCCCAGGCAATCCAATCAAGTAACCTGCCAGACAGGAGATAAACAAGGACAGGAGAAAAACAACATTCAAATTTCTGTTTAGACCGCCTTTTCTGTGATGTAGGTATGATGTTTCTGGGAGTGGTCTTGATCTACAGGGTGGCAATTTCAAAAGTCTTTATAAGGCCTTGCACGGCATTTTTCTGGGTTCCTCCTCCTCTCCTGCGGGTGAGGGGAGGACCCTGTTGCAACAGATCAATAAAGATCAAGCTTACTAGCTGCTTTGCTTCTCAATATTCTCTGGTTGGCCTGTTATTCTCTCCTACCAATAGGGAACCTATGTAAGGACTCTATATGGGCTCTTGGATACCCCATAAGGGAAATGGGCAATTTTTGTTTACAACAGCGGCAGAGGTGCCAACTTGAGTAAAATATTGGAGAGGGGGCAGGTAAGCTCCTTCCCACATAATTGATCACATGATGCAACGCATGTGTACACCATCTGAATGGCAATGCCCATCATCTTTTGGAAGGCAGCTCCCTCCCAATTTTTTACTGGGGGGCTGAAGGGACCCCTGCCCCTAGGAGTTGGCTCCTATGCTGGGCAGGAACACGCAGAAAGTGCACACAGCCATCCAGGAGCCACACACAGAGGCCCTGTGCACAAGCAGCCAAAGGAAGGGATCTTTGTACACCCCAAATAGTAGACATCACCCCGCTATACCTCAGGGGAATAACATGGCAAATTATCTGGATGGATCTCAAAACTGTGATCTGGGATCTTCCAGTGTCTCCCAAGGAGTATCCACTTCTATTTTGGCTTCGGAATTTTCTCCTATTTTTGTTCTAGAAATATGTTTTACTTAATAGTTAATATGCAACTCAAATGACATATCACCTTCAGAATATGCCCTTTATTGGACACAGTAACATTAATATAATCTTAGCATTTATGCACCATAAATATCCCCACAACTCTATAAAGCAGCTTGGTCTATTTTGTAGGAAAGAAAAAAAAATTGGCACAAAGTAATCTAGAGTTTCTGTGAGAGCTAGGATTTGACTCAAGAACTCTTGGGACACTATTATCCACTGAAAACCCTGGCTCTAGAGAACAAACAGAGATGGGTGTGTGTGCAAAGGCAGTAATCTTTAATAGAGGCAGTGTCAATTAGCTGGAGATGTTTGCTGTAAAACAACCTTTGGCAATTTCAGATAAATGGAATGAAGATTTCCAGTGGGTGTGGTAAGAACTTCCAAAATAAATGTCTCTGTTGATCATCATTTGCAAGTCTGGCTTCACATGTTAGTGATCATGTTTCATTATGAAACTTTCAGGGGGTGGGGGGGAAATCAAACACACAAGTCTTCACTTGAAATATTTATTGAAAGTGTGCGAGTCCCATAAAGGTGAGTAAAACGTTTTTGTAAAAAAATTCAATAGAATTTTTTGCAGACGTAGATCTTACATAATTAAAATAAAAAATAGAAAAACAGGAAATGCCCAAACACACTTGTGTGCACTGAGAGGGAAAAGATTCTTATAAAGTCTTACATAAACAAACATCGTTGGCTTTGCAAATATAGCATATAGCCATACAACCTACCAAATTAGGCGTGGATTTCTCCATAACGTCTTTATCCCTAGTACTGGCATAAAACAGGACAGCCAGTCTCTAGCAAGGGGGGAACCCGGAAGAGAAATATATCACGTGCCACTGGCAGTGAACTGCTGTGATAAAGTCACGTTACACAATATCCAGACAGAATTAGAATGGTAGGAAAGATACATGTTGGGGAACATTTCATTTCCATTTGCAGATCTAAATAGGACACTGATAGCCAAACAAGATGAAATCAAAGAAAACATTCATGCTTCGTTACCAACACAAGTAATCTGCCTTTCCATTACCTAGTACTGGAGATATACTTGTATATCAGTTTAAGGAAATATGACTTTCATGACTGATGAGGCCTTTAGATGCTCCAATCTTAATTCTCTGCAACTTTGTTTTTAGTGATAAATGCATATTATGGTCAACAACTTTGTTTTTAGTGATAAATGTATATTATGGTCAACAATACCTTGAAACTTGCCTAATACAGTGTTATTTAGCCACACCAACAACTAGCTAAAACCACACATACATTTCTTCCCCCAAAGGATCCGTTTCATGTCACTAACAGTTTACACCTGAATACAAACATAGCCATTTAAAGACAATTTTACGGGTGTTCCTTTTTTTCAGATGGAGAACTTACAACAAGCAGCAGCAACACCTCAGATTGAATTCAGTAAAATAAACAAAACCAGAAGGCCTATTTTCCTAAGTACAAGGAAATGTCACATTAGGTTAGCTTTCCCCCATATTTCCCATCATACCGCCCCCAACTGCCTCTTGTTGCAGCCTCTCCCCACAAAAGAAAGAAAAGCCATGGAAACACGACATGGCAAGACGACACAATATGAGAATCTGAGACCTCAGATTCTCCTCCCCTCCGACAGTTTTAGGAGTGTTGTGGGGAGCTAGTGGCAGTAACTCTTGCTCTCACCAGGGTTGCAGACATTTCTGTTTTGCTTCTACATTTCTGGACTTCTCTCATCTCCAACCAGGAGCTGCAATTCTAACGGGGAAGGAAGTAGCCTCTGTTGATCTTCCCCAAGTCAACTCTTGGTTGGGAGGCAAGGGAAATGCTGAAAATAACTGTCTCCCTATTCCCGTAGCTTCATTTAGAAGAGAGAGGAAGGCAAGAAAACTTTGGAGTGCATCGTTCCCCGCCCGTCTCCTCTAAGCAGCTTTGCAGGAAAGGGGAGATTTGTTTCCCTACACATACAAGCTGGTTTGGGGGAGTGGGAAATGGAGGGTGAATCCCCTCCAAGCCAACCCCCACGCTGCAGGTGAGACTGAGAAAGAGGCAGTGAATCTTTGATGCACTGTTGATCGTTCCCCATTTTCCAAGTTTCCTGGGGTCCTTTTCTTGTGTAAGAACAACATGAAGCAAACAGAATGCTAACAAGTGGCATGAATGTACATGTAATGTATGTACGGTGTATGTATATTTATTACACCCACCCACCACGTATGTGGAAAAAGTGGCATAGCTATTACAGTTTAATAGACACTCGGCAATCCTGACAACTGGCGATAATGAATTTGATCTCATTATTTCTAACTAGCTAAAGCTGGATTTTCATTATTCTGTTAGACCTTTTCCTTGTCCTAACTTCTTTGCTTTTGATTTCTTCCATGAACACTATCCTCTCTGGCTATTCTGCCTCTCTTAAGAGTCATGGGCTGAAATGCTCTAACGTCACAGAGGGGTAAAAGCAACCCAGAAGTAGGCAGTGGAGTGCAAAATCAAGGCCTGGAGAGAACTTATAAGTGGAATGTTAAAGAATAGTAAGCAATTTTGATTTATTTAAATCATTACTTGACCTGGACTAATATATGTTGGTACAGATCAGTTGAACATCTCATTGCATTTAAGTTTACTAGCCAAAAAAGAGCTGCTTATGGTTTGCATTTCTTCAGAATTTTCAATAATTTTAAATTATTACAAGGGCTAAATACTGTTTTCTTAATGGAAGCTGAAATGTCAGCTTTCTCATATTCACCTGCAGGCCAGCCTGAAGTGCGTTTCTCACTTTTTGCTCTGAAGACATAGGAAACTTCAGTTTTGAAGGCTTATGTTTTATATACCGTTCCAAGTTGTAATTTGGCCCTTAGGTACTCAATGGGAATATTGAGTGAGGAGCTTCATGTAGTCTCTTATAAGCTGCTGTTTAACTTAAGAACTGGAAGTGGGTTTAAACTAAATGCAAAGATTCCTCTAACGCAGAGGGACCCTACCTTCCCATGTTTCACAAAGCCACAACATTCAATTTAAAATAAGGCTGTGCGTTCACAGAAGTTACGTTGATGAAACACATTGCTTGACAATTGACCTAGTTTTAAAATACTACGTTGTTTTCCCATTTCATCCTTACCTGTTTCAAAAAGGAGTGAAAAACCTGATTTTAACACTCGAACTCAGCTGCCTCAATGGTAATGTCTTTGCTGCAAAATAAGTAGTTCGAAGACTTGATATGTCAGGCAAGTTAGGATCAAGGAATGGGGGGGGGGAGAGGGGGGGCATCAGACAATCTTGCTGTGCTAATACAAAATATGTAAGCAGAACACAGCAGAAACAAAGATATGCAAGTACAATACGGGACCAAGGTACAAAAATGATGAAGTAACACTTTAAAAATAGTTCCAGAAGCATAGCTTTGTTAGTCTGTTGCAGCAAAAACAACAAAGTCTTATAGCACCTTAAAGACTAACAAGTATATTGTAGCCCAGAACCTACTTTGCTGGGTAGGTATGGATACACCAAACTGGGTAGGTATGTATACCCTGAGTATGGAGAGGTGTTTTTGTTTTTGAAACAAAAAAAGCCATAGAGTGAAACCAAAAGGCCAAGCAATATAGGAGCTGGTATATCTGGTATTACTAAGCAAGCAAAAATGAATGCAAGAACAAACGGATGTTGGTGTGACCCACTCCAAACAAGTGGTTACTGGGGATGAATAGACATAGTAAGATGAACAGCAGTAACAGTATTGCTATGCTTTTCAATCACACTAACTGAATGGTCACACTAATGCTACAATATTTTCGTTAGTCTAAAGATACCAGGAAAGCCTCCCTTAAAAATAATAACTTTCCTATAACTGCATAGCTTGGCACCAATTAATTTTGAATCATTCTGTACTAATAGCTCCTTTGAAAGTACTAGTTTACCTTCCAGGATAATTTGCCATTTTGGAGGCGTTTTGGAATCTGAAAGTGTGGCCTTTAAGCAGCTGCTCTAGCTCTAGTTGTTTAATGAGTCTCGGTAAAATCTCCTTTCGTTACCAGATTAGTTCATTACCCTTCATAAACAGATTTAGTAACGGAAACTCCATCCCATTTTTGATTGTTACACCATTACAATTATTTTTTAGAAAGATCACAAAAGAAATGAAATGGGCCACAACTGCAGACCAATATTAAAGAATCAAACGATCCTTAGGTTAACACCCTAACAATATTGCTAGTCAAAAAAGGAGACTATATCCACTGAAATAAATTGCTTTAACAAACATCATGCCTGACAAACTTTACCCTCAAGAGACCCACAAGACAGTACTTTGACAAGCAGGAAGAACCATGCATGGCCATTTCAAGATCATATGACTACACATTTTATATAGTAGTGGCAAGACATGATAGGATTGGGGTATAGGCCAAAAGGCAATTCTAGATTCTGAAAGCGACACAACAAACCAAGATGTCCCAGGAGGCACTGATGTGACGGTTAGTTGGCATTTTGGGGGGAGAGGGAGAAGGGAATATTGTTCTGAAACACAACACTAGGAACAAGTCATTACACTATTGGCAGAAGTGCTCTAAAACACTATTTCCAGACAGGTACCTCTATGTGAGTGCTTGACCTCCCACCCCAATGCATGTAATGTACCAATATTGCTTCTCTTCTTGGTCTGAAGGAGATTAAGCTTATGTGGGAGGAGGATGTGGTCACATCACAGAATGCTGGTCACATCGTAGAATGCTGAGAAGATTCAGTCCTTTGGTCCCAAGAGTGGAAATGATGTAGCAAGAAAAGTGGGATCATCCTGCTACGCATCGAAAAGCTCAAGATTCGTATGAACTAATACTTCTTACAGTGCCATTTGCTTGTTTCTCCCTTGCAGATCTTTTGCAAGGAACAGCTGGTATGTCTTGAATGTTTCCTTCTTCAAAATTGAAGATTGGTAATGCATCAGAAAAATTGGTCTTCCCAAATTGTAAAGCATTATGACCTGTCTCCCTTTATTGTACCAAAGCTTTTTTTAAAAAAGTGCAGGCCAGAGATTTAATTTGAGCCTTCCCAAGACAAGTATAGCAGTTTCTCTGCCACTCCTTTTCCTAGATCTCACGCCAGCCTAACAGTCATGGTCATGGAGATCAAGATACTAGTATGACCTGTTTATGGAATTGCCAGCAATCATGATGCAAACAGATGTGATTTGGAAGGCATAATCACAACTAGCTTCAATAAAGTTCTCTTAAAAGTTAACAAAACCAAGTTTATCCTTCAGTTTCTTCGCCATGTCTCGACTGCTGCAGCACCGACATCTGTGGTATAATTTTGTTTGTTCCGCCAGGGAGCCGCTCTTGGACCGCACTTGCAGAGATGGAGGCCATGGCAATAGGCTGCAGCAATGCAGGTGTCATACCAGGCGCGACGGTCAGATTATGAGTAGCACCCTTGAGTGTAAGATCTTGTGTGGGAAGAAGTGGCTTCAGGATACTGACCAGGCAGAAAGCAGAGCCACTTTTAGGAATGAAGTTTACTTTATTTTTGTCAGGACAGTAAAAGGCCGGAATTTCATGCAAGGGCTTTGGCCTACAAAAGAAAGAATAACAACGCAACAAGGTTTAGTACAGAAAGCTAAATATTGCCAGCGTTCTGAATATGTTAATTGCAAATCTCAGATGCAATGAAAATTAAATATGTGGATGTATTTACACATGTGAAAGGAAGAGGGCATTTTAAAGTTCATTATGCTAAAAAATTATCCTTTCTTTTTTCTAATCATTTTTTAAATGACTTACAGTGTTTGTTGTGCTGATCCCAGAGATCAACAAATATGTCAACAGGTTCTCCATTACTGGATCAATGTAAAAGCATAGAAGATTTTAAAACCACAGTTATCCCATGTGTATCGGGAAACCTCTTTCGTATCGGTCTCAACTGCCTGATGAAGCATTACAAATGGCTTGATACACAATTCAACAACTTTAGAAATCCTTTTGTCAAGACTATCGGGTTGGGTTCCAAGAAATGCAAGTAGAAACAAGCTATTGTTTCCTCCACACTGAAGTCTGGTGACACCCCCCCCCCCACCGCCCCTGCAAAAAACAAAAACAAAAACCTGTGCCTGTGAACTGGGTGACTATTGAATGGTATGGGATAGAACACAGTGGGGTGGAGGGTCCTTCAACTCTGATGAACAGGGGGAACAGATGGCTGCAGTGGTGAGGTTGCTTGGATGAAAAAGTTCCCTTTTCCTAGCCTCCTTTCACTCCTCCGTAATGTGATGTGGTATCTATCACTTTAACATAGGTTCACATTCACCAAGCTGCAGTTTGGTGCAGGGATGATTAGCAGTTTTGACCAGAGGGCTGTACTGAGGGTTGGCATATCTTCTGAGGGCTGCATGCCAGCACAGAACATGCCCGGGGCCAAGACATACCCACCACATTGTACAGGGGGCACCCCCCCACACACACTTTTCTCTTGATCAGCAGAAGAGTGGGGGTTGTTTCCTCCCCATTACAGCGCTCATCCCAGTCCAACACTGCAGTGAAAAGGAACCCCCTCAATATACTTACATAGGCACATCTTTTCCCTCTGGCATTGCACCACTGCTAGAAGTGAAAAACAACCCTATTTAGCTGTGGCACTGTGTCAGAAAGAGTAGAAGCACCTTTGCAAGCGCAGAAGGAGCAAGAGGAAAAGGCAGATGATTTTGAGAGGTCTGGGTCACTACTGGAAACGGCTCAAGGACTAAAATCTGTCCAATGTGGAGGCTTGTCTGAAAGTACCCATGATTTACTGAATCGCAATGGTCATTGTCATCTTAATCCTACATAAGGCAGTCCACAACTGAATCCAAAGCTGGCAAAAGCCACCACCTTTCCCAAAGCTTAAAAGAATTGGGGAGTCTCCCTTGTCTTGCACTTCCTGACACACTCAGAAAGTAGCGTGACACTTCATGGTTTTCCAAGTGTTTCCAAATCAAAACAAGCTGTCAGGGAACTGACATCGGAGCTAGAGGCGGAGGGAAGGCTCTCAAATGATGCTGGAGAAGGGCCCAGCAGGGAGAGAGGCAGCTCCGCAGATGGGGAAGCAAATCAGCGCTACACCAGGGATAAGGAGGGGCTGATGGGGAATCGGCGAGAGGGCTCCAGGACTCTTCACCGGACACCAGCGGGAGAGCACTGGTCCCCGCTACCCACGCCCACCCTGCGCAGAAGACTTCCGCGCAGAGAGAGTAGGAGGAGACTGGGTGTCAAACAACTTTTATGTTGGAAAAGGTTTAAGAAACGCCCACTGACGGATTCTGCTAGCGACTGAGGTAGCCACGAAGTGAAGGGCTGCCCAGACTGAAAGGTTTACCAAGGCAACAAAGCCTGGAGAGGCGGCAACTTACGCACAAGCAACCCATACTCATTATACAAGCTCATGAGATTCTGCTCTTCTATAGGCTCAGAAGAAGATGGGGTTCTCCCTGATATGAAGTTGGGTCTCACAGTTTCACTGCTTTCAGAGCATCTCCAAAGTTAGTGCAACAATGACACACTCCAGCTCAGAGTCTGAGAGAAGTTCTCAGCCCTGCCTTAGACTGAGGGTGTTCTAAGTTCTCTGAAAGCTGGCAGGGACCAAGTCTTCACTTCTCTATCCAGTTTGCAACTGAGAAGGGATGGGGCCATGTCCCACAGTTGTGCTAAGCTCTGAAGGAGCTCTGAGTGTCTCCAAAGTTCAAGGCTGGGTAATTTTGAAAATTAACCTGTGGTAAGTTTTCCTTATGGGACATGGGTGGCGCTGTGGGTTAAACCACAGAGCCTAGGACTTGCCGATCAGAAGGTTGGCGGTTCGAATCCCCGCGACGGGGTGAGCTCCCGTTGCTCAGTCCCTGCTCCTGCCAACCTAGCAGTTCAAAAGCATGTCAAAAGTGCAAGTAGATAAATAGGTACCGATCCGGCGGGAAGGTAAACGGTGTTTCCGTGCGCTGCTCTGGTTCGCCAGAAACGGCTTAGTCATGCTGGCCACATGACCCGGAAGCTGTACGCCGGCTCCCTCGGCCAATAAAGCGAGATGAGCGCCGCAACCCCAGAGTTGTCCGCGACTGGACCTAATGGTCAGGGGTCCCTTTACCTTTTAAGTTTTCCTTAAAGCAAAACTGCAGGCAAAGAAAGTGTTTTTCATGTTTTAAGAAAACTAGATATTCCACACTTTAAGAGTTTCTCTTTTTGGGCTTTGTGTGAAGTGCCAAAGCCAAAGTGGCCATTCTTCAGATCTATTACATCCCTTGCTGCTAGACAGCATAAACCCCTTTATCACCAAGTCTGATCACTAGTAAAAAGCTCAATTTGTGTGGCATGGTACATTTTCAGTCCCTAATCACTGACCAAAGAATAGTATTTGCCTTCTGCCGGTTGCCATGGTAGGTTAGCAATATATCACAGTTCTCATTGATGAAGCAGCTTTGGGTCTGATCTCTGTTACCTAAGCATTCCCTAAAAAGTGGAAGGGGGACAATGACAACTGCAAACAGTTTTAAATGATTACTGAATTATGAACTGACAAAATGATGGAGCTGAAGAAATAACCTTTAGGAAGAGTCTATACAGAGATTAGCCACTAAAGCTGCACTGCAAAACAAAAGTTTAGATATTTATGAAATGTTAAGACTTTGCAACTATGAAGTACCGTACTACTTACAAGCTCTCCTCAAAGACTTTCACCTTCTCACAGCCCTCCGGAGGTTCGCGCTTGAACATATAGCTGTTGTTGGGTTTGGGCGAGGTGGCGTATTTGGGCAGAGGAGAATTGTTTCCATTCTCTGTAATGAACAGAGGTTTAGTTCCTTAAAACATACCAGTACACTTACCCTTGTTCCTCCCACACTCTTACTGGTATTTCCTAAAACCAGGGCCTCCAACGTGGCCCCTGGACATACCAGTGTACCCATCAATATCCCCCAACGGTGCCATGAGAAATATCAGTAAATATTCCCTCAAAAGTCCACAATGCACGAGAGACTATTTGATCTTTCTGCTCAGTTCCCGATTTCCCATCACACTTCAGCAGATGCCTAGGCCTGGAATTTGTAATTTGCTTTTATGAGCACTTCTCAGCGGGTACCTTTATCTCTGGGGTCTGCAAGTAGGTCATCAGCAGAGCATGGGCTCTCCTCACTGCCCTCATTGGAAATGGCCAGGAATGAGCTTGGGGACACAGACTGGGATCTGCTGCTGTTGTTGCTGCCCTTCTCTGCCCCGCCAGGAGTCTGCGTGTCAATGCTGCGGGTACTGCTACTGCGTTGCACCAAAGGTGGAGGGGCTCGGTGCCCATCTGGAATATCTTGCGGCTGTGAAGAAAAAAACGTATGTATAAACTTCTTGCCATGCAGCAGACCACTAATCTTGTCTGGATAAGAAATTACTTTACATGTTAATAGACTACTTTAGTCTTTTGTATCAATAAAGCTCTTTAGTAGAAGATTAGTTATTCTTCAGACTCCAACAGAAAGAAAGAAAGAAAGAGAGAGAGAGAGAGAGAGAGAGAGAGAGAGAGAGAGATGGAAGTCAAACTTAAGGAGATTTGAGGTCTAGTAAAGGATTCTGAGCAAGGGGAAAATATATATCTGCTTAAGAGGATTTAAAGGGATGATCTTGTAGAAAAAGCAACCAAATTGACTGAAGCAGGGTACTTCATGAATGACCCCCTTCTTAATGTCTGGTTTCCTTTTCCTTTCCCAATGACATTCATTGACTCCAGAAACTCTCACACGTGTGTTTCATCTTGGAAGTGTTGAATGCACAATTACTTGGATGTTCAGAAACAGCAGGAAGGCCTGGAAGTAACACTCCTGGCTTAATAATCTAAAGCAAGAGTGGGGAACGTGTCTCAGCCTGAGGTCAGCGTTCCCTTCTGAGGATCAGAGGCAAAAGCGGGCAGAGAAACGAATGCAAATTTCACCTCTGTAAAGTATTTATTTAATTTATATACCACCTCTCACCTGAAAATATCCTATATATAAAAGTATACGATAAAAGCACAAAATAAATAGTTAAAATAAAAGCAAAATAAAGCAATAACCCCCCCCACTCACACAAAGTAGGCTGCTTTTGACACCCACCCCTCTTTCAATCCTGCATCTAGGCAAGCAAAAGTCATCATCGGAGTTCAAGGACACATTCCAGCCAGGCAAAGAATCTCAGGCTGTGAAGCAGGGCCAGTGACGGGGTGTCTGGAGAGAGCTCCAAGGGCCAGAGACAGAGAGGTCTAGAGCGCCATATTCAGTCCTCAGGAAATCAGGTTCCCCACCCTTCAACCAGAGTCTATTAAGCCAGGAACAAGTGTCTAACTTGCATACTCCCTCCTCGCCTTTCCCCTGCATGCCATCTTTGGTGCCTAAATTGCAGTCTCCACAGTGCCCCATTACATCCAAAATGGGAAATGGTGGTTTAATGCCAATTTATTAACCAAGGTTGGTATTCAACTAAACTTTGTGAAAGTGGAAATATTTATGCTCCGCCCCTTCCCAATTGCTGGCCCCCAATCTGCTCTGGAGGGTTGGAGGAACCCACCAAACAAATCTGGGAAAGTCGGGGGGGGGGGGGAGGCGGAGTCCCAATGTGGAAATGGGAGTTTACATAGCACTACATTGAATATAACCCCAGGTTCTGAAACCATGGTCTGATCCTGATTGAAGATTATAGTTAAGAAACTAACATTAGACCACGGTGTCCTGTTTCAGACATGAGGAACCTGTAAATTAATTCAACCAAAATCAGTGCAAAAAAGCTGGTGTGAAAAAGGGGGGGGGGGGGGAGCAACGGATGAAGGCATGAGCCTGATGTTGATTTCTGATTTTCTAAACCATGGAACCAGGAAAATTATGTCTAAAAAGAATTTCATATCTTTCATATTTGAAGTTTAACTAGATCTAATTCACATACTAGCATAAGACCACAATTAAAACCTATTTGATTGCAACAGTATACTCACAATAAGTTGTTCCTCTTTCTCTCCTGTCTCCTTTATAATTATTTCGATCTCCTGGTTCAGCCCCTCTATGCTGTTACGGAAGCGCGATCCTGTCGACTTGGCAATTGGTATCACAGGAACTAGCACACTCTTTGGGACAGGTGGCTAGACAAACCCCAAAAATAGTAATTGAAAAATGCTACATTTCTGTAGTTTAATATAGGACAACGAATGAAACTTTAGCTCTCAGCTCACATTCTATTAATACGACGAAGTTAAGCCCTGAAATGGCTTGGTACGAGGTTATCGGAGAAATGGCCTTCATACATAGAATCTTCCCCATACATCAGGATCTGCTTCATATGTCCTCCTAGTGTGCTTTCTAATAAGATTGGTTAAGCTGGTATGTACACTGGAAAAAGACTTCACAGGGGTGACTCCACAATTACGGAACTCCCTTCCAATTGACTTATGCCTCATCTTTTTGGTAAGGTGTTGAAACGGACCATGAGAGCCCAGCCATGAATGCTATCCCTCTATCCCATCACCTCAAAAATTTCACTTCATTCCTTCCTCTCCCAAAATAGCTCAGCACTTGTGATTTGAATTTTTTATTGATGAGGAATAAACTGCAGCGAGTGCATTTGTTTTTCTAGACTATGAGCATACCTTAGATTTTAACATGTACAGGTGGACAAGCATTTTGCCCCCAATCTTCCCTCTTCCAGGTCCAAAAAGACCCAGGCGACGGAAATCGCGCATCATTTGTACATGCCACCTGCAATGTGCCTGGGGCATGGTGTTTGGCTTGAGAATTTCAACTTATGTTTCTTTCATTTGAGTGTGTAACTCTATCCACACTGTGCCTGCTGGAGGCTCAGAACCAAAAACAGATTTGGGTGTTAGGGCTCATAATTTGCATAGCAACCACTCCCCCAAACCTAGTCTTTTTCTTCCACCCATTACCTCTGATATTGTATACATGCTGATCTTCAAGTTCTGCAAGGAATTCAAATCTAAAGCAAACATTTGCTCGGCAATAAAGCTGCATGTCACTTATTTTGTCATTATTATTTTTCTGCCTCGAGTGCTGACAGCTTCCAGACTTTTGGTGGGAGTTTCTGTGTGTGACACAGCACCTAAAATACAGCAAACATCCCGGGACGAACGCTTTCCAAATTTTACATTAACAATTGTGATCGTACCTGGCATTGGTTAATGGCTGCATGATTTCCATGGAATGGAGATTGTCTTTCTTTGTCCCGATGATGCCTACTGCTGTGTTTACTTCTTTGCAGCTGCTGGCGTAGCTTGGCTATCTGAAAGGACAAACATTTTAAGTTTCCCTGTAAAATTTATAATGTAAAGTCTGAACAATTATGTCAAAATGTACAGTAAGTACTGTTACTACCACAGTAACCACTTAGGAACAGTGCACAAAACTATTAACATTAACATGTGCATTCTTCCTCCCTTCAGAGACATGTTGACCACAGCAAGAACAGGGATGCCTATGTACCAACACGATCATTTACAGATTTTTTTCTTGCCTCCTACATGGCTTGGAGTGGAAGCAGAATGAAGTTGTCTCCGATCTGCCTTTGCAGCTCATTAAAAAAGCAGGATGGAAAGATGTGCGCCTCACCAAGTGGGAACTCCATCACACTATGAAAACTGAATGCACGTTGATGGAAACATTGGCGTTTCCATTCCACATGGGGGAGAAGGCTCGTTGGACACCTGCCATTCAGCCTTTGTTTTCACTGATATCATGGCAGGTGGGCATCGCCACCACCTGACCTCAACTATGAGCAAGAGGCATGAGAAAGAGTTATGCCAAGACAAGCTGTAGTGGCTGTGGCAGAGGGAAGGGCTGAGACAAATTCCCTCTGCCTATAACTGAGTTGCATCTGTACCACTTGGTTGCACAGATTTGTTGGTTGGCAGGAAGTAGACCCAAGGGGTATTTCTCCCTGTGAGGGCAGGCACTCAAATATTCATATTGTATTTCAAACACCAGCAGTTTTTTTTAAAAAAGAGAGAAGTAAAAGTTGACATAAAAAAATAATTTGGCTGTATGTTCTCCATGGTTATCAATCTGATGAAAGTGACACTTAGCCATCTTCTTACCATGCCTGTCTCTAACTATGATGTCTTCTTCTCTATTACATGTTTCTACACCAATTCCACGTGCTAGAACTTGACCTTCTGAGCAGTCAGATGGGTGGCTTTGTTAACATTTAGAAGAGCCCCATGTTTTATTGCTCCTCTTGCTAGTACAGTGGTACCTCTGTACCGGTTCCGGAGGTCCGTTCTTAACCTGAAACTGTTCTTAACCTGAGGTACCACTTTAGCTAATGGGGCCTCCTGCTGCCGCCGCACGATTTCTGTTCTCATCCTGAAGTAAAGTTCTTAACCCGAGGTACTACTTCCAGGTTAGCGGAGTCTGTAACCTGAAGCGTATGTAACCTGAGGTATCAACTGTACAGCATAGGAATGGGGAATCTTTGTCAGCCTGCAGGCTGCATTTTCTTGAGGGCAACCTTCCAGGGACTACAGGCCAGTGGTGGCCAGAGGCAAAAGAAGGCAGAGGGGTATGATCTGGAGAAAGTTCTAAGGGTCACATAGAGAGGCTCAAAGGGCAGCATTTGGCCTCCAGGAACCTGAGGTTCCCCACCCACAATGTTGAGAGATCACATATTTCTCATGTTGTGTAAGGAATGTACTGTACAATCATTTGCAGCTATTGTGTGTATTGACTTGAATACAGCTAAACATGTTTCTCAACCTCTTTAAGTTGATCTGTGCTGCCCCAAGATGCCGATCGCTTATGAGAGCCTTTCTTCTTTTCCAAGTATTCTTCAGCCCAAGCACTTTCAGTCTATGACAAGGACAAAGGAAAAAAAATGATTCTAAAAATTTAAAATCAGAGGCTGACTAGAAACAGACTGGATCAAAATAATTTTCAGAAATACAACATGCCAGACCTTAAAAGTTTAGTTCCCTAAATCATTCTGAAACGAATAGAAGAATCTATTCCTAAATGAGCTATATAAAGGGAAATACAGAATACAGTGTATAATGCCTTTGATTTGGTCTGATCCACATATACAAATACAGTCATTTACTGGCCTATTAAAAAATTTGCCTGTCAGATATCTGGTGGGCAAAGTCTGAAATCTAAGCTGAGTAAATGCATGTGTAGCTAACAAAAAAATTAATTCCCACAGATAATCAGACCTTTTATGGTCAGATTTAATTTTAATGTACCAAATTGAGGACACAGAATTAATACACTGAACATCCATTTTTGCATATTCAGCAAAAAATGCATTATGGTTTTTACAGTCAGAAATGTTATGAGCTGATGCTTCAGAGGAAATTGAACAATTCAATATCCAACTGTTACACCACTGCAGGAGCAGCTTGCCTGGTGGAATAGAGCCACAACACGAGCTTCCTGTCAGTGGAGTCAATGTCACTTAGCAGGAGGGCAAAGTAGTGGGAAGGTTAGGCTATGTGAATGCACGGCAGCACCCACACAGCCCAAACTTCCCTGCCACCTCGCAACCTCCTTGCTCCTCTTGGTAAGTGAACCCAGGTTCTTAAATGACTGGCACTGTTGTGACCATCCAGGGACCTAGCGATGATGAAATAAAAACCATCTCATCTGCATAAAGAAAGCAGTACTGGAATTTTTTGATTGCCATTTAAGGGAGGGAGTGGATGGCAGGGAGCACTCCTGAACTACAGCTGAGTTGCACCCTACTCACATTTAACCATCCCAGGCTTTGCGAAGGAAATTAGCAATAGACAGCTTGGGAAGAAAACAGTACATTTTGGTGCCAACATCACACAGCAGGAGTCCTAGGCCTAAAGAAGTAGGAATAGCAAAGCAATCTACTCCTCCAAACCTCTCCCAAGGCCAACCCTTTGAGAATTAAAGATATTTGTACACGTACCAGCACAGAGAAGAACGAAAGAAACAGCGAGTCTAACTTTCAAACACTGATTCAACAAGGAAATGAATTCTCTCCTATTGGAAGCACGGCAGGGCAACCACCATTTTAAGGCTTCAGCAACCAAGAGAGAAAAACCGAAACACCTTTGGAAATTTACAATTGAAGTTCTACGAACTCACATGGCATCACTATCTAAACACGAACTCAGCTCTATGTAAACTATCCGTCCATTTATCTGAAGCCAAAAAAGAAATGGGTGATTGTGTGAGTAATTTAGCTTAATTAATATTAAAAAGGTAGAGCTTCTATAGACCCCCCCCCAAAACCAAACCATCCCAAGGGTTTCCTTCTGCCTATGTCTATCTCTGCTCCTCCCTTCACAATGGTCTCTCTCTGCCTTCCCTCTCCTTCCTTCAGTTGTGGAGGGGAGGTAGTAGAAACACAGGGCAAGAAAAACATCAATTCTGGCTGTATACAATTTTTCCATATATGTGTGGCCCTTAGAACCAAGCAATGCAACTGTACATTCTTTATGCAAAGATTAAATAGCAGGGCCAAAATATTCAATCTGAAGGAGAATCCCCAAGACCAGATTGTAAAATATATATTGTGTTTTGCATCACTATTACAGTATAGTTGTGGTATAAGAAACAGCAGTCATTTGTCCCGTGAATTAACTTACAGTCTTTCCCAAAGGAGGCAAATCTGAATAGGTTGAAAGAAGCATTGAGAATAATTAAAAATAGCTGTTAAAAGGATCTCCCAAACACCAGTTGCTATATGGCACTCAACACCATCTGGGCTAAAGATCCCGAAACTAGTTGTCAAACGAGCGTAGGGCTCCGGGAGCAGGAGGCAGCTATCATTTGCTGTTGTGAATTTCTTGCAGCTTTGAGCTCTCTAATGTCTTATTTTTATACTTTTTACAGTTTGTAGTAAGAGGAACTGTAAATTATCACATAAATAATGAACGATGTTTATTATTTATATAATTTAGATATAGGCAATGTTATTTGCTCCTTTTGCACTCCCTCTGTGAAATGGCCCAGTAGCTGTTTCTGAGGACATACTTTGGGTTGGTTTTTAATAATAATAATATAATAATAATAATAATAATAATAATTCCCTAGGCTCTTGTCACTCATATTCAACGCAGATGAGAGATCAACAAGTCCAACTTCCAACTTTTCTGCTGGATTGCTGAAATACTTTTGAATAAAATAATTCAAAACAAAACGTTAATCAATTGTGCAATGTCCCTTGCAAAATCCAGTCTGGATTGGGGACACTACCTGGCTCTCCTTGGTCCATTGCTTGAAATTATTTAAAAGAAGATGCATGTACATTTTTGCAGGAACATAAAGAAAACACACATTGGGCTATTATTTAGGGACCATCTATCACCTTTCTTAAATATTAAACTAAAATAAAGCCTGCTGACAATATTAATTATGTCTTGAACTGTCAAGAGCCTCTGTTACCCATGTCAACAACTGCCACAATATAATTTGTTAAATACTAGCCATGAAATGACACACCAAATAAGGTAAGGATAGTTAAAGATATTGCTTACTCATGTTCAGTGCTCTATGAACAAAGAATGCTTTCAAATCTTTAAGCATATAAATTCAGTAGAAAATGTCCCCTGCTGAACTTCTGTGAACCCACCACAGCAGACAGGAGTGGTGCTGACATTCCTTACCCCTGCCTGGCAAGTGTTTTCTCCTAGTATATATGAACTCTTACCTGTGTGGCTTTGTCCCTCATGCACGGTGCAGCTTGACCGTGATTATCACGAGGCCATTGTCCAGCAAGATATGGAGCAGCAAGTAGGTCTAGTGAAGGGGTACGTCGAGCAATACTGGAAGGGCTTGATGAAGGTGGCCGTGGTTTATCAACTAAAATAAGAAGAAGAAAAAGAAAAAAATATGACTGAGAGGAAATAAAGCCTACTGTTACACAGATTTTCATTCTGCGTATCATGCATTTGGACTGTACACAACTGGTAATCGTTTTGTTTATGAAGCTGTTATGTATAGGTGTTTTATATATATATATATATATATATATATATATACACACACACACACACACACACACACACACACACACTCTCTCTCTCCTGGCTAACATAGCACTCAGCTGCCAACAATGAATATTTAAAGTTTAGGCCTTGAAGACTTTTTAAATGCACTGCTGTATTAAACTGTGACAGAATAGGCTGACAAACATTCCCTTTGTGCTATTACATACTACAGTTTGACTCATTGGCAGTCCTAGGTTAAATACACTATCTGCCTTCTAGCTGGTCACCCCATTTACATTTTTTGAGATAAATTACACTCCATTAACTTATTGTTTAATACTAGGAATTGTGCTTCTAATTCCCTGTTGCATAATAAAACCAAAAAAGCCTCAAACCCAGAGTAGTAGTACCCACACGTAATAATTTATCAGAAGACTCCATTTCCCCCCAATATATTGCTTTTTTGCTTTCCTCAACATTAGTAAAACTTCTGAAAAGTGGATTTTACAATTTAAAAATCACAAACACATACTGAATCAGTTATCTGGGAAAGCAATCACTAGAATTGCAACAATAGCTACCGTTTCCTGAATAAAAAAATATAGTCAACTACAGTATAGCCATCAAATACACTCCAATCCATACACACAATTAAAAGTCATTATTATTCAGAGAACTCACTCAGGCACACAACGTGACTTTTTCTTTTCATCCAATTTCTTCTAAAACTTCCCAGAAATTCATGAATAGTTTATTATGCGCAGGGAGCAGATGTTGAAAAACAAAAAATACACAAACCATAGTGCGCATGCCCACACAACAACTCTGGCAAGGGCACAAAGTTTACCATTATTTTATTAGCCTAGAAGCTAGTTTGCTTAATGCATTACACACCGAGCTGTTTTGCTTAAAATGCATTATACATCGTCATGTAGTATAGTACACTATACTGCGTAAAGTAATTGAGCATCATACGACCAATGCTCCCATTTGCAGATAAATGCATGTATATATTTTAGCATCAGCCCAATAAAAACATATACTATGGTTAACTGCACAAGGTTTGCATATATACCGGTATTTCATCCCCATTAACAGGAGAGTAAAATTTAAATATATATTCTCACTATATTATTTTTTTCTGAATCTATCCAATGTATTTTTCTCATCTAGCTCCCTAGGCTATTTCAGAGTATTTCATTAAAATACTGTCTGCACTTCAGAAAATTGTGTAGTATTTTCATTGTCATTTCTTCCCTTGTGTTGCTACTCGGCCCCCCTTCTTTTCCCACAACTGCTCAGCTGCTAGCTTCACATGATGTGACCTACATAACAAGAGATGCACTTGCTTCAAGATAGCAGTTACAACAGCTGGGCTGATGAACAATAGAGGTATTTCAGAAATGTCTTAATTTTATTAGACTTAATTATACTATAGTCAATGGTTCCAAAACCATTCAGTGTTCCCTCTGCCTGAAGTTCTCTTGTTATAGGATACTCGTTATTGGTCTTATATTTAGTCAATCAGATGTTTATTATGATCAACCAACCAGTAAGACAAAATCTAAAAATACAAAAACACAGCCTCAATGAAGCCAATTGTTTTAAAAAACGACAAGCTAAGAACGAACGATCATAGCAGAACTAAGAGGCATGATATAACAACATTTAGATATTTTTGCCACTTGCTTAGTAATCATGGAATATAGTCAGAACAATTGAGCAGGGAATCACCTCATAATTATGCGTTATCTGGTAAAAACAACAGTAAAACATGACTAGACACTCTTTCAACCTCTGAGTGGTTATACAGGCAGGATCTATCTTTAAGGGAACTCTAGGAAATCTGCTATCTAAAATCTTGAAAATGGGCCAATAAAATATCTCTTCTGCACTTGGGCATTGTCACAAAAATTAAAATATGCCATTCAATTATTAGAACAAGATCAGCTAAGACTCAACAACTGTGGAGTACATGGTCCATTAGTCAATGCAACCAGCTTTTGCACATCTATATTTTCATTATTTCGTCAGATTTGGCTCATACTAATTACAATGACATCAAATAAGAGAGAGAAAAAACATCTCATACCACCCCCTGCCCCCGATGGAACCTTAATATTGTTCAATTTTTCAAGAGAAAATTCAAGTTCTGGAAACAATATTGAGGCTCCAAACAAAATCTGGGTCACAATTTTTACAGAGCGCACTCATATAGCAGCTGGAACAAATTTACTTCTTTTTGTGTAGAAAATTGAAGAATGTTTTTACTGCAGATTCTGCTTTGATCTTTGCTAATTTACCCTGTACATTACAGATAACAGACATGAAGCCAGATCCTGAGATACGTCTAAGAATCGACTTGTCCTATCCTTTGCCCATCCACAGTCCAATAATATTTGGCCTTCCTTTTTGAAAATACCATAAACTTTAACTTATCATTGTTAACAGTTAGAGATTCATTTCCACAATGATTTATATATCCAGCAAGTTGTCATCAATTAGTTTAGGTTAGGAAAGTGAGACGGTATTGAACCCAGAAGTTAGGCCAAACATAAATTATGTAAGATAAGAGAATGGACATATCCTTCCACAACTTCATGGCTGGAAAACAACGAATCCAAACGATTACTAGGTTGCTATGCTCATATATTCTGAAAATATATGTGCAGATACATCAATTATGTCAATTACAAGTTATTATCAGCATTAGCAGAAAAATACATTGATATTTGCTACTGTATTTGCAGCAAATATCATGGCAATTAAAGGTTTGTGCTCCATCAGTCTGCTGCCCAATGCATTCACATAAAATAGTACAAATACAGTTAAAACAAGGTTTCAAGATGAGAAGTATCTCTACCCCAGTTAAAAACCTACAATCTATAAAACACGATAAAAAAAATTAAGTACCGAATTTACTAGAGTCTAATGTGCCATTGAATCTGATGAGCACCTCAATTTTCAGAACCTTGAAACCAAAAAAGGTATTTATTAGCAAATGTAAACGTGCTATCGAATCTAATGCGCACCTTAATTTTCACAATGTAATTTGGCCAAAAGGGTGTAAATAGGTAAATCACCATGTAACTGCAATATATATTTGTTGGCATTATCTATGTTTCTGCCAGAGTACACAAATAGGGATAGGGCTTTTTGCTAGGCACCTAAGCTTCATGCTTGCCATCTGGAAAGCAGCAGAACAGTAACACAATTAGAATTCTGCTAACTCTAAGCTGGTAACAGATGCTAGCTTCCCCAGTGCATATCATATCACCACCACATAGGAGGAAGTAATTCAGAATGGGCTTCAACTAGCCAAAAACATGTCCGACTGTTTAATATGGGAAGTTCTAACACCAATGGTATGGTAGCTTCTGCATAGTTTGAATGTAATCTTATTTTAAAAATGATGCTAACCATTCCTCTCGCGTACTTCTGTTGTATGCTGATAAAGTATTGACTAGGAGCAGCTAGCCAAAATGTACCATTTATGCTTAAAATCCCCACAAATTATTCAACTGTATGCTACAGTGCGAGTGAAAATGTGGATGCCTGGTTGATGATTTCAAAAGCTGCTGGAGATGACAAGCAGCAAGGTGAAGGGGGGAGCATTCTGACGACAGCGGAAGAGGAGGGTTGGGGCGTGAGTAGGGAGTGGCACATTCCTGTTTCACCTCAGGCAGTGAAACAGAATGGGCCATCTGTGTCCAAGTGGGGAAGAGAGGAAGGAGACCCCCTCACTCAATTTTGTACACAAGCTGCAGTCTTTGTCTAAAATTGTTAAAATGTGAAATCAAATGAGGGCTTCTGAACCAGTGGTCTCATCACTGCTCCTTCAAAACTATGGAGATTTCTCCTTCACTTGTACGGATCTTTTCCACTTCCTCAGATGTCACAAACTTAAAGTTCTTCATCAAAACAGGACAACGCAGAAATTGGCGTTCAAGTCAGAAAGGATAAGAGCAATTGCACCCATAAACTATATTTTTATAAATAGATAAAACTAGTTTAAGTCCTGTAACTTTGTTTTCCAGACAAGCCAAGTGGGAATGTGTTCCACCACTAAATGGAACAATTCCATTTTGGGGTTCAATATTTTTTGCAAAACGTTTAAGTTTACCATTGCACAAGCCAGTTGGACCTGTTAATTTAATTTCAGCTGTAAAACTCCCACTGATGTTGAATTAGGGTTTCGTTAACCCTTAGTCAGCCCAAGATACTTTTCCCTATATTAAAGGAATTGGAGTTCCTCCATAAAGTTGGGGTGATTCCATGCAGTTATTTTTAAACATCATTTTAAAGCATACATATTCAAAAAAATGTTTAGAATTTAGGCCCTAGGATCTTATTTACTGGGATGATTCTTTGGTTCAACCAGCAGCCACTGATCAATCCAGAGATACGACTGAGGATAATATGTGCAAAGCGTTTTATGCATTGACAAGAGAGCATCTAAGAGGCAGAATGTAGCCTCTGGAAAATCTAGGGATTGTTCATTCAGTATATATATATAAAAGCTCCAAGGCTCAATGGCAGCGGGGAGAAAGTAAAGAGATTCACTGAAAAACAGATAGACCCTGAAAGTAGGAATTGTGCTATTAGTAAAATGCAACAGTTCAGAGAGTTCCTAGTGCCATATTTAGAGATGACTTTAATGACACTGAGGAAGAGGGCCCTATTTCAGACATATGGAAGAATTCTAGGAACATAGTGATTCTATTGAATCATAGATTTACTTGATCAGGATCAAAAACTGTTCACTGCTATTCTTGCCTCTACAGTGGTACCTCGGGTTACATACGCTTCAGGTTACAGACTCTGCTAACCCAGAAATATTACCTCGGGTTAAGAACTTTGCTTCAGGATAATAACAGAAATTGTGCTCTGGCGGTGTGGCGGCAGCAGGAGGCCCCATTAGCTAAAGTGGTGCTTCAGGTTATGAACAGTTTCAGGTTAAGAACGGCCCTCCGGAACGAATTAAGTACTTAACCCGAGGTACCACTGTATATTGAATACTACAACCACTGGTATAATCAACCTGGATTAGGCAGGATTCATACCAGGGTGTCAAATGTAAGATTCAGTTTGCAGATATTCCCACTAAAAGAGGCCTTGCATTTACATTTACTATCAAGTATAGGCCAAATACTATGAAAGTTCTACTTTATGTTTAGATCCAGCTGAAAAGTTCCTTGTAGTCATAGGGGTTGTTATGTATGGAAATTGGGAACCTCCCTTCCATTCACACAGGGAATGGAAGAAACTGCAGTTATCTGACCTGTGGTGAAAATTTATATCCTGAAAATGGAATAGATGTAGCCTCAACAATACAATCTGCAAACTGTTGCAAGCTTTCAGCCTATGTTGTAAGCTTTCTGGCCTATGTATGGGACTCTGATGTATACAACCTATCCATTTCTCCTCCAGTGCCTTGTATAATCTGGTTTATCTTGTTTCTATTCCTTCCAGGCAATCTCCTTGTGTACAAATTACAAACTTGATCACAGAAGGACCAAAAGAACCTTTCCAAACTGAGTGAATGGGTGATAAAATGGCTAATGCAATTAAATGTAAGCAAACACAAAGTGATGCACATTGGGGTAAAAATCTTTCACATTTACATGCTCATGGGGACAGAACTTTTGGTCACAATAGATAGATTAATGAAGATGTTGATCTAGTGTGAGGCAGCTATGAAAAAGGCAAATTCTATGCTTAGCATCATGAAGAAAGGAACTGAAAATAAAAGTGCCAATATCATGATGGCGTTAAACAAATCTATGGTGCGATCGCATTTGGAATACTGTGTACAGTTCTTGTCACTTCAACTGAGAAAGGATACTGGAGAGCTGGGAAAAGTTCAGAAAAGGGCAATAAAAAAGATCAAGGGGATGGAGTGACACCCCCCCCAATGAAGAAAGGTTGCAGGACTTTTTATTTAAAGAAAAGGTAAGCAACAGGTGACGTGATAGAAATCTATAAAATTATGCATTGCATGGAGAAAGTGGATAAAAGAAGTTTTTCTCTCTGTCTAATAAAACTAGAAACTTGTGGATATCAAATGAATCTGAAAGCTGGAAGATTCAGGACACATAAGGAAGTGCTTCTTCCCACACCACATAGTTAAACTATGGAACTTGCTCCTACAGCAAGCAGTGATGCTCATGGCTCTCAAAGAGAATTAAACAAAATTTTGGAAATTAGGGCTATCAGTGGCCACTAGCCATGACAACTGTTGCCCTGCTTCTACACAACTGGAGGCAGTAATTCTTCTGAATATCAGTTTCTGGAAAATACAGAAGGGGAGAGTGCTCTTGTGCTCAAATCCTACCTGCTGGAGTATTCATTAAAAATAAACTTGGCACTCATGTATATGTGTTAACATTTTTGCCTTGTGGTATAAACTAATATCAGAAAAATTTAATCCGCCTTTTAATATAGGCAAACACATTCTTTTAAATGATATACAAAGTGAAGCATTACCCCAAATAAAAGCCCTGAAATAATGCATTAATCTTTTGAAAGTATGCTTGGGGGATGTGTAGATAAATACCACACAACACATATATTATTATTTGCAGCATTCATTAATCTTAAGTGTATTAACTTTACTGCAAATACTAAATTTAAGTAGCGTCCATCTTTCCAAATCAATGGAGATTTATGTTATTTACTTATTTGCATTCAATTTAATGATTTGAGAACTATCTGTAGGAAACAAAATTGCTAGATATGTTATAACCCTTCAAACTTCTATTTTCACCTTCCTGACTATTTCCTGTCAAGTAAAGGCATTTCAATAGCCACATGGAAAATCAGCATGGCACAAAGCTATTAACTGTAAATTTCTTAAGTGTTTGAAAATTTAGTTAAAAGGTAGGTGGGGCAACATCATACTAGTCATTCCCGTAACAAATTCTGACTCAGTGCTATTATCAATTATACATATCAATGAATAGGAGCCTTCAGGACATAAAAGTTTTCTGAACAATGGCCTCAAGAATAATTACTCTTTCATAGCTCTCTTCAAGGCTGAAAGAAAGCTTAAAAAGCAGTCACACTTTCCAAAGTCCATAGCAATTGATAATGACAAGTCAATACTGTCTTGAAGACTAAGGCTGCAATCCTAAACAACGTTACAGTTGAGAGTGGGTCTTATTGTTCATTAAAGATACTTGAAACAACCAATAAAAGGCTCAGATTTGACTAGATAGAGACTCTGGTCAAAGATGAAACGTATAATCCATGCAAGTGGTTTCAAGACAGATCCTTTCTAGATCACATTTCTAGTTTTTCCAAGATGTAAGGAAAAGAAACCTATTGTTCATACCTGCTTGATTCTACTACGCATTCTTACTGGGAAGTCACACCAAGTTCAATGGGGCTTGCCATCAAACAAGCCTGCAGAAAATATGTATGCTGGCTAATCCTAACCACATTTTCTCATAAGGACATCTTGGGATGATGTTTTCAAATTCTTCTGTCCTTAAAAGTTAGTATTCTTTTAAAAAAAAATAAAGGAAGTACCTCAGTTGTTAGGATATGCTTCTTTAGTACAATGTAACTACCGTATTTTTCGCTCTATAGGACGCACTTTTTTCCCTTCAAAAATGAAGGGAAAATGTGTGTGCGTCCTATGGAGCGAAGATGCGGAGCGCACGGGCTAGCGAGGCCCACCAGCCCGCCACCCCAGCCGGGAGAGGGCGCGGGCTGCGGCGCGCCTCCCGGTGGAGGCGGACCTAGCCGTCCTCAGCTGGGGGCCCCCTCCGAGGACGCGCTGTTGAGGCTGCCGCCACCTCCCCGGGCGCTGGGGGGGTCCCTGCGCCGCCCCCTCCAGCCGGGAGGGGCTGGGAGGTGAGGGCGGCAGGCACCAGTCACCTCCAGCCGAGGGTCGCGGGCTGGTGAGGGCGCCGCCCTGCACCGCACCCCAGCCGGAGAGCGGGGGCCCTCGGCTGGAGGGCGGTGCTGGTCTGACCGCCGTCACCCAGCCGGGAGGGGGCTGAGACGGCGGCGCCCGCCGCCGCGTCACCCCGGGGAGAGCGCGGGCAGCGACCTCCGGCTGGCTATGCAGGAGCCTCTCCGCTGCGCCTTCCGCTGCTCCCGGACCTGCTCTCTGGGGCTGGTGGTGGGCTTCCCCCCGCCAGCCCTAAAGAGCAGGTCGAAAGGAACCTGAAGCCTGGATAGCGAGAGGGGTCCGTCCGCACCGACCCCTCTCGCTCTCCAGGCTCCAAGGTAGCCGCCTGAACGCACCTTAAACGGCACCTTGTTTTAGAGTGGGAAAACAAGAGGGAAAGTTCTCCCCTCTCTGCGCAGCGCCTCCTGCCACTTCGCTGAAGGGGCGCTGGGCAGAGAGGGGAGAGATTTTTTTTCTTGTTCTCCCCCCTCTAAAACAAAGTGCGTCCTATTGTCCGGTGCGTCCTATGGTGCGAAAAATACGGTACTTTCGCAATAAGTTTTGCTAGTCTATCTGCCCACACATCTGTTTGGTATTTCATGGCATAGTGAAGGAAATGGGGGTGTGCATGTGTGCAAGAAAGGATAATTCTCCATTTTATAGAAGCTTCCCTGTGTGGTTGCAAAATAGCACTGGTAACATCCCAAAGATAACCAGGCAAGTGGCTATTTATATGCTTGTTCAAACAATAGTAGTGTACAAATTTCCAAATAACCTCTCAATCTCACTACAGGCGGCGACAATTTTGTGCAGGGGTTCTGTTCCCAGCCCCCATGCACGACAGCAGAGCATGTGTGCCCCACCCTCTTCCGGGTCCAAAAGGTTCCGCATGTCAATGGGACTTGCCTAGAATGGTTGCTGCCTGTCTATAAAAAATGTTACCTATTCTTTGCATTCACAACTGTCTAGTAAACGGTTTCAAATACAACACAATCACAACATATCTGCGGGTTCGATTCCAAGGGTTCTACATACATGCAAAAACATGTATACTCAAGCTGCCCACTTATAAGCATCCCTAGCCTTCTGGACCAATGAACTGAGGAGGCCTTGCTGGCGCTGCCCAAGGAAGGCAGAGTGCTTAAAAGCACCAGGCAGCCCAAGCAGACCCAGTGCAAAAAGTGCTTTTAAGCTCTTTGCCTTGCTTTCATTTAACTTGTGCAATTTCAACTAGCCTGCCTTTAACCATGTTTGGTTGAAAGTGCACGAATTACATGTGCGTACAACAGAGGCTTTCAACCTTTTTGAGGCCACAGCTCCCTTCTTTGTGCGGCTCCCCTGTGGAAAGTTCCCAGCAGGACCCTATACAGTCATACCTCGAGTTGAATGTGCTTCGGGTTGAGCGCGTTCGAGTTGCAATCCATGGCAACCCGGAAGTAACGGAGCGCGTTACTTCCGGGTTTCACCGCTTGCGCATGCACAGACTCTCAAAATGACATGTGCATGTTCAGAAGCGGCGAAACGCGAACTGCGCGCCGTCGCATCTTGCATTCCATTCGGGATGTGAATGGGGCTCCGGAACGGATCCCGTTCGCATCCCGAGGTACCAGTGTACCTATTTACTCAGACATGTTCAACTAAGTTGCATTGGGCTCACTCTTACCATACAGTGGATTGCAGCTTTAAAAAAAAAAAAATCAATTGTAGGGAAGCAATAAATAAATGGCACTGCACCTGACCATCATTCACGGCGCCCCAACACCAGTAGAAAACCACTGGCGTTAAATGCAATTCTACTTTATACAACAGACCTACCTAGGGAGGTGCTGAGTATCCCAGGGCACTATGATTGTCACTGACATGCCATTTTGTATCTTCATTGGATAAAGTAGTGCACTGTTCTGCTCCTACTTCTTACCTTGACTGCATGGCGAATGCTACCAAGATAGTCAAATTTCTGTGGTCTTTTTCCTTCCCTAAGGTTGGTATTAAACCCCTGCACCGGTCCTGTAGTGTATAGACTACAGCATGAACCTAAAAAAGATATAGACTGTGTACACACCATATGTTTAAAGGCATGACTTCCCCCAAATAATCCTGGGAACTGTATTTTACACACACACCCCACAGAGCTACAATTCACAGTACCATTAAACTAGTTTCCAGGATTCTTTGAGGAATCAGTCATGTGTTTTAAATGTATGGTGTGTACTCAGCCATGGAACTGTGAACAGAGAGGCTCAAGGCCACTGTTTTCTCAACAGAGGGAGGGTCACTAAAGCAAATACTTTCACCCTGGTGTCAATTCTACAGATCCTATACAAGTATCTCACCTACTCATTTTAGAGAAACTTGTGAATACTAGAGCTCAGGTATTCCAAAACCTAATTTGCACAAGAAGACACATTAGTTGAAACTTACCAGTGTAAAGGAGGACACACACTACCCAAACTGTCCGCTGCAATAAACATAAGTCCTCCCCACTCAGCTGAACAATTGCTGAACAATTGCTTTCAAAGATCAGAAAATATTATTTAATAACATACTAGCTCCCCTTCAACCCTCAATTACCATCAACTTATATTATATTTTGTAATGTTTTACCACCACAAATCAATGTAAAGCTGCACTGCAAAACCAGGCCGAAACAAGAGCATCTGTCTTGCATGCAGAAGGTCCCAGTTTCAATCCCAGCATCTTCAAATAGGACTGGGAGAGACTCCCTGCCTGAAACCCTAGGGAGCCACCATCAGTCAGGGTAGACAGTATGGAACTAGATGGGTTCTGTACCATGCAGCTTGCCACGCTCCTATTGAAGTGAAACATGTCTAGACACATCCTTTCGCTGCCCGGATCTCTTTTCAGGCACCGCACCATGCTTGGCAGTGCTTTCCTTTCCACAGGTCCCTGTACACTGTGCCATCGAAACACAGCTCCCTAGGAAGGGAGGCGAGTCAGCCTCCAAAAATTATGGGGGTAAGGAAGTTATTCAATGCACCACAGCCAAGTCACAGGATCTGCAAATAACAGGTGAGAAATGACAACACCCCCACACACACAACAAGGGGGTCCAGAGCCAAGGGGTCCACAAGGGAAGAGATGCCCAAAGCCCTGGCGGCCTCGTGGTCCAGCTCTGCAGGAAAGCCCTCGCCATCTGCTCGACACGAAAAGCAGGCAACCGGTATGGTTAGGGCCAGTTGGCAGCAGCTCGGGGGGCTCCGGTTTCCTCCGCCTTAAGTGCCCCTTCAACCCCCCCCCCAAAAAACACACCCCACCCCTCACCTTTGCAAACAGGCGAACTCGGGCTCTTCCTCTCCGGAGAGGCCCTGCTTTGCTCGGGCGACCGCCTCCTCTGCCGGTGCCGGATCCTTCCCCCGGAGGACGAGGAAGAAACCACGGCGGCGGCGGCGGAGGAGCAGGCGCTGCTCTCGGGCACAGGCGGCGAGACCGGGGAGGAGCAAGGCGAAGGGCTGGAGCCCGGCAATGGCGGCGCGGGGGGCGGCGGCGGCAGCTGGTGCAGCCGAGGGGGGGCTCCCGCGAGGCCCGGCCCCGCGCGTGGGGCTGCCGCGCGTGGAAGGCGGCGGCGGAGGAGGAGGAGGGAGGGCGGCGGCGGCGGCGGGGTCTGCGTGGCTACGGCAGGGCTGCCGCCGCCGCCGCTGCGCGCGCCGCTGCCGTTACCGCGCGTCGGGCTGGCGGTGCGCGAGGAAGGAGGCGGCGGCGGCGAAGAAGAAGAAGGAGGCGGCGGCGGCTGAGGCGATGTCGTCGTCGTCGTCGCCGCCGCGCGTGAAATGCCGCCGCCGCCCCTCGTGGGGCTGCCGTGCTGCTTGAGCTGGAAAGGCACCGTCGCCCGCATGGGCTGCAGGCGGCTGCTGTTGGCGCTGGCGGCCCCGCCTGCTCCCGCCGACACAGCCGAGGCTGCCGCCGCCGCCGCCGCCGCCAGGGAGGTGGCCGGGGTCGGCGAGCCGCTTCGCCTCACGCGCGGCGGGTGAGAAGCCATCCTTCGGCCGGCTCTGAGGTAAACGGCGCTGAGGAGAACGGCCGTTGGGAGGGGGGAGGGGAGGGGGAAGAGGAGACGCCAGTCAGTCAGTCAGTCAGTCGGTCAGCCAGGCCCCCCTCAGCAATATAGCTCTCCTCATACACGAGCGGAACGCCGCTCCGGCCGATGCGACCGCTCCGGCCGCCTCATCAACAATAGTGGCCGCACCGGCCTCTCCTATTGGAAGCTCGTCGGCGCCGTTGCTGCCGCTACAGCGCGCTGATTGGGCGAGGGGCGTGGCCTTGGGGGGGTCTCTCTCTCTCTCTCTCTCTCTCTCTCTCTCTCTGTGTATGCGCGTGTGTGTGTATGCGCGCGCGCCCGCGTCGCGGGGTGGGGTGGGGTGAGGCTTAAAGGGGCAGTGTCGCGAGAGGCGAGACGGGAGCTGAGTGACAGCTTGCGGAGGCGTTCCACGCAACCGCACGCGTGTTTTCATCGAGGGCGTGGGAAGCCAGGTGACATGGCTGGGTCTTGTTTTAAGATACAGCGCCCCATCATGGAAACTAGATGATGATGATTAACAATAATAAAAAAAAAAATTATTTTTATTTTATTTTTATTAAATTTGTGCAGGTGCGTAGGTACCTTCATGGAGAACATTCGTTGCATGTGGTTTGTATGCATGCATAAGGTCTCACTTTCCATTAGTTTTCTGTTCCTGGCAGTGCTGGGAAAGGCTTCTGCCCAATATTATTATTATTATTATTATTATTATTATTATTTTATTAATTGTACCCCTCCTATCTGACTGGGTAGCCCCAGCCATTCTGGGCAGCTTCCAACATGAAAAACATGATAAAACATTAAACATTAAAAAAAAGTTCCCTATACAGCGCTGCTGCCTTCTGGTGTCTTCTAAAGGTTATACTGTATTCGGACCAACATTATTAGGGGCAGACTGGACACGAAATTGGGGGGCGGGGCGGAGTTGTTGCTATTATTGCTATTATTTATTTATTTTTGTATTTTTATTTAAATGTTATGAATTATGTGGAAATTGTTTCAAGTTGGTTGTGTACTTTTTGATGTTTTTTTGTAATTATGAGCTTTTGCTCGTGCTGTAAGCCTTCTTGAGCATGGTTTCAACTGTGGAAAGGTGGGCATCGAAATAAAATTCTGTCCGTGGTCCATATATGTAGTTCTGCTTCTGTTTTCGAAATGGGAGATATTGGAGGTGATGTTTAAGGCTGTGTTTGTGCTGCAAAGGGCCAGCAGACGGGAATAGGAAGCTGCCATTCTCCTGGGTCAAACTACTGGTCCCATGTACCAGTTCAGCACTGTCTGCTCAGCTCTGCAGTGACTGAATGAAGCGCTCTGGTTATCTCCTGCGCTCTGTGTGGCGCTACCTTTGAAGGTGATTCAAAACCAACTACTGTATTTTTCAGTCTATAAGATGCACCTGACCATAAGGCGCACTTAGTTTTTAGAGGAGGAAAACAAACAAAGAAATATTCTGAATCAAATGTTGTTGAAGAGGAAGGAGAAGGGAGGATCAGGCTAAGTCATCATAAGAGGCACTGCACAGCTCTCTTGCTGTTCTGGCTTCTGTGATAGCTGCGCAGCCTGCATTCGCTCCATAAGACACACACACATTTCCCCTTACTTTTTAGGAGGGAAAAAGTGCATCTTATAGAGCGAAAAATACGGTAATCCAGATTGCGGCAGCTAGACTGGTGACTTGGCGCAGTTTCCGGGGCCATATAACACCAGTCCTAAAGGATCTACACTGGTTCCCAGTACGTTTCTGAGCACAATTCAAGTATTGGTGCTGACCTTTAAAGCCCCAAATGGCTTTGGCCCAGTATACCTGAAGGAGCGTCTCCACCCCAGTTGTTCAGCCAGGAGACTGAGGTCCAGCTCTAAGGGCCTTCTGGCAGTTCCCTGTAGCAAGAGGTAAAGCTACAATGAACCAGGCTGAGAGCCTTCTCAGTAGTGGCGTCTTCCCTGTGGAATGCCCTTCTATCAGTTGTCAAGGAAATTAGTAACTATACAGTGGTCCTCCGATTACGAATTTAATTCGTTCCAGACGTCTGTTCTTAACCCAAAACTGTTCTTAACATGAGGCGTGCTTTCGCTAATGGGGCCCCCCGCTGCCGCCACGGCACTAGCACACAACTTCTGCTCGCATCCCGGGGCAAAGTTCTCAAGCAGGAGCGTCTCTCGCAGGAGCGAGACTCCTTACGGGGTCCTCGCTGCGGGATCACATTCACCCAGTGCTTTTCCAGCTGCACTGGCTCCCGGTGGAGTACAGGATCAGATTTAAGGTGCTGGTTCTAACCTTTAAAGCCCTATACGGCCATGGACCCTCGTACCTACGGGACCCCCTCTCCTGGTATGTCCCACAGAGGACCTTGCAGTCTTCAAACGAAAACACCTTGGCCACAGAGAGGTTAGGCTGGCCTCAACCAGAGCCAGGGCTTTTTCGGCTGTGGCTCCCATCTGGTGGAACGCTCTGTCACGAGAGACTAGGGCCCTGCGGGACTTGACATCTTTCCACAGAGCCTGCAAGACAGAGCTGTTCCACCAGGCCTTTGGCCAAGGCACAGCCTGACCCCCCTCCTTTGGTAATCCTCACAGAACTCTAGCCCAATGGTTGCCATCAATTTGATTTGAACTGATTTTATGAATTGATTTTAGAATGCTGTATTATTTTACTGTTGTTAGCCACTCTGAGCCCGGCTTCGGCTGGGGAGGGCGGTATATAAATAAATTATTATTAAAAAGGTAAAGGTACCCCTGCCCGTACGGGCCAGTCGTGACCGACTCTGGGGTTGCGCGCCCATCTCGCTTAAGAGGCCGGGGGCCAGCGCTGTCCGAAGACACTTCCGGGTCACGTGGCTAGCGAGACGAAGCTGCTCTGGCGAGCCAGCACCAGCGCAGCACACGGAAACGCCGTTTAACTTCCTGCTATAAAGCGGTACCTATTTATCTACTTGCACTTAGGGGTGCTTTTGAACTGCTAGGTGGGCAGGAGCTGGGACCGAACGACGGGAGCTCACCCCGCCGCGGGGATTCGAACCGCCGACCATGCGATCGGGAAGTCCTAGGTTTTACCCACAGTGCCACCCGCGTCCATAAATTATTATTATTATTATTATTATTATTATTATTATTATCACTTCCGGGTTAGCGGAGTTCGTTACCTGAAGCGTTCGTAAGGAGGATGGTACATAACCCGAGGTTCCTCTGTATTACAATCTAGTCATGGGCTACCAGTTGCTGATCCCTAGTCCACCTGGAGCCAGCTCCAGAGGCAGAGGAAAGGTGCAGGCAAACAGCGTTTAGAGCATGGGTAGGCAAACTAAGGCCCGGGGGCCGGATCCGGCCCGATCGCCTTCTAAATCCAGCCCACGGACAGTCTGGGAATCAGCGTGTTTTTATATGAGTAGAATGTGTCCTTTTATTTAAAATGCATCTCTGGGTTATTTGTAGGGCATAGGAATTTGTTCATTCCCCCCCCCCCCCAAATTTATAGTCCGGCCCCCTACAAGGTCTGAGGGACAGTGGACCGGCCCCCGGCTGAAAAGGTTTGCTGACCCCTGGTTTAGAGCAACAGGATGTGTTTCCAAGCCATTTTGTGGGATGGGGTTTTGCAGGGCTTGGCCCTCCACTCCTTTTTCCGTTTCCCAATCTGTTAGCTGCTAAGCAGGACTCCAGTTCTTACAGTTTTACCCATTACTGTATCAACCCTTTCAAACTGTCCATCATTCTCCAGTTTAGGCACCTGTTATACTAGAGCAGCTTGCTTGCTATTGCACTCCTTTGTTTCATTGTTGTTGTTTAGTCGTTTAGTCGTGTCCGACTCTTCTTGACCCCACGGAACAGAGCACGCCAGGCACTCCTGTCTTCTACTGCTTCCCGCACTTTGGTCAAACTCATGCTGGTAGCTTCAAGAACACTGTCCAACCATCTCGTCCTCTGTCGTCCCCTTCTCCTTGTGCCCTCCATCTTTCCCAACATCAGGGTCTTTTCCAGGGCGTCTTCTCTTCTCATGAGGTGGCCAAAGTATTGGAGCCTCAGCTTCAGGATCTGTCCTTCCAGTGAGCACTCAGGGCTGATTTCCTTCAGAATGTATGGGTTTGATCTTCTTGCAGTCCATGGGGCTCTCAAAAGTCTCCTCCAGCACCAGAGTTCAAAAGCATCAATTCTTCGGCGATCAGCCTTCTTTATGGTCCAGCTCTCACTTCCATACATCACTACTGGGAAAACCATAGCTTTTACTATATGGACCTTTGTTGGCAAGGTGATATCTCTGCTTTTTAAGATGCTGTCTAGGTTTGTCATTGCTTTTCTGCCAAGAAGCAGGCGTCTTTTAATTTCGTGACTGCTGTTCACCATCTGCAGTGATCATGGAGCCCAAGAAAGTAAAATCTCTCACTGCCTCCATTTCTTCCCCTTCTATTTGCCAGGAGGTGATGGGCCCAGTGGCCATGATCTTCGTTTTTTTGATGTTGAGCTTCAGTCCATATTTTGTGCTCTCTTCTTTCACCCTCATTCAAAGGTTCTTTAATTCCTCCTCACTTTCTGCAATCAAGGTTGTGTCATCTGCATATCTGAGGTTGTTGATATTTCTTCCGGCAATCTTAATTCCGGCTAGGGATTTATCCAGCCCAGCCTTTCGCATGATGAATTCTATATATAAGTTAAATAAGCAGGGAGACAATATACAGCCTTGTCGTACTCCTTTCCCAATTTTGAACCAATCAGTTGTTCCATATCCAGTTCTAACTGTAGCTTCTTGTCCCACATAGAGATTTCTCAGGAGACAGATGAGGTGATCAGGCACTCCCATTTCTTTAAGAACTTGCCATAGTTTGCTGTGGTCGACACAGTCAAAGGCTTTTGCATAGTCAATGACGCAGATTACCGTACTTCCGTGCTACTCCCTGTGCCAGCCACAGTGAGGCAACAGAGATGTTCTCATGGAATCATAGGACTGTAGAGTTGGAAGGGACCTCGGGGGTCATCTAGCCCAACCCCCTACAATGCAGGAATCTCAGCTAAAGCATTCATGGCAGATGGCCATCCAACCTTCTTAGAAGCCTCCAAGGAAGGAGAGTCTACAACCTCCCGAGGGAGACTGTTCCACTGCTGAACATGCTTGATGGCAGATCCTCCACCAACATGGCTGTCAACTTACAGATTTGAAAATAAGGGACCAGCAGCCTTGAAAATAAGGGACCAGCAGCCAAAATAAGGCACCTGCAGCCTCACCAGTTCCAGGCACTCCAGTCTTCCTGTCCTCCTGCAGTCTGGTCAAACTCATGCTGGTAGCTTCGAGAACACTGTCCAACCAACTTTGTAACCAGAGGTTCAACTGAATAGAATCTGAATCACATGCACCACAAGGCCTATGCAGCCTCAGCTTAAGATGGCTCCCCGGCTTGGCTTTGCACTGCAAAGTTTGCAGCAGCACGTGCAACAAAATGGCATCCAGCATTCAACCCCCCCCCCTCAGCTTGCATTAACTAGCCACACACAAGGCATGCAAGCTCCACCCCCCAGTCGTTCTTAGACTTCTTATTGGGTGAGCAACACAGCCAAGCAACACAGTTGGAGCCTCCCTCCTCCCTGGCCGGCAGGGAGGGAGGGTGAGGAGCTGCTTCCTTTGAAATTTAAGGGATATCATTTAAGGGACATTTAAGGGACATCCATCAATAAGGGACAGCAGTGGGACATGGCGCTGGAATAAGCGACTGTCCCTTCAAATAAGGGACACTTGACAGCTATGTCCACCAATCCAACTCACATTATAGCCTGGGGTGCAGTCCTTTCTCACATTAAATATTTGCCCATTAACTACTAACCCTGAGGCTGAGAAAGGGGTGTGGGGCCAGGAAATGCAGAAGGAAACAATCTGGCAGGTTAAAACCTGATAAAGAAGCAACCCTATCCTTTTCCCACGCCTAGTGCGACGCCCCATATATAGAAGGGAAAACCTGCTGTCGCAGCTTGTAGCAACTATCTGCAAGTTATAATTGTATCCCACCCTTCCTCCCAGGATCTCAGAACAACAATTTTGGCCTCACGATAACCCTATGAGGTAGGTTAGTTTGCGACACATTGCCTAAAGCGCATCTGCGCGTTTCACAGCCAAGAAAGAGGTTGAAACCACACCCAAAGCTATGAACACACTTAACTGCCATATCGCTCTGGTGATATACTGGTTAAAACCTCTTCTGCCTTCTTGTCAATCAAAACCAATGCCTTGTCCTTTAAACTCTTCTTAAATGCCAACTGTTCAGCAAAAGCTTTTTTGCATCACTACTGGTGGTGTGGCTCGGACTGAACCCTGAAGGTCCCCAGAGAGTGGCAGGTGATGGCAGCAGCAGCAGCAGCAGCAGCAAACAGTGCTGATGTCGGTCACTGCAGCATCCTTTATTCTTATTTATTTATTTAAAAAAAAATTAAAGTTAGGGGGCAGCTGGCTAGACATGCCCATGGTTACAGATTCTTCTTGCATTATTTCCACTTAAAAATAGGTATTGTCATTTCCCACAATGAAACGGTGCTTATCACTCAATAAATGTACTCAGCATCCAGGCAGCAGAAGCAAATTCCCTTTTAGTCCTGCAGTCACCATGGTGCTATAATTTAAGTGAGTTTAATATGCGAAACTGCACATGCTGAGAATATTCATTAAAAAAAAAGAATGAAAAAATTCAGGGTTGGCAATTTTTATTTGTTTGCATTTTGCTCTAACGTAGCAGGAACGTAGAAGCAGTTGTAAAGCACAGAACAGCTGGTGGTGTGGGGGAGAAAGAAATGTTAATTGTGTGCTTCACAACGGAAGTAATGTGCATGGCCCACTAAAGGCCACCCTCCACTATTAAGCCCAGGAGCTAAAATTACCTAGCTGCACTATTGATCATTATGATCTCACCCACGCCCCACAGGAGAAGGGACAGGTGCAATTTTCTCATTTACTGAGAGTACTACTGACTGTCTCCTAGACTCCACATGTGAATTGTGATTCTCTGGTTGTCCACACCACATGCTGTAATGTGTGCCATTTAGAAGAGATGAAGAGTTTGGATTTGATATCCCGCTTTATCACTACCCGAAGGAGTCTCAAAGCGGCTACAATCTCCTTTCCCTTCCTACCCCACAACAAACACTCTGTGAGGTGAGTGGGGCTGAGAGACTTCAAAGAAGTGTGACTAGCCCAAGGTCACCCAGCAGCTGCATGTGGAGGAGCAGAGACAAGAACCCGGTTCCCCAGATTATGAATCTACCGCTCCTAACCACTACACCACACTGGCTCTCGTAACCATTTACACACACACACACACACACACACACACACACACCTTAATTGTATAGGTATGCCCTCTGCCAGCTTTCTACACAAGCCCAGAACTAACTATGCAAGAAGACATTAGTCCAAATGCAAATAGGTGTATGTAAGGTAAAGGGACCCCTGACCATTAAGTCCAGTCGTGGCCGATTCTGGGGTTGCGGTGCTCATCTCACTTTATTGGCCGAGGGAGCCAGCGTACAGCTTCCAGGTCATGTGGCCAGCATGACTAACCCACTTCTGGCGAACCAGAGCAGTGCACGGAAACGCCGTTTACCTTCCCACCGGAGTGGTACCTATTTATCTACTTGCACTGGTGTGCTTTCGAACTGCTAGGTGGGCAGGAGCAGGGACCGAGCAACGGGAGCTCACCCCATCGCAGGGATTCGAACTGCCGACCTTCTGATCGGCAAGTCCTAGGCTCTGTGGTTTAACCCACAGCGCCACCCACGTCCCTTTAATAGGTGTATGACTATAGTACCAAAAAGGTGTGTGTGTGTGAAATTGAACCGTTTTTGGAGCACCGCTTTGATTCCTTTCTTCCGCAATTCATTAATCCCTTACTTTCCAAACATAAATAAATGAGTTGTTTGTTTGTTTGTTTGTTTGTTTGTTTGTTTTCAGCAAACACAGTGGAATATTCTTACACTCCTCACTTCCCCTTTGCAACCTGTTTGAGTCTACTATAGCATCTGACTATGCATGCCTTTGTGTTTCGACTCATGCAATTACAAGCTGGGGTTGCTATGCACTGAGGCTTACCTCATTTAATGTGGTTAATCTGCCTGGTTAAGAAGAGATACCATTTTTGCTCCTTTCATTTTTTGCAGTGGCCTAAATCTATAGGAGATCTGTTTGTGAGCTAGTAATAGCTTCATGCCCACCTTCAGTAGCCAAGCCAAGGAGTGTTTTTACAGCTAAGACAGTTCAGGCCTGACTGCTTTTACGAAGCAGCGTGGGAATGACGGTAACAGAAGCAATTACTATAGATCATTTTATGTACAGTGCAGCCCTGGCTGCCAAGACAGTTCAGTGACTGTCCTAGAGCAAAAACAATCTCCTCGTGACACTGAGATTGGAAGAGCTTCAAACAATTCTTTGTGGCACTCTGCCAGTGTTTCTTTGTTTCATTAATACATGATAAATGGAGGAAAGAAGGGGAGGGTAGAATCAAAATTATTAATCCAGTCCAGTGTTCAGTTTGGGACTTGGAAAGTCCTAGGCGCATTTTGCAAGTCAGCAGTGAACTCAGCTTGGCCTCTTCAGAGCTAGTTCTCACCACAGCTGAGCTTCCAGAAAGGGCCTTGCTCCCTTGGTCCTCGCCGTAAATGCTCATTCACCACTAAAATGCAGCCCCTTCTTTGCAAACCAACCACAATTTCCCGCCGCAAGGCTTGGTGTAGCAGTAACCGCTTCGTAGAGGGCATGGAAGAATGAACGAGATCTGAAGCACCATATTGCCTTGGGAGTGATGCCATCTACAGATGTCAAAATATGCACCAGGGAGACAAAGACTAGTCAGAGATCTTAACAGGGAGCAGCGAAACATCAACGGGGCACTTCATTAGGGAAGGGCAGCATCTAGTTCAGGGTTTCCCAAACTTGGGTCTCCAGCTGTTTTTGGACTACAACTCCCATCATCTCTAGCTAGCAAGACCAGTGGTCAGGGATGATGGGAACTGCAGTCCAAAAACAGCTGGAGACCCAAGTTTGGGAAATAATAATAATAATAATAATAATAATAATAATAATTTATTATTTATACCCCGCCCATCTGGCTGGGCTTCCCCAGCCACTCTGGGCGGCTTCCAACAAAACACTAAAATATAATAACCTATTAAACATTAAAAGCTTCCCTAAACAGGGCTGCCTTCAGATGTCTTCTAAAAGTTTGGTAGTTATTTTTCTCTTTGACATCTGGTGGGAGGGCGTTCCACAGGGCAGGCGCCACTACTGAGAAGACCCTCTGCCTGGTTCCCTGTAACTTGGCTTCTCGCAGTGAGGGAACCACCAGAAGGCTCTCGGCGCTGGACCTCAGTGTCCGGGCAGAATGATGGAGGTGGAGATGCTCCTTCAGGTATACTGGACCAAGGCCATTTAGGGCTTTAAAGGTCAGCACCAACACTTTGAATTGTGCTCAGAAACGTACTGGGAGCCAGTGTAGGTCTTTCAAGACCGGTGTTATATGGTCTTGGCGGCTGCTCCCAGTCACCTGTCTAGCTGCCACATTCTGGATTAGTTGTAGTTTCTGGGTCACCTTCAAAGGTGACCCCATGTAGAGCGCATTGCAGTAGTCCAAGTGGGAGATAACTAGAGCATGCACCACTCTGGCAAGACAGTCCGCAGGCAGGTAGTGTCTCAGCCTGCGTACCAGGTAGAGCTGGTAGACAGCTGCCCTGGACACAGATTTGACCTGTGCCTCCATGGACAGCTGTGAGTCCAGAATGACTCTAGGCTGCGCACCTGGTCCTTCAGGGGCACAGTTACCCCATTCAGGACCAGGGAGTCCTCCACACCTGCCCGCCTCCTGTCCCCCCAAAACAGTACTTCTGTCTTGTCAGGATTCAACCTCAATCTGTTCAACCCAGATCTATGGCAAAAGAGTAGCAGGATCCCACATACTTTTATTCAGCTTATTTCAGGTGAAATAGTGTAGTTTGACAGTGACTTTGAGTCACTGCAAACAGCTACTCCAGGTTTCGTTGGCATTCTGGGGTGCTGTTTGAATTCTGCACCACGTCTCTTGCTGTTACTTTTCTGGTCCTTACAGCCGCATTGGATTAACACAGACAACACCCACCCTATCTCCTACCTGTGCCCTAGGTAAGAGGTGAGAGTCATTAGCTTAAGGCAGGGAAGGGGGGGGGTGAAGGGAGAAGGCTTCTTCAGAATGTTTTTAAAAAACCGGTTAGAAGGAAATGCTTGAGAGTTTCATCAGTTAAAAGAAAAGAAGTGGGTAGGACCAAAAACATTTTAACAGGATGTAAACCACTCCCTTGATGCTCTGTATCAGGACTGATGTTGTTCAGAAATTATCCAGAGTCAATGAAGAAAAGCAAGTTTGCAGATGACCACTAAATAAACATTTAGCATGGTCAAAAGCTCTCTGCAAACTGGATGTCTAGGTAACATAATGACAATTGCGTTTCAGATCCGAACTAGTGGATTTGTGGGAAATACATGCTCGTTTTTTGTTTTGTTTTTCCCCTCAAATGAAAAGTAGCCCAGGAGGCTGTGATTCTGAGCAGAATGGGAGAGGGAGGTTCTTTCCCCCAGTGCAGGGAGAAAAACAACTTGGGGAGGGTGATTTTGAGCAGGCAAATGGTGCAGAGGTTCAGGCTTGAGAGCAGCCTCTACCCCTTGCTTCTTCCGTCACTCAAACTGGCTTGGGAACTGCTTTACAGTAGCAAAGCAAAACACGTGGGAAACACGTTTCTTCCTCTCCCACATAATCTGTAATTTGACTCTCTGGCTGTGTTCACACTTCCATTTACTATGTACTCACTCCATTTCCAGGGACACGGGTGGCGCTGTGGGTTAAACCGCAGAGCGTAGGACTTGCCGATCAGAAGGTCGGCGGTTCGAATCCCCGCGATGGGGTGAGCTCCCATTGCTCGCTCCCTGCTCCTGCCAACCTAGCAGTTCGAAAGCACACCAGTGCAAGTAGATAAATAGGTACCGCTCCGGCGGGAAGGTAAACGGCGTTTCCGTGAGCTGCTCTGGTTCGCCAGAAGCAGCTTAGTCATGCTGGCCACGTGACCCGGAAGCTGTACACCAGCTCCCTCGGCCAGTAAAGCGAGATGAGCGCCACAACCTCAGAGTCAGTCATGACTGGACCTAATAGTCAGGGGCCCCTTTACCTTTTACACTCCATTTCCAGTGCTTTTAATCCGTGTTCACACATCATCCCAAATGCATGTGCGTCCTGTACTTTGCTATGAAATGCTACCGTTTGATGCATTGTTTCTCAAACCAGCTTCACACCGATTAAGACGCTTCTCATTCATCTCTCGCCAAGGTGTGAACACCTTGGTACAGGATAATGACACCCTTGTCCTGCCAAGACCCCATGGTGCAAACACAATCAGATAGAAATCTGAAACTAATGAAACTGTGCCAATAGGAACAGCTGGTGGTGGTGGGGCAATGGCAACAACTCCACCTGGGCACTAAGATGGGTATAATGTGAACACACCCTTCCTGTAAGTAGAAAGTGAGACAATGCAGTAAAAAATGCTAATCCTATTCAGGGATTGGATCGCAACTGCTCAGAGAAACGTTATTGGAGTCAAAATCCACTGAAAATACTAGATCAACAGGCTCCAACAGATGAAAGGAAACAACAGCGGTAACTATACAGTGGTACCTCGGGTTAAGTACTTAATTCGTTCCAGAGGTCCGTTCTTAACCTGAAACTGTTCTTAACCTGAAGCACCACTTTAGTTAATGGGGCCTCCCGCTCCTGCCACGCGATTTCTGTTCTCATCCTGAAGCAAAGTTCTTAACCCGAGGTACTATTTCTGGGTTAGCGGAGTCTGTAACCTGAAGCGTATGTAACCCGAAGTACCACTGTAATGCCTTTGTACCTCTAGATCAGGGGTAGGCAACCTAAGGCTGGATGCGGCCCAATTGCCTTCTCAATCCGGCCCACGGACGTTCCGGGAATCAGCGTGTTTTTACATGAGTAGAATGTGTCCTTTTATTTAAACTGCATCTCTGGGTTATTTGTGGGGCCTGCCAGGTGTTTTTACATGAGCAGAATGTGTGTTTTATTTAAAATGCACCTGTCAGGGAACTGACATCGGAGCTAGAAGCGGAGGGAAGGCTCTCAAATGATGCTGGAGAAGGGCCCAGCAGGGAGAGAGGCAGCTCTGCAGATGGGGAAGCAAATCAGTGCAACACCAGGGATAAAGAGGGGCTGATGGGGGAATCGGCGAGAGGGCTCCAGGACTCTTCACCAGACACCAGCGGGGAGAGCACGGGTCCCCCGCTACCCACGCCCACCCTGCGCAGAAGACTTCCGCGCAGAGAGGAGACTGGGTGTCAAACAACTTTTATGGTGGAAAAGATTTAAGAAACGCCCACTGACGGATTCTGCTAGCGACTGAGGCAGCCACGAAGTGAAGGGCTGCCCAGACTGAAAGGTTTAGCAAGGCAACAAAGCCTGGAGAGGTGGCAACTTACGCATGAGCAACCCATACACATTACAGCACCTATGGGTTATTTTGGGGGCATAGGAATTCGTTCATCCCCCCCCCCCAAAATATAGTCCGGCCCACCACATGGTCTGAGGGACGGTGGACCAGCCCACGGCTGAAAAAGGTTGCTGACCCCTGCTCTAGATGGTACCTTTATGTAGAATGCTGGGAGCCCAGTCTCATCACCTTACGTTAAAAAATTAAAATAAACGGATGAAAATACAGAAAATAAAAGCCGAACCATATACAGTGGTACCTCGGGTTAAGAACTTAATTCGTTCCGGAGGTCCGTTCTTAACCTGAAACTGTTCTTAACCTGAAGCACCACTTTAGCTAATGGGACCTCCCGCTGCCGCCGTGCTGCCGGACCACGATTTCTGTTCTCATCCTGAAGCAAAGTTCTTAACCCGAGGTACTATTTCTGGGTTAGCGGAGCCTGTAACCTGAAGCGTATGTAACCTGAAGCGTATGTAACCCGAGGTACCACTGTATTGTGTAAAAATAATAAACAGGTGTGGGGAGGGGAATGGCGGTTGGTAGATGTATACGTATTTAACATAAGCTGTACTACATGGAAATACTTGACATGCATGGTACTTTTCATGTGGAGATTATGGCTCTAAAATTCTACTGATACAGTATCAGCTTCGCTTAACTAGATACAGATTTAAGACCCCTCATTTGTTATCTGACATTTGACACACACTTGTGTTTTCAAGGAAATAAGTGCCCCAGCTGCCTTATATGTCCTTCCCTAGGCGTGGGATAAGCCAGCTTTCAGCAGCTAGCTTGTGGATAAGTATCTGACATTTTTATCAGGGCGGTTCTTGCCATCCACCCTATTAATTCTGTCTAATTCCCGTTGGAAATTGTTTTCACATTGTGCTAATCTGCTGGATCAGTGGTTCTGAGCCCTTCATTGAAAACCAACTAAATCCTTTGTTTTGCTTTAAAAAGAACAAAAAAAGTCAAGTCTGTTAGGAGAAACGCCTCTCAGAGAGGCTTCCCAGTCTTGTGAAGGCCAGCCATGCACTGGAGTGTGAATATATTATGAATTAATAGATAGTAAAAGCTAGTTTTTCCAGTCTACCAAGGCAGTTTTAGTTGGGCCTAGTTCAGGGTTTGCCAGCCCAGTCTTGCACAGGGGCCACAGAATGAGCTTTTTCTCTTTCTTTCTTTCTTTCTTTCTTTCTTTCTTTCTGTCCTTCTCTCTAACGCTCCAAGAAAAACAAGTATGAAGCAGAATGTGTATGTACCTGAAGCAGAGACATCACCTTGCTGGCAAAGGTCCGTATAGTTAAAGCTATGGTTTTCCCAGTAGTGATGTATGGAAGTGAGAGCTGGACCATAAAGAAGGCTTATCACCGAAGAATTGATGCATTTAAATTATGGTGCTGGAGGAGACTCTTGAGAGTCCCATGGACTGCAAGAAGATCAAACGTATCCTTTCTTAAGGAAATCAGCCCTGAGTGCTCACTGGAAGGACAGATCCTGAAGCTGAGGCTCCAATACTTTGGCCACCTCATGAGAAGACTCGACTCCCTGGAAAAGACCCTGATGTTGGGAATGATGGAGGGCACAAGGAGAAGGGGACGACAGAGGATGAGATGGTTGGACAGTGTTCTCGAAGCTACCAGCATGAGTTTGACCAAACTGCGTGAGGCAGCGGAAGACAGGAGTGCCTGGCGGGCTCTGGTCCATGGGGTCACGAAGAGTCGGACACGACTAAACAACAACAACCTGAAGCAGGAGGACTCCTCATGTCCTGCTTGCTGGCCTCTCAAAAGCATCTAGTTCAGAGTTTCCCAAACTTGGGCCTCCAGCTGTTTGGACTATAACTCCTATCATCTCTAGCCAGCAGGACCAGTGGTCAGGGATAGTGGAAAACAGTAGTCCAAAAACAGTTGGAGAAACAAGTTTGGGAAATTCTGATCGATTCGGTCACTGTGGCAACAATATGCTGGATAAAGGCAAGTCTTTGGCTTGATCCTGTTTTAGCACTACATCAGTGGAATGCTCTCCACAGATGTCTTCGTTGGTTAGCTTCAGACTGTTCAGGACTTCTACTTAGAGATGCATTTTAAAGCCAAGTGGCTGCAGTGCAACAGGAAAAGAAGAAGAGGTTGCAGCACAGAGACATTGCCAGGCACTCTTGCCCTTTTCCAGTCGCCAGGCCCTGCCTAAAAAGGAGAGTTCTCTTGGGCATAGTGCAAAGAGAAATATTTGCAGATCTTAGCAAGAGAAGTTGGAATGACAAAGCTTGGCTCCTTCTCACCATTTGTTCAGACAAGCCCAGACAATTAAGACTTATTTAAGGGTTTCCTCTTGCTCCCTTATTTAGGGTGTGAGCTCATAAAGGAAGGAACTATTTTTGGAGAGAAAAGTCTGAGAACAATGGTGTATCGCTGCAATATGAACGACGATAACTTCATTTCTAAAAAATGTAACTTTTAACATGTCAATTGGATAAGCAAACAGACCAGAAATCTGGGTGGAGAACCTTGGTCCTAATTGCACACAGATGGTGGCCTAGGACATGGGTAGGTAAACTAAGGCCTGGGGGCTGGATCTGGCCCAATCACCTTCTCAATCTGGCCCACGGATGGTCCAGGAATCAGCATGTTTTTACATGAGTAGAATGTGTCCTTTTATTTAAACTGCATCTCTGGGTTATTTGTGGGGCCTGCCTGGTGTTTTCACATGAGCAGAATGTGTGTGCTTTTATTTAAAATGCACCCATGGGTTATTTTTGGGGCATAGGAATTCGTTCTTTTTTTTTTCTTTTCAAAATATAGTCTGGCCCACCACATGGTCTGATGGATGGTGGACCTGCCCACGGCTGAAAAAGGTTGCTGACCCCTGGGCTAGGGAGTAAAGGTAAAGGGACCCCTGACCGTTAGATCCAGTCGTGGCCGACTCTGGGGTTGCGGCGCTCATCTCGCTTTATTGTCCAGTGGAGGTGGCGTACAGCTTCCGGGTCATGTGGCCAGCATGGCGAACCAGAGCAGCGCACGGAAACGCCGTTTACCTTCCCGCCGGAGCGGTACCTATTTATCTACTTGCACTTGATGTGCTTTCGAACTGCTAGGTTGGCAGGAGCTGGGACCGAGCAACGGGAGCTCACCCCGTCGCAGGGATTCGAACCGCCAACCTTCTGATCGGCAAGTCCTAGGCTCTGTGGTTTAACCCACAGCTAGGGAGTAAAACCTACACAAATCTGGATTGGCATCCCTAAGGTGGTTGGATGGCACCTTGTACGCCTCCTTCTGGCAACTCCTGCAGCCAAGCTTGTGTCAAATGTATTGCTCTGCTTTCTTTTGAATCACATCAGCAAGGCCAAGAGATAGGTCTTGTTGTCCAGGTAGCCTAGGACCTCCATACACACTGCCCAGGAAGCGTTCCCATTCCTTTTCTCGGGTAGAATCTTCTACCCAAGTGATGGCAGCTATTACAGTATTACAGTTTTTATTTATTCAGTTTATATCCCACCCTTCCTCCTTAAAGAGCCCAGGGTGACATCACTTATGGTAGCTGTTGAACCCTGGCAGTAGGCAAAATTATGTGACGTTAGAGGTTTCTTCCAAATTACCATTTTGCTACATCACCATAATAAATAACCACTCTAACAGTCCGTAAGTGACTGTGGAGGCCAATTCTGGATCCACACGTCTTTCCACAGTGGGACATAGGTTTCCGGGTGGGAGCTGATCATGGTGAGGATTTGCCAAACATTCCTTTCTCCCTTTTGTCCTGAGTTTGAGTGTCTTCAAAACCCATGACACCTTTGGTAAAGGCTGTTCTCCAACTGGAGCGCTCGCAGGCCAGTGTTTCCCAGTTGTCGGTGTTAATACTATTTTTAGATGTAAATTTTCTGTCTACACACATCTTGGTCCACAGATAATGAGAGACAAACTCCTACTTCTTCCAATGGACAAATATATCTTGCCTGACTTAAGATTCTTACTCATCATGGGCTTTCAGGAGAGTACTCTTCTTTATAAGCCGATTTACAACAAAGTATACACATGACTGAAATAGATAATACAGAAACCTGAATTTAGGCACATTTCCCCCCAACTTACTCTTGTAACACGCTAAGTCAGAAGATGGTTCTTCTTTCCCAGCAGATAAATATATCTTAATCCCATGCTTTAATAGTAAGCAGTGACATCTACTGGTCGCACCATAAAGTTGTCAAACGTACACATACATACACAAAAAAAACCCCAGCTCTTTTCATGAAGATGATTTTTATTAAATGGATTAATGCATCATTTTACAGCAAGACTCCCCGCGCACCCCCCAAACCTAAAGAAATGTTTTTAAATGTTCCAATTTCTTTGTATCGATACAGTCTCTTTGTATAGGTTCATATATAACAAGTATTCATAGAAAACTCTGAAGTGGCTTTTAAGAATGTCAGCTTTCATAGTGGCATCCACAGATGATTTAAAAAAGCGGTACGTTTCATTCGTAGTCAGACTATCCTGTAATGCGCAACTTAAACAGCATAGCAAGTTACTGGGCAGCTTATACAAAAGTAGTAAAATCAACCATGTATAAATTTGACATTTTAGCAGAAATGTGTGAGAAGCACTACAATAAGACAGTTCTGAGAGGACTAGTATTCTTCGGCTCCTTCTCCCTAGAAATCTCGCTGTGGACATGAATGCCATATAGCTCAGTGTTTTCGTTTTTCCAATTCGAGGCTATGCATGGCTTCGTGTTTAAATTTGTAGGAATATCTCCATTGTCACAACACACCATCATTGAGATGGAGGAAACTCTCAGCCCACAGTCACTGAGAAGAATGTTTCAACCTTACATGCATGCCAGTACAACCCATTTCTCTCACTCTTGAGTAAGCAAACAAGAAATGCAGCTCAATATTGTATAAGCAACACAAATAAAGAGGTTTGGAATTATCGTTTCCTTAATTTGCACTGTCAGTTTCTTTTGGAACTTACATTGGAATTTTCCATAGTGCTGTTAAGATACAAAGAACCTGGTTTCAAGCTACCAAATACACAGTGCATAACACAGTATTTGTGCGAAACAGATATTAAATACTAATAACTGGAAATAGACCTAAGACTGTCGGTGGGGGGGGAGGGGTTTCCAAATCTGAATGATGTGCTTTAAGATAATAAAAAAATTCTGTTTCACTTGTTAAAATTGTAGGGATAAAAAGAATAATTCCTAATTTCCGATTGCATCTTGAATACCTCTGTGAGCCAAGGCACACACCCAACTCTGATGTGGTATAGTATTTTATGTGTTTTATTTTTCCTTTAGTCTCATTGTACTAATTCACACACAATGCTAAACTATGATTTAGTACTACATGAATGAGCTATGATGAGCCTGAGCAAAGCTTTGAGCTTGCACATCTTGTTAATTTCATTTCTTCCTCCCCTCCTCTTGCAATACCTGGCTTCAGTTTTTACAAATCCTGGTATGTCATGACGATAGTTAATGAAGCCAACTTTATAGCCCAAAGTTTGGAATTGGCTCGTTTTGAAATTGATCAGGTGTGTTCTTTGCTACCGTTTCCAGTTTATATGTAATGAGAAGCCAAGATTCATGGAAACCGTTAATAGACATGGCAGAAGTCTTTCTCCTGGCTACGTGGAAGGAGAACGCAAGCTGGTGGTTTTGCTCTGGCTCATTCTAGCTTGTGCATGTACCACGAACCATGGTTCAGCATTGTATGTGAACATGTGTACACAAGGCCACCAAGTTTACAGGACACGTAACGCCTATTTATATTGCAGCTATGAAAGTTCATGCCGGAACGCATTCGTTAGTCTTTTAAGTTCCTCAGGATTAGTTGTTCTTTTGTTCCAGTTTAGGAATTTTATAAAGCAGCTTTGTATATGTATCTTCTCCTGCGGTCCCGTGTGTAACAGTGGGGGTATGTCAGCAGAGCACATAAGACTCATATCTAATTTTTGTCTTTTAAAACATTTAAGCAAGTACTCTGTTACTACTCAAATAGTGTGAGACTGATACTGTTAACAGTGCCAACTACTATATCCTCAAAGTTTAAGTTCTAAGGAACAAGGAAATCAGTGCTTAGAATGAACTAGTTTGGTTGAACAAAGTTCACTGAACTAGTTCAAAAATCTCTGGACTACGCTTGAAAGTGGTCCCCACAACTGCTGGGTGAAGTAAATTTCTAGTTCATCTTCACTTTCATTCCCTTCTCTTCAGCCTGGCAGGAGGCCCAGACTATTCCCCCACTCCACCCCCAGTCAGCCAGACATCTATAAGGAAAGTTAGAAAGCAAACCATGGAGGCTGATTAGACAGTACCTTAATCACTGTTGTTATGTAATCAAAAGGAAGGAATGTAAGGCATTTCCTGTACCTTCCCTACTGAAGAGATTTGCTCTTTTTCAACAGGGTAGTTTGCAGTGAGAAGTACAGGTAGAGGAACAAAATGAATGATGCCTTTAACAGCTGTGTGGCTGGCACAAATTGAAAAGATTCACTTGCTAACATTCTGTCTTATTAGTTGTGTAGCCCTATTTCCTTTTAGACCTTATAGTTCTGCACAGCAGGTTGTGACATTCTGAATGCTGATTTTAGGATGAACTTTTTATGTATTCATTTGGATGAATGAATTGAACAAGTTTTGTTTTGTAAAAGGATGAACTGGAAGTAGTTCCCTTTGGGGCAGGGTTAACTTGAACTAGTTGTGTTTTAAATTAAACTTTCCAAGTGCTGAAGGAAATATTGGAAAGCTGTGTAAAATGGTACTTGGACCAAACGGTTTTCTTTAAAAATGAACAGCAGGACACAAAGGGAAGTGGACTGTTTTGCATAAATCTGTGTGGCTGGCAAAATGTATAGAGTGACAGGAAGAACTTAAAATTGAGCACACATGCTAAGCATGGTGTAAACACGTGCCGCGGGACTCAATGGTCACAGAAGACAGTGCATCTGTTCAAACTCTTGAAAATGGTTCAAGGTGAGCAGGGCTCCTTCACTGATCTGGATCCGACAAGTGCCCACTGTCACTTCTGCCTTCCCCTGTCCCAAGGTCCCAATTACTTACCTTGAGACAGGGGGAGCCAGTGGCGGAGAGCAGGCGGGGGCATGGCTGGCATGCATCCTGGGGGAATGGCGCACGCCTCGGGGGCGTGACGCACCACCCGTAGGGGCGTGGCATGCATGCTGGGGGCGTGACGCACGGCCCACAGGGGCGTGGCACACATGCTGGGGGTGTGGCACCCAGTGCGGAGGGGGGGAGCCACGATGGCACCCCAATGGGATCATGCCGCCAGGGGCAGTGCACTCCCCCTACACCCCTGCCAGTGGGTGGAGTCAAAGATAGCAAAGAGCATCCAGAGGCCCCAGCAGAGCATCTTTCTTCATTGGGGATGGGACTTACCGTATTTTTTGCTCTATAAGACTCACTTTTTCCCTCCTAAAAAGTAAGGGGAAATGTGTGTGCATCTTATGGAGTGAATGCAGGCTGCGCAGCTATCCCAGAAGCCAGAACAGCAAGAGGGATTGCTGCTTTCACTGTGTAGTGATCCCTCTTGCAGTTCTGGCTTCTGGGATTCAGAATATTTTTTTTCTTGCTTTCCTCCTCCAAAAACTAGGTGCGTCTTATGGTCTGGTGCGTCTTATAGAGCGAAAAATACGGTAATACTATGAGTGATTGCTGGGAAGAAGGCTCTGAGAGGGGCTCCAGAACACCCGTTGCCTCCATTCTTCTACCGTCCTGCCCTAGCCTCAAGATATATTATTCAGGTTGGTGAGATGGGAGGCAGTGGTCACTGTGAGGACCAGCAAGCCTTTTGCAAGTCCTCAAACTGGACACTTACCAAAAAAAAGGCTTACACTTTTGTGAGTGCTTGAACAGGGCACTCGCCAAAGCATGATATTTTTCAGGTTGAATGTTAGGGTGATTGTGTATCCCTGTTGAAAACAAGAGTTTGCTTACTCCAGATATCCTACCGTCTCAGAGCACTGAGTTTTCAAAGCAGCAACTGTGCAGCTGTTGCTCATTTTTCTGCACAGGATCCAGTCTGTCTTCCTCAGATATGCACACCTCTTTCAGCGATGTTGTATTTTACCAGCACTCAAATGGCAAGATTTTGTTACTGCAAAATGCAATTGTCTTCCCAGTTAGCAAGGCCATTGGAATTCATAGTGCAATACAGTTGAATGAATGTCACATATAGCTGATGGCTAATGCCTATGATATTTTATTATCTGAATTTCAGTACTTAGCCTGCACTGGAGATGAAAGGGACATTCATCCCAGTGCCCTATGATATGTTCCTCTTAAAAAAAATATGTTGCAGATAGGAGAAGAGGATTGGGTAGGGAAGGGATGCTTAACATTTACCCGGCCATCACGTTCCCTCTAAAACTTGTTCCCTCAGACACATTTCCATCTTATAGGGAGTCCTTCATCTTTTTGTATGGCTAACTATGTCATTGGTTATAGGCTTAATATTTCCAATCAGTATATTTTGTACGGTGTGTCTGGAAAAAGTTGCAACAGAGATCTGAGGCATGTGTTTACTGAAAAAAAGGCATCGAATGACATACATAATATGATAAAAAGCAAATCACATAAAATATTCTTCATTATATAGACTGATGGAATAGCCTTTTATAAACTTTAAATTCATTTGCATGTTACAATTATTTATTACATAAGGGATAACCATATGGACAAAAACAAAGTCAACGGCCCTTAGCAATGCAGCGGTGCAAAAAGACTTGTTAACTACTACACCACAAATAAATTGCTGGTAGGCTTTTTCTTTCAGATACATATCTATAATCCCACCCCTCCCCCCAATTTATAGGCATAGAGGATTAAAAATCATTTTGTGAAACACTGGGTACTGCAGAATAAGCATGTGACCTTGAAACTTGTGATATTGTTCACTCAAGTAAAAGAAATATCACCTCTAGATTCAAATGAAAGGCAGAATGAATAACTGACATTTGTTATATCTTAACAAAAAAAGCAAGCTTTCTACGCTGATCCTCCATGAATTAAAAAGCCGATTCTCACATCTTCCATTTATTTTAAATCCTTTGCTTATATGTATAACTTAAGCACAACTACAAGAGTGCAATTGTTTTAACTTGTGCATTATTTCCCTTCCCTTGAATTACAGTACAAGTAAATATTTCTTGTGGGGGAAAAGATGCAACTGCCACACTAGAAAAATAAATTGTCTCTGACTTGCTTACTAATGGAACTTTGAGAACATTGCTGCATTCCTTTTTAGAAAACTGTTCTCACAACATGGCAAAAGAATGCACCTTTTGATGAAATACTCTCATTCCAAAATATCATAATAGAGGTTCTTTCACCCTAAATGCCTATTTACTGATATATTACCATCAGTATAATTTGAAGAAAGAGAACACACACACACCCCACCTCCAGTAACTGTGCAAAGATAATCCAAAGGTCAAATCTCTATTTTCAGGGAATGGAGAGGGATGATTTGCCATCCTTTTGTCATGAGCATTCAGACTTGGCACATCCAACTACGCAGATGTGAGACATTAGTGAAATCACAATCAAACCATGCAATCATTGGCAATAGGTCTCGACATGCAAAAAGATCTAAAATAAAAAGGAGCCAAAAATCACTCACAGTTTCATTTGCACAAACACTCCACTCTTGAATATTTTTTAGTAGCCTCTTTCCACTTTCTGTTAATTTTTAAAATGTGGTTGTGAACTCCCAGTTAAGATCTAAGAGGACATGCATTGAGAAGCTGCCCAACTTTTGGAGTGGAAGATATACTGTATTTTTCGCTCTATAAGACTCACCAGACCACAAGACGCACCTAGTTTTTGGAGGAGGAAAACAAGAAAAAAAATATTCTGAATCTCAGAAGCCAGAACAGCAAGAGGGATCGCTGCGCAGTGAAAGCAGCAATCCCTCTTGCTGCTCTGGCTTCTGGGATAGCTGCGCAGCCTGCATTCACTCCATAAGACGCACACACATTTCCCCTTACTTTTTAGGAGGGAAAAAGTGAGTCTTATAGAGCAAAAAATACGGTACTATCCCTGAACTATAGCATGGTTGCCCAGCCCAGGGAAATTCCCGGCCCAAATGAGCCTTCCCCAAATCCTTCCAATACTTGAAAAGGGGAGATCACTTGAAATCTGGTTTACTCAAAGCAGGATTGCTGGCTCTTTAGCACTAACTAAGCAATCCACACAGCTCAGTTTCCTCTTCAAAAACTAGGCTACTTAGTCTAGTGTGTTCCTTGAGAGCTCCTTGGGGACAGCATGCCTTTTTAAAACTAAAGTTCCCAAAATGTGTCTCCTAAGGGCTGACATGGGAATTGCACAGCTCTTTAGCTGATGCCACAGAGCCTCATTTTAGAATTTGCCTTGGGGACTCCTGAGCTTCAAGGCTGTGAAGCTGCTTCCTATGAAATAAGCCTCCAAAACAATGATTGCCTAATTTTTTCAGTGGAAGATTCAACACTGTTCAAAGTCCAACTTCTGATTTGAAAACTAAAAGCTGCAAATATTAATCTCAAGCTTACGCTAAAAGGAAATTAAAACAAAGTATGGCAGGGCCAAAACTCCAGTAAAAGCACATTGTATGAATTTAGGCCAAAAGTTCAAAAAGCCTAGATGTAGGCATGCTATGCCCCGGGAAGGAGGCAAAAGGCCGGAAACCTTCTTAGCCTAGAGTAGATTGTTGTAAAATAATCACTTAACACAGTGGGAGATAAATGATGAAAAATGGGCTATGAATGGGGGGAAATTGATTAGAGGGCTTTCGATGTGCTTATCACAGGATGAAAGCAGTGATCTTATTTGATGGAAAACTTTAAACATTAACCAAGTCCATGATAGATTCTAAATGATATCATAACTTACTTAGCATTCAGATATTCTAGACCAGGATTTCATTTCATTTAAACCACTTTGAATTATTACCTTCACTGGTCTAATCTAATCAAACATCATACAGTGGAAAAAGTTGGTTTAGTCCTCAGTAGCTGGATGTAACTACAGTGGTACCTCCAGTTGTGGACGGGATCTGTTCCAGAGCTCCGGTCGGATCCTGAGGTTTCCATAACTGGAGGTGCCTGTTCTGCGCATGCATGCAGTACGATAAAGCGCTTCTGCGCATGCGCGCAGTGCATAGAGCACTTCTGTGCATGCGGCAAAACCCGGAAAAATACTTCCAGGTATGCCACTTTCGTAAGCCGAGGTTCTACTGTGTTTCGAAAAGAGTGCAGAGTTCAGGACTTCAAAGCGGAAGAAAGTTGGTAAGAACTGAATTAAGGAAATAAACAATTTTTTATAGGTCTGAAAAACAGAATGAAGCAGTTCGTCAGAAACTAGCATGGGGACAATGTGCTGTAGAGATTGTGCTATGTGGCCCAAAAAAACCCCCGTTATGTAAGTCTTGGATTATGACAAATCAGAACTCAATCTTTTATTTAGAACCAGATATCATACTAGATGCTATTTAGTGATTGTAAATATATATCTTGTTAAGGTTACATAAGTCTGAACAACAACTGAGACAACAGGGCTTCATGCTGTGACAAGGGCCAGTAAGCAAATATTTACTCATTTCTGTCCTTATTGACTTTCAAAATGGTGCTTTTATGGGGCCAGATATTTTAATAGTCATGCACAAATAGGTACTGTTACATGTATTCTAAAATATTCTAAAATGTTTTCCTTAGAAAAAACCCTGATATGTTGCGATGATAGGTACTAAAGGGGCAATTAATGCGTAAGCAGGACATTTCCGAAGGAACTGGGTATTTTCACAATATTCAAAGGCTGCAATTCTAGATATACTTACCTGAACTCAGTGAGATGTACTCCTTAAGTAGACTTGTAAAGGAATGCACTGTAAATCAGCCAGTTACACCTAGGCAATCTGATGCAACACTGAACTAGACCATCAGATTTGGGCAGTAAAAGTACAGAGGCATAGGAACTCATCACATGACTATCATGCAAATGAGTCCATGTTTTAGCTTGTCTATCAAAAACCTGTCTTACCAACCTACCTACAGTAAAAAATTTAAGATAACTTACCAAGATTAGGCAAAAATGTTCTTTTCAATATACACCAAAAGCATTCATTAAGGAAAAATGTACATAAATACAAAGCATATTTAACTTTCAAACTGTATACGACAAGAGATAAAATAAAATGGTAGACCTTTGGGGTCAGTTTACACATACCAGAGTTATAATTTGCACATGCATCATGGCTTGGAGGGAAAAGATACCACAGATCATCTGTCCCATATAGTGCTCTTAAACTTTGTAAACCTGCCAATGATGAGGCATGTTTATCAAGCATCAAGCTTATTAGGGCAGGTATCTACCTCCACTGATTGTACAAACTGACCCTTTGATTCCTTATATTTTGTTCAACACTTTCTTGCTTAGAGTTTTCCAAAGCTGCATTGTCCACTATGAAGAAAGCTGCAATTTGCTAATTTCGAAGGATGAAAGAAAGCAGAAGTTTGTTCTTTTCTCCCCTCCTTCCTTTTTAAAAAGCCCTTTTAAGGCAGGGAAAATCATGCATTAACTGTGACCTTGGAGCACACATACAGATAGATACAAGCAGCTGCTTTAAGCTGATTATGCTTTGCAGAGTTCACAGTTGGATTTCATTGGCTGCCAAATCATTAGATTAAAAACCCCTACCGCCCTTTAATTCCAAAAGGGGAAATGTGTGGCAGGGATGGAAACACAAAGCATACTGTGAACTACAGACTATTGCACATTTCAACATAACACAAGTGAAAAAATAGGGCGTTTAAAAGATAATACACTCTGTCACACAGAAACATACAAACGAGCTTGCGCACAGAACTCAAAACATGAACGGCAAACACCACTGTAGCCAGGCGGCTTGTGTGTTTAGTGACCTTTAGAACCCGGTCCAAACTGATTATCAGCAATACATTTTTTTGTTTTTGTTTTTTAAAAAAAATATTTTGAGACCACATCATTCGATACACATATATATAATTCTGTGGTCGGGGACAGACAAGATGTAATTTTGCAATACTAAATAAAAAGTGCAAAAAATGTTTCAAAAAAATAAGAACAAAATTAAAAATATGGAAGCATAAGCTAAAAATTGTCTGCATAGCTGAAATCTATTTAAAGCAAGTCCTCAGTAAGGGGTGCTGACAGGAGAAGGAACTCTCTCCCCCTCCCCAAAGGTCTTCTGCATGTTTGTTTAACAGAATGCAAAAATGTCATTTTTGTCAGCTTTTAAACAATTCACAGACAGTTCACGCCTGTATCCTTAGACACCATAGTTGTAGCGGTACCTCCTTCTACAAGGAAAACAGCTGTGCTGGACTTAGAGCTGACTACCCTATCACTGCCATTGTTGTTGACTTCACAGTCCAGTGGTTCTGTAGAGATGACCCATGTTGACGGGCGCCACCGCTTAAGGGAATATGGTGTTTTCACACGTTTCTTGATCTTTTCTCCTGAGCCGGGTTTGCCATCTAGGGATGACTCACTCACTAAAAATAAGCAGAATATACACAGTGTCATACAGGCGGAAAGAACAGAAGAGGCAGAAAAAGAAAATACGAAATCTTATCAAAAGCAGTGGATGACAGCATAGGTAGACTTCAGCAAAGCAGCCCTGGTAACTCCCCTTTCAGAATAAATCCTGGGAACTAGGTCGACTGTATGTAGTATTAGTCATAAGTATTGCCATTTCTCTAGACAGCATCTTAAAAAGCAGAGACATCAGCTTGCCAACAAAGGTCCGTATAGTTAAAGCTATGGTTTTCCCAGTAGTGATGTATGGAAGTGAGAGCTGGACCATAAAGAAGGCTGATCGCTGAAGAATTGATGCTTCTGAATTATGGTGTTGGAGGAGACTCAAGAGTCTCCAACACCATAATTCAAAAGCATCAATGCATCGAAGCAATGCATCAAAGCATCTTCTTGGACTGCAAGAAGATCAAACCTATCCATTCTGAAGGTAATCAGCCCTGAGTGCTCACTGGAAGGACAGATCCTGAAGCTGAGACTCCAATACTTGGGCTACCTCATGAGAAGAGAAGACTCCCTGGAAAAGACCCTGATGTTGGGAAAGATGGAGGGCGCAAGGAGAAGGGGACGACAGAGGACGAGGTGGTTGGATAGTGTTCTCGAAGCTACCAGCATGAGTTTGACCAAACTGCGGGAGGCAGTGGAAGACAGGAGTGCCTGGCGTGCTCTGGTCCATGGGGTCACGAAGAGTCGGACACAACTAAACGACTAAACAACAACATTGCCTTTTCTGTCACTTTATGTACATGATTTCATTTTTTTAAGGATTCCACATTTTACTAGAGACTTAATGTGCTTTCTTGGACCTGTATTTGCTTAGCTGCAGACAGTGGTGGAGGGCACCCAGAGCAGCAAACAGGCGGGGTGTGGCGCGTGTATCGATTACATAGCCTAACACTTACGGATCCTTTCTTGTTAAAGAATCAGATTTAAAATGGCAGATTTAAAAATGAACTGCTGCTTCTTTGTGTTTGCTAATTTGAAGTCTTGAACTTCCTTTAGCAATGAAAATGATCGATCAATCAGGGGTAAGCCAGAATTAGAAACCACGTTTGAAGTGGATTTAAAAATCATGGTTTGGCAAACCAATTACAACCGTTTCTCTGCCTCCTAAGAATTTCAAACCTAAAAGACTGGTGTGCTGTGCCAAAAAAAGAAAGAGCAAAGTACCTTAAACTGTGGTTTGTTTTTGGAGCTCAAGCCATGGTTAGAGTTATTAAATATGGTTCAGTGTAAAACACAGTTGGCACAAAGGATGAATTAAGCCTATGCAACCTCTACCTGGATTCTACTGGTCTTGTAATAGGAAGAAGGCTCTACTGCCTCGATTCTATCATATCTTACCTTAATATGAATAAATGTTATATTCACAATACTGAACCATATTGTACTTGAGTGTTCTTTTCAGCTTCCAACTTCACAGATATATAACAACAAATTACAATAGTGGGGTTCAACTAAACAAAGCAGTAATACAGTCATACCTTGGTTTTTGAACAGCTTAGTTCTTCAATGTTTTGGCTCCTGAACACTGCAAACCCGGAAGTGACTGTTCCAGTTTGCAAACTATTTTTGGAAGCTGAACATCCGACGGGGCTTCTGCGGCTTCCAATTGGCTGCAGGAGCTTCCTGCAGCCAATCAGAAGCAGTGCTTTGATTTCCATACGTTTTGGAAGTCAAACGGACTTCTCGAACGGATTCTTTTTGACTTCCAAGGTATGACTGTATTTATATGTATGTGTGGCACCAACATCCATAACCTCCATTTACTTATTATGGAGCATCTTCAACTTAACAATGGAGAACAGCTCTTGAGAAAAGAAAGCTTTCTAAAATGTGAATTAATTAATTCCCAATAATAGGCTACTACTATAACTCTAAAATAATTTAGAATATAATACATTCTAAATAATTTTAGAATACTAGTTGTAGAAAGTTATGCTAAATAGTGTAACGAATCTTCTAGTCAAACCTTGTTTCATTCAACTAGAAAGCTTTGGCTGAAGGAGAGTACCATGTTACTTTTTAAAAAGGTGAGTCTACTGTTGCAAGTCGCTGATTTATCTGAAGAACCAAGGCTCACACACTTCTAAGAGAGGTCAACAAAAGAAGTATTGCTGAACCCCTCGGGCAGTATTACAGTTTTCTCAGAATCCAAAAATATTTTAAAATCCTTCCCAATTTATGTTTTAAACATAACAGTCTAAAAAGAGAAGGTTGAAGGGATATTCTTCACTGGGAAGAACAGAAATAATTAAATTGGTACAGTGGTACCTCTGGTTGCGGACAGGATCCGTTCCAGAGGTCCGGCTATATTCCGAGGTTTTCGCAACCAGAGAGAGTGCTTCTGCGCATGCAAGCGTGGCGATAGAGCGCTTCTGCACATGCGCCAAAAACCTGGAAAAATACTTCCGGGTTTGCCGCTTACGCATCCCAAAGTTTTCATAACTAGAGGGATATGTAAGCGGAGGTACCACTGTACAAGCAAAACCACAGCACTGGGGGTTACCGTATTTTTTGCTCTATAAGACTCACTTTTTCCCTCCTAAAAAGTAAGGGGAAATGTGTGTGCATCTTATGGGGCGAATGCAGGCTGCACAGCTATCCCAGAAGCCAGAACAGCAAGAGGGATTGCTGCTTTCACTGCGCAGCGATCCCTCTTGCTGTTCTGGCTTCTGAGATTCAGAATATTGTTTTTCTTGTTTTCCTCCTCCAAAAACTGGGTGCGTTTTTATAGATCGAAAAATACGGCAAATCTTCCTGGGTTGGGAGGGCAGAATTTGGTTTTTAGGTTGTGACCCAAGTCAAGAAGTTTAATTCTGTAATATTTTTGCAAATATCCATTGATCAATCCCACAAAAACTCACACTGCATACTACAGCCGTCCAAAACATTTGTGGCTGATAGATCCAGCGAGTTAGGTCTCTGTGCTCTTCTAGTGTGGGCTTGTCCAGAATTTGGTGCTGTGCTCTGGCTACGGAGGACAGAAACGTCTTGTCCGGGACATGGGTTACTGTTGTTGTTGTTGGCGTTTGTTCTACCATTATCCAGCGAGCGGTCTCTCCTATCAACCAGACGATCGAGAATGCCCTCATCATGGCTCACTTGCTGCTCCCTTCTCAGCAAGGGCTCATGCTCATCAGGGCTCGAGTTGATATTCAGACGGCTGTCCTCTCCGCTGAACTGGTTCTGAAGCATTTCCTGGGTCCGATGGACCCCTGAGCTGGATGCTTGGCCACATGGCACTGTACCATTGACATACTGGGTTGGTACAGCATGAGAGGCTATTGTATGGCTCCTTCCTGCCACGTCATTCGTGGTAACTGTGACCACGTGAGGTTCTGCAGAATTGATAGTGTTCATCTTGGCAACTCCAGTTTCTACCTGCTTCAAGTTTGATTTGTGCTTCCCTCCAAATTTCAGCCGAGGCTCCTTTGTTGAGTTTTTGGTGTTTATAGGTAGGCTAGTAGGCCTCTTTGGGAGGTTCTGCTGCTTAGGAAGAGGGTAGACCTGAGCAGGCTGAACATCTGGAATTAGACACGCCTGGCCATTTGCAACTTGCGTGAAGTCCTGTTGCCCTGTTGCTTCCACTGCCAGTTTTATCAGTGGGTACAGCAAGCTGGAGCTGGTGCTGCTGAGTGGATCTGGCCCACTGAACTGCTTAAGGGAATGCTCCATCAGATTCTCATCAGAACTCTCCTTCAAATTCTTATCCACTTCCTTTGGATCCAGCTTGTTGGTCTCCAAGTCCTCCTCTGTTAGTTGCAAACAAACAGGAGTTGGCCCATTTGTAGCACCAAGGTTTGTTTCACCTGAGTAAGGCATCTCGGATATGGTGGTCATGCCAGTGCTCGGAGTGAGACCTGTAGTGTTGGTGGTGGTAGTGTTGGTTGACAAGCTTGTGACACTAGTTTCAGGACTAGGAATGCGAGCTTGTGCTTGCTGTCGCTCGTAGTTAATAGAGTTTCTGTTCTTCTCCCCAATCGTCAGTGGCGTGCTGGACGATGAAAGCTCAGACGAAATATTCTTCACGATGCTGTCAGGATGGTGAATGGAGTCCTCAATGTAAGATGACGAAGAGTAATCTTGATATGGTCTGATCTTTGGCACACGCCTATGGTGTGATAGATTTCTTTTAAAAAAAACACACAAAGAAGACAGTAGGATTAAGAGCATGTAGACGATAAATTCTTCTAACATAAAGGATCTAAAAATGCAAAATAGTTTCTGCAGCAAGCAGAACTATCATGAGAATTTTGCTGTGGGGGGCAGTGCTGTTATGTCATGGACCTCAGTGTGATGGCCTAGACTTTTTTTCCCTTCAGAAGCTGTATGTCACCATTCTAGCACACACATGCCTAATTTAATTTTATCTCATTCGTAGCACTATTATTTCAACACTGTTCCAAATGTGGGAACAGGCACAATACTGGCTTTGACAAGTGCTATTTTGGACTTTTGTCTGGAAATGGCCTCAGTGATCATGTTGTAGCTGCACTTACTGCACAATAAATTTGTGGTTGTCAACCTGTCCTTGGATTGAATTTAACTATTCATATTCTAAGCAGAAGGGACGCGGGTGGCGCTGTGGGTTAAACCACAAAGCCTAGGACTTGCCGATCAGAAGGTCGGCAGTTCGAATCCCCGCGACGGGGTGAGCTCCCGTTGCTCAGTCTCTGCTCCTGCCAACCTAGCAGTTTGAAAGCACATCAAAGTGCAAGTAGATAAATAGGTACCACTCCGGCAGGAAGGTAAACGGTGTTTCCGTGCGCTGCTCTGGTTCGCCAGAAGCAGCTTAGTCATGCTGGCCCCATGACCCGGAAGCTGTACACCGGCTCCCTTAGCCAATAAAGCGAGATGAGCGCCACAACCCCAGAGTCGGCCACGACTGGACCTAATGGTCAGGGGTCCCTTTACCTTTACTTCATTCTAAGCAGACCCACTGAAATTAATAGCCCTAAGTTAGTTGATGTGAAAGACTGGCTGGACACTGAGGAATGGTGGCTGGATACTGAGGAGTGGGTACCGGGAGACTGGCTTGGAAGAAGGGATCAGTGATCTGATGAGTCAGAGGCAGAAGCTGCAGTATTGGAGAGTGAAGAACACAAGCACGAGTAGGAAGAGATAGGTCAGGCTGGTATAAAGGGCTTTCACATCTCCTCCTGCCCCCACCTCTCCTGCCCCACTGTCTCTCAGGACCAGAAGAGGATTGAAGTGGGAGGAGCAGAAACAGGCCACACACAGATGTAGTCTTCACCTGCTTGCGCACCACTGGGGGGGGGGAGATACATAAGTGGAGTTCGGGGTGAGCTACTCTTGCCTCATTGGGTGCACATCTGGGAGCAGCTGCGAGACGCAGGACTGATGGACATGCCTTTTCCTAACTTGTAAGTGTACTTTTGTCAAGAAAGAGCTAATTCCTCACTCTGGACATTCCTTGCTGGACAGCGCTGTGACAGATGACTTACACAGAGATACTGTCTAAGGGGAAATCACATTTTCCCGAGTATTGAAGTATCATGATTTTAGTTCAGGGAAAACATGACATCCTTGAAATCAAAGTTCAACTCTGAGATGAGAACTGAAAGCAGTAAATGGGACACTTAAGTGCATATACAATGTACTTTTTAAAAAGTTTCATTGATTTTTGGAATCAGATTGTGAAAACAGCACACACTTAGTACTACTTACCGCTCATTCTGCATAGCTGTAGACTGCATAGGGTTGACTGTTGGGCTGACAGATTTGTTCCTTTCCCAAATCATCATGAGTTCAGCCATCCTCTCTTCAGCACACTGGGCTGTCAGTCGAGCTTCAGCATCCTGATCCCAACAGTCCTCAATTGTCTCTTTCAGTGACCTCACAGCCTATAAAGTAAACCAGCATTACATTCTGCACCCTTTTAAAGCTATACTTCAACACACATTCTAAGACCAAACAATGAAACTGAATCTCAAAATTACTGTATTTTTTGCTCTATAAGACTCACTTTTTCCCTCCTAAAAAGTAAGGGGAAATGTGTGTGCGTCTTATGGAGTGAATGCAGGCTGCGCAGCTATCCCAGAAGCCAGAACAGCAAGAGGGATTGCTGCTTTCACTGCGCAGCGATCCCTCTTGCTGTTCTGGCTTCTGAGATTCAGAATATTTTTTTTCTTGTTTTCCTCTTGTGGTCTGGTGCATCTTATAGAGCGAAAAATATGGGTACATATCCTGTGTTCTAAAGGGTCAAGAAATGTTACACAATCCTGTGTATATTTTCTCAAAAGCCAGCCTTACTAATTTCAATGGGGCATCTCCCAAGTAAAACTTATAGAAAAATACTACAATGAGTAAGTAATCTTGTCTGTACTAAGGTATGTTATTACTTGATCTGGTGCAGCTAAGATTCTCTTTAAAAGCAATTTGGTCTAGGGTCGTTTGACAACAGAGTTGATAAAAGAACTATATGATTTCACAAACAGGGAAACAGAAATTATTCTAAACGTGTTGATTGCAACAGTGAGATATTTTCAATCGTGTTACATGTTTTCAAAATATGTTACAAGGTGGGTGGTAGAGGTTGATAAAAAGGGTTTCAGGTCTTTATACAAATCTTACTAAACAGACATGGTAGCTATAATCAGATTACTGAGAATGAGGATACTTACATCTGTTACTTCTATTGTGAATGTTAATGAATTAAGAAACTGAGCAAATGGAACAAAGTCTAGTCCAAAAACAGAGTATGGTAATTTATTGTATTCATCAGTCTGTTGGACTGACATTGCCTGAAATAGCACATTAAATTTTTATAATAAAGTATATTTTAAAGCACACTGATGTGTCCTGTGTAGTGATCAAGACAGTGAACTGGGCATTTAAAGAGAACACACACGAAAGATAGAATACGTTACTGACCCCATCATGAAATGTCCAGCCCATACTTGTATCTTGCACTCAAATATTACTTTTTATTAATTTTAGTTTAGTTTCCTAAAGACAGCAACTTACATATTAAACCAATGTTATGCCTCCAACTCCATAATCTAGCATCTTACATATGATTTCCAAATGAAAAGGGGGGGGGGAAGGTAGCATCTTGCTTCTCTCACCAAGCTGTTCTCCTTCCAGGCCTCTGGGAATTTTGGTCGTTGCTTTTCCCTTGAAACAAGAACTTGCATATCTTCAAAAGTGGGGTGGTTTCCAACTTCTGCGTGGAATGCTGCCTGGAACTCTGGCACTGATTCTCCTGTTTACAGACATAATAATTTAAACGTAAACAAAAAGTCCAAATAGCTCTAAAATGCCCAGGCATAACAGGAAGATGCCTATCATATTTTTTCCTCTGGCATCTGAACCAATATTTGGTCCAGTTGTACTGTGAGCTGCATGTGCTATTGGCTTAATCTCGCTCTTTTGCAAAGTTGATTGACAAAATTGCCTAAGCTCTGCAAATATGTTATGCCTAACATATGAGGAAGAACAGCAACATTTAAGGGACCTTGCCTACTTAAGGACCAGGAGATACTTAAAGGAAACCAGATAGTGCATCCTGCATGCTGATCCTAACTATTCTACAATGTATTTGGATCTTTTTGTATGATTTTACTGTTTTAACTTATACCAATAAAGGCTAGTAGCAGCAGCAGTAGTTGTTGTTGTTTAGTCGTTTAGTAGTGTCCGACTCTTTGTGACCCCATGGACCAGAGCATGCCAGGCACTCCTGTCTTCCACTGTCTCCCGCAGTTTGGTCAAACTCATGCTGGTAGCTTCGAGAACACTATCCAACCATCTCATCCTCTGTCGTCCCCTTCTCCTTGTGCCCTCCATCTTTCCCAACATCAGGGTCTTTTCCAGGGAGTCTTCTCTTCTCATGAGGTGGCCAAAATATTGGAATCTCAGCTTCAGGATCTGTCCTTCCAGTGAGCACTCAGGGCTGATTTCTACAAGTTCATGGATGCGTTTTTTTATCCATTCCTACACTGACTCAAACGCAACTGTATGACAATCTTTGCCTCTTCTTCCACCCGATCTTGTAAATCTATCCGAAAAATCCTAAGAATTATCTAGGGAAGTTCAACAGATATGACATGGATCACTAAAAATGATGGGGCTTGAGGTTGTGGACAAGATGTTTGGATTGGTACAAGCGAATACCTGTGCTCTGAACCCTTGCCCTTCTTGGCTGTTAAATCCAGCAGGGAGGAGACAGCTGTCTAGGCCAGGGAGTGGTTAATGCCTCTTTATGAGAGGGGCTAGCTCCTTCCTGTTTGAAGGAGGCAGTGAGAAGACCGCTTCTTAAGAACCCATCTCTAGATTCTGAGAACCTTGGTAATTACCGGCCAGTTGCCAACCTCCCTTCCTTGGGAAAGGTTCTTGAGTGGGTGGTTGCTGACCAGATCCAGGTGCTCTTGGAGGAGACTGATTTTCTAGATCCATTTCAAACAGGGTTTCAGCCTGGCTTTGGCACAGAAACTGCCCTGGTTACTGCCCAGGAGAGAGATAGTGGCAATGTGTCCCTGTTAGCCCTCCTTGACCTCTCGATGTCTTTTGATACCATCGACCACTGTATTCTCCTGGAGAGGCTATCTGAGCTGAGAGTGGGAGGCACTGCTCTGCAATGGTTCCAGTCCTACTTGGATGGTCGCTTTCAGTGGGTGATGCTTCGGGACTGTATTTCAGCACCGTGGGGCCTTCAAGAAGGTGTCCCTCAAGGCTCAATTCTATTCCCCCATATTGTTTAATATCTATACGAAGACGCTGAGTGGAGTCATCTGGAGTTTGCGCATGTGTTGTCAGCAATATGCCGATGACACACAGGTCTGTTTTTCCTTTACATCTGCAGGTGTGGCAGTGGATGTGCTGGACCGGTGTCTTGCCTTGGTAATGGACTGGATGAGAGCAAATAAACTGAAGCTCAATCCAGACAAGACAGAGGCAGCATTAGTGGGTGGTTCCCTAGACCAGATAGGTGGAAGATTGCTTGCTCTTGAGGTGGTTACACTCCCTCTTAAGGAGCAAGTACTTCTGGGGTACTTTTGGATCCACTCCTTGAGGCCCAGTTGCTTGAAGGCCAGGTAGCCTTGGTGGTACAGAGTGCCTTCTGTCAGCTTTGGCTGGTGGCCCAGCTGCACCACTATCTGGACAAGGATAGCCTAAATTCTGTGGCCTACACTCTGGTAACCAATGTATAACCAATGTGTTATACATGGGGCTGCTTCTGAAGACAGTTTGGAAACTTCAGCTGGTGCAAAATGCAATTGCCACATTGTACAACGCCCTGGGATCTTTTGATAAAGGGTGGTAAATAAATTGAAATAATAAAGGAATACAGTGGTACCTCAAGTTACAAACACCTCAGGTTACAAATGCTTCAGGTTACAAACTCTGCTCACCTGGAAGAGTTACCTTGAGTTGAGAACTTTGCCCTAGGATGCGAACGGAAATCGTGTGCCGGTGGTGCAGCGGCAGCAAGGGGCCCCATTAGCAAAAGCACGCCTCTTGTTAAGAAGAGTTTCAGGTTAAAAACAGACCTCCGGAACAAATTAAGTTCGTAACTAGAGGTACCACTGTACTAATAACAACTAAATAATTATAATTCAGACTAATGATACTTTCCTCACATACTTCATTAAAAAAGCTGACATTTTATTTTTCAAAATGTAAACATTTCAGGGACATATTTATATGGAAGCTCCCCATATACCTGGTTTGCCTTGGTAACAAAATATGAAAATCCCACAATGTGCTGTTTTGAGGCCTTCCCTGCTTCTTTTGTGGCTTGTGCTACACATGCAGAATTCCAGATGTTACTGGTCTGCCATATATATGTATTTGTGTGTGTGTGTTGATGGAGATTGTGTATACCACCAGCCACACAACAAACCTCATGTGGACATGTCCACAGTATTCATTCAGCTTTACCAGGTAACATATAAGCTTTCCTTAATACCTAAAGCTTATCGGCAACATTACTTTATCAGGCACCAAGGCTACGTATTTCATAATGAATTATAACATTCAATACAACTCTGAAACCCTAGATGGCACTGAGTTCACTGTGGGAAACAAACAAGAGAACTGGAATTTACAGCCAATCCTTACAGATCTCAATAGCAAACCGCCCCCGCCCCCAAAGACCCAAAACCAGTGGATGTAATCGGAGTAGAAGAATTCCAGCAATTCCTCTATTACCTGGGAACAGGTCTGTGCATCTCATAAAAATCTCCCAGTAGATTAGGCCTAGTGCATACATATCTACTTGTTTTAGAGCGGATTCGCAATCCCTCAAGTTCACAGCTCCTTCCAGCACTTCAGGGGCCATGTAGCGGATTGTACCAACCTGCAGAAACATGTTGTGACATTCTTACATTAGTTCAGTATTTACAAAATCCTGTCTATTGCCCTTATCTTTAAGTAGAACTACCCCTCCCCATTTATGTTCGCTTTCATTCTCAGGGTGGAATCTCTTGAACAGAAAGCCTTTTCAAGGCCATACTGCCTTGTTCAGGTCTTATTAACCACATTTATAATTACAACTATGCCCATTTTGTTGTGTCCTCATTCCCAATAAAAGTCTTTTGTGGCATGATCTAATAGTTTTGAGAAGTAGCCATAAGTGGAACAGGAGCAAAAGCAATGTTTAGTTAAAAAGTTCAGTATTTCCTTGACCTCAAAATTAATAATAAAGGTTCTCTTATTTCCAGCAGGAGCATAAAGAGCGACAGCTGCATGTAGGGCAGATAGTCTTAGAGATATATTTATTCATTCACACTGAGCAGGTGACAGGATCAGACCATTTCTCCATCTCCATTTGGCAAAAGGAAACCTGAGGAGCTGTTTTTTTAAAAAAAACTTTTGGTGAAATAACGACCTTTTATAGTATTTTATACCATCCCTCCTTTCACTGTAAAAAGTGAAATAGTAAATCTGGTATTCTGGGAACAGCTATCCTTTAGATTGTTATACAGATACAAAATTCAGATTGTACCTTTAAAAAGAAATAAAAACCTTGCATGATATACTGAGGCACTTGGGATCTTTATGTATCTTGAACTAAAAAGCAGGGATTAATTCTCTTTCAATTTCCCCTTTTCAGATTCAGTTATAAATTTTAGTTACTGAACTACCTGTAGAGGGGATTTCAATCTCAGGTTGAACACACAGCCGTTACTGGAGGCGTTGGAAAGGTCTGTTGACATGTGCAAACAAATAATGGGCACAACAGGCTGAATGGTAATGTTTGTAACAAATTTCTTTACTGGTTACTTCCTAACATACGAATCAAGTCCAGGATGTACACCATATACAATCCTTAAGCAAGGTATACAACCTATTTAATTAAATCCAATGCAGATATATTTCTTCCTTTCTTAATACATTCTTGTTTGAGTTCATATATTACTGTATTTTTCGCTCTATAAGATGCACCAGACCACAAGACGCACCTAGTTTTTGCAGGAGGAAAACAAGGAAAAAAATAAAATCTGAATCTCAGAAGCCAGAACAACAAGAGGGATCGCTGCGCAGTGAAAGCAGCAATCCCTCTTGCTGTTCTGGCTTCTGGGACAGCTGCACAGCCTGCATTCACCCCATAAGACGCACACACATTTCCCCTTACTTTTCAGGAGGGAAAAAGTGAGTCTAATAGAGCAAAAAATACAGTACACAGTCCTCGAATGTGGTTAAGGAAAGGTATGTTAGGAAGTAACCAGAAAGGAGAGGCAGACAAACCCGCAGAGCTCTGCCACAAACCAGTCAAGACTATACACATGCATTGTATCAGGGATGAAGGACTTGGCCTCTCTACTCCAAAATATAAGCAAGCAGCAAGCAGGAAATATTTGGGGGCCTTTCTGTGAACATTTTGATTAAAGATCTGTGCTCGAAACAAAGTGTCCCTTAAAAAAACCCCAGCGTCTTCTGCTTCATGATAGTCACATCACGGTAGAGTAGAGAACTCTCATTGGCTCGGGTTCTAACAGGAGTCAAGGAAGCTCATGAAAGAAAAAAATCCCATCAGCCTCTCTGCTTTGCAATTGCCTGTGACCTCTGGAGAGCCGGGGACCAGCTGAACAATGTGGGCTGAGATGTGATCATTGTGTGTGTGTGTGTGAGACAGAGAGAGAGAGAGAGAGAGAGAGAGAAAGAAAGAAAGAAAGAAAGGAAAAGAAAAGAAACTATCCTTGTTAACTTATTTTTGGATCCAAGTCTCATATTCAGTTAAGAAGAAGAGGAGTTTGGACTTGATATCCTGCCTTTCAGTCCCTTTAAGGCAGGAATGTCCATCTTGAGGGCCTAATCTGGCCCGCCAGTCAGTTTAATCTGGCGCCTGTGGCAGTTTATTTCCTGGGGTAAAAAAAACCTCAAGAACTTCAATCCTAAATAAAGGTCAACAACTTTGGTTGGCCCCCACGGCCCTTCACTTCATCAAATCTGGCCCTCTTTGAAAAAAGTTTGGACACCACTGTTTTAAGGACTTTTAAAGTGGCTAACAACCTCCTTTTCCCTTCCTCCCCCACAACAAACACTCTGTGAGGTGAGTGAGGCTGAGAGACTTCAGAGAAGTATGACTAGCCCAAGGTCACCCAGCAGCTGCATGTGGAGGAGCGGGGAAGCGAACCCGGTTCACCAGATTACGAGTCCACCGCTCTTAACCACTACACCACGCTGGCTCTCTGTTACTGTTTCTCGCCCTGCATCCCCTCCTCATGTCCTGTTCCACACTGTCTCAGAAGCCCACTCCCAACGGCTGGAGATGCTTTGTTGGGATGGAGGGGAGGAGAATCAGGTTGCTGCAGGGGAGAGTTGATGGGAAACTTTCCTTCCATGAACTTCCTTAAGATCTTAGAAGAGGTTTCTGAAGGGAATCCTTCTGTTGTGCATAATTTAACCGTGTCCAACCATTGTATTCTCTTTCCATACTTACCTCACTGATTGCAGCATTGTCCTCCTCACCTGGGCGCACTAGTCTATTTCCTGTTAGCTTCATGGAGAGTCCAAAATCACTAATAACACATGTTCCATCATTCTTCACCAATACATTACGGCTGTTCAAATCCCGGTGGGAGATGGCAGGTTTGTAGTGATCTGTTTGGACATTTGAAAACCCTGCTTTAGGATTTCTAATTGTTTCTGTCCATATACTATGAAATGATTGCTATGCTATACTATTCTGAATCTAAGAATCTGTTCTATAATCATGGATGTTTTTAAAAAGCAACAAACTGTGCAAACTTCAGAATAAATATCTATGCCAGTACTAAAATAATATATTATTAGACTTTTTTGTTTTACAGAACAAGTATGTCTCTGTCAGTGGAAGAAAAAAGAGGTAATTTCCAAATATTCTTTCTCCCCCCAGCAGCCCATGGGTACCCCTAAATTTGCTAAAAATGGTTGGGGGACTCTTGAGAAAAATTCAGAGGGACATGGAGGGGCTACAGAGGGGAAAGGGGAATCACCAATAGCTGCCTCCCTCAGCTTTCTGCTGATAGACTGCCAGTGCTCCAAAGAATGTGTGGCGGAGGCAGGGGGTCAGGAGGCCAGTGATTTATGGGGATTGATGCTGGGTGTCAGGCAGGAGCCAGACCAGGTGGAGGAGGAAGAATCAAGGCAGTCCGAGATGGAGGGAGATGCGCAGGTTGTGGTGGAGGAAGAAGGGATAGCTCAGGCGAGGGACAGGTCAGTGGATTCCCAACATTCCCCTGCCCCACTGTCTCCTAGAACCAGGTGGGGCTTGAAAAGGGATGAGTAGTGATGATGTTCATGCAGGAGATGTTTCAGGTTGTGGTCATGCAACCCGTCAGAGGAGGGTATATAAGCCGGCGGAGGGGCAGGGGCCCACTGTTCTACAGGACCCAGACCTGTGGACAGCTGCCTAGAGGCTAGACATTGTAGTAAGTATTTCTCTTGCAGACAAAGTACAAACTATCAGATATGTGCTTCTTTACCTGGGGCAGGCCATGACAACAGATTATTTTGATCAGCAGATGTATACTGTTAGATACAACCAAATAGCATAGAAAAATATGGCAAAAATAGTGTCTCTTCTTTCTCCCCATGCACAAAGACGAGACATATATCATATAATTGTAGAGTTGGAAGGAATCCTGAGGGTCATCTAGTCCAACCCCCTGCAATGCAGGAATCTTTTGCCCAACGAAGGGATTGAATCCACAACCCTGAGATTAAGAGTATCATGCTCTACCAACTGAGCTATCATTCCTCCTTGTTCTGATTCATAATATCTGGTTGCCTGAGTCAGAGACATTGAGTAATTCTGTAATTTTTGTACCTGCTCTTATTTGGTATTTCTGTTCAATTTTTTTTTTCTAAAAGCAGCCTTCAAAGTTACTGTGGGGTAAGAAATAACTCAAAAAATCTTAGTTCCGTATATTTTTATTTGCGGTCAATTTCTCAGGCCATTTTTCTCAGGCTTTGTGCTACTTTTTCAATCATACATTGCTCAGCATGCATTGAGAGTATACTGTTACTGGAGCCATTTGTCAGCTGAAGAGAAGGGTAAAAATAATTTAAGTGTGCAAGCAAATAAAGCATGATGTATTTTAAATCAAGTGCCAAAATTAAGACACCTCATCATAGTTACTAATTATTTAAGAAGGCTCCAAATGAACTTACTTAAAGCACAATGGGCACAAAAAAAGTGTATAGAAGAGTTGCTTATTTCTAATGGCAGAAATATTTGCATCACCAAAAAATAAAAATCTGTAAAAATCCTTTGATTCTGTTATCAAACAGAAAATCCTAAATTATCTTTATGGAAAGTAGCAGACCCCTGGCCTTACCTCCTCGAGGCAACTCTGTGTGGAGATATGCCAGACCTCGAGTTATAGTGTGTGCCAAACGACATGAGTTCACCCAGTCACTAGTATGAAGACTCAAATACCTGCACAAAGAGCCCTGGAAAGGGAATAAACACAGTGCATGTTGTTAGGGTCATCAGTCCCTTGTAGAGACTTTTAATCAACACTTATTTCCAATACTCCATTTCAAAATTTGTGGACCTAGGTTATTGCTTTTATTAACAGGAAGAGAGGTGCTAGTTTGTTTGTGGCTACTGTTGACATCACCTTGCCAACAAAGGTCTGTATAGTTAAAGCCATGGTTTTCCCAGTAGTGATGTATGGAAGTGAGAGCTGGACCATAAAGAAGGCTGATCGCCAAAGAATTGATGCTTTTGAATTCTGGTGCTGGAGGAGACTCTTGAGAGTCCCATGGACTGCAATAAGATCAAACACATCCATTCTGAAGGAAATCAGCCCTGAGTGCTCACTGGAAGGACAGATCCTGAAGCTGAGGCTCCAATACTTTGGCCACCTCATGAGAAGAGAAGACTCCCTGGAAAAGACCCTGATGTTGGGAAAGATGGAGGGCACAAGGAGAAGGGGACAACAAAGGGAGAGATGGTTGGACAGTGTTCTCAAAGCTACAAACATGAGTCTGACCAAACTGCGGGAGGCAGTGGAAGACAGGAATGCCTGGTGTGCTCTGGTCCATGGGGTCAAGAAGAGTCGGACACGACTAAACAACTAAACAACAACAACAACTGTTGGCTTTATCTAAAAATGACACTCATGTCCACCAGATGTGCTTCATGATGGCAAAAGAAATGGTATTTTCTGAGGCAGCTTTAATCAAACGACTTAACCACATTTCACAATTGTTCACTTATATGAGAAAAGGAAAGAGACTTCTGGGGACATCCCAGGCTCCAGTGACACAACCATTCATGGTTAAACATGCTCCTATTTGTAAAGCCCTTTATTAGGTTCTGGGATGCGGGTGGCGCTGTGGGTTAAACCACAGAGCCTAGGACTTGCCAATCAGAAGGTCAGCAGTTTGAATCCCCGCAACGGGGTGAGCTCCCGTTTCTCGGTCCCTGTTCCCGTCAACCTAGCAGTTCGAAAGCACATCCAGACTTTTGTCTGGAAATGGCCTCAGTGATCATGTTGTAGCTGCACTTACTGCACAATAAATTTGTGGTTGTCAACCTGCCCTTGGATTGAATTTAACTATTCATATTCTAAGCAGAAGGGACGCGGATGGCGCTGTGGGTTAAACCACAAAGCCTAGGACTTGCCGATCAGAAGGTCGGCAGTTTGAATCCCCGCGACGGGGTGAGCTCCCGTTGCTCAGTCTCTGCTCCTGCCAACCTAGCAGTTCGAAAGCACATCAAAGTGCAAGTAGATAAATAGGTACCACTCCGGCAGGAAGGTAAACGGCGTTTCCGTGCGCTACTCTGGTTCGCCAGAAGCGGCTTAGTCATGCTGGCCACATGACCCAGAAGCTGTACTCCGGCTCCCTCGGCCAGTAAAGCGAGATGAGCGCTGCAACCCCAGAGTCAGTCACGACTGGACCTAATGGTCAGGGGTCCCTTTACCTTTACCTTTATATTAAGTTCAAATTCTTGTTCTAGATTCAGATTGTGAGGCCAGAATGTGACAGAACCTTTCATGTGTATATAATGCAGCTCCTGGCATTTTCTTCTTTAATATCATGGGAGGAGTAGTTCCACCCTTTGGGTGTGGAAGCTGTTGCAGTGGACTGACTGTGAGCAACATCATGGGAGGGGTGTTTCTAGGACTAAGGTGAAATTATGAAGCTCCCTTCTTATTTTTGCTGTTAGATTCTGCATGTTCTTTAAATAGTCTTGTTAAATTTGTAGTACTGGAATGTGGGAGGTTTTTTGTATATCATTATCTTTGCTATCGTTTTGCTATGTTCTTATGAAATTGCTGCTACGTTATTGTATTGCTATGTTATTGTGAAAATGTTTTTGTAGCATTTGTTTGAAATGCATCCGTTTCCTTGTTGTAAGCTGCTTTAAGCCTGATTTTGTGTGTTTAAAAGGAGCATACAAATAAAACGAATGAATGAACCTGACCTGTTGTTACTAAAAATACAATAATGTGAAATCCCCACAGAATATTTTTACATTAATTGCAACTTAAATCAATTTTCTATCTTCCCAAAGGTGTATAAAGTAACTCTCTTTAAATTATTACTTACATTGGGATAATATTCCATCACTAGTAAGTATTCCATCCGTCCATCTGCAGTGAATCTCTCATCTCCCACAATGAATCGGGCAATGTTGTCGTGTTCCATAAGTGGGATTCTGTATATATTTCTCTCATTGATAAAGTTTTGACGATTAGTGAAAGAAAATACTTTTACAGCCACTGGACGCTCATCTAAGGAACCTTTGTAAACTGCTCCATATCGCCCTCGACCAATAAGCTGTGAAATTTAAAAAAGTAACCATTTGATGAACTTCACATTAATACGATATACATTTTGGCAACAGTCCAGTGCACAGTTCACTTAAATTTGTTGATTTCAGTGAGCATGAGCACTGAGTTTTGTCCATGGATTTGGGCCTTTCAACTGCAGTGCTATATTTCACTCTGACATGAACTAGAGCATATAGTTCATCTTAGTATCTAAAGAAACATATGTACAAGTGGAAATTGTTGTTACTTAAAAAAGAAGAAGAGGAAGAACCCAATAACAGGATTCAAAGACATGGCTCATGTTAAGCTTGGCTTTATGAGGCACGGCTTTGTTAAATTAAAATAGAAATGGGGCTTCATGCATGCAGATCATCACAAACTTGTGAATATAGCAACCACAAAAATATTAATTTTGTCTTTCTAAACACCAGCTGAGAATACAAGCAGTTTTATTTATGAAGAAATCCTCGAGTGATAATGTTATAGGACAAAGAGATCTTAAGATGAAGGTCAGTATATTGAATGAATGAATGAATAGCCCCTTTATCATGACCTAGTTGTCAGGTACAAAAAAGTAGCATCTAGCTAAATGATTATCAGTGTGGTTGCAAAAATCCTTAAATACTAACTTGTATGTATGTAAAGTAAGCATTAACATCTTGTACTAAATTGATCAGGTGATTCATAATTCATGCGAAGAGTAAAGACCTAGAAACTCCAAATGGCATAGTTACCTCCAGTAGCTTCAGATTATCAAGATCTAACGAGGGTTCGGATGATGCTGCTTCCATCATGTCTATACTGTGCATACCTTGTTTATGATCCCCTGATGAAAGAAGAACCAGGAAAAAAAGTTTGTGTTACACCTCAAAATGTCTGAGGTCTTGACAATGTCTTGGCAACGGACAAACCTATCCAGGAGACACCTTGCAAGCAACTTAAAGAGTTAGACAAAGAGGCAGTTTTAGAAGAACCAATATTAGTACGGCCAATGGGTGCCAGCTATGGAGTTTTGCACATTACTTTCCCTATGCCAAGGTTAATCGGGACAGCTAACATGCTGTGTTCCTCAAGATCTTATCTGCAAAATCCCACCGCATGTACTGTGTTAAAGGAAAATATAACGAAAATGATGTACTGATGGTATTTGACTCCTGTAAAATTAGCAAAGATATATCATAACTGTGACAATCTATGTTGGAAATGTAAAGAAAAGGAAGGAACCTTTTATCATATGTGGTGGACCTGTCCCAAGGTGAAAGACTTATGGGAAAAGGTTTATGATGAATTGAAAAAAATGTTGAAATATACATTTATAAAGAAACCAGAGGCCTTTTTTCTTGGAATAACAGGTCTGGAATTGCCCAAGAAAGATGTTAAATTATTTTTGTATGCCACAACTGCTGCTCGTATTTTGTTAGCTAAAAAGTGGAAAACCCAAGAATTACCAACGATAGAAGAATGGCAGATGATGGATTTTTCGGAGCTAGCCGACCTAACCGGAAGAGTCTGCGACCAGAAGGAGGAGGAGTACCAGGAAGAATGGATTAAATTTAATGATTACTTAGTTAAATATGTCAAGTTAAATTAACTGAAAACAGCTTGCAGATACTTAATTGGCTTAGGATTTTATTTATGTTAAGTGATGAATTAATATGTTTAATTTCATAATGTGAAGATCTAAGGATGATAATGTTTAAGTTAAATTTTATAAGAACTGTGATTTGAAAAGGATATGCAATGGAATTCAACCAAGGGGAAGCGAGGAAGTCACTTAACAATGTTAATAAGTGTAATTTTCAATAAGGCTATGATTTAAGTTTGTTTGTCTTATGTGTTTGCTTGTTTATAATGTTGTGAAAACCAATAACATTTTTTTTGGGGGGGGGGAGATATTATCTGCAAAATCTAAAACACCTTGTCACATGCATCCCCTTTATTATGGTTTTCTTGTTACTATCAACTGCCACCAAAAAGCTCCAATAGTTGTGTAGCACCTCTCTGAAAAATAGAGAAGGTGCATGTGACAGGCCCTCTAGACATTAAAGTTTAGATATTTGCTTTGGGAACATGGCCCTCACAGGGAAAAGGGAATGGACTGAATGTTACTGAAGCTGGCAGCAAATTACTGCCTGCATTCTGATCTCTGGGTAGGCTATGGGGACGTTTTGTTTTAATGCGTTTTATATTTAAAAAACTGGATTGCCAAACAAAAGAGTAAGCAACTCGGGAATGATCATGATAAGAAAAACAAAAGATGAAAATTAAGAACACACTCATCAAAGCTTACCTCCAAATATTCTGTATCCAAAGAAAAAGGCAACCACCAGAACAGCCAATACAGATACTGATGCCAGAGCAATGACAATTGTCTCATCTCGGCGAAGTGAATATGATGAATCTGAAAGAAAGAAAACTATGTATTATGGCTTCTTCATACAAGGCATGTTTCTCAGAAAGAATTAGGATACCCAGTAGAAAGCAAATGAGACTGAAGTATTACTCTGGTGATTATATCACATACCCCTATTTTTTTTATTTAATGTTAAAATCGCTTCAATTAAAGATAAGGATCTAGCTGTTAATCATTTTAGTAAGTCCAATAGCTCTTTCTGAAGATACACAAGGTAAACAACATTGCTCTTTGGAATACTATTTTTAGATGCTGACAAAACTACGGTCTTCAGAAAAGGCAACCTGCCAACTTGTTGCAAGCCTACTGTGGGAAGGTAAAAAAATAAATAAGTGAAAGACTTTTGAGAAATTAAAACTGGATTTCAGTTTTTCGTTATGAATCAGCTTTCACTCAACAGATCAGAACAAAACAGAAAGAAATACATGCAAGTGTTTTACCAGAGCTCCTTTTATTGAGATGCACCATCGTCTTGCCTGGCTTTGATATTTGCTACTGTCTTTTGATGTGGACAGGCTTTGATCATCGTAGCTGACAGCTATCTTATATGGTCTTTTTGTTTTGATAGTTCTAGATCAAGCCATAGGCCCATCTAGTCCAGCACTCTATCCTCACAGTCACCCATGGGAAGCCCAGAACCATTACCCAAGTGCAACAGCAGTCCCCCTCCCCTCTTGCCATTCCCAGGAACTGACATTCAGAAGCATAATGTCTTGGGCAGTGGAGGTAAAACCTTCCTCCATTAATTGCATGCAGAACATCACATCACCATGTTTTCTCAATGTCGTTTCCCATGAAATAGCTGATATTGGTTCCTTGGCGTCAATAAGACTCTTCAGATGCTAATAAAAGGCTTGCATTTTCTTTTCTTTTTAAAAATAATTTTTATTAAAGATCCTGAATGGCGTAACTGTGCCACCGAAGGACCAGGAGCCTGGGAGTCATTTTGGACTCACAGCTGTCCATGGAGGCGCAGGTCAATTCTGTGTCCAGGGCAGCTGTCTACCAGCTCCATCTGGTACGCAGGCTGAGACCCTACCTGCCCGTGGACTGTCTTGCCAGAGTGGTGCATGCTCTGGTTATCTCCTGCTTGGACTACTGCAATGTGCTCTACGTGGGGCTACCTTTGAAGGTGACCCGGAAACTACAACTAATCCAGAACGTGGCAGCTAGACTGGTGACTGGGGGCGGCCGCCGAGACCACATAACACCAGTCTTGAAAGACCTACATTGGCTCCCAGTATGTTTCCAAGCACAATTCAAAGTGTTGGTGTTGACCTTTAAAGCCCTAAACGGCCTCAGCCCAGTATACCTGAAGGAGCGTCTCCACCCCCATCGTTCTGCCCGGACGCTGAGGTTCCCTCATTGCGAGAAGCAAGGCTACAGGGAACCAGGCAGAGGGCCTTCTCAGTAGTGGCGCCCGCCCTGTGGAATGCCCTCCCATCAGATATCAAAGCAATAAACAACTACCTGACATTCAGAAGACATCTTAAGGCAGCCCTGTTCAGGGAAGTTTTTAATGTGCGACATTTTAGTGTATTTTTGGTCTCTGTGGAAGCCACCCAGAGTACCCAGATGGGCGGGGTACAAATAATATATTATTATTATTATTATTATTATTATTATTATTATTATTATTATTTTCTTAGCTCACAAAAGTATGTGCCTTTTCTGTCCACAGAGCTGGCCCCAGAGCTACCACCTATCCCCCCCCCATTCCAAATAGCTATTAGCTACTTCTATTTGCCAACATCTTTCCATACCCAACAGCTTCAGCTTCGTGTAGACTAACTGAAATGTTCAGAGCTAATCATGATGCAGTTCTTTTTCAGTTATCTTAAATCCTAAATTGACAAGAGAAGGACTACAAAGATGACTGTTCATCTTGCTGACTTCTCCTCTTGGTCACAGGGCAGTAATTTGAAATTATTTCAGGGGTTAAACAAAGTCCACAGCCAGTCTCTAGCTGGATGACCTTCACATAAAATAACACACTGGTATAAAGCTGCTCTGTAAAACAATGCTCCTAGTTGTTAACTTGGTTTGAATTATGCTTGGATTAGGCACACTGTAAGGCTATTTGTGTCTTCATATTTGTTAGAACCTCACGAAGGAGGAAAATTATAGTATATTGGGCTTTAAGAATGTTTCCTAGTAAATTCAGATTATGACTTAGAGAGAAAAATGAAGTTTAAAATCAGTTCTAATCCTGCCATTGTCCAAGATTCTGCAGCAATAAGATGATTTTCTAGTTACAGAATAAAACTAACTGATCTTTTCATTGCAATTTTATTTCTGATTCAGAACTAATAAGGTAGTTGGGCAAAGCATAATGACCAACAGAAGCTTTGTGTTTAGTTTAATTCTAATTGTTTTTGCACTGCAGTTGCAATTCATTTGTTAGTACGTTAAGATGCTCAAGGAAGAATAATCATTCGGGCTAAAATCCCTAATGCAAAAGAATTTTGTTTCCACATTAGTTTATTCTGACTGCGATTATAATGAAGCAGGTTTATTTTTATTTACAGCATGTTCTAGAATACCGTTTACAAATATTAGTTTAGATAAACGTGTATATGAAATATTATGTTCACTCCACTGCCTTTGTTTCCATCCGCCAGTTTCTTTCTCCAGGACAATAGCTCCACCCTGCCTGCCTCAATTCCCTCTCACTAGCTGGAGGAGACTCTTGAAAGTCCCATGGACTGCAAGAAGATCAAACCGATCCATTCTGAAGGAAATCAGCCCTGAGTGCTCACTGGAAGGACAGATCCTGAAGCTGAGGCTCCAACACTTTGGCCACCTCATGAGAAGAGAAGACTCCCTGGAAAAGACCCTGATGTTGGGAAAGATGGAGGGCACAAGGAGAAGGGGATGCAGAGGGCGAGATGGTTGGACAGCGTTCTCGAAGCTACCAGCATGAGTTTGACCAAACTGCAGGAGGCAGTGGAAGACAGGAGTGCCTGGCGTGCTCTGGTCCATGGGGTCACGAAGAGTTGGACACGACTAAACGACTAAACAACAACAAGACCACAACGTCTTCTCTATTCCTCAGGTTCTGAACCTACGGAAGGGTTGTAATACCTTACCCCCTCACCCACCCCATATCCTCTTGCACCCAAAGGACAATGATCTCTTTCCACAACCCAGTCTCTCTCTCTCTCTCTCTCTCTCTCTCTCTCACACACACACACACACACACACACTTAAAACACCCCTGCCAGAAAAGGCCTCCCTCATCGCCAGGGAGAATTGGGGGGAAGAGAGTTCCCTGCCCCCAATCTGGCCATGGCAGTGTACATGCCTCCCAAAGTGCCCCTTTGGGATCCTGCTTCTGAGTCTTGGCTCAGTTGGGGGTACCTCTTGCACTGTCTAGCAGCTGAGACTGTTGTTGCAGTGTGACCGACCAGTACAAATATTATACTGTATAGCAAGTCAATATTCAAAAAGTGATAAGGAGTCATTTTCTCTTGTCTATGCTGAAAATTTGCATTTCTTCACCACTGTGCCATACCAATCCAGCAATTATTCAGTGGCAGTAATTTTACAAGTAGGGTTGTCACTCCATTATAGCGGGACAAGAGACTGTATCAAATGTGCTGTCCTATTTGAACTATGGCAGAGGCAGATTACCCAACAGGCCTCAAATTTTAAACTCCTGTTACCTTAATTGCTGTGCTACATAATGTACTGTACATAATCTTCTCCCCTAACATCCTTGGTTCATAGTCTTGATCATGGCGATTAAGTATGCTATTAAAGAGTTCTGGAGGCCTCCTGCCCTTCCTCTTTTTAGCCACTTCCCTGCAGAAATAAAACTTCATCAGAAATCTTGAAGCACTTCCAGCACCTAAACCCCAAATGTATTACTTCTACAAGCATATATAACAATAAAATAAAATAAAATAATTTCATGGATGCTCTATCCATCTCCTCTGCTGCATTTTGGAGTATTGAGCCCAGGCCTCCCCACCCCCAGTAATATAGTTTATTGCTATCATTATCATACCTTTAAACTAAATGCAGAGTACTATGCGTCTGCTCCCTTAATATTTCAACTGTGGTTTACCTTCAGATTCTTAAATGAGTGATTAAATAAATTACAGCCAGCGCAAACTACTGATAAGTGTTTAACAAATGTCAAGAGGGGGGGAAATCAACTAGCTGGCTTGCAAATGCTACATTACTTCTACAACGTATTACATGAATAGTGTTCTACTACATATTGTTCGGGAGGGGGGCATGCAGGGCCCACACTGTGCTCACGTGTTCCAGTATAGGTAAAGGTAAAGGGACCCCTGACCATTAGGTCCAGTCGTGGCCGACTCTGGGGTTGCGGCGCTCATCTTGCTTTATTGGCCAAGGGAACTGGCGTACAGCTTCCGGGTCATGTGGCCAGCATGACTAAGCCGCTTCTGGCGAACCAGAGCAGCGCACGGAAACGCCGTTTATCTTCCCGCTGGAGTGGTACCTATTTATCTACTTGCATTGGCGTGCTTTCGAACTGCTAGGTGGGCAGGAGCTGGGACTGAGCAACGGGAGCTCACCCCGTTGCGGGGATTCAAACCGCCGACCTTCTGATCGGCAAGCCCTAGGCTCTGTGGTTTAACCCACAGCGCCACCCGTTCCAGTACAGTGGTGCCTCGCAAGACGAAATTAATCCGTTCCGCGAGTGTCTTCGTCTAGCGGTTTTTTCGTCTTGCAAAGCAACCCTATTAGCGGCTTAGCGGATTAGCGCTATTAGCGGTTTAGCGGCTATTAAAGGCTTATCGGCTTAGCGGATTAGCTGCTAAAAGGCTATTAGCGGATTAGCGGCTTAGAAAAAGGGGGGGGGAAGCGGAAAAAAATCTCAAGACTCGCAAGATATTTTCGTCTTGCGAAGCAAGCCCATAGGGAAATTCGTCCTGCGAAGCAACTCAAAAACGGAAAACCCTTTCGTCTAGCGGGTTTTCCGTCTTGCGAGGCATTCGTCTTGCGGGGCACCACTGTATAAGCTTTAAGCAAATATCTCCTCAAAAATCTACAATGAATGAAAAACCGCTTGCTGTTCCTGCTTAGTTCTGTTTGCACGCATACTTAAACATACTCACCCACACTGGCAGAGGAATGGGGGGGAGAGACCGCCGCCAGGACCATCGGGGAGGGGGGCACCATCGCGACAGCCCTGATACGTGCTGTGCACCCCCCCACCGCGTGGCACATCCCGCCCCCAGGACACACACCACGCCCCCGGGATGCACGCCAGCCACGCCCCCGCCTGCACTCCACCCCTGGTGCCAGAGCATGCAGCTTCGCCACTGCTCATGCATCAAGGGATGCCAGAACTGTACACATCTCCCCCTGCCAAAAAACAACAACCTGCTCTGAGCAGAGAAGATGCACTCTATTTGTGAATTATTGTAGTGGTGGTTGAAGCAGGTACCTTTTCTCCTATGCAGCAGATGGGGAGAAGCATCCCTCCACCATTTTGTGGTCCTGACGCTTTTTCTGCTCTTTTAGATATGGCAGTCATTTTGCGTTACGCCACACCCCCACTTCAGCCCAGCCATTTTGTCAATGGCTTCCTTGGCAATTTTTGTAAACTCCAAATGTACCCAGTGGCCCCAAAAGGTTGGCAACCCCTGTTCTGTCTATCAGTGAATCTCTGCCTTTGGTTGGACGGGATTTAAATCAACATGAGTGAGTTTTTGTGCGGCCAAGAAGGAAGTCTACATTTGATACTAGTTCTACTTGTCACCCACCAGCCCAGGGGAAAAGTGATGAGATTTTTTAAAATCTCAGCTGGACAATAAAGGCATGGAGGGAGAAAGATAGCAGGATAGGTTGAAGCAATAAAATTAAAAAGGCAGGATAGGAAACATTAACCCAAAACCCCTTGTCTGAAATGACATGTGGAATAAAACTAACCCTGCGCAATTTCGTAGAATTAAAGTATCAGAATAGGAAGTCATAAGGAGCAATTTGGGGTCATATTCATAACTACCTGGGGCATGGAATTATTTTTATTGTTTTCTTAAACACATAGACGTACATGTAAAATCACTGAGAGTGTTTATAGCTCTACTGTGAGTGAAATAAGTATCCTTTTGTATTGAAGAATTAATTCTGAATACAACAGAAGTACCACAGGAAAAAGGGAGTTATCTGACAGGCTGTGACTGCGAGTTCTGGAAATGGTTCTGAGATGTTACCGACAAAAGGATGTTGAAAAAAGCAAAGTGATGTTGTATATTTTGCATCAGATGAGTGTTGCATAGCAACCTAAGTGGCTACTTCTTTGATAAATGACAATGGTTTAGACTCAGTTTCCAAGTCCTTTCGTTAGAAGCTCATGTTGAATTTGTTCCTGGGGCAGAGCAGCCCAAAATGGTGCTAGGAAGCACTACTTTTGCTACACTAGCTTCAGGATCAGGCCTCTTGGGCAAAGCTATGGCCAGATCCAAAACCATATGTTGTGTTTTTGTACTGCCTTGTTGGCTCTTCGAATGGAAGTCTGTGTGTACGGGAATGACTTAATTAGCTCCTCTGCAATCTAATTCTGACAAAACTAGGGAGGTTATCTGGATTTAGAACATCTGAGATTCACCCTAAGACTTCATTTGCTTCTGTGTCATGTTTTATGAAACTAGATTGCAATCAAAATGAAGAGTATTCACATACGAAGAGGTACCAGTTTATCACAGTTTTAATAATGCTAAGCAGTGCAACATTTAGTTTAATTAAATCCAGTTTCTCAAACCATTACCCCATACTTATGACTGAGCTTCTTCCAAAGTCAGATTATAGTTGCATTCTGGGACACCTGGTGGCACTTCGTCTCACTATAATCCAAGCTAATTGCAGCTATTTTTAATTAAGTGCAGTTTATTATTAAGCAGAACATCAAGTAAAGAGGACTATATGCAATACAATAAATTGAGATGCCGAAAAAAACAGACTCACTAAATTATTTGAAATGCTTACACACTGTGAAGTATTTGCTCGTTTCTCGCACTTTCATTTCAACGGGTTTAGCTAATACCGTATTTTTTGCTCTATAAGACTCACTTTTTCCCTCCTAAAAAGTAAGGGGAAATGTGTGTGCATCTTATGGAGCGAATGCAGGCTGCACAGCTATCCCAGAAGCCAGAACAGCAAGAGGGATTGCTGCTTTCGCTGCGCAGCGATCCCTCTTGCTGTTCTGGCTTCTGAGATTCAGAATATTTATTTTCTTGTTTTCCTCCTCCAAAAACTAGGTGCGTCTTGTGGTCTGGTGCGTCTTATAGAGCGAAAAATACGGTATATCAGCTGCAACTTTGTGCGTCTTCAGGAAAGGTTACTACCATGTCTACAAAAAAGTTGTTACTCTCACACATGGAGCTACAGAAATCATACCGAAATGATTCACATGTAATGCTAAATCATGCTTTGGTGCTACAGGAGCCTTGCACTCATGCTCTTCTCTTCTTTCATACTCTGCTTCAACCAGTTTGCCAACACACTTGGAACCAGCAAGCCATGGTCTGCGCTTCCCCCAGCAAACCAAATGACAAAACGGCTTCAAACCATGGTTTGAAATTCTAGTTTGGAGAGTAAACACAAGCCACATTGGTCATGCTGGCTGGGACAGATGGGAACTGATGTCCAGCAAGATCTGGAGGGCACCACATGGGTTATCGTTGGGTTAGTGTCTAGAAACCTTAGATTCTGTTTGCTGTTTGGAACAAACTCCAATTTCTGTCACATTTTATTATGGGAAGCTACTGTTTGTTCCAAGCAGTAAATTGACGTTCTCAGCCTTCCTCTCTTTGTGTACAAAGGAGAGAAGGGGAAGGGTTAGTGGGGAATGTGCAAGCCCAAAGGCTTGTGCCAGTTCACTGTCGTAACATTAATTCTTCATTTAGCATTATGCCTTGATCTCATGCAATAGTCTGATATTCCTTAAGGAACTATAGATATTTGGATACAAAGACGATACGTTATACTATACCAAATTTACTGTAATCCTGTTGTAAAGTGTTTTATGGCACTGCTGATTTAACACTGAACTTAATTTGCATTATTTTGAACTAATAGTTATATCATATGGCTGAAAATTTGGTCAGCAAACTTAAGTCTACCCTAATATATTAAGAATGGTGTTGCTTCAAGTACAAATGACCTATTCCATAACAACTTTTCTCACTGCAAAATAATCACAATCAAAATGTAACATCTATGAAGATTTTTCCAAGCAAGGTGTTAAGATTCCTGCTCATAGGTGTTTCCTGTACAATTTGTGTGGATTTTGCCTTATTCTACAGAGGGGGAAATGCTCATTTGAAATTGACCCAAGATTTTTTTAGTTCAAAATGCTGTAACTTCTTTTTAAAATTGTGGCAACAAGTTCTCTTGTTTTGGTTTTCAGTCACAGGATCTGCCTACTGCTAGGCACATGCCAGAAGGTATAAAACAATATTCATTATCAAAGCAGCCTTTTCCTAGCTCTAAGCTTAAGTCTAAGCCTAAGTAATGAAATTTCCTGGTGATGCAACTGCTTGGGAAGAAGAGTTTGTGGAATAGTACTGTATGCGGGTGGCACTGTGGGTTAAACCACAGAGCCTAGGACTTGCCGATCAGAAGGTCGGCGGTTCGAATCCCCAAGACGGGGTGAGCTCCTGTTGCTCGGTCCCTGCTCCTGCCAACCTAGCAGTTTGAAAGCACGCCAAAGTGCAAGTAGATAAATAGGTACCGCTATGGCGGGAAGGTAAACGACATTTCCGTGCGCTGCTCTGGTTTCACCAGAAGCGGCTTAGTCATGCTGGCCACATGACCCAGAAGCTATACGCCGGCTCCCTCGGCCAATAAAGCGAGATGAGCGCCGCAACCCCAGAGTCGTCCACGACTGGACCTAATGGTCAGGGGTCCCTTTACCTTACTGTACGCGGGTGGCGCTGTGGGTTAAACCACAGAGCCTAGGACTTGCCGATCAGAAGCTTGGCAGTTTGAATCCCCAAGATGGGGTGAGCTCCCGTTGCTCGGTCCCTGCTCCTGCCAACCTAGCAGTTTGAAAGCACGTCAAAGTGCAAGTAGATAAATAGGTACCGCTATGGCGGGAAGGTAAATGGTGTTTCCGTGCACTGCTCTGGTTCGCCAGAAGCAGCTTATGCTGGCCACATGCCCTGGAAGCTGTACGCCGGCTCCCTCGGCCAATAAAGCGAGATGAGCGTCGCAACCCCAGAGTCGGCCACGACTGGACCTAACGGTCAGGGGTCCCTTTACCTTTTTTAGTCTGAATATAGGCCACCCCCCACTAAAAAAAGGAGGCTTGTATAAAATCTGAGAGCAGCTGATAACTGCGCTCTTACAGGTAGAGAAGCTGTGATTTAAGATGAGACCTTGGATGGAACTTATACTTGAAACTCTATCCTTCAGTAGTTTTGTAAAAGGATCACTTGCTCCACTCAACAGGTGGTGCTGGAAGCCTGACATGTAGAAGAACCAAGGGGTTCCACAGGTTCTCTAAATTGCAAAAGCACTAGATGGTGCCCAAGATTTATGGTATATATGCAGTACATTCCTTTCAAAGAGACCTCATATTAGGGGTTCAGTATATATTCTAGGGCAGGCTTCCTCAACCTTGGCCCTCCAGATGTTTTGAGACTACAATTCCCATCATCCCTGACCACTGGTCCTGCTAGTTAGGGATCATGGGAGTTGTAGGCCAAAAACATCTGGAGGGCCGAGGTTGAGGAAGCCTGTTCTACGGCAGCTTATATTCAGACCTGTACAGTAATTCTTCTAGTAAGGCTTGGTGGTGTGGTAATCATATGTTCTCTGACATTTTACAAATTTAAAAACAGAGACACCCATGAGCGGGACTAGGGGTTGAGGCCTGGTGGCTTACTAGAGGCAGAACAAAACAGACTGTGATATGTGCCACAATAAGACTTAGTGATGTGCATTCTAAACAGGCAACTCCAGATAGCATAATCACAGCATAAAAAACATTTACACCAGTTCCTGTTGGTCTGGATTAAATCATCAGTCCTTCACCCATCGAATTCCAGTTCAGAACCTCCCACTGCCTTCTGGAATCTTATGAAAAGGAGACTTGAGCTGAGGTTACCAGCATCCAGCTTCCAGATAATCTCTCCCACCAGTTTCAATACAATGTTACGCCATAGTCAGTTTTCATATATCACAGAATTGTAGAGTTGCAAGGGACCCCAAGGATCACATATCACAGCCTTGCATGATCTATGAAGCCAAAGGGTTAAGTGGTAGTACCTCAATACAAGTTTCTGGAATCTGAATTCCAGGAAGGCTGCAGCTACTGCAGAATGGCTACAAAACACATGAAGTAGCAAATAAAGATGGTAGCTCAGAGCATACACAGTGCGCCTTTTACTCCTGGAGTAATAATACCCAATTTCCTCTTATCCAATGATAAGGATACCTGCTTGCTTGCACAGCTGCAGATTTTATCCATAGCGCCTCTCAAAATTAAGCACTGCAATGTGAAGTGGCCTCAAATAGTTAATGAGCACGGAAGAAACAAATTACCAAGCCAGCAGCAACTGTCTCCTTTCCATGACGGCAAGATCAGTCAATCATTTTCCATAGTCAGACAGTGCTTTACCGCTAGTCTTGGGGAAGCCTGGAGGCTTCAAGCTAAGCTTCTTCCTTCCAGCTGACCTGTCCTCCAGAGAAGTAAACATTGAGCTACATCTTTCCTGCTGAAAGAGTAGTGAGAAAAGGCAAGGCAAGCCACGTGATGGAACTTTGAGGCACACAGGCACTTAAGACAGATGGGCTTTCTTAAATAGTTGCAGCTCTCCTCCTGGATACGTGCACCAAAGTTAGCCAGAAGGAAATCTGCAAGTACTGCTGCTTAAAAAAACCCCACCACCTCTATATGCATGATTTGAACGCTGATAAGATTTACCGTATTTTTTGCTCTATAAGACTCACTTTTTCCCTCCTAAAAAGTAAGAGGAAATGTGTGTGCATCTTATGGAGCGAATGCAGGCTGCGCAGCGATCCCTCTTCCTGTTCTGGCTTCTGAGATTCAGAATATTTTTTTTTCTTGTTTTCCTCCTCCAAAAACTAGGTGCGTGTTGTGGTTTGGTGCGTCTTACAGAGCGAAAAATACGGTATGTAATTTGTTATACTAAGGAACTGAATGTACCACCCTTTGCCCTTTTGTTGTAAGTTGCTTTCTTTTGTTCAACAGATTTGGAATTTTAAAGGCTGAGCTGTACAGTGGTACCTCGGGTTACATACGCTTCAGGTTACACACTCCGCTAACCCAGAAATAGTGCTTCAGGTTAAGAACTTTGCTTCAGGAGAAGAACAGAAATCTGGCTCTGGCGGTGCGGCGGCAGCAGGAGGCCCCATTAGCTAAAGTGTTGCTTCAGGTTAAGAACAGTTTCAGGTCAAGAACGAACCTCCAGAACAAATTAAGTACTTAACCCGAGGTACCACTGTAGTTGTAAGTTGCTTTCTTTTGTTCAACAGATTTGGAATTTTAAAGGCTGAGCTGTAGTTTGCTTGATCAAGTTAACGTTTCTTAAAATCTGAGTGCGTGTGGATTTTTTATACTCCAAGAGAAAACACACACATTCCTTTGCATGGGCATAGCCGGGGGGGCGGGGTTTGGGGGGCAGCCGCCCCCACAATCAAGCAAATAAATAAAAATATTTAACTAGCCAGCCGATTGCATCGCAGATAACTCGCTTCTGCCCTCTCCCCCAAACATAAAGCTTGATCCCCACTAAAACACATACGCCCATGCATCTCTGAACATTTCATGTGTCTGCATGGTCTTTCACATTTCAGTATGCTGCATATAAAGCATGCTGTGTTCGTCTAAGCCACGGGTGTCAAACACAAGGTCCGCGGGCCGAATCCGGCCCGCCAGACCTCGTCATGTGGCCCGTGTAGCCGCCGCCGGCCGCCAGCCTTCACCTTTTATTCTCGCTTTTTTTCGTTTGACACAAGAAAGCCGCCTCTTCAGCGCATGCGCGGCAGCCTACAAGCCAGAGAACGTCTGCCCTCTAGCGGCGCCGGCCGTTCTACACAGGAAACCTCCACTTTACATGCATTCAGGAAACCTCCACTTGTTTTTATATCGGCCCCCCGATGAATTTATATGAATTTTATATTGGCCCCCGATGAATTTGAGTTTGACACCCCTGGTCTAAGCAGTTAAAACACCCTGGCTTCTCCTGTGTTCATAGAAAGGCAGCTCTGGCAAATTTAAACAGCTCATGGGTGCTTACATGTGATGGCAAGACTTGTAGAAGCAGGCACTTCCTGCATGCAGATCAGACGGGGAGCCGCCGTCTGCCTTTATTGGAGCCTGGGATGTTTCTGTTTACAAATCCTGGAGCCAGGCCGGGGCACTGGCTGGAGGCGTGCCGTCTGCTTCCTTGCTACACTCAGCCTTTGTCTGGTTTTACTGTGTCAAAGAAAGAACAACCCTGCTGTGTTTTCCGCAAAGGATGGTTTCAATACAATGCAACTGCTGGGGCTCCCTCCTTTTTTCACAGCCTCGCTCAGAAAGGTAGTCTACGGATTAGTGAATTTACGCTTTCCCTGTGAAATATGGGGTGGAGGGGAGAGAGCTGGCCTGCCCCCCAAATCATTTAACTCCTAGGCAAGAACACTTGCATTCGTTATTTCATACAAAAGAAAAAGAATCATATTTCAATTGCACCCCTTAGACATACATTATTTTCTTATGCAACAACTGCACTCAAACGACATGCTGTATTTTTACAGCATACAATACTTATATAGAAGCTATCATTTTACCTCTTCCTTGAAAAGTTTTTATTGGTGTCCGGAAGAAACGTTTCAAAGAAAATTCCGTTTCAATTGTTCACTGCGGGTCATGCATTTTTAGCTTCGTTTAACAGATGCACTTCTTAAACTGCCCAAATTTACATAGTGGCTTCGCAATTTAGCGACCGTGAAAAGAAAAAATGAACTGTTACACTGTTAGCCTTGCAAAAGAAGAATGAAGCAAAACTGCCTCTGGTTTTCATAACCTGAACAGTTTTCACAGTCTTTCTGTGTTTTCCACGTGGTTCTTATTATTGTTTTATACAAGTATTTTGTATTTATTTGTATTAATCATAAACATAAATGATATTAAGTAGCAGACCTCTTAAACTTGATAGCATATGGTTCAATATGGAAAATGGCCTAAAGACTATTCAGTATGTGCAGAATTTTTTACAGCCTTCAGGTCATTCTCCATACTGAACTATATACTATCAGGCTTAAGACGTCTGCTACCTAATATTGTTTATTTGTATGAATAATACAAAAAAAAAAAACTTGTATGAAACTATGCTTAAATTATGTCAGCTATACAACCTACCAATTTTATGGAATGGTGGTATGTGAATATCAAATAATCTAGACATATTATTTCAGGTAAGGCTTAAAATAACATTAATAAATCTGTAATTTTTTTAATATTGACTTGATTGGATTAATATTGGAATGCACAACATGATTATACCCTGTCATTCCTAAAAAAGTCATACAAATATTCATTTATTCTTAATCTGAAAGATTTTTTCGTCTTCTAATAATAGCCAAAATCCTATTCTTAAAAAAATCCAAGAACCATAAAACAAGTATCTCACTTCTCATCATTGAGCCAGTGCTAAGAGAAAACACAGCGAATAAAATGGCTCATAGTCTGCTAATACGATCTTGGTTTCTATAGCAACTGAGCAATGTGCCTTTTATTTATGTTTAAATATTATTTGCAAAAACACAAGATGCATTCCAAGAATAGTACAACACAATACTAGTTAGGCATAATCTCTAGGGGGCTAAAAATGTTCAAATTGTGGAAGCTATGGAGAGGTAATGAATTCAAGTCATTGGCAGGAGAATGTAAATAAATGCTTCTTGGGGCCTTTCCAGGGGATTTTTTTCATCATAAAATGTGCATGTGTTACTCAGTTACGATAGGGACACAGGAGTCATTCTTTGGGCTAGTACTTCTGTTGCTGTAATACTACATTTTCCACCTGCAGTTTAAGCCTGACATCTTGTTGCTGGGGTGGAGGGGACATTCTTCTATTAGCTGGCACATCAGCTACAATTGTGCATGCTTTGTTGAGCACGATTGCTGAGTACTGTGAAGTTAGTGCCTGCAACATAATTAGAGATGATGACTAGTTTGCTGCTCTCTCATACTAATGCCAAAGTTGAGCAATTCAGACACAAGCTGCTCCTTTAGCTGTTAAAAGCAGCTTGCCTCTGGAGCAAAGCTGTACTACACCAGTAGCATTTAGACAATCAGATATCAACTTATTAAGCAGATATCTTCCCCAATACACAACTGTTTGACTCCTGCCTTTGTGTAAGTTTCCCCTTGACTATAGTTTTCCTTTTCGCCTGAATGTTAGTTAACAGCTTTGAAACATGCCGCAATATTAAGCTAACTTTAAACTGCAGCTTAATTAATATTTTGGAGTGCTCCCAAGCTGTTAACCATACTTTCCTGGTTTGGACATAATGGGAAACTAGAGTCAAGCCTGTCTGCCTTGTTTGCCAACTTACATAAAGTAGCTGTATATGGGAACACTAGGTTCATTCATAACTTGGCTTACTATTCAGGTATGTACATTTTATGCAAATTTTGCTTTTTCATTATTAAAATTTCAGGCTTAATTCTTTGAAGATTGCAGATTCATTTCTCCAGTGCTGAAGTTCATATTTCCAAAGTACGTACAAACACAAAGCATACAAAGCTCAGCAAGTTTACTTTTTAACTATTATGCTAGGATGGGTGCTACTGGAGCAATAGGGGGAAATGTTTTTTTTTTACTATAAACTGAAGTTTAAATGGATATATAGTCCATTTAAAATGTAAGCAAATAAGTAACAGGGAATTCATATGTATATTTTTAGGGAAACAGAACAGGGAAGGACCACCACCTAATAAAGTGATAACAATGAGGAGAAAGATCTCAAGGATCCTTTAGCCATGAAGGAAATGATTTCAGTATATATCATAATTAACTAACATTCCACATGGTGTTAAAACCCTCATGTGTGATGTGTGAATCAGAAATATTTGTTGGCTAAACTTGTGTTTGCAAGTTTAAATTCTGAAAAATATTTGGAACCACCTTAATTCATACCAAACATTTTATTAAAATCTGTTTTCTTACCTTAGATCGCACACTAGTTTGGCTACAGTGCAATGTGAATAAGCCTTTAAAAATCCAGCTATGCAATGAGCATGAAGCAGGCTCAGACAAGTGCCATAATTTCCATCAGTGTATGAAACTTTCCTTTAGAATTCCATCTTTGCGTTAAGAGAAAAATATACAATTTTTTACGCTGCTGTAAACAGAGGCAGAAATAGGGCTGTCTTAAGTCTACACAGCTGCTGCTTCAACTCATCCACCAGTACCCATAACTTTGGGAAATTGTAGTAGCGTGAAATACAGTCCTTAGCTATTCATAAGATGGTATCAGTAAACTAACTACAACACTAATGTTTATTTAGAACTTCTGGCAAACTAGAGAATGTACCACAAGAGATAAACCAAGACAAAATAACAGGGAATGGATATTGCAATGCATTAATTGGTTTCCAGATGGCACACTGAATCTCTGAATGGCCCTAGCAATGCATTAAAACAAGGTTTACATTGTAGTTTTTCGCCAAGATGCTAGCAAACAAAAGTCCCCAAGCTTGGACTTCAAAATGAACTTTGGGAACTTTTAAAAGTTTCTTCAAACTGCAGGCAAGCTTTTAAAACTCTGAAATTAGTCTGTCTTGAAAGAAAGCATAAAAAGCTGGAGAAGAATTCTGAACTGCCCTCTGCTTATCTTTGGTTAGTTTTCTCCTTCAGCAAAAAGCCTTCTTTGCCAGGATCTATCTACTCAAAACACACTCCCCCTTCCTGACTTGAAGTTGCAGTGATGGAAGCAGAAGAAAAGTTGAGAAGTAAATTTTATACTACGGCAGCCCGGAAGAGAACATGCCCGCCTTCAATTTATTTATTTCTTAGGACAGCAATGCAGTATTGTCGTACAGGCATGCTGTAGAGCAGTGACGGCCAAACTTGGCCCTCCAGCTGTTTTGGGACTACAATTCCCATCATCCCTGACCACTGGTCCTGTTAGCTAGGGATGATGGGAGTTGTAGTCCCAAAACAGCTGGAGGGCCAAGTTTGGCCATAACTACTGTAGAGCGAAGCTGCAATCATGCTGGTCATGTCATTTTCCGGGAGTGTCTCTGTACGCCATGCAGGCCCAGAGAGGGAAAATAAGATGGGGGACATGAGAGGAACCTTGATCTGCAGTGTACCATGGCCTCACCTTGTTCTGTTAGAGCTTTTTTAAAAGGGGAAAGAATAATATCAATTGCCTGCTGCCACCTAGTACAGGAGAAGAGCCCGACCAAGTGCTGCACAAAGGGAGTCGACACTTTCTTTTCTTAAACTTTTTTTTTTACAAACCCCAAGTGCATCCAACAATGCATGCTGAAAGTTTAGAAGGGAAAATAGAAAGAAAGGGGGACCTGTTAGTTTCTTTCTTTCCCACAACCTGGGAGTGAGGGAGGGAAAGGGGAGGAGGGGTAGAGCAAGGGAAAACACATAGGAAAACAGATCACAGCACAGTAGCTTTTCAAGCCGGGGACAAAGAGAGGCAAAACTGGCAGTCACAGAGTAGCATGCTGCTCTTCAGCCAATGAAACACCAGCACTATGGTGACCCCCCTCTTGTCTCCCACCTACTTTTCTGTCTGCCTTCCAACCTTAAGGCACCTGTATGTTCATTTTGTTTCTCAAGCACAGCTACTGATCATAAATCATCTAACTAGTAAAGAAACAATTCTGCTCCAGAATTAGAAATTTCCTCTTGGTATGCAAAGCACTCTTGCAAAATATTAACAATGCATATGTGGCCTAATTATTGTTCTGAGAGGTTTACAGTCTTACAGTATGGGGCTTGCAGGATGCTTACTCAGCATTTGTCTGTTAGGGACTATAAGTCCAAATTGCATGATTTCTATACCATTTAACTCTCCACAACTATCAATTTCCAGCAGATATTGAGAGCAATATTTATTTTGTTCTTTTAAGATGAAAGTTCAGTTTAGCCCTGCACTTCAGTACTGGTTAGCAATATCAGTTTCTTCCAATATAAATCATAATGAAAACAATGAGATGAAATAGCAACAGGGAATATGAACCCAAAGAAGACCATTTCAGATTCTTACTGCAAATAATTTATCCTCTTTGCGATTTCTTGCGAAGCCTCAATTTATACATATAGAACATTGAACAATATTCTTTTCTTGCTGTCAAACATGCCAGTTTCTGAAATCACATTGTTTAAATAACACACAATAGATTTCCATTATTTCCTCCTATGTTGCCTTAAGGCTCTCTCACTATAAAAACATAATCCCTTCTACACAATATTAAGGGTTATAGGCAGATTATATTAAATACCACAAATTTAAATTCTGTGTTGATGTCTGAAAACATATGCTCTTACATTAATATACAGCTTTTGCAGCTAATTAGGAGCATTACTTGTTTTCCAGGACTATATGTATTTTGACATCTACAGTGGTGCCTCGCAAGACGAAATTAATCCGTTCCGCGCGTCTCTTCGTCTTGCGGTTTTTTCGTCTTGCGAAGCACGGCTATTAGTGGCTTAGCGGCTATTAACGGCTTAGCGGCTATTAACGGCTTAGCGGCTTTAAGAAAAAGGAAACAAACTCGCAAGAACTCGCAAGACGTTTCGTCTTGCGAAGCAAGCCCATAGGGAAATTCGTCTTGCGGAACGACTCAAAAAACGGAAAACTCTTTCGTCTAGCAAGTTTTTCGTCTTGCGAGGCATTTGTCTTGCGGGGCACCACTGTACACACAAGCCAGAGCAATGTCTAAATTGTCTTCCAATGTTGCAATTCAAAAAATAAAACTAAAGCTGGGCACTGGAGACAGATAGCAAATAAATGATTGTAAATATATAGGCAGTTATCTCCCGTTAGTCTGGAAGTAAAAGAGAGCTTTGGGTCGTGTTGCCATTCCAGATATTTCCTATCAGAGTGTGATCCCAGTGTCAGCTTAGTTATAGCTAAGCAGAAGTAGGGAAAACAACATAGCAATGCAAAATGTAACCTCCATATGCCTAGTACAATTCTGTACTGCTGTGGTTATGATTTGTGTTCTCCTTTGCAGTAGCCTCACAGATGCCCATGTTTGAAGTATTCCAAAGCCACCCTAACCATCATGCAGGGCAGAGTCAAAACTAAAGTGGAGGGGGGGGGGGCTTTTTATAAAAAAACACCACTGTGCCAGCTCCAGGAACTACAGGGTGAGATCTCATTTTTAGAAATATGCAAAGAGTTAATGATAGCTGGGAGTTTCTTGAAGGTGAAATATTGAAGGCATAATCTAAACAATTCCAACAAGGAAGAGAAGTAGGAGGCATCTAAAGAAACCAGTGTGGCTGCATAAGGAGCTTTTAGATGAGCTGAGATTTAAAAGGGGCATGTATAATGGAAGAAGCAAATCACAAAGGAAGGATATAAAGAAGACGCCAACACTTTCAGGGAGAAGGTCAGGAGGACTAAAGCTCAGAACCAAGCTCAACCTTGCAAGAGAGGTTAAAAGACCAAAAAGGGAATTTTGAGCTATTTCAAAGCAAGAGGAAGAACAAATGGGTCCTCTGCATGGAGAATAAGACCACGGCAAAATAATATTGCCACAATGTTGTAAAGGATATACAGGTGAAGCCTAAGTTATTTTTAAGGTGAAACATTGTATAATACAACAGATAGCTTACATACTAATAGAAAAACAAAGTTAATTTCAATCTTTAAGTTCTCATCAGTGCATTGCATGTGGAGTCTATTAGCAGCAATGCTTTCTCAGTTGCTCTTAAATCATGATTATCACACAGCCTGAGGCACTCTGACTCACTGAAAGGCGTTCCATCGGTAGGGTCTGCTGGTGGAAAATTCTCTGTGAAGTTGAGATTGCACAAGTTGGAACTGCAGCAGCAGAAACGATATGTCCCATTCTGAACCAAGGAAGGGGTGGTTGTGACTATGCACTCCTCAGAGTGACAGTCTTCAGGGTCTCCTATATGAGACCAGCATCCTGGAGGGGAAAAAAGGTTGTAAATCAAATAGCAGCATTTCTTTTGGCTATTTATTTAGCTTGTGAAACTTTCTACATGTTTTGCTCCTCAACTTCATGCTCTTATTAGATTGTCTCTCACATAGAAAAACCCCTCTGCCTTTTAAGACCAGGGACACACTGCTCTGAATCTTTTCCCTAAGAGAAGTGTCACCTACTGGGACTATGGGTAGGGCCTTTTGCAACTCCATGACTTTTTGACATTAGGACATTTTTCTTTCATCCTCTGTTTTTAAATATATGCTCCTTTTCTTAAATGGGTTTTATGTGACTTGGACTATGTACTTTCTTTAGCCAATTTAACTGCATTCTTATATGTGGGTGGATGTCACTACTGAGACGTGCATTTTGTACTAATGCTTTAATGCTGAAAACAGATTCAATTTCATGGAAGAAAAGTTGTATTAAAGCAGATAAAAGCCTACACAAACATATTTGTGGTGGTTCTTTTCATTCCAACAATGTAACCACTGTCTGTGTCCCAAAACTAAACAGTCTTATGACCATAACAACCTTGTCCTGGCAAAATATCAAATGCACCATACTGTCTTCAAATTTTTCATTGGTCTACTGATTTGTGACTCATTTACATTATCAGCTGCATACCAGTCCTTTCATTCCACTTCAGAGGTGTGTGTGTGTGTGTTCAAGGGTTAGTCAGAGGCTGACAGGAGCCCTTTGAAACTAATACATGTTCTTGATTCATTTCTCTACCACACCAGACCAACAGATTACACATACAATTGCAGGGGTCATCATATCTGGCATGCAGGAAGTGGACAGAGCACAGCATTCAATTTAAGTATTCAGTGATTCTTCCTGAGCTAAGACAGTGAGCAAAATAGTGTGGCTAAAATTTAACAAGACTCCTGAACTGTTGACCTCTGAAACAAACCACAGGTGAAGCATTCCCAACTATGTAAGCAAGTTCGCATTATCTTGGCATTTTGCCTTCAGGTTTCCAACAACTTCTGGCTATGCTGGTTCTTTAAATATCATACTTTGATTTAGTTGATGAAACTGTATCTAACATTTCATCTTTTAAGGGAGGTACCATGTATTTACACCACTTTTGCATGTTCCCATCCCCTACTCCCAAAAAACTCCTTTTTTCATTACTGTATGTAGTTTTAGGGTCTAATTATATATTTTGCTTCATAACTTTCCTTCTGAGAGGGCTAGAGACTTATTTAAAAAAACAAAAAAATGAAATGGAAGTTCAGAGTCTGGGGCCCGTAATGATCAGTAATGGAACTTTCTTCTTTTGTATGGCTTATTCATTTAATCATCCTTATTCTCCAAGACTGCTCAGTGTTTTGTTAGAGACTATCCTCTATGCTCACTTCTAATTCATTGTTATTACCTATCACTATTTTCATTAAACATAAGCACTGTGACCTTGTTTTTGCTTTCTGGTAATTTGTACAGTTTTATCTATTTCTACTTAGCAGCTCTATTAAGTTTATACTATGAATCACTAACATATCAAACTTTAGATTGCCATGTATTAAAAATTTCTATAAAGTATGCTTGAAAAAATTGTGGCTTGGCATAATTGTAATGTTGCCCAGAAGCCTAATCATGATTAAGCTATTGGGAATGCCCTGTGGGCATGCACACGGCTTTCCCAAGTGGGTATCCCCCCCACCTTTTCAATTTGACCATCGACCATTAACTTACATTAATGCTAACCACCATTTGCAACAATGGATAGAAGCAGCTTTGCAAATTTGCTGATAACTATGGTCATCTTAACACCACTGAAGATGGAACTGTAGTTAGCTTTAGCTTGAGGAGGAGGGGGGGTGCAACAATGAACTGGGAAGGAGTCAGGAGTCATACAATTAAGAGAATCAGAGCTTTTTTCAGGGTGTGTCACAGACCATCTGTCCAACCCCCTGCTCAATTCAAGAGTCCCAGAACTAGAGCATCTTCAATATATGGCTAGCCAACCTTTGCTTGAAGAACTCTAGTGAGGGAGAACTCACCACTCTTCTAAGTAATTGATCCTACTGTGAACTGTTCAATAAGTTTCTCATAATGTTCAAATAAAATATAGTCTCCTGTAAATTAAGCACAGCCCTGGCCTTTGTGGCAGCAGAGAAGTGAGAAGAGTTATGCCTGCACTCAGCTGTTCTTCAAAATGAGGGACATTTGTTTGTAGATTCCTTTGTGATCAGAAGGCAGTACAGTGGTACCTTGTTTTGAGTCGGGGATCCGTTCCAGAGCCCTGGAGACTCAACGAAAGGGATGCTCGACAAAGTGTCGCTCTGCACATGTGCGTGAGCAGCAAACCCGGAAGTATCACATTCCGGTACTTCTGGGTTTGCCACGGTATTAAGGTAAAGGTAAAGGTACCCCTGAACTTTAGGTCCAGTTGCAGGCGACTCTGGGATTTGCGGCGCTCATCTCACTTTACTGGCTGAGGGAGCCGGCGTTTGTCCGCAGACAGTTTTTCCGGGTCATGTGGCCAGCATGACTAAGCCGCTTCTGGCGAAACCAGAGCAGCACATGGAAACGCCGTTTACCTTCCCGCTGGAGTGGTACCTATTTATCTACTTGCACTTTGACGTGCTTTTGAACTGCTAGGTGGGCAGGAGCTGGGACCGAACAACGGGAGCTCACCCCGTTGCGGGGATTTAAATCGCTGACCTTCTGATTGGCAAGCCCTAGGCTCTGTGGTTTATGAGAAGATACATGTCTAAAAGTTTTACAAAAAAACTGCTACCTGCCTCTGAATATTAAGACCTTTGTGACAAATAGATTAAGTTATGTTTGTTGTCATTATTGCTGAATGCCATTATTGTTGAATGTTACCTTGTTTCACAAGATGGATCTCTCCTTCACGTGTTTTCTCCCACAGACCATAGCAGGTGTTGCCTTTCATACACAAAACTGTACCATTCTCTTGAGAAATTCGACTTTCGCTAATTCCATGATCATTTTGGTACTGGTCCCTAAATGCACATGTCGTCTCTTCACTCTGTGCAGCTAAACAAGAAAACAAAAACAAGCAAGTTTACAAACCAGATTGTGGCACTGACTGTTGACAAAACTAGAAGACAAAAATATAGTTGAAGAAACTAGAAGAGTCATTTTCAGGGCTGGCCCTTTCATTAGGAAGAGTGAGGTAGCCACCTCAAGTAGCTGATTTTGTTATCATTAAAGGGCAAACAGAACAGACAGAGGTGCTGGTAAGTTTTTCTTCCACGTGCAGACAAGTCATGCTTGGGTACTATGTATGCTGGCTAGATTGCCTCAGGTAGCAAAATGTCTTGGCAATTTTGGTACTTCAGAACTTTGCATTTTTAAAAGCAATATCCAACTTCCTGTTAGGAGCTGCGGCTGGATCCAAGTGCAACTCCTAGTTATGTGTACGGAAACATTTTCCTCTGCAATATCTGCTTTCCTTTCCTTTTTTGTGAATATGGTGTGCCGGGATAGTTCTTCCTCTCACACTAGAACACCAGAGATCACCAAGTCAGAAATATATTAGACTTATCCAAAAATCCTATTTGCAGAACCATTAGTAACAAAGTGACACTGAGTACTACAGCAGAAAAAAGCACTTAAAAGTGGCCTGCAGCAGCAGCATCACAAGCTTGGTACATTTTATGGTATTCATAAATGAAGATGCTTTAAATATTCAGAAAGGGAAACCGGATGAATAGGAATACATTCAGTCCCAGGCCACATTATCAGTAAATCTTAGATCATCATCATAATTAGTCTTCCCACTGAACATACATCTCCCTTGAGCTAGAATATTAAAAGATCAAAATGTCTTAAGATCCCAGAAATTCAAAGGAATTTTTGTCCACTTTTCTTTTTGATACACTCCAGAAATTAGGCCATACCTCATCAAAACAACCCTATATAATTATTTCATTAGAAAGAAAGACTCTTCAGAATGAAAGAAGCATTTAAAGTCCTTAAACTAGTGCACAGAATTTAAACTGGTTGAATCAATCAAAGCAAAATGCCTATTTTGTGCATTTCCAGATTTTTCATAGATAAATATTCACTGGGTTGCCATGCCTGAGCAAAGCATTGTGTAATAATGTATCATAAAACAAAGGGACTGGATAACAATGATCCATAAGTGACTGCCTTATTAAAATAGTGAAAGGGAAAATACACGAATGCTAAATTATTATTTTTGCTTTAAATCAGAATTTTGCCACTTTCTAGCATCAAAGAGAAAATATGTGAAGGAAGAAATACACACTAGCATTAACGTAGCATTTTTGACAGCAAATATCACAGTTCATATGTTCATTGTGCCTTTCAATATATATTCTTTCCACAAAATAATTTTGACATTAATGACCTAGAGTAAATAGAGTCAACTGAGATTTGAACTAGAACTATACTCAGCAACAAAGTTCAGCCTCTTTAGCAAAGCTACCTGCTGACTCTATTCTTCAGTTTTCACTTTTATATATGCTAGACAAGAATCTGCATGTAAATCTTCACCTACCATTTAGGCTATAAAAGCAATTAAAGAGGGAAGGCTTTCCAACAGCTCTACCAAAATCACTGTGTATACATAGTCTCTTGCAGCAAAAACAATCAGAATTTTGTGGCCCTTGAAAGCCTAACAAATCTATTTGCGTGGTGAGGCCCTGGGCCCACAGTTCCCACAGAAATAAACATACAAGCACAAATATGTTGGGTTAATGGGATAAATGAGGCCACAACTTCATTGGTTACAGATGTGAGCGGTTTGGCCGCAATTGGGTGAAGCAAGAATATATCCTGACTCCTGCCCGTCTGCAGAAAGTCTTGAAAGGGTCAACCACCGATAGCAGGAGCTTTATGATATACATCAATTAAGAACTCCCCCAGGGTCACCAATGGGGACGTGGCATGACCCTAGCCCATGCCCAGGCTTTGGACAGGAACCACACACCCGGATCCCTTTAATGGGACACCCTTAACGTGAAGAGGCAGGCGGAGGCAACAGCCTCCCCTCCCATAACAAGGCTTAAAGGTAAAGGTCCAGTCACGGACAACTCTGGGGTTGCGGCACTCATCTCACTTTATTGGCTGAGGGAGCCGGCGTACAGCTTCCGGGTCATGTGGCCAGCATGACTAAGCCGCTTCTGGCGAACCAGAGCAGCGCAAGGAAATGCCGATTACCTTCCCGCCATACCTATTTATCTACTTGCACTTTGACGTGCTTTCGAACTGCTAGGTTGGCAGCAGCAGGGACCGAGCAACGGGAGCTCACCCCATTGGGGGGATTCGAACCACCAACCTTCTGATCGGCAAGCCCTAGGCTCTGTGGTTTAACCCACAGCACCACCCGCTTACCCAATGCCTAACCTTACAAAGTTGTGAAGACTGCTACTAGGTAGGCAAAAACCAAATGGCTGGAGCCAATTTGCCAAGTGGAAAAATTCCTACCCGGCCCCAACAAGCAGGCGACCTACATTAGTCATAGCAAGGCCATAGTCAAGCAACACAAGAAAGAGGGTGAGTGGGCTGGGAGATCCACCAAAGCAGATGATAGGTTAGCTGGGGAGCGTGACGCGGCTGGGCATCCTAGTGACATGGGCAGCATCCCTCTGTCCACTGCTGGGTAACTGAGGTCCTGGAACCCCTCCTGCAATCCAGCCCCCCTGGAAAAGGGGAGCTGTCTTGCATGGCGAGGCCCCGGGCCCCGCAATTCCCACAGACAGGAACCACATAATGTGAAATCTTAGTTGGCAGGTATATAAACGGGGAATAATGTAAGGTAGGAACTGAATGGCAATGAGGTGCAAAATTTAGAAAAAAGACCTTCAGCTAAGATTTCACTTCATGCATCTGATGAAGTAGTCTCGGGCCCCTGAGAGCTTATGCCAGAATACATTTGTTAGGCTTTCAGGGGCCCAAAGAATGTTGTTTTTGCTACAAGAGACTAATGCAAAAACATTTAGGCTGTATACACACAATGATTTCTGTGGAGGAAATGACAAGGCTTCTTCTCTCACTGTTAAAGTAACAGAAAACCTGTTTCTATTACTATAACAATACAAACATAATTAAGGACCATAAACCCTAATTAGCACAAACCGTGATTTCTGATTCTGGTTTGCTATCAAAGCACAAGCCAAACCTTGCCAATTCAGATATCATACCAAACTCTAGTTTTCAGAGCCATGTTCGACATAAGCCAAATGACAACCTGTTCTCTTCTCTTAAAAAAGAAAATAAGCTGAAACTGATGTCCACTCTATTGATATATAAGGATAGCACATACGACTATTTTATTGACATGAAAGGAAGCTGAGTTTTCTTTGCTGTTTTTTTACAGAGCTATATAGGGTAAGCATTACTGCTGAATGTACTAAGGGGGGGGGGGAACATCATAAAAAGTGCTTCAAGCTAGCGTGGAAAATGTGTTACTCCTCATAGGAATTATACAATGGGTCCCCACCCAAGAGTACTGCATTTGTATTATAGAAAGCTCCAAAACCAGTTTGACCAGAGACTATGGCAAGGTAATTGGCAGCTCTATTATGCAATTTCCAAATATCTGAAAATAACACTGCAGTATAAACTCATTTAAAAAGTTTTTTTAAAAAATTGTGACACCTCTTACTGATAGAGCACTCAACACTATGTTTACAAAGCAGAAGATTCACTGCATAAATTGTCCTACACAAGACAGCAATGGATAACAATGTGTGGTGGTATTTGATAGCACTGATGTTCTAGGAACTTCATGTCACATACCTTCCTGTTATCTGACACATTATTTAAGTATTCTGCAAAAATTATATCTTGCTGTGGCACATTACATGCTCAGAAATTGTCTTGACTACTAACGTAACCTTCCCCACTCCTGCCTTTCAGACATTTCTGAAGACAAAGGATTGCTCTTGCCTTGGTTTAAATAATAACTGTAGGTCTCTCTCTCTCTCTCTCTCTCTCTCTCTCTCTCTCACACACACACACACACACACAATTTTATTCTCAAGAACAGATGCTTTGTGCCTGGAATGCTCAGCTGTCCTGTATTTTCTGATCCTTGGCACCGACTGCCAAAGAAACAAAGAAAGGATGTTGTTTCTATCTTCAGTAACAAAGGACAACACAGTTCCCTATGTAAATGTTAAGTATTTATGCTGTGACTCAAGGAAAGGAGGAAATTCACACATTTCACTAAGTGCAAATTATTTGCTCCTTATGAAATCTTGACTTGTGCAACTGTACACATAAATTAAAAGGATAAGAACTGGAGTTCTGCATCAAAGTGTTACAGTGTAATTTAGTATTCAAGCCACTCCATTACATTCCCTGAGCCCCAATTTTCCTCCCCACCACCCCAGTTAGTCATGTTAGCATTCCATGACAACTAAACATACTTGTACACATTTGAAGCTTAATTAAAATCTTTTGGGGTTTTCCCAGTGGTCTCTATGGGTGCTCTATCTTCAGTCCCTGGGGACACTTTAAAATAACTTCTAAGTGTGAAACCAGACATTCAATGGTTTTGCTGTGGGCTAATCTTCGGGAAAACACTTGCATCAAGAACCTGATAAATAACTGCTCCTGCATGGAAATAGTTATGATATCCTGGAAACAATTTTCATAATAGCAGCAGCAGATTCTTTTATAAGCACCCTTCTTATATTTATTCTTATATTTATATTATATCCTTTTTACCTCTTCTCATTTTCACATTTGACACTCTTGAGCTTGGTTTTGTTATTATCTACCCAAATCAGCAGTGTTTAAAATTTTATATTACTCGCCATGATCCAATCTGCTAAGTGATATTAATTGTATCATGAATTCACAGCCCCTCAGAATTTATGAGATTTTCCACACAGTTCCAACCTGGAAACTTCATCCTATATTGCTTCTTCCTCATATATCCACATTGTATTATTCCTTCCTATTGCTGGTGTTCGGCTTTATTTTACATCACTAGGCTATGGTAACTGGACCCACATCAGTCCATAGGGTGATATTCAACTGTGGCCATCCCCAGTGAAACAGATCTGCACACCTTAATTTTTTTCAACACGTTGCCAGCTTAATTATTTCTATTATTTGCTTCAATGTCCCCCAAACGCAGACAAATGCAGTCAAACTAGCAAGCTTACACATTCCATGGGTGGTTTCCTTCCCCTCTTCTAAACATAAGACACTGTATCGCAGGTCTGCGTAACTTCTAACGCACCAACCTGAACACAGCTCTCCAGTCATTTACCGTGGCCTGACAGTTCCCCTATTTTTAAAGTCCCAAACAGACTGCAAAAAGAAGTTTAAGCAAGCTTCGGGTGAGCAACCAAATATGAATGTTCTTTTCCTCAGATTTTAAAGCTGATAAACCTACCCTGCCTTTAAGGAAGGGAGACAGGGGACAATATTGGGAAAGAAGATGGAGAAGTTTGGTTGCATAAGTAAAAAATCCTTGTTCTAGCAGAAGCACTTTGCTGCATACTGACCAATATGCATCCTAAGGAGATATTACCACACAATTGCTTCTCTGAGAAGGAGCTATGCTTGTTGGATGTATCAAATTGCAGTAGCGGAATCCCTATTTTTAGGGCAACAACAGAAGTTATAATAAAAGCAAGGCATTTTCCAGCAGCTTAGTTATATGAAATCTCAAATTGCTTCATGAAGTACTTACAAGTAATAGTTTTAGAACTGTAGCTACTGAATCCAAACCAGATTACTGCCTTTGGTTTCATAGATTATTCATTAATATTGAAACAGTACTTTAATGACTTGATGCTTACAGGAAAATGGTATGTTGTAGAATTTCTTCTGAGCTCCCTTCTTCCAGGAAGAAAACATGTTCTCTATTAAACATGTTCTCTATTTTACATGAGTAAAATACTTTGACTTCAGGGAGTCAGAAGAGTATTTAGGATGAAAATGCTTTGGAAATGCATGACACTTCTTTTTCCATTAACCATTTTCTGAAAGTTTAATTAACCAGACACTGGATTCAGTTCTGCTCATGGAACTCTCACATGAATGGAGGGGGTGGGTGTCAGCAATTTTTTCCCTGATTTCCCCCTACAGCCTTTAGCAAAAGACTGTCCAGGAGGGTTGATGGAAGCCTATGAAACAATACAAGCCATGGTATGAGAGTGTGCAGGGGGAAATGGGCAATTGGTAAAGAATGCCTCCATCCCTCCTGTTTCTTTAGCCCTTTCTGGATTGCAGTTCACGGAAGGACTCCTTGCATTCAGGGAAAACTGTGATGGATCCAATCCATTAGGCTTTAATAAATAAAATGTGATAATTTTTATATTTTTCTTCATGAATTGTAACTACTGGTATTCGGAAAAAATGATTTCCATTATTATTATTATTATTATTACTACTTCTACTACTAAATAGAAAAGCTATTTTAATAGAACTGCAAAGAAGTTCCGATGAAGATTTTTGTTAAGTTTCAGTTTGAACACTAGACAGTTGGAATTTTTTTAAAAAACAAAAACACATTGAACAAAACCAATTTCCTCCTCAAAATACATAACAGAGCATTCTCTGTTATTTTCCTAGCTGCGTCATCCCTAAGAGGAAACTGGAATTCAAAATGCCCAGCAACAGAGCTATAAATTCATTGGCTTCAGAGTGCAGGTACCAAAAATGTGCCCTCCAACTCTCATCAGCTGCAGATAGCATCATCAATGGCCAGGGAAGATGAAAGTTGGAGTCCAATGACCTCTGGAGGGAACCATGTTGGCTACCCTTGCACCAAAGGAAGAAAGGACTGATTCCTCATTAAGATAGAAAATTGTCACATCTAAACAAGTTCCCCATTCTTTCCATGGAATGTGCACTTCCTTTTACCAACCGGTATTTTTAATCCTCTCCCCCCTTCTCTTCCTTCTCCTTCCAATTCCATTGTTTATCAAGAAGTGCAAGCTATTCACATATATTTACACCAGTGACTTGTCCTGAATTAGTAATGTCTGCATCAGTCAAAAGCAAAATAATAGCTCTATTTCATACTTCCTGCATCAATGTTCCTGGAAAATGATAATCAGAATTCTACCACCACTGTTTCTTAAAGTTATCTTAATATACATGCGAGATTAACAAGGAGGGCTCTTTTTTCATAGTTGTGATAACTGTGAAATAATGAAATGCAACGTATTTATTTTCCACATTAATACATATGAAGGTTTAATACCTGAGAAAGGAAAGGCCTTCTCTCAGTCCCATCACCCTCACAGGCACATTTAGCGGGGGGGGGGGGGGCAGCCTCACAGGAGATGGCCTTCTCAGTCACTGCTCCCAGATTTTTGGTGTGTGTTTATTTGATTTTCCAAAATATAAACATACAACAAAAACAATTCCAAATCTAATTGTCAAGATTATTCTGAATCTCCTGACTTCCCCCCATCCCTTCCTTTGATTCTATTTTCAACTGCATATCAATACTTCTCCGATTTTTCATCTTCCTAAATTATCTATACATTCTGTTAGATTACAAGTGTGTTTAAAATCCTGCTAATGTTTTGACCTGTTTACAATGATTTTGTATATACACATTATAAACATTTCCTGTTCTTTTTAAAATTTCTTGTCTTCTTGATTCCTGAGCTTCCCAGTTAGTTTTGCCATTTCGGCATAGTCCATCAACTTAATTTGCCATTCTTCTCTGGTTGGGGTTGTTTCTTCCATCCATCTCTGGGCTAGTAACATCCAAGCGGCCGTTGTCACATACATAAACAACTGCTTCCAGCAGGTGAAGACTTTTTTGTTCCAGCAGGCTTTTGGGAACTGACAGCTTTTAAAGAGGGGTTTTTGGGGGGTGTCAAAATAATGGAAAAGTAATGACACATTATAAAAAACCTAAATATGCTTAAAGTCACTTAAAGCGATAAAAGATAATTTAATATGAATTAAACTATGCTGAGTTTATCAGTTTTGCAAACATTATTTAAACTCTATTGCTCTATTTAAATGTGATGACAGCCCACTGCTTCACAATCATGCTAAAATGTAATAAGAATCCGAGCCACATAGTAGCTGCATAGCATTTATCAGAATGGAAAGAAATTGAACGTCTTATCTTTGCCTTGGACTACAGTTCATGAACTTTTCTTAGACTGGCTTTTGCTTATCAGAGCTGCACTTGTAATGAACACAGGAAATACTATGGGGGGAAAGTAAAATGCTGCCGCCTTCCAGATGAGAAGAATTACTCAAGCACAAAACAATCTTTTATTTTCTTTTTTAAATTCATTTCAGGATACAGTTGTAATTTCTTCCATTGGTATATTTTTCTGGAATAAGTTATAGATAACCTTAATTTGTTTTTCTAATAAAGCAGGTAGCTTTCTAATCCTTTATAGACCAATGCTATGCTTGGGAAGCCTGCACAGCTAAGGCATTCCCCCTCTGAAGAAACAATAATTTGTTGCACAGGAACCCAAGAAAAGATCTTTCTAATATATATGCCCTCTCCTCTCAGGGCAAAATAATAATTGCCCCAAGCAGCAATCTCCAGAAGTTTCCATGCTGCCGCAGGTAAATCCATCTTAGTGGGCTTCCACCACCCACCCCTCTGTCAACAAAAGTTAAGGTGGGGTGATATTTACTAGTTTTTGTCTTCATCAGGACATCTTAAAGAATTATACATATGCCAGGCATGTAAGCTGAACATCATAACATGCTCAAAATGTTAGGATACAACATCCCATCAAATAGCACATCCCATCAGATGTCAAAAAGGTAAACAACTACACAACTTTCTGAAGACATCTGAAGGAAGCCCTGTATTGGGAAGCTCTCACTTCCATACATCACTACTGGGAAAACCATAGCTTTAACTATACGGGCCTTTGTCGGCAAGGTGATGTCTCTGCTTTTTAAGATGCTGTCGAGGTTTGTCATTGCTTTTCAAACCTAGACAGCATCTTAAAAAGCAGAGACATCACCTTGCCAACAAAGGTCCGTATAGTTAAAGCTATGGTTTTCCCAGTAGTGATGTATGGAAGTGAGAGCTGGACCATCAAGAAGGCTGATCGCCAAAGAATTGATGCTTTTGAATTCTGGTGCTGGAGGAGACTCTTGAGAGTCCCATGGACTGCAAGAAGATCAAACCTATCCATTCTGAAGGAAATCAGCCCTGAGTGCTCACTGGAAGGACAGATCCTGAAGCCGAGGCTCCAATATTTTGGCCACCTCATGAGAAGAGAAGACTCCCTGGAAAAGACCCTGATGTTGGGAAAGATGGAGGGCACAAGGAGAAGGGGACGACAGAGGACGAGATGGTTGGATAGTGTTATCAGAGCTACCAGCATGAGTTTGACCAAACTGCGGGAGGCAGTGGAAGACAGGAGTGCCTGGCGTGCTCTGGTCCATGGGGTCACGAAGAGTCGGACACGACTAAACGACTAAACAACAACAACAAATTTGTTGTGTTTTTAATATGTTGGCAGCCACCCAGAGTGGCTGGGGCAACCCAGTCAGATGGGCAGAGTTTAAGTAATAAATTCTTGTTATTGTTATTTTGAACCTACGCTTTTATTTTATATCATACTCCACTTATGTCTCTCCCCCCCATCCCCTAATCATTACTTTTCTAAAATAAACTCTCCATCATATGGAATACTGGAGCTTGGCTAGCTGTTTAGCCCACTGGGTTTCATCTACCACAAACTAGGCATATTGCCAACACACTCTGTGCAAACAGTTCTGTGTAAACAGTGAGTAAAAGAAAAGATGGGCTTCCTCCCAGTTTCTCCAATCCCAGGATAAAAGCCTAAATGTTGGGGAGGCCCATGCCCCCAATTGGCTTAGAGGCTCATAAGCCGGGGTGGTGGCAGTACTACCAGTAGTAGTCAGAGCCATAAGCGATGCTTTCCTCCCTTGCAAAGTACCAGTAGATGTGCACAGTGAGGAGCTGGGATGGGGGCAGGGTGTTATCTCCACAGTTGTGCTACACCTCTGAGGTGCTCCAAGTGCAAAGTTTTTTAAAAAAATTAAGTACACGAAATAGTGTGGCCATGGGAGGAGGAGCCATCTTGCTTTGCACCAGTGATGTCAGACATTAACCAATAAGTGCCTATGACACATGAGCAATTATATTCCATACCAGACTCTCAAATGACACACTAACATGAGGAAAAGAGACCACATTTTCTTAGCAATGAGCATTGTGGTTTGCCACAGAAGTTGTTACCTTGAGGAAAGACATCTGGATCCCTTGCAACAAGTGCAATTTACTGCAGAGAAAGGCCTTAGAGGCAACACAACAGAATCAACTTTCATGGCCAAAATGCTGCTACAGTACACCTATTTCACGCAAGCTACTCTGTGTCCACTGCAGCTAAGCAATTTATACAATCAGAGCACCAGACAGCAACACTGGGTTGATCCATCTGAAATGGCTGCATGTAAGTCCAGGCACAGGATAAGGGTGATCTTACAAAACCTAAACGCAACTGACTGCAAATGAATATGAAAGTATGGTGGAACAAAATGTTCTGCAGAACATCATTTCCAATCAACATCAAATGTTATTACATCCATATAGAGACACACAGCCCACATAAACGTGGCTGTCAAATACAAAGCTGATATGTACCTGCTGCAATCTAAGTAAACATAAATATAAACCGAGAAGTTACCTGCTCCTATCTTATGTAAGAAGAGATTCACAAATGTTTGCTTTACTTAGTAGCCAGTCATTACAGGAGATCATGGTCAGCAATCTGTGCTGGGCTAAAGTGAGAGGCAGAGGGGAACTCTGGCTGCAATCCTAACTTCCCCGAAGGTGATAGGTGGGTTAAGGGGTGGGGAGAGGACAAAGCAGTGTCCTCAGCCTTCTGGCAAAGAGGAGTGCCATGAAGAGGAGCACTGTGGCAGAGACCCAAGCTCTGAACAAGCAGGCAACAGGCTACAACTGGTGATAGCCGGAGTAGGGCCCTGAAATAGGGTCTTCCGTGGGTATTAGTGGAGCTGTGCCTCTCTCTTGCACCAGCCTGGAGCTGGTGAAGCAAAACAACAACAAACCTAAAACATGCACAGCCCTCTACTATGATTGGCAGAAGCTGACTAGGCTTATGAACATGGGTAGGCAAACTAAGGCCCAGGGGCCGGATCTGGCCCAATCACCTTCTAAATCCAGCCCGCAGATGGTCCGGGAATCAGCGTGTTTTTACATGAGTAGAATGTGTCCTTTTATTTAAAATGCATCTCTGGGTTATTTGTGGGGCCTGCCTGGTGTTTTTATATGAGCAGAATGTGTGCTTTTATTTAAAATGAATTTCTGGGTTATTTGTGGGGCGTAGGAATTCCTTCACCCCCCCCAAATAGTCCAGCCCCCCACAAGGTCTGAGAGACAGTGGCCCGGCCCCCTGCTGAAAAAGTTTGCTGACCTCTGGCTTATGATGTGGTGCTCTGCTGCTCCAATTGCCCTTGGGGTAAGGACTGACCTTCCCCTCTGCCTCTCTCCAAAGCCCAATAAAAAGTGAGACTAGTTTAGGGCTGCCACCTTTGGTTTGGCAAAATACAGGGCAGAATGGAGTGGGGACTGCATACCCCACAAGTGTGCTCAACCGGGATATCTAATAATAATAATAATAATAATAATAATAATAATAATAAATTTTATTTATATCCCGCCCTCCCCAGCCGAAGTCAGGCTCAGGGCGGCTAACAACAATAAAACAGTACAAAAGTACAGCACAAACAACACTCTAAAATCATTCATTATAAAATTAATTAATTCAAGCCACTGGCAACCATTGGGCCAGAGCTCCGCGAAGATTGCCGAGGGAGGGAGTCAGGCTGTGCCCTGGCCAAAGGCCTGGTGGAACAGCTCTGTCTTGCAGGCCCTGCGGAAAGATGTCAAGTCCCGCAGGGCCCTGGTCTCTTGTGACAGAGTGTTCCACCAGATCGGAGCCACGGCCGACACAGCGCTGGCTTTAGTTGAGGCCAGCCTAACCTCTCTGTGGCCTGGGACCTTCAAGATGTTTTTATTTGAAGACCGTAAGTTTCTCTGTGGGGCATACCAGGAGAGGCGGTCCCGTAGGTACGAGGGTCCTAGGCCATATAGGGCTTTAAAGGTTAAAACCAGCACCTTAAACCTGATCCTGTACTCCACCGGGAGCCAGTGCAGCTGATATGGCACCGGGTGAATGTAATCTCGCAGCGAAGACCCCGTAAGGAGTCTCGCTGCAGCATTCTGCACCCGCTGGAGTTTCTGGGTCAGTCTCAAGGGCAGCCCCACGTAGAGCGAGTTACAATAATCCAGTCTGGAGGTGACTGTCGCGTGGATCACAGTGGCTAGGTCAGGGCGAGAGAGGTAAGGAGCCAACTGCTTAGCTTGACAGAAATGGAAAAATGCCGCCTTTGTTGTAGCTGCAATCTGAGCCTCCATGGAAAGGGAGGTGTGGAAGATTACACCCAAACTCTTAACGGACGGTGCTGGCACTAATTGTGCCCCCGCAAGAGATGGAAGTTGCCCCCCCAATCCCATATCGTCCCATCCCAGCCACAGGACCTCTGTCTTCGAAGGATTTAGCTTCAACCGGCTCCCACGTAACCATCCAGCCACAGCTTCCAAACATCTGGTCAGTGTGTCTGGGGCCGAGTCAGGATGGCCATCCATCAACAGATAGAGTTGGGTGTCATCAGCATACTGATGGCAACCCAGCCCAAAACTCTGGACAAGCTGGGCGAGGGGGCGCATAAAGATGTTGAAAAGCATCGGGGAGAGTATCGCACCCTGAGGTACTCTACACACCAAGGAGTGGCGCGATGACAATTCCCCCCCAAGCGCCACCCTCTGTGCCCAACCAGAGAGAAACGAGCGCAGCCATTGAAGGACTGTGCCCTGGATCCCCACATCGGCAAGGCGGTGGTCCAGAAGTTCGTGATCGACCATGTCGAAAGCTGCTGACAGATCTAGAAGAATCAGCAGCCCCGACCCACCTCGATCCAGCTGTCTATGAAGATCATCTGTTAGGGCAACCAGAGCTGTCTCGGTCCCATGACCAGCGCGGAAGCCGGACTAGAATGGATCCAGAGCCGATGTTTCATCCAGAAACCCACCAAGCTGTTCAGCAACCGCTCTCTCAATCACCTTACCCAGGAACGGAAGATTCGAAACCGGGTGGTAATTGGATAGATCTAAAGGATCTAATGATGTTTTCTTTAAGAGCGGGCGCACCACTGCCTCCTTCAGTTCCCCTGGGAATGTCCCCGTGCCAAGGGACAAATTGATGATATCCCCCAGGAGCGCCTGCACCTCGTCTGGACACGCTCTAATCAGCCAAGACAGGCACGGGTCGAGAGGACAGGTGGTGGGCTTTCCAGCTCGGAGGAGTCTGTCCACATCGGCTGGGGAGATCTGGTTGAAGTGGTCCAATACTGGACCCGAGGACAGTCAAGGGGTCTCCAGTTCCTTTATTGTATCCAAATTGGCAGGGAGGTCATGGCGGAGCAACAAGACCTTCTCCGCAAAAAAGCTCGCAAATGCCTCACAGCTGTGTGTCAAATTGTTATTTAAATTTGGCTGTCCCTCAAGGGACGTTAAAGACCTGATTATACTAAATAATTGCGCCGGGTGAGAGCTAGCGGATGCAATGGAGGCCGAGAAGTAAGACTTCTTAGCAGCCTTCACCGCCATCTCGTAGGTTTTCATAAAAGCCCTAAAAGATGTTCTTGAGGCTCCGTCACGGGCACCCTGCCATACTCGCTCTAGCCGTCTGAGGTCCCGCTTCATTTTCCGGAGCTCCTTGGTAAACCAGGGAGCCCGGTTTCTGCAGGGTCACAGAGGGTGCTTAGGTGCGATCTCATCGATGGCTGCCAGGAGCTGCATATTGCAGCCCTCAACAAGCTCAGTCAATGAGTCACCAGGGGGAGCAAGGTCCCACAAGGCTTCGCGGAATCTATCAGGGTCCATCAGCCTCTGCGGGCGAGCCCAAATCGGCTCGTCACCTAAGGAGGGTGGGGGTGGAAAGTCAATCCTGGCTTTCAGAGCGTAGTGATCAGACCATGGCACCTTCATCAAAGGAGACATGATCACATCTATACCTATGCCAAAGATCAAATCCAGCGTGTGGCCTGCTTGATGTGTGGGGCCCGAAACAAACTGGGAGAGCCCTAGTGTCGCCATGGAAGACACCAGATTCAGAGCCTGGTGTCTCGTCACCTAAGGAGGGTGGGGGTGGAAAGTCAATCCTGGCTTTCAGAGCGTAGTGATCAGACCATGGCACCTTCATCAAAGGAGACATGATCACATCTATACCTATGCCAAAGATCAAATCCAGCGTGTGGCCTGCTTGATGTGTGGGGCCCGAAACAAACTGGGAGAGCCCTAGTGTCGCCATGGAAGACACCAGATTCAGAGCCTGTGAGGAGGGAGTGGCATCAGCATGGATGTTGAAGTCCCCCAATACCAATAGGTTAGGGAACTCCAAGGCCCAGCCGGCCACCGCCTCCAATAGGCCTGACAGGGTGGCTGCTGGTGCGCTAGGTGGCCGGTACACCAGCCAGACAGCCAAGCTCTCCTCGGAGCCCCACACTAGGCCAAAACATTCAATGCCGGGGATCGATGGCGATGGTAGAGCCCTGAAAGGACAATCTTCCCCGATTAATAATGCCACCCCTCCCCCCCGGCCCACAGTCCGCGACTGGTGGAGGACGGAGAAACCCGGGGGCGCCATCTCTCGTAAGGTAACTGTTGCCCCTTCGCGCACCCAGGTCTCTGTCACACAAGCCAGGTCAACCCCCTGCGAGATAAAGAAATCTCGTAGGGTGGCGGTTTTGTTGCCTATAGACCTGGCATTGCACAGCACCAGTGACGGAGGTGAGTAATCCTTGCTCACCCTACCCTCGTCCCTCGGGATGAGGCGCAGATTGGAAGGGGTACAAGCATATCCATATCTTGATCCCCTTTGCCTATAACATATGCCCCCACCGCCATACCTCCCTCGCCCCTCCACGGTAGCAATCCCAAGCCTCATAGTAGCCTCCATTGACGGCAATTAATGTTATTCTTTCGCAGCCTAAAACAATAAAACCTTAAAACAATAAAAACAAAAAACAAAAATAACCCAGAAAACAATAAAACAATACAAATAAAAAGTGCAAAAATTACAAATTCATCAAAATCTAACAAATTCCCAAGCCCACCCAAACATCCATCCCACCCCCATATATAAAAAATCTAAAGGGAAAGGGAGATTTTAAAACATGTTAAAAGAACCCTGCACCCTCCGGGTCCTCCTGGGCAGTAGCAGCATCAGTGGCAACAACTGTCCTTGTGAGGCCCCACCCTGGGCCAGATAGTAGGTGGCAGGAGCAGTCCTTGTGAGGCCTGTCAGGCCCCGCCCTGGGCCAGGTGGTACGTGGCAGGAAGGAGCAGGGCCCTCAGGCATTCAGGCATTCACACAGGGGAGTCCTCCTGGGCAGCAGAGCAGTCCTTTTGAGGCTTCAGGCCCCGCCCCAGGCCAGATGGTAAGTGGCAAGAGCAGGGCCCTCAGGCACTCACACAGGGGAGTGTGAATTTTTATCATGAGAGCATGACAGCTATTTTGGTTGCCATGATCTCACATACTTTTGCAGTGCAATTTCCCCCTGAAAAAGGCCTATCTCTTCAGGTTTTTTAAACCATATATGGTGCTAGGTGCTGCTGAGTGGCAACTTGGATCAGACTGTGACCTGGTAGTGGGTTAAAACACACCAGCTGAAGCCTAGTAGATATCATTTTGACTAATTCAGGTGTGATTGCAACCATATGCCTATGCCTCTCTGATAAAACTTTATTTTTGCTTTACCACCACCATCATTTATTAGACTTGTTGGTCACTTGTTACCTGAAGGTCTCCAAGCAACATACAACACACAAATATGTAATACAAAACATGTACAATTCACAGTATACGAATAAAAATTAATTCAATGAAAGGAAAGCATAGGCGGGTCTCCTCACCACTTTAAACTCACAGCGATCCTTTGCAGTAGGTTAGGCTGTGAGATAGTTCAATATCATTAAGTGTGGCGGGGATTTGACCCTGGATCTACCCTGTCATCTACTACTACTACTACACAATGGTGATTTCTTGTGAATGCTATATTGCTATTTGGAGATCCCCCAGTTATGACAAATAATGCAGCTTAATTTAAAAGGTAGAAATGAGCTTTTAAAAAGTTGGCAGGGCAGATGCAGCATGCCATATACAGTGACTACTGCAGAGATAGAGAGTGAGGGGTTTTCATTCTTACCACTGCTATCAGAAGGCCCCACGATGCAATAATAATAAAAGTGTAGGCTGCCACTTACACAATGATTCCACACGCACAACCTTACTCTATGGCATATTTGACTGGAGTCCAATCCTAAAATACGGTGCTTTATGACAAAAATAGTTTCATTTCTGTTTTAAATGTGCGGTGGTGTTCCACCAACTACTATCATACCAGGAATTTTGTTCAGAATTTTACATGTATTGCTTGTATAGTAGACATTTTGTTACTTTACCTGTTAAACGGACGTATTAATCATAAATGAACAAGCAAAATCCACACAAAGTATGCAAAAATAAAGAGGTTTAGCTTCTACAAAGCTATTTTGTTCAAACCAACTTCATTAATCCACATTAGTTTACATTACAAAGAATCTTAGACAATAGACTGTCCAACAGTCCCTAGAGACCCCCAGCTAACTGGAATAAAGTTCACTTCCCAGAAGACAGAGGGACTCCTGTTCTGCTTCAGCTCTTTCTCAGCAAGTAGCATGAATCTATTAAGCAATCTGTTGCTATACAAAAAGCAACACTGTTTTATCAACACACAGTTCTTGTAATTGCAGTTTATCTTGTTTCACTAGCTTAAATGAGATGGCAATACGCTAAATGTGAACAGAGATGTTATTCCTCACATCTGAATGTAAGTTCAGCAATAAGCTGTTAAGCAATATACCATTAATGAACAAATTATACTTTACCAAACTCATAATACCTCTAAATTATTTAATATGTTTAATCAATGTAAACAAATATAATTGCATAAAACATAATATCCCATGAACATGGTGGGCGGGAGAAAGAACACAGGAATACAATAAGCACATACAAAATGCAAATTACCTATTTTTTTAGAATTTGTGAATGCACCAGATTTTTAATTTATCATGTGCTCTCCAAGCTGTTATGATGAATAACTTTAATCGCTTAAATAAAACATGTGTAGTACTAAGGGTCACAAACATTACAATTAATAGCACACATGGACAATATCTGAGAGAACTCCCAAATTTCCAACTGTGCTGCAGAGATAAGAGAACATAGTTCAAAATTCTTAACATCAATTCACAACTCTTTTCACCAGAAAGCCACTTCTCACAGCTTAAGATAGACTTAGGCTGTTAATTTGCAAAACAAATCAGCTAACATAAACAAATACCATCTCTTGCAGCTGCCTAACATCACACTGCAGCCAATTTTTTCCCCAGTCACTGAAAGCTTCAAAAGAAGGCATGAGAGGACAGGAACAGCCTCATAGCGTATCCAAGTAACAAATTCTTCATGCCATTTGGTCAGCCTAACGCACATTAGAAGCACATAGCCCCGCAGCTACAGTGGTACCTCGGGTTACATACGCTTCAGGTTACATACGCTTCAGGTTACACACTCTGCTAACCTAGAAATAGTGCTTCAGGTTAAGAACTTTGCTTCAGGATAAGAACAGAAATCAGGCTCCGGCGGCGTGGCAGCAGCAGGAGGCCCCATTAGCTAAAGTGGTGCTTCAGGTTAAGAACAGTTTCAGATTAAGTACGGACCTCTGGAACGAATTAAGTACTTAACCCGAAGTACCACTGTACTTAGTTATACTAACTAGGTTTCAGTGTACAATTCTGCATCTCAGTTGCTCCATTCAAACACAAATCTTTCAGGTCACGTTTACTTATGCAAGATGCAAAATATTGCCTTATGTAAGATGCAAAATATTAACTATCAATCCTCAAATAAATGCATAAAACATCATTTTAGAAATCACTTATTGCACGGGTCAGCAAACTTTCCACTGTCCCTCAGACCTTGTGGGAGGCCAGACTATTTTTTTTTTTGGGGGGGGGACAAATTCCTATGCCCCACAAATACCCCAGAGAAGCATTTTAAATAAAAGCACACGTTCTAAAAACACCAGGCAGGCCCCACAAATAACCCAGAGATGCATTTTAAATAAAAGGACACATGTAAAGGAATCATTTAAAAACACGCTGATTCCCAGACTGTCCGCAGGCCAGATTTAGAAGGCAATTGGGCCGGATCTGGCCTCCGGGCCTTAGTTTGCCTTAGTTACCCATGTTGTACTATATATCAAACAAGTAGAATTAAAAACACTCAGGGTCTCCAATACTAAATTCCATGTACTTTCCTCTCTCATATACTCTTTTCACCCTTCTATTTTCTGCATTTAGCCACCCCTTCCCCCAGCTGCATAGATTTTTTACAAAGAATAGTTATTCCATGAGCAATTAAAAAAAAATTGGTTGACAACTCAAGGGGTGTGTGGGTAATCATATGCCTTTTTGTGACTAATAAAAAACTAGCATCTGAATCTTGGAAAAGAAACATTTCTTATACATGGCTACACAGAACTTAATACAAAATATTAATTTCTAACTAAACCTGGTGGGTGAAACTGCAAGTTCTTAACCCAAGGTACCACTGTACAGCTAAGTGAGGCTATGGGCTTATGTCTCCCACACCCAAATCCTACATTCTTGACAGTGCAGTTCACTGACTCTCCACGTCTAACATGTATGTCACAAACCTCATGTCATAAGGTCAAATTAGGTATTGTTACCATAATCAGAATGAAGTTTTCTCAATATGAATGGAGTTTCCTAGATCTTACAGTTCAGACCCAAATATTCTATCAAGAAAACTATCAAGAAAATAAGTATTTTTACTATCTCAGTTATAAAGGCTATGCTTCCTGACATAATAGTCAACGTTCAAAGTTAATAGCTTGCTGTGCATGTCTCTTTACAAATTTGTAAGTCTGTATTATAATTTCACCCATAAAATGGATAGTTTTTAATTGAATGAACAAGTTCATATAATACTTTATATTTGATTTTAAAATATTAAGCATCATACACTTTGACTGCTTCAGTTCACTCACTGCATCACTCACTTTCTTATAATTATACAATTTTTAAAAATCTCTTTTGCTGCTTCTAAAAATGGGGCTCAAGTAACTACAAGCTCAAAATGATGGGGGAAAGCATCACATATAGTTGGCAAATGGAATCACATTCTCTTATCAAGCAAATTCTTAACAATCTGAATTCGTGCATAGGCATGTCTGGAAAAACTATTTGCTCTACCTAGGCTTTATCCAGAATTTGGACAGACAGCCTCAAATGTTTGGGGCATGATTCTTCACAAGGCTATGTAAAAAATTCAAAATTATTCAGGACACAGCACCATTTTTTTAAAATAACCTGCTTGTCTACATCAACTTCAGTGTGGACGTTTTCCAAATCACAGCAGTTAAAAGTTATGTGTAGTTGGTCTTCAAACCATTCAAAAACTGCAGATGAGGAAACTGCTGAACTAAAAAATGGAAGGGCTCCAGAAAGACTCTTCTATTAGTAGTGCAGTATACAGGTCTGCTGGGAAATAAGTGTCAATGAGTTCAGAGGGGCTTACTCCCAAGTAAGTGGGCATAGGACTAAGACCACACTATAGAAACACTTGCTAAAGACAAGTAGCTAGAATGAGTAGATAAAATTAAGTTCTAGTAAAATTCAATTCCTAATCTAATCTTTATTATGGCCTTGTTTGGATTTGGCAGTGTAAAAGTCTAGATGAGTAGCTGATATTTGGTTCTAGTAAAACTCAATTCCTAATCTAATCTTTTCTGCGACCTTGTTTAGATTTGGCAGTGAGCAAAGTAAGAACACACAGCTGTGCTCAGGATGCAGTTAAGAGACTACGAGATTCAAAATATTAGCTACCCTTTAACAAGGTACTTCCTCAAAATTCATAAAGCTTGTAACGTTTACAGTGGTACCTCTAGCTGCAGACACGATCCGTTCCGGGGTGCTGTTTGCACCCCGAAAAATCCGCAACTAGAGGGCGCTTCTGCGCAAGCGCAATGCGATAGAGAGCTTCTTCACATGTGCGAAATGCATAGAACGCTTCTGCGCGTGCGCGGCAAAACCCAAAACTAAACATTTCTGGGTTTGCCGCGTTTGCAAGCTGAAAAGACACAACATGAACCTAACGCGACATGAGGTATGACTGTACTGTAAAATTTGACTTGTAGGATTTTGCAGCCAGGCAGGAGATGAAAGAGATACATACTTTTAAATATCCTTTCTGTACACCAATAGTTTAACCCAACTACCACCATTTGTATAAATGCTATTGATACATACTGATACAGAGTTCAAGAAAAGTCACTAGAAGAATGTGCTTTTATCTAAAGAATTCACTATCTCCCTTTAGATACTGTACGTAGACTTTTAATATGACAGGCACCAATATATTCTTATGCACAGTTAGCCTTCAAGTTCAGTTATAAAACTATGATTTTAAAAATTACCAGTCCATTGACTTACCCTTAAATGTCCCCACTCCACTGAATGGATTAGCTAATGTTTCTGTAAGGCTTTATACCCTCTTTCAGCTATATCTTATCACCAATCTCTCTTCAACCCCCATTTCTCATCTTCATTTGCTCAATGTTCTGTTTTTATCAAAGATCCATTCAGAGTCCATGACATTCACAGGCACTGCTGCTTCTGAATTCCTTCCTGCAGTCTTCTAAGCTTGGCCATGTTAGACGATTAATTAAGAGAAATATGCATCCTCAGATCAGATTTTTAGGGAACGTGGTGGGCTGTGGGGAGAGTGGTGGATAAAATGACTTCCCCTATTCCACCAATGGTATTCCTCCACTAGATCATAATCCTTCTGCCAATGAAAGGAACCCTTCTGTTCACAGAAGGCCAAGCCTGGATCCAACTCCTTGCGTCTGCTGATTACAAAAATAGATTTACAGGGGAAACCACATTGCCTATGAAATATCCGAAGCTCGCCTAAATGACAGAATTATGATCTATTGTCTTGACTTGTATTTGTGTGATAACTGCTGGCAACAGTTGCCCATACTTGCTGGAACTACCGTATTTTTTGCTCTATAAGACTCACTTTTTCCCTCCTACAAATTAAGGGGAAATGTGTATGCGTCTTATGGAGCGAATGCAGGCTGTGCAGCTATCCCAGAAGCCAGAACAGCAAGAGGGATCACTGCTTTCTCTGTGCAGCGATCCCTCTTGTTGTTCTGGCTTCTGAGATTCAGAATATTTTTTTTTTCTTCCTCCAAAAACTAGGTGCGTCTTATGGTCTGGTGCGTCTTATAGAGCAAAAAATACGGTATATTTTCATAACCAGTCACACAAAATTTTGCACTATCCAATCAGTATGCAGCTTGGCTCAGTTCCTCAAGTCATCTAGAGATATCTGCTTTAGTCTGACAGACATCTTTCTGCAACACAGGAGCTTCTTATTTACAGCACACTTTGCTACTGTGGGGACTGATCTGTGGTGGGAGAAGAGTCTTGCTTTGCAGCAAACTTCCAGCTCTATAATTCCCCGTAAATTCACTCCTGAAAAATTGTTGAAATAGACAGAAACCCTGTGCTTTTTTGCCAGCTGTGGAGCCTCTACAACATTCACGGAGTCAAAAACAAAAACATTATGATTTTAGGAATGAACTAGTAAACAATAAAATGCTGATCAATGCATACTAATGCATAGTAGCAAAACTCAATTATTATTATTTTCCTGACATTCACATGAAAGAAAACAGAAAAGACAGCATTATCACAGGAATATGTTTTTAACAAGTGCCCTGATAACAAATAAAATCAAATCATCTTGCTGCAGACAAGAAGGGGGATACTGAGTGCATGAATGGCAGCAAGAAGCTAAAGCGAAAGGAAGTAAATACCATCTCCTTTTGGGCCAGACTATACAGTGGTACCTCTGGTTACATATGCTTCAGGTTACAGACTCCACTAATCCAGAAATAGTGCTTCAGGATAAGAACAGAAATCGGGCTCCAGTGGTGCGGCAGCAGCAGGAGGCCCCATTAGCTAAAGTGGTGCTTCAGGTTAAGAACAGTTTCAGGTTAAGAACGGATCTCCGGAACGAATTAAGTACTTAACCTGAGGTACTACTGTAAAAGGCCCCAAACTACTCAGAAAAACTCTGCTGAATGATACAGTGGCTATGTATTGGAGGCAGCAAAGTATGCCTTCTTTGCTTCCTTCATTGCCACTGAGTAGGTTCAAAAATGAGCACTCACCAATGTTCAACTGCATTCACCTGTTGTTTTCCTCCACTTGTGTTCAAGCCATCTCCCAGCCTGTTTCATTGCCATGAGCTCTGGAGTATACCAAGGAGCCATGTGGGCTCTACAAAGCAGAAGAGGGTGCTCAGGGGCACTCATGTCAACAGTCTAAGCCACTCATATTGTATATTCCACCATTTGGTCAGGGCTGTTAAAGAGTATGTTTATATATTGCACCTTTTAATCATTTGTGGAAGCATGTAATATACACTAAAAGGTAAAGGGACCCCTAACCGTTAGGTCCAGTCATGGATGACTCTGGGGTTGCGGCGCTCATCTCGCTTTATTGGCCAAGGGAGCTGGCGTACAGCTTCCGGGTCATGTGGCCAGTATGACTAAGCCGCTTCTGGCGAATCAGAGCAGCGCATGGAAACAGTTTACCTTCCCGCAGGAGCTGTAACAATTTAATCTACTTGCACTTTGACATGCTTTCGAACTGCTAGGTTGGCAGGAGCAGGGACCAAGCAAGTGGAGCTCACCCCGCTGCGGGGATTCGAACCACCGACCTTCAAATCGGCAAGCCCTAGCCTCTGTGGTTTAGACCACAGCGCCACCTGCCTCCCTCAATATACACTAGGTGCTGTAAATGAATAAAACACACAGCTCACAATCTTTATTTGTTACTTTTCTGGAAATTACTACTATTGTATCATTTAATACCTTCTGCATATTTTTAACATGCTACACAGAACATAAAATAAAGTATTAAATTAACCATCGGGCAAAATACAAAAACAGGCCTTATTGTTAGGAATTAACATATTTAATTATTGCATTGAACGCTGAATCCTATTTACACTTATCTGAGAATAACAACACAGAGGGACTTCTGAGTAAATATGCATAGGATTGCACAACTAAAGAATCTATGTAAACAGGTCACAAGGCAAAATTTATTTGCTATTAAAAGAGGTCAGATTTTTTAAAAATTGCCTGTTCACACCACCCTCTAAATCATACCTAATCACTAAATCATACCTAGCACTACTAACAGAGAGAATTTAAACACAACAAGCCTATTTAGCAGCAAATCCATAAGAAATTTTTCTGTTGTAGGAATGGATCAGGAATAATTTCGAGCTGTGAAATCTGAGGAGAGAATGACTTGTGGTCTCTAAATATAATTGGTCCAAAGCCCTGAACAGTTAACTCCAGTTGAATTTGGCTATGCGGTGCGGTGCTCATCTCCACTTTCAGACCGAGAGAGCCGGCGTTTGTCCACAGACAGCTTTCCTGGGTCATGTGGCCACCATGACTAAACCACTTATGGTGCAATGGGACACTGTGATGGAAACCAGAGTGCATGGAAACGCCATTTACCTTCCCATCGCAGCGGTACCTATTTATCTACTTATGCTGGTATGCTTTTGAACTGCTAGGTTGGCAGGAGCTGGGGAAAAAGCAACAGGAGCTCACTCCGTCGCACAAATTTGAACTGCCGACCTTACAACCGACAAGCCCAAGAAGCTCGGTGGTTTAGACCACAGTGCCACCTGCGTCTCTTAACGATGTACACCTAACACTTTTTGGGTATGCCTGAGAAGTAGAGTGTGAATGTGACTAACACGTGTATCATATGGGCATACTTGCAAGGCAGCAAGTTGTGAATGGCGTTAACACCCTACCGAGTACCGGATTTTTCGCTCTATAAGACGCACCCGACCATAAGACGCACCTAGTTTTAGAGGAGGAGAACAAGAATAAAAGTGTTCTCTCCCTCTCTGCGCAGCACCCCTTCAGCGAAGCGGCAGGAGAAACGGAGCCCCTTCCCTCTTGCTCTCCTGGCTTCAACGAGAGTGCTCCCGCTGCGCTCAGGAGGCTTCAGGAGGCTATCCCTGAAGCCAGGAGAGCAAGAGGGATCGGTGCGCACCAATCCCTCTTGCTCTCCTGGCTTCAGCGAAAGCTGCGCAGCCTGCATTCGCTCCATAAGACGCACACACATTTCCCCTTACTTTTTAGGAGGGGAAAAGTGCGTCTTATAGAGCGAAAAATACGGTATATACTCAATGCCAAACACATAATTGTCTCTTCACGATACAATAAAATGTGCCCCACATATTCAGTGAAACACACAAAGCTGTAAAGAAAATGTGGTAATTCACATTTGGAAATGGAGGAGTATAGAAGATGGTAATGAAAATTCTGTCTGGATCTTGACAGGCAGCACACAAGTGAAGAGGCAACAAGGGGCTATTCTAGAGAGAGAAAATAGAAAATAATACCTAGTTTTTTAAATGAACTAGAAGTTGCTTATTAATAATGAGAGACCAAACATAAGAAGAAAAATATGGAATGCTCACAACCAGTATATTAGAGTCATTATTCACAATACCCTGGGGAGTAAAAAGAGTGTAACTTTATATGTGGAAAAGAAACAATGAAGTATTTTGCATTCTATTACATATTACATTTCCAATAATCAGCAAACATTTTTACATCAGGCTATTTTTAAAAGTAATAGGTGAATTTCAGTATAAAAATTATGTATAAAATCATATATTTATAAAATAAAATATGCTTTATTACTAGAATAAATTGAACTATTTTCCATTTTAAGTAGTAATGTGATGAGCTGAAAAGGAATGAAAAAGCTCCCAGCATAAATCTGTCCATCTTAAAATAAATTTCATAGTGTAGCACAATTTGAAATGTGGTCTAAAAAATCAAGTGCATGCTTGCAGAGAAGTGACCTGGAAAAGCTAAAAATATATCTGTGATAGTCTTCAAGCCTCTGCTATAATGGACATTAGCTCTCAAAGAATTTCTTTTAAAACCATATTATTTATTTAACCCATATTGTTTTGTAACTATAGCACAAAAAGAAAAATAAGCAAGTCATTCCTTAGAAATACTTTATTCTGCCAGCTATCACCATGAAACAAGCTCTGCAATTAGGAAGACAAAAAATATAACCTGATATGAGGCAGTCCTATTCAAAATTCCCTGTAAGAAAATTACATGTTTACCAAATTGAATTTCTTAAAGCTATTCCAGCATAGACATGTGTTAGTTTACAGCAAAACTGCAAAGGCCACAAACATTTTCAGGGTATGTAAATTAAAACTAGAACACTTGTCTCAACTTTGTATATAAATGAAAAAACAACTGGATTTTAAGTGGCAATTTGTAACAGCAGTGACTGAGAATTTGGACAGCTGGGATCATAAGTGGCAGATGGTTGTTACTTTGCAACTATTTGCATTCCTGAACTTTCCAACCAATTCCTAGGCTTCCAAAGCAACACTTGTTCTTCACCACAATAATTCCTTATGTGTTTAACATCTTAGAATTCCAAGAATTGGAGCTTCAGTGATGAAGATTTAGCAATCTGCCTGAACTGAATTGGCAATACATATAAGAACCTCATACCTTCCCAATACACACAGAAAAGGGCCTTGCTTTCTAAAAGATGGTTAGATGAAACTTCATTATAAATTGCAAGTTTTAGGTCCTGGCCTACATCATTTAACAGCAAGGCTGGGATAGAATACTGTTAGAGTACTATTTTCATCTTGCCTGAATTTAAAGTTCCATTTTTCATGAACGGATCTCTTGTTTGCTTATTTTGCCCTGAGGTTATCCAGAAGCTCAGACATCTACAACTCGAAAACACATTTATTTTGACGTACTATCACAAGGGAGAGGGAGAGAAACAAACACAGTATAGTTTGAGGCTTACCTCAAAATAATAAAAAAAGGCGATTAGACCTATGTCAGTTTTTCTCCTGCCTGTTTGCACATTCCTAGGAAGATGTGTTCTCCTGGGTATGCTGAAAGAGGCAAGAATTTTACTGCAGCTGGAAGTCTGATTAACCTGTTCTGTCTTACAAGTGTTGAAAGTCACACTGGAGTCTTTCTGACAGTGACGGGAAGGTGAGCTTAGTTTTGCCTTGTCCCCAAATTAAAAACAAAAACAAAAATCTTCTTTGTGAACACAAATCCACAATGTTTGATTTTAAAAAAAGCAAAAAAGATGACTGGAAACTTAAAATTACTGTACCAGTTTCCCCCTTCTTTGCCCCAAAGGAAGCTCAGGCTGGAGTTGAGGACAGCCAAAGAAAGGCTAGCCCCAGCCTTCCCTGTGTATCTTCTTGGTGAGCACCTGAGCAGGCCTAATAGCAATGATGTTATGAAGAATGAATGTCATTCTACTTCAGTTCAACATACATAATTTTGCTTTCTTTGGAGTTAAAGGGATAAGGAAGGTTCTGGCATTTCAACCAGGAAATTTTTAGTAAATTTTCTGAACCTGCTATCTCAGTTATGAAAAAGAACTTCCGGTGCAGGTACATTAATAGTTACTAAATATATTCTTATAAAGTACCTCTGAAGGGTATTTGTGTTTTATTTTTATTTTTTTAAAAACTGTGAATATATGTGCTTTAAGGTTAAGCTAGTGGTTTCCAAGAAGAAATGATAGAACCTCAACTAAAGCAAACCTTACGCTACAACCTTGACACAGAAACGAAAACACTGAATATTGCAAGGCAAATCAAGTCGTTCATCAACCAGAATATGAATATTTTTGACAAAGGTCAAGATGGCTTAATGAAAGTCACTTAATCCTAATGAGAAATACAATATTATACCAAGAGTGGGATTTTTCCCCCACCTGAGGACAGCATACTAGTTTTGAGTATGGCCGCCTATACAGTGGTGCCCCGCAAGACGGATGCCTCGCAAGACGGAAAACCCGCTAGACGAAAGGGTTTTCCGTTTTTCGATGCGCTTCGCAGGACGAATTTCCCTATGGGCTTGCTTCGCAAGACGAAAATGTCTTGCGAGTCTTGAGATTTATTTTCCGCTCCCCCCCCCTTTTTCTAAGCCGCTAAGCTGCTAATAGCCTTTTAGCAGCTAATCCGCTAAGCCGCTAAGCCTTTAATAGCCGCTAAACCGCTAATAGCGCTAATCCGCTAAGCCGCTAATAGGGTTGCTTCGCAAGACGAAAAAACCGCTAGACAAAGACACTCGCGGAACGGATTAATTTCGTCTTGCGAGGCACCACTGTACTCACACAACACACAGCTGCCCACACAAAGGGTGGCCAAATGCAAAAGATGGCAGGATTCCTAAACTTTTAATAATTGTGTAATAGAAAGAAATGGAGCAGGTGTAGTTTACGTAACACATTACACCTGCTGAAATTTCCTCTTCTAGAAAACAATTAACGCTGTAGGAGATCTGTTCTCTTTTGCAATTGGCCACCCTAATCTACGTAGAAGCATACATATTCATACACATCCACAAAAAATGTGCGCACATATCGTCTTTTTTCTCTCATACAAATATATAGACCCTCATTTTCTATCTATTGTTCCCACATACACATAGGATTCAGACTGCACTGAGCCACCCCGCTCCCCAGTTCTAATTTCCAGATGGGGGTGATCTTCATTGTGACTGCAGCGCAAACAATGAACCCTGTATGGAAATTAAGTTTCTGTTGGCAATTTTCAAGTTTAAATGGTATACAAGAATATTGAGGAAGTAAAGTTTAACCCTCCCCATGTGTTGCAACCCTCCTCTCTCAAAAATCCCCCCAACTTAGGTTTGCCAACAATCTCCCACTGGAGTTATTTGTACGGTAGCCATTCATGTCAGCATCGCCCTTGAGCCAGTGCCACCAACTGGACTCACACACTTCAGCCCCGACTGGGCTAGGCAAGCTGGGTAGCACTTCCAGAGACCACCTTCTGCACAGGAACAGGTCAAAGTGCTGTGGACTCACAGCTTAGAGTTGTGAGCACCGGATTCACTTCAACAAAAAGACAGTCGTCGCACAGCAGAGTGCAGCAGGGTATAGCAGAGTATAAACCACTCGGAGAGCAGCTCTGTAGAATATTTTCTTTATTCTATCTACAACTATAATACACAACTATGTACAGAGCTAAATGAGGTCTAAACGAAAATGCTGAACTGCACTGAGTGTCTGCAGCTGCTCTTAGCAGCAACCTTATCTATACACACGATCTCTCTCTAACACTCAGTCTCTCTCTTTCTGATGTGAGGCTGGAGCGAAATAAGTAGAGAGCAGAACCACCCCCTCCTCTCTGGAGAATCAGCAGAGACATCAGCAGATTCTTGGATATGGGAGGGGTGAAATCTCCTCAATTCATTGCCCAGTGTTTCTCTCCACACATTTTAGAAGTACTGTTAAGTATCAATACCTGCTGTGAGATGTATTCATACATGTATGATTAAGCAATCAGTCAACAAACAGCCTGTCCATGAAGTATCCTGTGAACCAGTGTTAGAAACTCAGATATATAAGCTAACTGCTAAATGGCACCTTAAACCTGGGGTATTGTCACCACAACGGAATGTCTGGGAGCCATTTTCCCCTCAGTGGAATTTCTTGTTGTTGTTATTCATTTCATTTATATACTGTATGTTTCAATGAGAAAATCTCAAAGCAGTTTGCAACACACTGAAACATCAAATAAGCAATCCAGAATAAAACAAACTCAAATCTCAAGGGAAAATATTTCAGATCCTTCTCAAAGTGACATTTTGCTTTCCCCATATTTATTTACCTACTTAATTTATATAGCTGTCCCACAGCAGATACTTCTGCTATGGGACACTGACTGTAGGAAGTCAGTGTGGTGTAGTGATTAGAGTGTCAGACTAGGACCTGGGAAATCAGGATTTCAATTCTAGGTGACTTTGGGCCAGTTACAGCCTCCTAACCTAACTCACAGGGTTATTGTAGGGATTAACTGAAAGCAGGGTGAACCTTGGAGAAAAAGGTGCAATAAATAAATGCAATAAATAAGCTCTTCTGCTTACCTGCTTAAGAAAGCTGGAGGGGACAGCTAGAAGATGTCAGTCACCAAGCTGGCTTCCAGAAATCTCTATGTGGTCGCAATTGGACCTGTGCCAGTCACAAAACACTCTTGGTGCCTGACAAATTTCCAACATGGCTGTGAACCTAAATTTTCACAAACGATGAGATCACCTTCTTCCAGGTATGCTAACTTTTCACATGTTAGAAGGTTGCTAGGGTTTTGTTTGTTTGCTTGCTTGCTTTGCCTGGAATGACCCACTCTAGACAAGAAAGTGCAGAAGTATTATTTCTGCAATTTTAAAATCAGCCCCAGTTCTTAAAATGGAGAACCAGAAAGCCTGTGAATTCAATCTGCTTCTAAACTGATGACCATAACCCCAAGCTACAGCATTATAAGGAGATTTTGCTTTAAAAGTAGTTTAAAATTTAAATAATATTAACATGTTTCAGTAATTTAAAAATATCTCTTCTAGGGTAAACCCAAATCCTAGTTTACCTAAGTGTTCATTTGTAAAAGAATTAAGAGAGGTTCTAGGGTTTTTTACTATGTAAAGACTGTAGAAAATCTCTACAAAATGGATTGCTATATTTCATCATTATCTTGCTATGAAACAAAAGAAAAAGACTGGTTATATACCCTTCCTGGAAGTTTTGGGATTTCAGCTCTTAAAAGAGAAGATCAACGCTTCTGCTTTCTGAAAGCTGTTCTACATGTCATTCTGGGCATATTTCTATAGTGTGGGAAATGTGTTTGAATTACACTGCATCAAGACACTTTACGTTTTAATAAAGATAATACCTCCCGTTAGCCCCAAGCAGTCAGAGAAGTTGCATCACTGTGGGACCTAAATAATACTAGAATGAAGGCTCAGCTATCTTGTTCCATTGCTGACTTTGGTAGATTTCCCCTTGCTCAATTGCAGGGGAAATGACACACTTCTAGATATAGCTTGAAATCCATTTTATACCCCAAGTAAATAGTGGTGAGAAGAAGCACAAGTTTACTTTTTTTTTTAAGTTAAGCATTATGCTACGTTTTTAATTTTCAGGAATACTCTAAAATATACAATTGTACATTTGGTTTTAAATAGTTCATGATGCAAGACACGCCCAAGGGGACACTAAAAACAGTCCATTTCTACCCCACACCCAAGAACTTGGGGAGGAGTCCAATGGACCTTTACTAGCCCCAGAGCCCAGGTAGGAGATTAAACAATCCTCTTGCAATTATTCAACCTTGACAGATGAGGTACAAGTGGAAGAATGGCATTGCTGGGCAGGTGTGGTTAAGACCAGTGGGAGAAGAAACCAGAATAGTGTCCTAGATATTCCTGAGGAAGATTAAAAGGTAGTCCACAATGTTTCTGGGGAGAGTGCTCACATGAATAGCAACAGCAGGAAGGCCTGACCTGAATGCCTTGGAGGGAAAGCCTGCCTGATGACCACAAGAGACATTAGCAAAAAGCAAGAGAGCTCTTCTGTCTGCTAGGGAATATTTATTTCCCCCTAGCACCAGCTATTTTCCCCAAATGAAAAGAGTACCAATTTACCAGGGCAGGCCATCCTGCGAATGGAGAAGGTGACTTACGGTACCTAGAAAGCCCACCTTAATACTGGAGTTATTGGAGAAGAAGCACAATGAGGCAGAAGGAGTCCCCAATAAATATCTGGTACTTGCACCTTGCAGGTTCCCCACCTGAGGGCATGTTCCAGTTGGCAGGGTGGGTGCCTAAGTCAGATAATTATGTTCTTTGCCCCAAGAGCCACATGGTCTAAATGGTTTGGGGATCCATGAAATAAAAATTGCCCTAGATTTAGGCACTGAAGAGGAATCAGAACTACCAGTAATACCCATTGGCCTAAAATTTGTATTAGAAATTCAGGTATGTAAGCTATTCGCCAAATGGCACCTTAAACCTTGGCTGAGGTTGCCACAACGGAATGTCTAGGCACAAGGTTGCAAAGCAAAAAATGAATCGTGTAGATCATCAACATTAACATATTTAACAATTCAGTCATGCATTTTACCAATTACAGTAACCTTTCCCCCCAAAAAACATATGAACTAATGCTGCAAGGGGGGGCAGGGGGGAGTGGGAGAAACACCTTTTGGGGTGCCCTGGCCGGCCCAGGATGGCTGCTCCGAGGCACCCAGCAACTGCCTCATGAGAGACAGGAGCGTGGGGCTGGGTGAGCTTGTGCATGTAGGCATGAGGGCGAATGCACTTCCTCCTCTTTATCCCTAGGCACATTTGCTTGGAAGTGAGCCCCACCTCAATGAGAGGGGCTTCCTTACCCTTAAGAAAGTGTGCCTAGGATTGCAGCTCTCACAGCACTGCTGAAGCAAAGTTTGCTGCTATGTGAGTCATCTGGCTTGTGCGACAGTACAGAAGCATAAGACATGTGTCTTTGGCTGCATCCAAGTCACCTGGCTTGCCTAGCAGCGCCACAGTGCCATCAGCCAAGTGGAGATGTCAGTCACCAACCTGGCATTCAGAAATTTCCATGTGGTCGCAATTGAACTTGCACCAGTTGCAAAACGCGCCTGGCACCTGGAGAATTCCGAACACCACCTAAGATAACTTCACACTTGTTGGCCACATGAACCCACGCCTGTGTATGGACCCTATGGAGACAATGGGGGTAGGGGAAGGTTTGAGGTGCTTCTCCTCCAGCGGAATCACAAACATATTTGCACACATAAAATGGCCAGATCCCTGGAAGACAAGAGGGGATGCATTCCGACAATCTCAAGCCCCACACCAGAACCAGGAAACCATGGTAAATGGCTTTAAAAACCAGAACTTTATATTCTAACTTGTTTAGAAGTCATTAGCATGGCTTTCCAACCTGAACATAACACGGAGTTATAGAAAACTGAAGACATCCTGGCTTGTTTCCCAGATCACACAAAAAGAAGAGCGAAACATCTATGTGTCGTTACACAAGCCCTGTTCATATGTTGGCTTAAGATCTTTTAAATTATTATTTTCTGCCATTTATATTCCACCTATATTTTTTCATAGAACCTAAGGTAGTGCATATGTAGTTCCTAGAGAATCTCCCATTCAGGCCTGTACCCAAACCAAACTTGCTTAGCTTCACCAAAGTGGTAGCCTTCAAATCATGTATGTCTTGATACATGCAAAGATATGATCACTGGAATATGGCCACGGACTCAACATCACTCCATGCAACCTGTCTTTATAGCTCCTTCTACCAGCTAGTGTTCAAAAATGGTCTTATGCATGTTTGACTGGCTCCAGTACTGCTTATCTGCAGTAACTGAAAGGATCAATTAGCTTTGTCTCAAGCCATTTTCCTTTTATGGGCAGTAGTGGGCTAAAGCAGGGGCATAGTGGGGTGTAGCCGGAGCAATTGCCCCAGGCGCATTTTGGGCAGGGGGCACACTTCTCATGCCACCCTCCTCAAACCAGCCCTGAGTGTGAGAATGGGATCTGATCAGGTCCCAGCCTTGCAAAGCCACTCAGGGAGGGCAGCATGAGAAGGAACCCAGCCTTGCAAAGGCATGGCTGTTGCATCCATCTCACGTGCCCTCCTAGAGCAGCTTAGCGAGGAGTGTTACTGTACATGGTGAGGGGTGGAGGGCAAATGGAGCCCGCTGCACCAGGCTAGTGATTGCTTTGGTGGCAAGGACTGGGCTGGCGGACTCTGTTTGCCCACTGTACCCCGCCATGGAAATATTCCTCGCAAAGCCACTTGGGGAGGGCACATCAGAAGGACCAACAGCCATGTGCCCTTCAAAACTGGAATTAATGGGCACATGGCTGTTGCTCTCTTCTTATTCTGCCTTCCTCTAGTGCTCCAGTGGTGATGGCTGGCCAGGTGCAATGGACTCCTATACCATCTTTATTCTTTTCCCTCATCTACTTTCCCCTTCCATTCAGTAAGTAAACAGACAACACAAGACCAGCCGCAATGGAGTGAGTCCAGCATAGAAACCAAGCAGGCTGCAAGACCATAAAAATGCAGGAGACTGCTGCAAAAAGATAGAGCTCTCCATCAGACCACTGGAAGCTAGTAAAATGTGTGGATTTAATTACAAGCCTGACACACACACACACCTTTAATTTTGTTTTAAATATTTCAGGTACACACTTCCTTGGCCCACATTCATCTAACCCAGTGTGCTAGCAGAAGCCAGTCCAAGGGCAATGGGGCTTCCCCAAGTCTCCCTGCCCCCCAATCTGATCTACAGGATGAAGAAAACTCTCAACAGCATGTAGGGGAGAGGAGAGGAGGAATCATTCAGTCTGGCAAGCAGATATTCTTATGCTGATGGAATGAACAGAAGAGTATGATGTTGAATTCCTCCCATTGCTTTTTCTGCAATATATTCCACAATATGGGGAAAATGTAGAACTGAGCATGCACTGTACACATTTTAAAAAAGATTAACAGCATATTCCCTGGTCAACACACAATCACTCACCATTCATATACAAAAATGTCACCAGAGATAAGAACATTTATTTAGCAAAGAAAAAAAGAACCTTAAAGAGGCAGACCATTATATATACATATATGCAAACATTTTCGATCAATTTTGAAAACTATGTAAGCATCTCTATTATCAATATGAGTTAATATTTGTTTTGTTCTTGCTCTGTTAAGCCACATGTACTCCCATTAACAAAGAAAGAACCAGGAAAAGGTGACATCAGGCTGAAGCAATGCATGAAGGGATGACTGTATCCCACAGCAACAGAATTAAGTAACTGGAATCAGCAACAATAACCACAGAGCATCACAAAACCAGTTGACCTATATTACAGCACTCTACACTGTCCCTGGGTGACCCCATTACATCCCACAGCTTTCAGAACCACCTGTACTTGACATCCAAAACTTTTTCCTTTCATCTAGTCTCTCATGTCCAAGTGCCCCTTTGATTTTTTTCACTTGGGTGCTTTGTTGTCATTACAAACTCAATATGCCCATGAATGAGCTTATCTTTTCTCCTAAGCCCCCCTCTTCTTATCCACTGACATTATCCACCCCGTGGGAAAGGCACATAGTCATGATTTTTATCCTTCATCTGCTCATTCCTTCAACTCCCACATTCAATCCATCACCAAATAGTAACAATTTCCCCTTTCACAAAATTACATGATTGATGGTCTATGAGGTTTCATAGGGTTCCAGCTACCATGGAGCAAAGAGAACCTCGCAGATGGTGGCATCTTCACTTATCTGAGACATTCACGCCTTGGGTTCCACCACCCTCAGCAATCCAAAGGTCTACCATTTCCCCACATAACTCTGCCCTTTCTCCCTTGCTGCCCCATTATACCTGGAACTGCATCCAGTAATGTTCTCTAATGCCACCTCTTACTTCCTTCATATTCCTTTATAAAACCCACATTCTCCATTAAGGCTTTCACACAATATAAAAACATAAAAACGAACAATAAAATTTAGGTCAAGTAGGTGGTCCAACTTCATTTTGTAACCTCTATTCTGGGAATCCTCAGTTTATCAGTTTACTTTTTTGGTCTGCTCTTATTTCAAATAATAAAATGTTCAATTTTTTCAGAAATCGATTAAGCATATGTAGCATAGATAAGTCTTATGGCTGTATGTTGATATGAAAACCAACAGAGTTTTAGGACTTGTTAAAAATATCTCCGCATTACCCGCTTGTACTAAAATGCCTTCCAGTTTCTCAGCCTCAGTTCTTCACTTTTAAATTTAGTTGCTATTAATATGATTGAGGAGAAACAAGAATCGTTTATATTGATTGTAATGCAGTGAAAATGTGAATTAAAAATGATATACTGAATAATGACTTGTCTTGGGGTGAATAAAGATGACTGCCTTACCTTGTGAGAAATGTGGGTGAGTTTGCTCAGATTACTATTCTCCTAATTTTATACTGTATATAGTGCCATGTACATGGATGACAGTGTATAAATAATAACTTGCAAATAATGAGACGATGGATTGCTGTTCCACTGACTTTTCCTCTGTGAGATGAGTGGCAGGGGAACATATTGAACTTACATGTAACTTTGTCTCACTAGGTTTGGAACTAGGTGATTGCTGTAAACCACGGATATATTTTCTGATACAGCAGTATATAAATATTTTTATAAATAAAATACATTATAACTAAATATACCTGCAAGAGAAAATTGTGGGGATTAGTACCCAAAAACATATAGCTGTTGGTTGCCAAAAAAGAACCATATCACCATACGTCCAGTTCTGCCACTTTTCCCCCTGCCTATTAGATACCTAATTTGTGTGGTGTTTCAATTTAGATAGAAAATGTTCTTGGCTTAAAGGGGTATCAATCAACATTATCCTGTCTCTGGGAAATAATTCTAGTTTAAGTTTTTGATTCAGCCTAATTAAGTGTGTTATCTTCAATGACTTACTGAGACTTTCCACAAGCTAGGAAAATACACACATCTACATTTGGCCAGATTACAGTAGTATCTCAGGTTAAGTACTTAATTCGTTCCGGAGTCTGTTCTTAACCTGAAACTGTTCTTAACCTGAAGCACCACTTTGGCTAATGGGGCCTCCTGCTGCCGCCGTGCCACCGGAGCACGATTTCTGTTCTCATCCTGAAGCAAAGTTCTTAACCTGAAGCACTATTACTGGGTTAGCGGAGTGTGTAACCTAAAGCGTATGTAACCTGAAGCGTATGTAACCCGAGGTACCACTGTATACTAAAAAGTTTGTGATTGACAATAATAACATTAGGATAGGTGGAATTATGCTCCAAGTCCAAAGAAAAGTATGTGAGAGCACATAATCACCAGATGAAATAATGTTTTTTAACTGTAATTGTTTTTAGAATGTTTTTATTTTTATCTTTATTTTAAATTGTGGATGTATTGACTGAACTGAGCTCTTTTGAGAGGAAGGATGGGCTATACGGTTTTAAAATAAAATAAATAAATAAATAAATAAATAATGGCGTTTCATTGTTAAAAATAAACAGATCAGAGCCTGGTCAGAGCCTGAACTGGAGACTGCATGGGATAGTTGCTCTAGGTTTTTCAAGGTAAAGTAAGATGTGTAAATACAAATACTTGGATCCATCTATGGAACCAAGCATTTCATAGATCACATTGGAAAACTTTATTTATTTGAGGCATTTATATCCTACAGTTCAGCTAGCAAGGCCCCAGAGCAACTTACATATCAATTAAAAAACCCCAACATAATTCCTATGTTCAGGTTTACAATGTTAAAATGCATGACACAAATAGAGAAAAGAATGGGGAGGGAAGAGAAAAACAAGCAAGCTAAAAAATCTTATTATAAATTTACGAAGTTCTTATAATAGCCAGGTCAGATGGAAATGGGCTTAAAATACCCTTAAAAAAAAAAGACCTTATAAAATCCCTAAAAAATAGTCTGATAACTCAACCTTTCTTTAAGGGGTTTTATGGCAGCTGGAAGCTGTTGATCCTATGATTCCTCCTCTCACTGCTGCCCCTCCTTAAATCTACTCTGCAGTATGGAGACCCATCACAGCAGATTTGAGGGAATGGCATAGGAGGCTACAAGGGGTGGAGGGATTAGAAAAACTTGGCTTTCCTCCCCATTGAATGAGACAGCATTGAATGTCACCCAAAGTTATTCACGGACTTTCAGTTTTCTCCAAACTGGGTGAATGGGCAGTAAAATGGCAAATGCAAATCAACAGATGCAAATATAAAGAGATGCACACTGGGATAAAAAAATATAATTTCACATAAACAGTATTAGAATCTAAACTGGTGGTGACTGACCAGGAACAAGACCTTGGGGTCACAGTGGGCAGTTTGATGAAGATGTTGACTCGGTGTGTGGTAGCTGTGAAATGTGAATTACATGATAGGTAAAAAAAATGGTAAAGGTAAAGGACCCCTGGACAGTTAAGTCCAGTCTAATTCAACTATGAGGTTGCGTTTTCAGGCCAAAGGAGCTGGCATTTGTCCGCAGACAGCTTTCCGGGTCATGTGGCCAGCATGACTAAACCACTTCTGATGCAACGGAAACACCAACATAGGGATCAATATATGATAGGAATCAATAGGGGTTGAAAATAAATCTGCCAGTGTCATGATGCTGTGAGGTCTATGCTGTGACTATACTTGGAAGGCTGTGCACAGTTCTGGTGCAAAAATGATACTGTAGAGCTATAAAAGGTTCAGAAAAGAGCAAATAAATTGATTAAGGGACTGGAGCAATTCCCCTACATAGAAAGGTTATAACATCTGCAACAGTTTAGTTTAGTTTAGTTTAGGAAAAATGGGAAGCAGGGGGACATAATGAATAAAACTATGTATGGTGTAGCAAATTGGACAGGGAGACGCTTTGCTCCCTCTCATAATTTTAAAAAGCAGGACCATCCAATGAACCTGACTGCTGGAAGATGTAGGATGCACAAAAGAATGTCTTCAGACAGTGCACAGTTAAACCATGAAATTCACTCCCACAAGAGGAAGTGATAGCCCTACCTACTATATGTTCTACCTCCATTGTCAGAGGTAGTATGCTTTCAAATGCTAGGAATCACAAGTGGCGAGAGTGCTTTGGGGCTTCCCATAGGCATCTGGTTAGCCACCATAAGAACACAATGCTGGACCAAATGGGTCTTTGGACTGATTGAACAGGACTTTTATTATGTTTAAACTGATTTATCCTACAATGTATTCATAGATTTTGTGAAATACATTTAAAAGAATTTTGGAATTAGACTCCTTTTATTGATTCAGTATAGGACTCAATTTGTTTTTATCCTTGTTAGATATTGTAGAACTTTACCACTAATTAAATGTTGGGGTTTGTGAATGAGTGCACATCAGAAAGTTCTTGAGTGGTAATAGGATATAGTATATTCATAGAATATAAATCTGGACTCTAAAGACTAGTTAGTGAATTACTTTCTTTAGCAGAGCTGTTGAACCATCTGACTTTTCTAGACATTACTGAATATGTAGGTGCCAGGGATTCTCCCATCATATGTAAAACGCTGGCTAGATTGCCCATAAGAACTTCCCCAGTCTATAATTAATACCAAGTTTACTCTCAGGTCAAAACTGAAGACAATTGCTATTCCTTTTAGCAAGCACAATAAATGTCTCAAATTTTGCCAAGAAATCATCCCATAGAAAAACCATGTATTTTTTGCAGACTTGATTGAATATAGAATAGTTTATTACACTTGTAAAGTTTAAATGTAGAAATATGGGTTTCAAATATCAATTCTACAGAGGAAACAGCTTATGAACTACCAATGACATGCACAGTGGACATTAATCTGAAGCACCAATGATTTAGCCCAAGGCCAGCCTGCTGCAATCAAATGTTCTACATCAATCATTTTAGTTCAATATCCCCCCCACAGAAAGCCCTTTTAAAGACTTAAAATTCGTACTGCTGAAATCTTAAGCATGTATACCCAGAAATAAGCACTACCAAGCTCATTGAGATTTACTCCTAGGTAAATCAACCAACATTTAAATCATGCTTGAAAAACAAATATGCAGTGCAATCCTACATGTAACTTGCGTAGAAGACTGAATAACCCTTCACATTTAACCACTCCTTTTTTTTAACCAAATAGGATTAAGATAGATAGATATAGATATTTAAAGGTTTTAGCATCATTGGCTTCCTGTACCTGAGAAAATTGCTCTCTTAATCTTAATTCTAAAATTTTGCTCTCTTAATCTTAATTCTAAAATTTTATTTGAAGGACCAAAATAATTTCACCTGTTCTTTTAATATAATTCTTTTGAAACATTCCTAAAGCAAATTTATTTGTCCACTTGAAAAAATTAGAGGGAAATGAAGTTAGTTTGGTATTTCAGCTGGTAACTGAGGGTAGGAAGACATACAGTACTTCTAGATTTCGGTCAGTGAAATTTTAGGCATATCTCTACTCAGAAGTAAGCACCATTGAGTTAAATTGGAATTATTCCCATGAAGCAGGTATAAAAACTGGTTGAAAATATGTACAAGGAGTAAAAATTAAACATTTAACATAGACTCAACTCAGAGCTTTTTCATCCTTTATCACCCGTGAAGGTTTATGCCATTATCAAGCTTCCACACATGTCCAAAAGATGAATAATATTGCTCAAGATAGTCAGAACACAAAATAATTCTGCATCAGTTTTTCTGCTTACATTCTGTACTTTTTTCTCTGCCAATACTGACAGATTGTGGGTTTTTTTAACCCAGACATACATTGTTTCACATAGTGTGAAACAATATGTATTACATACTTCAGTCAATGAAGAACCATTGACCACACTTATGGTTGTGAACAAAGATTTCATACACAGCAAGCCAACAGTTTCTGAAGTGCAGGATGTGCGTTGGAAAAATACGAATGGTGACAAATATCATAATAAAATAAAATTTCATCCTAACTACTAGATTGTGCTAATCTTCCCCAATAAAATATAGGAAGATAAATAGATTCACTAGATCAGTGTCTGAAAACTGAAACAATTTCCAGGTGCATGATGCAGACATTTTAAAAAGATAAGCCTTAACAGTGGCCAGCCGCACCCCCTTCCCTGTAGGCAAAACAACTAGCGTGGATGCAATCTCTAGAACCAATTAAGTCAAATTATTGAAATGTACTCTGATTTATTCACATGGCCTTCACTGGCACCAAATTGGTTTAAATCCAGGTAATCCGGCTTAATTCGTTTGCAGATCATGCTGTACTGCTACACCCACTGGCTACTTACCAGCCGCAGTGCTGAGTAGTAAGGTGGCAGTGGAGAAAAGGAGCAATAGCAAAAGGTGCTGCAGCAAGGCGGTCATATTTGAAGAAATCCAGGAGGGTGGGCGATGCGTAGAATAATTTTCTTTTAAAATGCCAGCAGGAGGAAATCTCCAGTCTCCAAAGAGTCTTAACCCTCTTGGTTTACAATCCAGTCTGAAAGGGCAAATGGCAGATGAGAGGAGCAGCCTGACCTCTTACTCCATTACACGGATCTGTCTTCATGTTTCAGGGCGAGAGTTTTGGTTCTCAAGCGAACATACATGTCCTTTCCCCCCAGCCGGCGGTCATCTTTCGCATACTATATGTATGTATATAAAAACCAGGCTTACTTCCCACGCTTCTTCGCAATATCAAAGCACCGCACACGTTGCAAAGGAATCATATCCGAGAGGTGTGGAGAGGACGAAACAAAAAAAACCCCACGATTGTCACCTACAAGCAGCTTCCTCGATCCCCCAAAAGGCAGATACGGGCAGGCATTTAAAAGGCCGAGGTCTGAGGAAACCAAACAAAAAAACCCCAAAACCACCCGGATTTCTCTCTCTGCCGTCGTCTCTTTCCTGAAATGTTATTTCCAGTCACTTGACGTTTAAAAACAAGGCGTCGTCGTCTTCGACGTGAGGGGTTTTAACGGCGTCTCTCCCCATGACGAGTCTTTGGAAAGAAGAGAGAGAGAAATCGTCAGGATCCGATCCTTTAGCCTTACACGAAGGGGGGGAAATAATAAGTGACGGGAGAAAGGGAAATATTCTTGGCGTTTCTCGGGAAAGGGCGCCGGGAATGAGGGTGTCCCCCCCCCCAGCAGCAGCCCCGAAGGAAAGAGAGGCCTTCTTTCCTCAGCCCACCCCGACCCCCAATATTGGAAAAGGCTTCGAGGGGATGAGGGAGGGCGGAGAAGGCGGGCGCCCGCTTTTCCTCCCCTCACTTCACAAAGGCTTCCCCCCTTCCTTCCCTCAGCGCCGGCCAAGCCCTCCTGCCGCCCTCCCCTCACACACACACACGGTCTCGCCTGCCCTGCCTTCGGGGGCGCCTCGCTCGTGCCTCGGCCCTCTGAGAGAAGCGCGTTTCTCACGCCACGGCGCGTCGCCTCCCAGTCGCCGGGCGGCTCGGGGCTCGGCTGGCAGCTGCTCCCTTTTCCCCCCTCAGACCAGACACAAAGGGGAGTCGCTGCTCCAACTGCCAGTCTGAAGCGCCCGGCCCGCGGGCGCCACGGTGCCCCGCCCCGCCCCGCCCCTCATTGGCTGGGAGCCGACGCGACGTCGACGTCCCGTCCCGTCCCCCCCAACAAGCCCCTCTTTCTCTCGTTTCTCTCGCTCGCTCCCACCGAAGGTTCTGATCCGCGCGCGGTTGGGAAGCGGCGGTCATAGAGAGGCGGCGCTCCTCCCGGCAGAGCGGCCCCCCTGAGGGAGGGAGGTGAGAAGGTGTTGACGGAGGCCTTTCCGCGCCGCCATGTTGCGGAGGCTCGCCAGACGGGCGGCCCGGCGAGAGGGGGAGCTGCTCGCAACTCTCCCCTCGCTTTCTGGCCGCCGCTGTCGCTGTGGGAAGGCGCCTCCCGCGGCCCTTCGGCGCTCCGCCTGACGCCGCTCTCCCGGTGGACTCTCCCTCCCAGCTTTTTATATTTTATATTATTTTATTTCTTTTTTCCCCAATAATTTTTTTATTAGATTTTCCACAGTGATAACACAAAACACAAAGCAAAATGATACACAGAAACAGAAAAAGAAAAAAGGGGGGAAACAATAAACAGATAAACAATAACAAAAAAATTAATTCTTCACAAATCCAACCTTTTAAACATCTTGGTTGACTTCCTCAAATCCCTCCCTTCTGAGTTTCCTTGTAATTAAAAGTAACAGCTTTCCAATATCATTATTAAACTAAAATAATTTCCAATTATAGTCCATCCTACTCACTTTTCTTAACATTCTAAATCCCATTTATTTAATTATAACTTCGTTTAATCCTGGGCCTATTTGTTTCTTTCAAGTAATTTCTCATTTTTTATATTACAATATTTATTCAAATAGTCCTTAAATTTCCTCCAGTCCTCTTGAAACTCCTCTTCTTTCTGGTTATGGATTCTTCCAGTCAGATCAGCTAGCTCCGAAAAGTCCATCATCTTCATCTGCCAATCTTCCACTGTTGGTAGTTCTTGTGTTTCCCATTTTTTTAGCAAGTAATATATTGTTTTATTTCGTCCTTGTGAGTTTTCTTGGACCTTCTCTCTGTCGTGGGGCCCGCCTGCCTCCCACCCCCCACCAGTACAAGTAAAATCCCGGGTCGGCCCACCCACGACGCAAGGGGAGGCGATCCAGTTGGCAGGATCCTCAGGCGCAGGCAGGATCACAGACCTGGAAGGGACCCTGCAGGGTTATCTAGTCCAGCCCCTGCAATGCAGGAATCTTGGCACACACCACCGCCCCAACCAGTTTGGAAGCAGTGCTGGATTTACGTATAAGCTAAACAAGCTATAGCTTAGGGCCCCACTCTCTTGGGGGCCCCAAAAAAATATAAAGGGGAAAAAACAACTGGATGTACATTTCCAAAATACAAGATACAGTGGTGCCTCGCAAGACGAAATTAATCCGTTCCGCAAGAGTCTTCGTCTAGCGGTTTTTTCGTCTTGCGAAGCAAGCCCATTGACGGATTAGCGCTATTAGCGCTATCAGCTGTTTAGCGGCTATTAAAGGCTTAAAGGCTTAGGGGATTAGCTGCTAAAAGGCTATTAAAGGCTATTAAAGGCTTAGCAGATTAGATAAAGGGGGAAAAGCGAAAAAAATCTCAAGACTCGCAAGGTATTTTCGTCTTGCGAAGCAAGCCCATAGGGGAATTCGTCCTGCGAAGCAACTTCAAAACGGAAAACCCTTTCGTCTAGCGGTTTTTCCGTCTTGCGAGGCATTCGTCTTGCGGGGCACCACTGTAAAAAGCAAATAAAATAAAAGCTACATACAGCAGCAGTGTTTTGTGTTGTGTAGGCTCCTATAGTGTAAGTAATGGGCCCCGTCTGCTAGCCTAAAATATTACTGGTTTGCTCATTTCTATATATAGGGTATGGGACGCAGGTGGCGCTGTGGGTTAAACCACAGAGCCTAGGATTTGCCGATCAGAAGGTCGGCGGTTCGAATCCCTGCGACGGGGTGAGCTCCTGTTGCTCAGTCCCAGCGCCTGCCAACCTAGCAGTTCGAAAGCACGTCAAAGTGCAAGTAGATAAATAGGTACCGCTCCGGCGGGAAGGTAAACGGCGTTTCCGTGCGCTGCTCTGGTTCACCAGAAGTGGCTTAGTCCTGCTGGCCACATGACCCGGAAGCTGTACACCAGCTCCCTTGGCCAGTAAAGCGAGATGAGCGCCGCAACCCCAGAGTCAGCCACAACTGGACCTAATGGTCAGGGGTCCCTTTACCCTTTATCTTTATATATAGGGTGCCTACATTCTGCATGTGCAAATGGCTTGAGATACTTATTAGGTCATAAATTACCGTAGAGCATATATTCAATACAAAAAACAGCGACAACTTGTTGTTGACAAAGGACAGCTGGACATATAAAGGGCCCCATTACCTTCAGTAGCCTCAGAAAACCTAAATGCGACCCTGTTTGGAAGCATACCAGACCCTGCTTAGCTTGGCAAATGTGCTAGCAAGCTTTATACCCCACCATTGGGGGATGTTATTGGGTTGTTTTTATTTTGATTATATATGTATATTGTGGATTTTATGTTGATCTTTTCTGTGAGCCGCCACGAGACCTCCAGGTATAGGGCAGTATATAAATTCAATTAATAATAATAATAATAATAATAATAATAATAATATCTTTATTACCACCTTGTTCCTGATGTACATCTTCACTCACCTGGAGGGGCAGGTGCCAAATTGCATACCGTAACAACATTTCTCCGATGAAAATAGGGACATCCTATTCCATAATAATGTTATTAGTTATACCCCTCCCATCTGACTGGGTTGCCCAAGCCACTCTGGGAGGCTTCCAACATATATAAAAACATCATAAAACATTTTTTTAAAAAAAACTTCCCTATACAGGGCTGCCTCCAAATGTCTGCTAAAGGTTGTATAGTTACTAATCTTCTTGGCTTGAGGGTGTGCAGTTGCATAACTACATACCCTCCCAACATTTCCCTGATGAAAATAAGAGATGTCCTAAGGAAAAGTGAGACATGCTGGGATCATATCAGAAACCAGGACGGCTTCTGCAAATCTGGGACTGTCCCTGGAAAATAGGGATACTTGTAGGATCTGAAAATATCCTGAGGTGGTGCTGAGTGAGTCTTATCCAGAGATACACCCCAAACCTCCCACAGAGTTATTTGTACAAGAGGAAGAAGAGAATTCACTTGAGAAGATCAGCAAACATTTTCCCAGGCTGCATAATTTTGTAGTGTGTGCTGCCCATTTTTAAAAAGCAAATTTTAGTACTTGAGCCATTCTCAGGCTTCAGAGCAATTTGTGGGAGTAAGACGCTTTGAACTCTAGTACAGACTTCTCAGTAAACGTACATAGGATCAGGTCTCCACAACTATAAAACGTGTTGGTGTGCACAAACACACAAAACCTTCCTGGAAAGAAAAGAGCTAAATAATTACTGCCGCAGACAAGAGACCAAAAGTCTTCTCATGTCACCCTGGGGGTTTTTTCCTTCTGATCACATTAGCGAATGACGGTAGCTGGGCAAAGTTCTCCCGGTGCTGAGGTTTCAGCCCATGGCAAGGCAGTTGTGAGAACATGATGTACACAGTATTCAGTCTAGGTTGGTTTTTGGCACATGGCTGTAAGTGGAAACATTGAAGCAAGAGCAAGTGTGAGCCAAATTCAGCTCGTGCCAACGGTGTCTACAAAACTGTGGGCAGAAAGTAGTTTGGGATCTGATGTTAGAGCTCAGGGTGATTTACAGTATATTACCAACAATGCCTGACTCCTAGTTGTTTAACAACAGCATGGGTTTTGTTACCAGAAAATAATTTCCAAAACTAACTTAGGGACATGTGAAATGAAGTAAGCTAACAGAGTGAGCTTTCATGTGAAAATACTGTGAGCTCAGTTCTGTTCTGATACTAAAAACAAATTTCTAGGTCAGAATATGCTCATTTGTAAACCCAGCATAAACAATACAATGTATTCTTACTGTTTCAACTTTGTATTTTCTTCTTCTTTTTGTTCACCACTACAATATGCATAAATGGTGGGGGGTTATAAGTTATTTAAATGAATGAATGAATTATTATTATATCTTTTGCACCCAGCTCTGGTTGTTAGATCTTGAGGTTCTTGTAAAAACAAAACAAAAAACAACCAAGTACAGTGGTACCTCGGGTTACAGACGCTTCAGGTTACAGACTCCGCTAACCCAGAAATAGTACCTCAGGTTAAGAACTTTGCTTCAGGATGAGAACAGAAATCGTGTGGCAGCAGTGGCGGCGCAAGGCCCCATCAGCTAAAGTGGTACCTCAGGTTAAGAACAGTTTCATGTTAAGAATGGACCTCCAGAACGAATTAAGTTCTTAACCTGAGGTACCACTGTAGATCTGACAAGAATGAAATCTGCCCTTCTGACTGTAATTAAAGCTGAGAGCCTAACGTTGCCTATTAAGTCCCATATAGTAGTCAGATTTGGACCAAAATTTCCCAGCTCAAACTGTTGGCCACTGTTTTGCACCAGCTTGCTATGTGTTGCATATATACTGTCTAGTAATGGTCATTAATAGAATGGGCTGCAGGAGAGAAATATTAATAGCCTTAATTTCTCTTTGTAGAAATGAATGTTGTCCCCACCCTTTTTTGAGATTCCAAAGGAGTGAAGTACTCTAAAACCAAGTACAGTGGTACCTCAGGTTAAGTACTTAATTCGTTCCGGAGATCCGTACTTAACCTGAAACTGTTCTTAACCTGAAGCACCACTTTAGCTAATGGGGCCTCCTGCTGCCACCGTGCAGCCGGAGCACGATTTCTGTTCTCATCCTGAAGCAAAGTTCTTAACCTGAAGCACTATTTCTGGGTTAGCGGAGTCTGTAACCTGAAGCGTATGTAACCTGAAGCATATGTAACCCGAGGTACCACTGTACTGTTTCAACTAATATTAATATTAACATTCTCATGCTCAAAATGAGGGTAAACACCACCGTAGGTTAGATAGTTCTGACGTTACATATACATGTCCTTTGAAATAATGCTTGTGTGTCTTTGATGTATCTTATCATATCTGCTCACTAATATCAATTGCTTGCTCTGCATCTATCACCTGCTATCTTATTTACCCTATCTAGCCATTCTCGGGACATTTTGAAAACCAGATTTTCCTTATCCCTGCTTTTCTTTGAGTTTATTCTTCATCTTTTCCTCAGCAAGGTGGGTTCCTCTATGCGTTTAACCCCTTAAAAGTGGTTTCAGGAAGGTAAAAATCTAAAGAAAAAGTTGAAGTTAAAAGTGTCTGTGACAGAGATTGCTGAAACTACAGTTTCAATTTGTGCTCCTAAATGGAATGCCATAAAGTTAGCAATTCTGTATGGACTCACCTGGGGATAA